TTTTTTTTCAAATCTGTAAATACGACGTTTCCAAGCTTACCTTTCAAATGGACGGCGACCAGCATTTGGGTCTCCTTTAACAGAAGAGCCCCCCGGACCCGACACGTTGGATGCTTGCATGCCCTTTGGACCTTGCACCAGATCATACTCTACCTACAGGATTGAAATAGCGATTGTCGGAAGTTTCCATATTAGATATTCATCCCATTATCACCCGCATGCGTCGTCTCCCCCAAAGCGCAGCAACCAAAAACCACGTAAAACGAAGAAAAAAAAATTTTCCCTTCCTTTTTTCTTACCTCTTCACCCTATTTTACGGTTCGATTCCATAGTAGGGTAGTTATGGTATGATACGGTTGAAAGAAGAGCGAGGAAATGTAATCAGGTATGTTCGGCGGTCGAGGTTAAACATAGTAGGTGCGTCGACACAGGTGGCAGCGAAATAGTCATATAAGGAAAGGACGGCGAGTCAGATTAAAAAAGCGGAATTGCAAAAAAATGGGTGTCGAGCGATAAGATATTACCTCTCCAAGACTCTTGAAGCCTCCTTCATTTTGAATGGCTGTATGATGTACGAACACTTCTGAGGCAACAAAAATAAGGTGAAGGTAGTAATATGCATTGATATTGATAGTTTCATGATTCGAAGGAAGTTTTTTTTTTTTGGTGGTTGGTCAGTTATAATACGATTTGAACGCTCCATTTCAATATGCTCCCAATATGCAGCTTACCTTCAATGCTGTCTTGACCAGCCTGGTCATCGGGAATTATGAATCCAAATCCTTTGACTGAATTAAAAAACTTTACGCGACCGCTGTGTCTTGGAACCGAAGAAGTCATGATGTTTTGTACAACTAGTAGATAAAAAACTGATAATTTCAATAACAAAATGCTTCAGCAACTGAAAAAGAGACAAAGACGTTTACAACAAACTAATGAAAAAAAAAAAGAAAGAGAAAGAAGGAAAAAGGGCAGAAAGTCTCAAAAGTTTGATCGACACTGGGTCTTTGAGTTCGTTGGTCTCTGTGTGACTGTCTTTTCATGCGAAAAGTGCTTTTGCTTTGGGGGTTTGGTTCGGGTAAGGGTTTATTTTATGTTACAAGCCATGGTTCAAATGGTATATAAACTATTGGTATCCTGGGCATGAAGGGGTTGTATTGGGATTTCATTGGGATTGTGCTCGGAGGTAACTGGATCTTCTACGATTTCTCTACTGGCCCGATCTATACATTGTTGTATTGCCCAGACCCACTCCTCCTTTTCTTGCCGACTTCTGGCCATGAAAATGAATAGGTTTCCCTTCGTAGCTAGTCGAGACGTATTGGACCCAAAGAACCCAGTCGATTTTTTAGGTTGCCAAAGTACAAAAATGCATTCTTTGACATCATCGTTGGATACTAGACCGTCGGCGAATATTCGATTAGGCCGCTCAAAGTCGTAAACAACCTTATCTTCTAGACACTGTCTACCAGAATAGATATATGTTTGTCGCAGATCAATGGCCATCTGGTGCTCGTGCGTCGAAGTTGGTAAAACCTGTCCGGTCATATGGTTGCGGAAGAGGTATTGGAAGTAATGCAAAGTTTGATTGGCGCCCAATATAACATACTTTTGAGAAAACGTGCGACGAATAGCATGTTTAACGTACAATGGTCCGCATTTCTATCAGTGTTCCGGTTGAAAAAGAAAAAGAAAATATCGAGATAGGAATCATCAGCATAGTGTTTACGCTGATCAACTGAGAAGTAAATAGCCCCGTTGATCGACAAGGCAGTAACAAAGTTTGCCTTTCCCTTGGGGGAGGTCAACTTCTCAGTCTGTAACTTTTATAAAACTTCACTTACCACAATACTTTGGCATCCATTTACACTGCAAATATTCCATATCTGGCTGTTGGCGATCGTTCTTGGCTCTTCCACTTCTTCCACTTCGTCCATGAAGAGTGCCATCGTTTCTTGGTACGGTTGTTCGCCATGTTCATGGTATACGTCATGCAACGGAACTAATTTATGGTTGGCTTGCTTGACTGCAACGTGCGTTGCAAGATCTGCTTGCTTTCGAGCTTTCCAATACTGTATTAGTTGGTACAGACTCTGTACCCATTCTTCCATAGCTTCAATCGTGGCAGCCTTATGGTCAGGAAAGCAAAAATTCAGTATGCCATGGGTTTAAACCTTGTCAGGTGCGTAAAACATAGTATACCTGTAGTCTGGCAACCACACCATTTTGCATCTCCAGTTCGAAACAGTTTGCCTCATTAGCATAATTACTATTTGACACACCACCAGTACTTTGATTGCTGAAGAAGCGAGCGATATTGGTATATGAGGAAGAGCCAGCTCCTCCTGGCGACGTCATCGGCCGGACATCGACAACCTCTAGAAGATTGATGAGATGAGTTGCGTTATGTATGATGGCAGCGTTACGGGCTACTTTTCGACGCAGAGCTCGATGGTGTGCAGTTTGATCGGTTATATGTGCGGTAGATGAATAAGTCATCGGTTCCATGAAACGTCGGTTCAGGTTCGACGCTGAACTTCGCTGGAAGCTGGTAAAAGACCTTGCACTATAAGAACCTTTCATACTGGTTGGCGACTGCTCTACATGATCTATTGCGTCTATTTTGTAGAACGGAACGAAGAACAAGAGATGCTGCTGAGTGCAAACATATACTCTGCGGCTATTTAAGCTCTTCTTCGAGTACTGTTTCCCTTTGTAATTGTTTTCTCGCTGCAGAAATCCGGAAATGGCTGGCGGTTCCTGTTCAAGACATGCTTGAGTATTTTTTTTTTCCTTTTTCTAAATTGACACTACCAGCTTCGTAAAATGGATGATCAAACTTACGACAATAGTTTCGCCGTTCCGAAGTGTAACGCAGTCTGGTGCGTGCTCGATTGCACGAAGCTCGAGCGTATGCGTCTGTGAAACATTAAGGGTGCTGATGAGCAATGTGTTTTAAAACAATTACTATTGTGTCCACAAATACGCTACCTGTTCGATGCTCTGTGGTCCAATAATAAAATTAGACTGCAAGACTTGGCCATGTTTTGGGGCCAGCGGTATCCATTCAATTCTATCGTGGATTGTCCAGCACAGCCCAAATTGTTGACTGTTTGATATATTAGTTAAAAGCTCGTTCCATGTTTGATCGTTATGTAGCAAATGGATGGCCGCCTTCTCGACACACTGAGCTGTGACATTGACTTGATTTGACACGACACCCTCGTCTTGCAAAGGTATCCGAATTTGGATATTAAGGTCTGGAACAAATATTTCTGTCCATGGCGTTATTGGTTTTTTGTCTGATTCCGGTAACGCTCTGTAGATGGCCATGTACCACTCTGTACATTGGGTTTGCGTTCGTGCTTTAATGATAAGTGTTGTAACATTTCGATTAGCTGAATCGGTATGCTCGAGTTTGATGGTATAATCCAAGTTTGATAATAGTGAAAGGTGGACAGAATACTCCTTGTTATTTTCTCGAAAAGGGACACAGTGTATGATCCGGTTTCCCTGAGATCCTATCGGCTGTTTCCGAAACACATTTGATTTTCAATTACTGTACAACTTTGCAAGGAGCACATGCATTAGGTTATCTTACCTTGTTTGTCGTAAGTTCTAGTCTTTTGCTGGTTAACACGAGGTCATACTCCCTCCATTTTCCCTTCATACGATGATATCGATTTGCAACTGATGCTTTGTACATCATAGGCTCCTTATTGTATGCGGTGATAGATTTCGAACAGAGGACCGTATCGCTTTTCAAAAATAGTTCTTCATTATCGCTAGCCTCGTAAGGATGTGGAGAGATAGGTATATAAATGTCATTTACTGTGGACATAGCAGAAATGGAGGCGATCGAATTTCTTGGTCTATCTTGAGGACTCGTTGGTGGAGACCTAGAACTTTGACCATCCCTGCGTATTGACCGCTTTCGCCGTTCTATTATAGGTCGCTCCATTAAAAGGCCCAAATCCACAGACTTCGCATTCCTATTCATAAATTCAGAGGGTATAGATGTTGGGGATGCCAAGTGTTCTTCAATACGAGGAACAGTTTGCGATGATTCGGGAATTTCAATCGCGCTTGGAGGCGGTTGTCGACGAGATTGATGTTCAGAGCTGGGAGAGGAATTGACGGTTCTGCCTCGTACTAGTTGGGCAATCGCTTGCGCCGGTGTTTGATCATCGGTGCTTGTGCTTTTATTGGCGGATGCTACTGGCAAGGATGTACTGCGACTTGGTGGTGATGGAGTTCGTAAAGTCTCATGGCTGTGAATGGATTGCTTAATTGTACTTCTAGAGCTTACGGTGGAAGCTGTTTCATAGTCTATATCCTCAGATTCTATGGCATCTTCGTTCTCGCCTTGTCCTTGTTCTACGCTTTCATCTTTTGACACTGCCGTAAAAAAAGTATCATTAGATTGCATGGAGTCGATCGTGGGCCGTGGCGATGGGTTGATAATTGCTGCACGTGGATCGACTAAGACAGAGGTGTCATGTAAATCATCATCAGCGGAGGAGCTAAGTTGATCCGGTTCCGAAGTCAAAATTTGGGCAAATTGTTTGTCCCTGAAAAATCGGTATCATTTATTAGTATCCGAACCGGTAGTAGATATCTAGTCCACACAGGTTTACATACGACATAATCGTTGGCAATTGCTTGTCGGACTGATCTTCACGACTCTTAGTTTGAGTCGCCAATATAGTGTCAGGTGGGGTTAACTGGCCGTCTACCACGTCTGTTTCCCTCGACTTGGACAAACTAGGCTGCCTCGATGGTATCTTTCTATCAACTTCATTTGGAGCGGCCGCATTCGGTGTAGATGGAGTAATGCTGGGCTGGATTCTCGACTTCATATTTGATTTAAGGGACGTGTATGACACTGCATCCTTCAAATGGTCAAGACGATCCTCGGAATCGCGGAGCATTACTTTTTGTATGGTGCTTGTACTGGCTAAGGGCGCCTGATATTGTTGTTGCTCAGAGATTTAGACTATACTGAAGCAGAGATTATGAGGGTTTGCAAAGTAGAAGGGTGTCGTCGGTATTAAAAATAAGGCCTACGAATATGTATGAATTGTCTGAATCGAGCAAGTGACCATGAGTGCCATTGCATCATGGCTAGTTGACTAAATTTAGTATGAATTGGGCAAGTTAAAATCATAGATGGCAATGATGTATCGGTATGCATTACATGAACATAGTCTACATTTCGTCAAACTACCATGCTCGACAGACCAAAGTGATGAATTCGCAACAGAATACTTTATATTTTTGATTCAGGAACCAAACGGTACAAAAAAGTATGTGACAAACTTTAAGTTATAGAACAATTGAATTGGGACATGATCGAAGCTATTTATGACCAAGCACAGATAATTTGCAAATTAGAAAGAACGCTAATGTCATCGTGATACTGCTACAATTGTCATCGATATCAGAGTTACGCAGTCGGTGTAGATAATGTCATGGTGGTAGCGGACACGGAAATACTTGAATCCTCAGGACACCAAGGTTGATAAATATTCGGACAAGGTGCTCCGACTGGACGCAAACAAGAATCTGGACACTTCTCCGGGCTGTGTAATATGGTTTGTAAGCCAAAACGCTTCTTCATGCTCATAGGCAGTCAATACTCACCATGGCCTAATTACTAGCGGGCAAAAGGTTGGATTTGCCGGATCAACGGTAATGGTAACGGTCGGCTTACAAGTTGGCTCAACGGCATATGGACATAGAACTCCCTGCGGACGAACACATCCAGATTTTTCAGTTGGACATTCTTTTGGGCATGGAACAACGATTTTTGGACAGTAGGGAGGGCAGGTAGGCTTGTTCGCGTTAGGACAAGGTCCTGTTTTTGGCCGTATACACGTCTTGGGGCATTCTTTGGGGCTGGAGTGGATATTAAAAACAGCGCTGTTTGGAGATACTATGAGAGAAATTAAAATTGCTTACCATGGCAGCTCATGATCAGGACAAGTTATCTCTGCTGTGTCTTGTCTCTTTCTCCAACCATGGCCAGTCCTTTGGTGACCTCTTTTGGTAGGCAAAGGAGGTCGAGTTGGACCAGCAGTTCCACCACTACGGGCTTGAGTAGCTAAAGGAGCACCAGCAACCGTCCTGGATCGAGTAAGAGATTGGCCAGGGACGGGATCAAGACATTTTGGTTGGCCAGCTTCGGCAACAAGAGCATTAGCAGGATTTCACATACACCCAATGTATGACGTATCGAACAAAATCACTCACTGAACGCACAACATGCAAACCCAGCATTCCATGCGCATTTTTTACAGTCTTTTGGACATGGACGTTGAAGAGGACATAGAAATTGACATATCTCATCCGGAGGGGTTAGCGGATTGGGAGGCTGGCCCGGAAGTGTCACATTCATTGGCGGTACATATGGAAGCTCACAAGTAGGGGTACCGGCTAGAAAAGGCTGAATGAGCATTCAAACTATTCTTTCCCCCATTTTAAATATGATTATTTCATTACCTCCTGGGCAGCATTTAGTACTTTCTGGCCAGATACAATAAGCACAGCCAATTGGACATGGTATCGGCTCACCGCAAGGCTCTTTACATTTCCTTACCGTTGCTAAGCTTGCATCCGAGTCTCGATCACTTAATCGACCTGAATTGAAGTACAAAATAGCATACAACAAAGAACATTTAGAGCTACATTTAAGTTTGAAATTTAGAAAGACGTGTGATTGCTTACCAGCGACGGCAGCGAAGGAACCAGTCGTCAAAGCCAAGAGATAAAATAATGTTATTTGTAGCATTGTGTGGATTCAGTGTGCACACACAAGTTAGCAAGTTTTCTTATTTATTCAAGTCTAGCTGCCGGTTGGCTAAATATTCTCCAGCAGCTGTCAGCAGGTGTGAGGAATCCCTCCCTGTGGGTAGACAGCTCCTTCAACGAGGTATTCGTGACTTTCAGGACGGTCACATTTTTTTTCATAAAATTTGACCTTGTTAGGAAAACCGACCGACGCGCGCCTTTTCCTTGCTAAATGGTAATGACTGTAGCGAAGTTTCGTCCCACATCTGAACAAGCATCGTGGCATCGCACAATTACGAAAGGCAAATTTGCTGACATCCTTGTTTTCCTCTACAGTCTGTTGTCGTGGATCTCAATCCTTCGGCTGTGAAGAATGTGTCACGCGAGTTGTATGCTCTTGAGCGCGCACCACTCGATGATATTCAAATAATTATCAATGAGACTAATATTGCAGACGTTCAAGCATGGATCCGTGGCCCAGGTAGGTTGGGAAATGACATTAAATTGCCCTTCCGGCATACCTTTAACGTTAGCCATACCTTCAATTCGAACGTCATCAGATGGCACACCGTATGAGAACGGATATTTCAAAGTAAAATTACTACTTACCAAGGAGTTTCCACAAGTAGCACCAAAAGGTAAGACATTCTGACTAAGAGATGGTAGGTGCAGCATACAAGTTCGCTAATGCAAAGATTTTCTAAGGGCTATTTGTCACAAAAATGTTCCATCCGAATGTAGCTTCAAATGGCGAAATATGTGTAAATACTTTGAAAAAGGACTGGAAATCTGATTTGGGAATAGGGCATATCCTACTGGTAATAAGATAATACATTGTTTTCATCATAGTGATCCACAGCTACATGTTAACTTTATAAGCAACGCACAGACAATTAAATGCCTGTTGATCGCACCAAATCCAGACTCAGCTTTGAATGAAGAAGCTGGCAAAATGCTGTTGGAAGCATATGAAGATTATGCGAAACGAGCTCGACTACACACATCCATACACGCACAAAGCGGCAAATCAGAATACTGGCGGCTAACAGAATCCCGAAAAACTCAAAAGCCAACTTTACCGCAAATCGAATCATCCTCAGTAAAACCGGCCGACAAGCCCGAAGGCAAGGCTACTGCAGAGACACCTTCCGATGCGAAGGTACAGACATCTTCAAAACCAGGGTCCAATGTTTTGACGGCATGCGCAATCAACAACGTTGCCCAAAAAAGATCGGCCGCGGACGCAAATCTTGAAGCAAAACCTAGCTCGAAAGCCCAAAAAATATCGCCCACTAATACTGCCAAAGTCGACAAGAAAAAGCGTAATTTAAAAAGGCTTTAATAATACAATTTCTCCTTCTAGGATCAAATCCTCCATCTACTAGTTATGTACAGCCTCTATCCCAGTATAGTTATTTTTTTTTCCTCTTGTTTCCGATACTTAGATATCGCGACTCTATAAAAACTCGCGATGGTTAAACTCACTACATAATGGCGTAGTTACCGTTTCCCCATCCACCACCTGATGTATCCACCACTACCAGGCCCTCTGATATCGTCACTCGGCTTCCTCCTCCCAAGTCCCATGTCTGTGGTTGCCAAGATTGTTGTTGCCACCCTTGTAGTTGCCCGTTCGGCGGAATCATCATGAAGCCTGGAGGTGGACCAGATTGCATCATTGGTTGAAACATAGGGTTCATCATTTGCTGTTGTTGTTGCATTTGCATCTGCATTTGCATTTGCATTTGTTGCTGTTGTCCCATTTGCTGTTGTTCTATTTGCCGCTGTTCCATCTGCTGCTCCATCTGTTGTTCCATTTGTATTTCTTGTTCCTCCTGTTGTTGCATCATCGTGCTAGGACTTCCTTGGATCATGGGAGGTGCACTGATGTCATAATACAGATATATATCATTGAGCGCATTACTGATTCAATACAGACGGTGGCATTATTACCTTCCCATCATCATTTGGGGTGGTGGTGGTTGTTGTTGATCCATTTGTGGAGGACCCATAAACGGCTGAGTTTGATATGGTTGATTGCGACGAAACCGTCTTAGATATGAGTTTTGGTTGCCCATAGGATGAAAGATAGAGTCAAGACTAAAAGCGGGCTTGCAGTTACAGCAGGAAAAAAAGAGTTAAGTCAGAAAGAGAAGTGGTAACGCGGAAGTCTTCATGATCAAGGGCAAAGGAAGAGTATCTGGTGGCGCTGAGAATCAAATGATATGTGTGGTGCCGGAAAAGGATATCCGACAAATCTGTTGTTTTGGTTTACTACCTTAAAAAGCGTGTAAGTCGTAGAAGTATTTGAGAGAACGTTAAAAGTTTTGAATTCGCTTACGCCAGTGTCTACCTTTCAAAGCGCCGATGATAACACTTGAAATCAATAACGAAAAGAGCAGATCCATCGGGTACAATGTGATAGCAACTTACAACACGTAAATTTTTTTCACCGCGCCAAGCGTTCAGTCATAACAAATCACTGTCATGCTGTGTATTTGTCGATTTGCATTCTCACTTCCTAACATTTTGCCTTCCTTGGGCAATAATATGTCTCATCTTCAATGCATTTTCTTGCAGTATGATGTACAATGGCCTTACCAATACGATTGACAGTTCCAGATACACATTACTTGGCCTTCTGGAACCAGAGTAATAACTTGATTTTGACGCCTATGTTGCCTAATTTCATAATAATCTGCCTGCCGTTGTTTAAAAGCAATCACACCATGATCATGTATTGCTTTCAGTGGAGGCTACGCAGACTAATCAACGGAACAGAAGGTTTTGAAAGCAATTCATTTTATTTCTGCATCCACGTTGGCAGGTGTTAGATCTTACATGAAGCCCTGCCCAATTAGTGTTTGAAAAATGTATTACTCCCGCGAAAGCTACCCAATTTGAAGTTTAACTTACAATAACAAGTGTAATATAAAGTACAGAAACATTGTCGTCTGTACTCTCTCGATTATGCAAGGTACAGTGATGAGCAACCCGCTCATACTGGATTTGTAAGTGTGCATGGATACACTGTAAAATTCTAAAGGGTTTAAAGGTTCTAAGCCATGGACAATAAAGCTTTAGCATGCGATACTGTGGTATTCCTAGCAAATCGAAAATTGATGAGTGTGCTAGCTGCTAAGACGATGCCATTGATGCGCTCCATTTCATTGCTATGAGAGATATTTTCCCAGTCACGCAATTTCCACTCTGGCTGACATATACAGTCTGAGTGCTTACAAACTCACACAGCACCATATAAAACCCACTCACAAACCTAACCTGACTCCTCATTATCTCTCCCCGTCCAAACCGACAAATGGCCAAACTTGCAGAAACTCCTTTCCCTACCTCATTTCCAGAACCTACGTTCTCCTACGACGTTCATATCTACTTCAATGAAAAAGATGAGAAGGATGTTCAGTCTGCTTCCGAATTACGAGAAGAAATTATTCAAAAGTTTGGCCACCTCGAAGATCTTCGAGTCTACAAGCTACACACCAAGCCGATAGGTGGGAAGAAATGAGAAATGGGTCATTTACTTGACGATGCATTGACGTTTTGTTTTGTCTAGGTCCTCACCCTACTGGTATGTTCGAGTGTGATCTGCGACAACCCGCAACATTTGCTACGTAAGCGAAATACTTCTTCGACTTGCCAAACATGTAGCTGTGAAGTTATGCTTATACTTTGAAATAGGATTGTTCCATGGATTCAGCTTTACCGAAGAGGTCATAGGTAAAGTATTTTCAGAGCGATATTGGTAACAAATGGGTTTGAAATGAAGGTAATTAATTGGTAAACAGTGTGTTAGTTCATCCACGTCATGACGATGCTCTCAAGGAGCACACCACCGATGCCATCTGGATTGGAGAAAAGCAGCCATTGTTGCTCGATACTTTGAAGAGTGTGTAGAGTCTTGTTAATATGCTATTATATTATTTGTAAAAACTGCAAGTTGCCCTATGAACTATTTTATATGTCTTTTTCAGAAATTTGCGTATGTTTATTTTTACTGGTACTTGTATTGAGATGCGAAATGCGATCGCTTTCGAGAGGAATTGCGAATGAGAGCATTGGTGCTGAAGACTTCCTTCACATCATAGAGACCATCGGTGTTTGAAATACCTGCGGTCTGAAAGGCACTCAGAGGGTGTGTTGCAAAGAGACGTCGAAGACCCCTGAACAAGCTCGCATAGGCAGCGCCAGGCAGCGGTGAACCCAGAGATATATATACTAAGAACCAAAGAATATTTATTTCGTCTTCTCGCCAGTATATGTCAGGAGCTGATCCGGGATCAGATTTTGTGTATGCTTGCAGCTTTTGGTCAGCTTGATGTTGTTCTGAGGTCCGTTGATATACGCTATCATAAGTACACCCCGGCGTATCTTACTTTTATTTTATTTTTTATTTCTATTTTGAATGTGAACGTGAATAGAAACCGAACTAACAACTCAACAAACGTGGAAAAAAACGACTGTAGAGGAATATGTAGTCATAGGCAATGGATATCAGATGGTCATGGACTGGTTGGCGACGACCTGTAAGACAAGCTCATCATTATATCAAATGGTCCCTTTCATTTTACTAAAATCCTTCCAGCACCATCGCGTATAATCGTGTGTCTCCTTTCTCAATTTCGATCTGCCGTGATGAAACTTGCCTCCATTCACTGAATAACGAATACGATTTGCTCTACGCCTTATCATCACCACCCCACTTACTTGGCTACTGTCTTCTCTACGTGCCAAATTATCATTCTCTGTCTGATTGCAAAACTCTGCAACGTGAAGCACACTTCGTTCTTGGTGTCGATGCAGAAAAATGTTGAAAATATAAAGTACGATGCGTTCCAAGCTATACGGGACTGTTATTTTAACACCAGATCTCGATCTTAACCAATCGTGTCTGAACCATGTCTAATACCGTTGACGAGTTTCGGAAAGCAGGATGGAATGTGACAGAGGAGGGTGTGACCTTATTGAAGGAGTGGACAGAAGTAGAAAGCCCTACCTTTGATGATTGTCTTTCTGTAGCTTTAAACGTGAGTCTCGTTTTCTCCTTGAGATTCTTCACGAGGACACTGCTAACGTACTCCAACTTAGAGCGATATGCGTCAGTTCTGTAAAGGCGAAATCGGAAAGGAAATGCCTCAAGTGATTGCGGCGCCTCTAATTTTACAGCTACAGGAAGTAGTGAACATTGCAACGCCGATGCAACATCAGCTGGAACATCCTCGCTTGTTACGCGCAACATTCACCGACGGTGGAAAGAAGAAAATAAAAGGCGTTGAAATGCGTGGCAAAGTAGACGGACTAAAGTAGGCTTTAACACTGTGAAACTGCTTATAATCTTGCCAAAGCTAATACATGTTTTGTTACACCTCACTTGTTAGATTAAGCACACCTCCCGGTACCAAGTTCATTGTGTCAAGTGATATCATAGTTGAGGAAGACCTGTTGATGTTGGGACCTGGCGTACTCAAGAACATTGGTGGGCACGTAGAAGCCATGGTAAATGAATGGAAGGCCAGTAAGGTGAGCAATCTTCATTGGATGAATGCAGGGACCCAAGGCACAATCTAATGGAACCATGCGCTATAGCAATTTATTATGAGATCAGCGGGTAGCAAAACGAAGAATAGTTCAGAAACCGACAAAGAGGACGATAGTCGGCCACCACCATTCGTTCCGTATAAAGTAACAAATGCTGTAAGTTTGCCAAATTTACAGGTAATGAAAGTAGGCGTGGCAACTTACCTTGAGCTTTGCTATTTAGACTGCAAAACCAGTGATGGCATCAGTTTCTAAAGACAAGAAAAAGGATGGCGATCACAAGAAGGAGTCGAACAGAGAAAAGGGAAGTAACCTGGATAAATCTAACCGACCAGACATGAAGATATCGTCTGAACCGAAGGAATTCAAGAAGGGGAAAAAGGACGTTAAAAGTAAAGAATCAGATCAGCAATCGGGCCAGTCAAAGAACAAGAAGAATCCCAGTAAAGGTTCGCAGCCCAAGGGCAACATCGCCAATGCGGATCATGCTAATCAGACAGAGGTGCAAAGAAAGGAGAAGAAAGGCGGCAAAAATGCGCCAAACCCGAAAAATAGGGACATACCTACGTCAGATCAAAAGCCGAAGAATGAGTCTACCAAGGCGACCAAGTCCATCGAGGGTCCTATAAATGCTAGTGAGGAGCCGAAGCAGGTAGAGGCAGCTAGCAAGGCTAAGAACACACAGAGTAAAAAGAAAAATGGAAAGGCGAAGGACCTTTCATCAGCAGTGGACGAATCAAACAAAAGCGAGACCAACAGTATACAGGCTACCAAACCTGCCAAACCAAAGCGACCAGAACAGCAGTATTATCAGCCAAAGCCTCGAGCTGCTACCGAGGATATATCCAATGTTATCAAAAAGGATACTGCGCAAAGAGCCGACAAGGATAATCGAATGGGCCAGCTTCCGACGTTACCAGCTGACCTATCAAATGGGCCTGCATTCAATGAACAGCATGCTCACCAAAATGAGAATATTCCCGAAATACGTTCAAGTGACCGCGGTCGAGGACGAGGGCGCGGTCGAGGACATTCCAATCGAGGACGTGGTCGCGGATCCCACGGCCGTGGAGGCGGCAATAATAACGCTGGCAGCCAGCCGACTCAACCTCCTTCATGATGGATGTAGATTGGTATTTGCAAGATAGGACACGTAATATAAAAGCTCGCTTTTATCTAGAATCTTCAAAAGAGTTTATGTTCATAATTGGCAAATATTTTTGGGGAAGGAAGAGGCAGTTTTCTGCAGTTTGTTTTATTGTGTACTTTTGTTGTACTATTATTTTTTGGGGATGGGAGGGGAGAGGGTGTAGATTTCTAGGCTGCGTATTTTCAAAAAAAAAAAAAGTTGAAATGAAAGATCTCTCTAATTGAAGGTGCATAAGGTTGCAAAGTGTAGAGGTTTGGGGGGTGCATAGTAAAAGGAAAAAAGGATCTTCCAAAACTGAAGAATGGAAATTGAAAAGAGCAGCAGCTAAGGTTTTGTACAAAGTTTTATGGTGACATCAAAGGATGATTTAGCCCTTTGACTTTTGAATAAACGACTGTAGGAGACTTAGGTAAGTAGCTGTGCGTGTGATTTGGTTCAAAGACCTAGGATTTCTGTACTGTACCTGGAAATACTTTTTAAAGTCGCGAAGGTCGAGTTGTTGAATGGCTTGACAGTATTCTTCTGAAATAGCTGGAGGGCATTGAATTGAGGGGAAGAATACGTTTCGGATGTACTCCACATACTCCACACTCTGCTTGGTATACATCGTCTTCTGGATGCCACTGATTTCACCAAATACCTGGGGTAGAGGGGTCAGTAAATGAAACAAATGGCTGCAATATATATAGTTCAAGAACTTACTAATAGCGCTTGGCCATCACCAATATTGAAAGATACATTCATTGGGACTTCAAAGCAAACTGGTAGAACGCTTTCATATATGTACTGGCTGAAGCCTACTACTGGTGTAGTAGTGCTGTTCTGAGCTTCTGGAGAGGCTGAAGGGATCCAAGAATTGATCATCTTAAGGAAAATACCAAAGCCCATCTTCTGTGTGCTCGTGTCACTGTTGTCTTTTGCAAAATGAAGGATAGTTTGCAAGATCATGTTGAGATGAGGGAAATTTGTGTCGCTAACCAATACTCCTTCGAGTTCATAGTTGAACAAATTCGTAATGAAGGTTAAATAGGCTTTTCGTAGATCCGACAAAAGTAATGCTTCGTCTGTTCCAGAAGGCGAAGTATTCAAAAAATCAAATACCCGCTTAACCAAAGGAAGCAGGAGTTCGTCCAATACATTGAAAATCATAGGCTTGAACTTATGAGCAATCAAAGAAATGAATGGCAAGAAGTCAACTAATTCGTTCACAAGGCACTCATTCAATAGCGAATTGATCAGGGCTGGAAGATATGGAAGCATTTCTCCTCCGAGGCAGCCAATAAGTCGCCCGGATGCAAATCTTGCCGCATCGCGAATGACAGCGAAACGGTTGAGAGCCTGAAGTACATTCAAAATAATTTCGTTGGCTTGCATGAAGACAGGCACCCATTGTCGATTGCAGGTACCACCTTTAGGAACATCAGGGAAGCCTAAATAGAAACAACATGAATTAGCCAGCGCACTACAAAACGTCTTGCATGGCAATGGATAACTACAAACCTTTTGCAACTGCTCCAATCGCCTGGATATAGTGATGTAGCTGTAGAGTAAAGAGCTCGTCTTCTGGATTATAGCGCTCGGCAGACATGCTGCTTTGAATGCCTTTCACCAACGGGTTGAGCACGATTTCAAGATACTCTTGTTGCTTCGCATCGGGAACACTTTCTAATGATATCAAAACACCAACTGTTTCAAAGAGATATTGCTGACTATCAAAAGTGGAAGCGGCAGGAATCTTTCCTCCATCAGAGGTATTGGTTTCAACTGGTATTTCCGCTTCGATCACCAACAAATCACCCATGGATGACAACACTTCTTCCACAAAATTATTCATCTTTGGAGACAAGCCCTTGACGTATCTATGGAACAGGTACCAACATCTGGATCGCACTTGTTTCAAAGGATGATGAAGTCCACGAGCGTCAACGAAGGCGGCCAAGACTTGAGGTATACCTTCCGGGCGAACTTCAAAGAACTGATAATAGCGAACTGCATTTTCAAAGAATTGAAGAGGAACGGAAGGATGCGGGTATGACGAGACACCTTTGAAAAAAAAAGGTGAGTTGATGGTTATCATAAGCGACAAAAGAACGCCACACTTAAAACAAGTTAACCTACCTGATGTAACCATTCTGGACACCAGCTCACCAAGAGGGGTAAGATTACGGTCATTTTGACGGTCGACAAATACCATGACACTTTTTCCCAACGATTCGCCAAACAAGTACAATGTGTATAGACATAATTCCACTTCACGCCAATCCAAGCTAGCGCCAGCCTCATACTTTTCTAAGGTACCAAGGACCATTGATCGGATGTACCCTACATAGAGGTCTTCATTGATGGTGGCGATGGAGTCAGCAAATACCTTGAGATTCTAGAAAGGAAATGAAGCAAGTCATTGTTAGGTTACATGGCAAAGTATAGAAGATCTCGAAGGCAAAGGATCCAACCTTTCTCATTTCCATAAATAGGGCTTCATCTTCAGGTTCTTCGCTTTCGTCAGACCACTCCGTATCCTCATCGTACTTCATCTTCATCATAATAACGCCAAGCAGTGACAGCAGAAAGTCCCACTGAGACTGAATGAACGGAATCCTTGCTTTCTTCTGCTTCTTATACTAAAAGACATATTTGAACAGTATTAAGCACAATGCAAATCTAAAGATAGTCAAATAAAAAGACTACTTACCAAAGACAAAGTGTCGTTGACGAAATTTAAGACGGCGCAAGATGAATCGTCATCTTCATCACCAAGGAATTTGAGTAAGAATGGCCATGTCTTTTCAATCAAAGCGTATGCAGCAGCTGTAACGAAACGATGAGATCGATTAGAACCTAAAACTTATGATTGGCTATAGAGAATTTCCATGACTCACTCTTTGCTTCTGCTGGTAGAGCATTTTCTGCGTAAATTTGACAAAGTTCGCAACCCAAGACGTTGATAAGTTTTGCAACATGTTCGCCAAAATCGGCATCGGACTGTACAAATGGGGAAAGCCACGTTGTGTGAATTGAGAGCATGTGAGGTGAGTAGAACAAAAACTAACAACATACCAGATCTAATTGATTCAAAGTATCGGTGATATTAAGCATTTGTATTAAGCTCAGCTTGTCGAGCGGCTTCATGCCCTTCGATACAACCTGCAAAGAATGTCAAACCGTTTTGAGTACCGTCGAGTATGAGCCCGAATGTCATTATCAAGCCGATATTCTTACCTCAGCCAAGCATTCGCAAGCAGCAATACGCAACTGCTCCTCTCCTAGCATCTGATACAAGGCAGTCATAACTTGATCGTTGACGACAAGTGATATATCCATCCACGCAACATAACTGCCAATGACTCCGAGCGCCAATTCAGCAATTCCGGCATCTCGGGTTCGATATTCTTGCAGAACTTCAAACCATTTTGCAGCCAATTTGGGAATATCTCGTTCTCGCATAGCATCTTTGAGCAACGTATTGCGATTGACTTGATCACGACTACGCTGAATGTCTTGTCTAGCGATTTCCTCATCAACTGAAAGGGACACTCGAAGGAAAAAATCGGTTGCTTTAGCATTGGTTGGAGATTTGCTGGGAGTTTCCGTCAAGGCAATAAGCTCATCAAAAAATGTAGGCCATATCGTGGGATATACATTGCTGAAGAGCAGCGTTAAAATTTGAGCGGCCTTGTTACGCAAGACTGTATTAAATACCCAAAATGACGACGGTTAAAACTTTTCGTCAAACAGATAAATTCCCTGGCCATTCAGTCTGAATAAAAAAACTTACATGGTACTTCCGGCTCGCTTGTATTAGACACACCATATTCTCGAGCAACGTATTCCATTAAGGTTTGTCGGATGTATTCCACAGCAGCTTGATCTAGTGAATCAAATCTATTGCACATAAAGTATAAGTCTCAGTTGTCATTAAGTTTTACTCTTCAATAATGCACATACCTGGTTTGAAAGGTGAGTTCCAGCACCTGAAGAGCAAAGAAACGGGCTTGTGGGATGCTATAATCGTGGAGTGAATAACGTGCTACAGTGAGACACACCAGTTCATTACATTGATGAACTTACGCCTTGGGTTCTTTAACAAAAAGGGAGAGGCACATTTGCCAGCCGTCAGGAGAGTCCTTGATTTGCTCGCAATACGTATTTGCCTGCAAAATAAGACATAAATTAGACGCAAACTTCGTACCATTATATGATATAGCGATTCAAATGAGGGTAAGGCGTTGATGGGGGTTTGGTGGCTGATCATGGTGGGACGCAGTGATGTTCATCTTTGGAGCTTGCGTTACGATTGTGACTCAATGATGCCGCAGACATCTTTGCATTGAATTGGGCGATCATCGTTACGTGCACTAAGACTGGATCTTTTTCGCTTTCAATGCTAACTATGGCGAGAACTGCTGTGTCTACAATGATCGAGATTGTGTTGCAAATGACATTATGTTGAGGATTACTTGCCTGCAGCTTCAGGGCTGGATCCACATTGGGGCTGAGAGCACAAAGAACGGCTTGCTCAATCTGGTCCATGAGTTGTATTGCAAATTACTATTCAATTTACGCTAATTACTATAGTTTGAACGTTGATGGACAGGAATAAATGCTTGCAATCAATAGATTTCAAGGCCGAATTCCTTGTCAGCGAGTCGACAAAAAAAAAAAAAAAAAATTTGGTGCAGCCAAGAACACGTCCTCAGACCAAAATATTTGGTTGTTTATCTCATAAAAACGTCTTCACACCATACACTTCTCTAATAAAAATCCACTGAACGCAATGGTAAACCCAATTCATAGTTTATGAAATTCATATAAAAATACACTCAAAATGTATTTATTTATAATTCCCAAGGTGAGTTAGCCAATCCTCCACTCAAGAGTTCAATGCCATTCTTCGTCATGACAACAATATCTTCCAGTCGAATACCAAATTGATGGGGTACATAAATACCAGGTTCAACACTGAAGGTCATGCCAGACTTGAGTGACTGCTGAGTGTTACTTTGCACCATGTAGGGCTGTTCATGACCTTCCAAACCGATGCCATGGCCAAGTCTATGCTTGAAGTAATCGCCATAACTTGCTTTATCGATGATTTGTCGGGCAATTGTATCCACTTCAGCACATGGAAGATTTAAGGTAGCTTTTTCTATGACAGCGGACTGGGCTGCCTTGACAGTATGCCATGCTTCATATATCGTTGCGTTGAACTCCTTCGGGTTCTCCGAAACAAAGAATGTACGAGTGATGTCCGATTCGTATCCTTAAAAGATCTTAGATTACTGTGACAAACAATGGCATACTCTAAGCAACTTTTCTTACCTTTTAGCCTGCCTCCGGCATCAATGAGTACAACACCTTCATCTCCAAGCTTATGATCACCGGCTTCACCGTGAGGAAGAGCAGCACGTTCGTTAATCAAAGCCAACACCCAGGTCTCTGTCAGACCAGCAGTTTGCAAGGCCTTGTGGGTCATACTAGCGATTTCATTTTCGCTGATCCCTTTGCCAACATGCTTCTTGACCTCCTTAATAGCAGCAACAGTAGCGTGGTTAGCGCATCGCATGATCTCCACTTCTTCGTGAGACTTGATCATGCGCAAAACTTGCACTTCAGGCGAGGCCATAATCGTGCGACCAGGAGTCAGCTTGCTGATACCTTCCGCAAGGAAGAGACGAATGGCAATATCCAACTGAATTTCGCCTTCGGGAGATAAAACGGAACCGATTTTCTCATAGGGAGAAGCACTTTCTTCCCACTCTACAACTTTGATATTGAGAGATCTTGGAAGAGCAGCCTTCTCGATGTTCTCGTGGGCTCGAAGTGCTTCGAATGCGGGGACCACAAAAGTCAAGCTTACGCCGGTTTTGGATGAGTTATCTGGCTTCAACACCATGACAAAGGGTCGTTCGCTCAAGGCCCAGTCTACATTGGTGTAATACTTCATGGTCGCACCACTTTCTGCGATCAGAGCCGATGCATTGTTAGCCGCCAGAGTGCGTGCTAGTTCCTGCTGTCTCTCTAGGTATTGAATAGCTGGTACTTCAGCCACTTGATCGCAGAATCCTAGCAAACTTGGAAATTCTGGAGAGCCTACTTGGATCTTTGGTGCGCGAATAAAGAATACTCCAATTGCGGCGGCGACCACACCGATAAGAGCGAGTATCTTCACCTAAAAGTGCTCGGGGTTAAAACCAGTACTAAATGAGCATAATGCCTTACAAGGATCAAACCTACGGCATACTCTACTCTTCTTCTGTTATTATCTCGAATACTTGACTCGGATCCGAGCAAAGGACTATCTTCGCCAGCCATTCTTAGTTATCAAAATGGCAGAGAAGTGCTAGTATCGAACGAGTTTCATTGCCCTTGAAAAGTCCGAAATTATGGCACGTGATTTATCAATTCAAGAAAAAATGAGCGTGTCTGGACGCGCTCGTAGTAAAGACCAACCCCAAACCAAACACGAACATGAGCTTGTGGGCAGACAAGTACCGACCACAAAGCCTTGACAAGCTGACCTATCATAATGATCTTTCTGCTCATTTGAAAAAGATGGTAAGATCTTCAATTCAAGACATTAGCTCGGTCCAACCTCAACCTGCGACTAACATTTCCCGGTAAAAAGGCTCATTCAGGTGACTTCCCGCATATGCTCTTCTATGGTCCTCCCGGAGCAGGCAAGAAGACAAGAATTGCTGCTGTTTTGAGAGAGATTTATGGCCCAGGCGTTGAAAGAGTTTGTATTTCGAAACAAAGTATGTAGCATTAGCTATTAACGTCCATATCGACTAATGTCTTTTTGTTATAGCTTAAAGTCGATCAACGACAATTTGTCACACCATCCAACCGCAAATTAGATCTCAATATTGTTTCTAGCAACTATCATATGGAATTGAACCCAAGGTCAGTTTGAAAGAAGGATTTTTGTAATAAGGACGCTTTGACGCGAATGAATTTCCACATCCATGTGGCTAATACATTCCTTACTTGCAGTGATGTTGGCATGTACGATCGCGCCGTAGTTCAAGATCTCATCAAGGAAGTAGCACAGACGCAACAAATTGACGCAAATGCTAAGCATCGATTCAAAATTATTGTCATAAACGAAGCTGATGAGTTGTCCAGAGAAGCGCAAGCTGGTCTGCGTCGTACCATGGAGAAATACATGACCAATCTTAGAATCATTCTGTGCTGCAACAGTACTAGCAAAATCATCAGCCCAATCCGTTCCAGATGCCTTCTTGTCCGTGTTGCCCGCCCAAGCGAAGGAGAAATTGACGATGCCATGCAAGCTGTTGCGAAAAAGGAGAACTTTTCACTACCACATGAACTGTGCGTGAAGATAGCTGATGATTCTGACCGAAATCTTCGTAAAGCGCTTTTGACCTTGGAAGCTACGAAAGTTCAAGAGTAGGTACTACGATAGATGTGAACCAACGTGGAATGCCATACTAACCCGATCGCTGTAGACCGAACCTGGCTCAGGTACAGAAGATCGTCAAGACAGACTGGGAAATTGAAATCGGCAATATTGCCGACCTGATAATAGCCGAACAAAATCCAAATAGGTAAAGCATATCGTACTAGGAATAAGGGAGAAATGACTGGAAAGTAGTGTCTAACTCTCGCAATTTTAACTGTCACAGAGTGCTACTTGTGCGAACACGCATGTATGAGCTCATCAGCCGATGCATACCCTCTAGTCTCATTATTAAAGTAAGTGGAAACCATGGGACACTTCTTTTGAACGTTTAACACAGAACGCGGTAATTGACCTTTGCCATACAGAACCTCGCGTTCGATCTGGCTAACAAGGTAGACCGACGGTTACGAAGTGGAATCATCGAACACGCTGCTATTTATGTAAGTTCTGACCACTGGATATGAATCTTCTGACCTTCAAACGAATTCTGACATTGGCACACAGGAGCACCGTTTGAGAACCGGCAATAAGGATATATTTCATCTGGAGGCATTTGTTGCTCGGGTGATGAGTTTGATCAAAAGGTATAGAACGCACAGGATTCAACAAATTGAAATGTATGTTTCTTCGATAATAACGTATTCATAAATTTACAGACATCAAATGGAAAAGAACTCATGAAAAACTGTAGTATAATATTCATTTACAAATACAAGACCAAAAATAAAACCTGGTATTACACTAACAACAGATTGGTTTGCACACCTTTGCTGACCTTGTCCCACCGGCGCATTTCTTCGTCTCGACGCATATCTCTGACCGTCGCTTCAAGACGTTTCCGTTCCAAAACTTCACGCATAAGCACTTCATGATGCTCTGATTTCATCTCATTCGTGAGTTTTCGGAACTCCTTTCTCAAAGAGGCCGTGGTGCCGCTCTCATTTCCTTGCTCGGCAACACCCATAGCCTTGATTTTATAGTCTGCGAGATCGAACTCTAATCTGTGCGCATGTTCTTGTAGTTCGTTATAGCGACGTTCGTGACCATGTCGTTCACTCTCGAGGTTCATGAGGTTTCCTGTGATGCGCTCGTACTCCTTCATGATACCCTCGAAGTCATCTTCCAGGCGCTCCGATCTCTTGTACATAGCTTCTTCCATCTGAGAGAATTGCTTTTGCGCGCTTTCAAATCGTGATTGCAGTGCTTGCAATTGATCTTGCGTGATGTTGAGTTCAGCTTCCATAGTTGTATTTTCCATGCGAAGCTGGCTCAATTCGTCCATCATAGCTGAATTGGCACCTCTGTTATCAGAAGTTTGAGCTTCTACCAGTCGAACCTTGACTTCGGCGAGCTCCATCTCAAGGCGACTGATTGTGCCTTCTTTACTGTCCAAAGTGCGAATCTTGTCTCGAACAAGGTCTTCCAGATCTTGAGACATCGCAGCAAGTTTTTGCTTTTCGCTATCCAAAGCATCCTTTTCGCGAAGTGTCTTCTCCAAAAGAGCAGATTGCTCTTTCAGCTGAGCCTCATATTCTTCAGCTTGTTCTTGCATCATTTGTTCGTACTGTGCCTTCAGACTATCACCACCGCCATGAACAACTTGCAGGACAGAGTCTCTGCGCATAGTCTTTTCCCACTTCTCTTTTTGCTCACGAAGGTCGAATGCCTCTGCTCTGAATTGTTGAAGTTCCATTTGCAGGGATCGCTCTCTAGCACTGGCTGCCGTGGCGACCGAGTTGGATGTATTTGACTTGACCTCCATCTCTGACATCTTGGTGCGTAATCTTTGTGACTCTTGAAGGAGAGTAGCCTTTTCGCGTTCAAGTAGCTCTTCATGAATTCTGCTCTCAGACAGCGATTTTTCGAGTGCATTCAGTTCCGAATTCAACTTGTCAGCATTAGATTTGATATCTCGAATGCGATCTTTGCATTCATCGATGTTGGTGGTATCTTCAGACGTTGGTTCGAAATCCATGATCTCAAATATTAGAGCAGATTGAGCTACTCTTAGCTCTTCGATTGTTCCACGAGCATCTGTCAAACTGCTTTCAAGTTCGGCTTCACGTTCTCTTTGATGGCGCTCTAACTTCTCCACCTCGGCGGAGAGTTTTAACAACTCTTCGCTAGAAGCACCACCGCTTTGCTCCGCCTCACGCTTCATATTTTCCAAGAGTTGGATTTTTTCACCAAGCTCCTTGCATTTGGTCTCGGCATTGTTTCTCGCCTGCTGCTCCGTATCTAACTTCAACCGCAGAGCCTCATAGCTTGCTTGATCGGGTCGAGATTCATAGCTCTTGATAGCATGAAGACTCTCATTCTTTTGCTGCTCCATTTCTTCCAGTTCCACCTCAAGTCGGGTGGACTTCTGGCGATAATCAACCAAACGGTCTTCCAAAGTCGATATCATTTTTTCGAGTTGCAGAGATATGGTTGCAGTGTCCTTGGGCTGACCATCGGCAGAATGTGAGTCGTCGTCGTCTTCAAGCCTACTATTGGGGTCAGAGGCGGATAATAAACTCTCTCGCCGTATAATGAAATCGAGTCTATTGCTGACTTGTTCAAGTTCTGATCGAAGTTCTGAGATAGATCGCTCCCGCTGTTCAATGACGGCTTCTGCCGATTCGTCCATGGTCTGCGCTCTGAGTTGCATCCTCAATCGCTCTATTTCTCGATCCCTATCTGCAATAGTCGCCTCTCGCTCCTGAACCTTTCGAGTCATAACAGCCAACTCTTGATTCATCTGCTGCTGATCTGGTTGCTGCTTTTGGGACAATTGAGCTTCAAGCCGCTTGATACCTATGCTTAGAGCACCAGCCATATGCTCCAGGAGTTTGCGTTGAGTACTGGATCCAGATTGAGTAAGGTTGAACAGTTCAGATGCGACATGGTCAACCTGACGATTTGCTGCAGCAAGTTGAGTCTGTGCCTCTTGTGCCATCTTTCGGTTAGAAGAATGAAGATGAGTGAGGGACTGGGCTGCTTCTCTCATTTTCGATTCCAAAGTTAGGCGTGTGGTGACATTCGCTATTCTTGACGTAAGACTAACATGATCCTACGATAGAGAGTTATTATGAGGATACCACAGCAAAAAGGGTAAAACGAACTGTATTTTCATCCATACTACCTTCTTCAACTCTTCGACTTGCTCAAGCGTCAAAATCTCGAAATCTTTTGAATCTATGACAGATTGCTGTACAAGTAGCTGTATTAAATAGTCTTCTGTCGAATCCAAAGCTGGTTGTAGTGGACCATCGTCCTCCTTCATGACGGTTTCACGCATCGATTTCCATAGAGGTGGGATGTCTAGTGATGATCTCTCTTGTCCCGCCCTTGTAGGTGAATATGAATCCTTTTCTAAGGGTACTGGTGACAATGGCTTGTCTCTCTCATAGTCCAGGCTTGCTCGGCTGCGAGAAGGAGGGGCGATGGGTAGGTTGTGATCACCTCCAAGCGAAGGCTCAATGACAGTAGCATAAGAGAAGCCAATCTGCGATGCTGTACTGGAATCTCGAGGAATAATGGGACCTAATGAGCTAGGAGGAGGCCGTCTTGTAGTATTGCTTCGAGGATCGCCCGAGAGCGGGAAAGTACCTCTAGTTGGAGAGATCTGAGATCGGCTCGACGTCAGCGGCCGAGGACCAGAACCGGATGTCTCTAGTCTAGAGAACGGTGGATTCATATATCTGCAATTACGTAGGTAGTGTAATGTAAAAAAGGATTTATTTTAAATGTCTAGTATGCTACAGCCGCTCTGATCTTATATCGGTTGTTAAACGTAGCGGCTCTGAATGTCACGTTATGAAAACGGCGCACGGCACGCCAAGCGTCCGATTCTGATGGAAATCTAATAAAAAACTTGCTGACCAGTGCTTGTTGTTTACTAAAATAAAGAAAACAAATACATCAATGCTTGTTCGCAGCATCATATCAATTTCAACTGTTGAAAGCTTACGTTTGCACTTGAATAATGGCATTTTCTTCATCATCTTCGGGATAGTAACCCTTTGAGTGTAGCCATTTTGACACATGAAACGTCTTGGTCTGCTGAGGGAACCCACTTAGAATAACCGTGCGTCCTGCTGAGGAGGTTCCGTTGCTGGAGAACATTTCCGACTTTCGAAAGCTGTGCAATACGTCGTATGGATTTGATCCCTTGGTGTCCATCTGACACAAAAATTTTACCCAAAAATAAGCATCTCATATACTACACACTGGCTAGCCATTCCAAAAATAACTCCCAGATCAATTCTGCTCACCTTGTTCATGTTGATTTGATTGCCTCCAACCACGGCGCGGTCGTTAAACAATTGAAAATGTCGAGCTTCGGCGGCATTCTGGAAGAGTACGAGAACTCGGCCGTGAAATTGCAGTTCCTGGCTGCGAACAAATAAAACTTTGGTTGTAATGGGTAAGTGCTAGGTTCCGTACTGATATACATTCGACCGAAAACTCACTTTCTTGTATGACGCTGTCAACATCGTGGAAAGCTAACCGAGCCAATCGTAATATATCCTCCTTTGTTACTGTGTTTGGCAAATTCTGTATAGATAGAAGTCGTGACGCTGCTTCTCTTGGGATGGTCACATCAGCGTTGGGTAAGGGTTTAAAGTTTTCAACAGCTTCTGCCTTTGACTTTTGTGACAGGCTAGGTGAGTTCATGTCGACCTTTTGCTGCTCCAGCATCATGGCAGTACTCCTGAATGCTGCTTGTTGAACCTTGAATAACTGAGGAACAGCTCGGTATGTAGCTGGCCGCTGAAGGAGACGCCTTATGGACAACATTTCGAAATGTTTTTGTCGTTCACGATTGCCTAAGGGCCAGGTTTTAAAAATTGTGCTTTCACTCAAAAAAAACAAAAAAAGCAAGTACCGTCGGACTTTCAGCCAATTTGCTGGCAGGGCTGGTAAGGTTGATACGTCAAGTCAACTAACGGCAAAAAAAAGACAGTACATTTCATATAGGAAAGAAAATGCGCTACACAATTTTTTGAATGTTCTATTGCATCTCTACTTACTCTCTATGGTAGTGAATATTACTGCATATTGCGACAGTGTGACAGAATGTGGCTAAGTTTTTTATCGCTGCCGTTTGCAACATAGTAAAAAAACATATTATGCTTTTTGCAAAATAGTAGTAACCATAATTCAATGATCTAATATCGCTAAAGCGGGTTAATATACGATGTCTATGGCGCAGTGGATAGCTTCCAACCCCTCGGAAAGTTGAATGTATATCCAATCATATGCAATGAAGTGAACTCATAGTGCCAAAAATCACCCGAACGCTCACACGTTAGAAAACGGGATATTGTACCAGCGCTGTCGGAAGGCTAAATGGCTTGCCGATATTTTCTCCTTACGATTGCTCGGATGGTGATACCTTCTTCCATTCTAAGAGAACAGACCTCTTCTGAAAGAGTGATTACCAAACGATAGTAGTGTTTTATAGATGACCTATTTCACGCATGACAGATCCGTTGGGCATACCACTCCAAGTTTGTTTGATAGAGGAGTGTCAAAAATTTTAGTTTTGTGAAAACATGACGTTGATTGCACTACGATTTTCAGATCACCCAATACCTCTACCGTCAGATCATGTATGCTTGCAGGCAGGCAAAGAGGAGCAATCTCCTTGAAAGTTTGGATAGCTCACAGGTATTCATCCACAGCTTGTTTCTAATTTTTCTGCAGCCCCACGCCCAACAAATAATGCAGGTTGATCCCAACACAAATCCAATCAGGGTGCATTGTCGGGCTTCCGATATGGCAAAAAGTATATAAACCGATGAACTCTACCAAAAAAACTTCTTATCTCAATTACACTACTTACTATGGCATTCAACATCTTTCATCACAAAAAGCACTCTCGGCCCTCCTCTCCACAGGTTGATCTCGAGGAAAAGCCGGACCACCATACTGCTTCTACGCACCCGGGAACTCACAGTCCACTGAAAGGTGGTGACGCGGTTCATAGCGGCCCTCCCAGCAGAAGCCAGAGCCCAGCGCTAACCAAGTTCCTCGCTGACCCAATGCGAAGCAGCCCTAAGCCTGAACACATTGGCGGATTTGAAGATCCCATGGGTGGCTCTATCAACCAAACTGGTGAGCGGGATCCTATGAGCACTGGTGCATAAGCCTTGCCGAAACATCATGGTCCATCGGCCAACCTATTTCTACGTTGATTAAATATATATTTTGACTCAAGCATCATATAGCTCGTATTTTATATGTTACCCCGCAAATGCTAATACATGTTAAACCTGATATTGGAGATGGTTGGATTCTTCTGAATGGGGTAAATACCAATGAGTAGTTCATACTGGTGAATGCGAAGGGTTATTTATGAATTTGTGAGTGTTGATGACAAAATCTTGTGACGCAACAGAAACGTAACGAGCTGTAGACTGCCTCAAGGATAATGAAGGACTCTGCATAGTTTTTCCAAGCTTGACGATCAGATCTATTCAGCAGCTTCACAGGTCTGCAAATAGGCAAAGTCTGTCAGCCAGTCCTCTGATATGCAATCAAGTGCCTTATGCTCAAATTGGCGTTTGCCAAAACACTTTGCTACCGTCAATGATGGTGATTTTCTAGCATACATTACACTGTTAAACCAAATGTCTGCATGAAACTGGAATTGATAGAGTTATTTAGGAAACTTTCACAATCATAATGCGATGTGTTCTAACAATATGCATACATTTTGCAACGAATATCATTATCATGATTTCAGTGTTGCCATTTTACGGGAAGCTACTCTGTTAAAACACGGACCACGTCGTACATAATTAAAGGGTTTATTCAATGTCTACGTAGGCTTTGTGGATTGAGAAATAGTGAAAAGATGAATCAAAACTGCTGGTTGTTCAAATCCGATAAATTGAGAGCCATCATCACATTGGAACCAGTTGAGTGATTCAAAACAAAAAATTCTGCCCTTCGTGGACAAACGGGACATACCGCTTGACGTCTGTTGGAATTCAAGTTGACCACCCATGTCAGAACCAGATCCATGGGACGACTGGGAGACTGCCGCCGACGCACAAGTATGTTTCTCTTCCTATAAGCTAGAAATCCTATGCGTCAAACGCAGATGCTAACAATTTTGCAGCTCAACGATTACCATCCACCACCGCCAAATGATGATCACGAAAAGAATAAGAAATTATGGACGGAGGCGTAAGTATTGCAACCTTCTCTCGCTATTATGAGACTTTCTATTGATAGCTCGGTCGTTAGCAATGCCTTTACTGTGCCGCAAATAATCAGACAAGACACGGTCAAAACCACATATACACCAGAGGTACTTCAAGATTTCCCCCATAGCTTGGCGATTTGCGCTCTATTTCCTTAACCTCACTCATATTAGATTAAAATTCTCAAAAGACCAACCAATCCGGGATCTACAACTATGACTCCACCTTCAGCGATGGCCCAAAAGGATGTTAAATCGCTTGAAGAAAGGGAAGCATCCTACGAGGCTGCCAGACGAAAGATTTTTGGAGACGATACTCAAAGTCGTAATGCCCAAACAACTCAGAAGCGACTTGATGCTAGCCGTCGGTCAGAGTCACCACGGCCAATTGCTAGCCACGTTCGACAACCAATAGCCCCATCGAGCGAAAATGCTCGAGGTTTTGGAAGCCAATCATCGCGACCACCGAAGAGGTCATGAATAGACTGGCTGATATTGAAAGTATCTGGGCCAGTCACCTAGAGTTTCAGATAAACGCAACATGCCACTCGAGTATATACTGGCCCAAGTCAATGTACACACTTTGTATTTCATGAAGATGCCGATAATGATTATTATTTTTACTTTTTCATTCGTTCTTATTTCAAAGCTTATAAACCATTTATACGATTAGAAGATTCCCAATTTGGTCTTGCCTTCCTTCATTCTAGGAGTGATGTGGGTGCCGAACAAATCAAACAAAGGTCCATTGACAGCATCGTTCTCAAAAATATCCAATCGCTTTGCATTTTTCTCGGTGTCCACTACCAGTAGTTCTAATCGATCAAGCTTCAAGTGACCTGTGAATAAAATGTTCGTTAGTAAAAGGTCATGAAAAGCCGGTCCATTTTCCTTCATTGCATACCCAATTCGATCAATTCCTTCACACGGTGTGGCGTGCCCACTGCAAAGTGTAGCCGCGATTCAGCCAAGAAACGAGCTTGATCTTCTACTTTGAGATGTTTTGCGAATAATTTAGCAATTTTTGCTGCCTTGTCAAATTCTTTCAGTCCACGCACCAAGTCAGTGGCTCGAATGGCGGAGTGGGTAATAATGATAATAGCTGGTGCAGCCATGGCTTCTACTGGTGGTTCCTTTAACAACTTCTTGTGTCCAGCAGCACCTATTTAAGATATTAATACCAGCCAATATCCTATACTCATATCGATAGATAGGATCAACCCCTGTACTCACCAAATTTAACAAAGGATGGAAGGAATTCTATGGTATGTGGCGACGTAAACTTTTGGCTATCGAGGAACGCACTGATCGCAGGTGCTTGTTCGTCATGCTCTATGGCTGACCACGTACTCTTCGCTCGTTTCTGTCGATCTAATATGTATTCGTATTGTTCCGCGACTGGTTTCGAGGACACGTCAACACCTTGGAATGGGTCATTGTTCTATCGCAAAGCGTATCTGTTAGTTCATCAAAGGATCCTATAATTCTTTCAAATCGCTTTTTGCCTAACCTTCTTTGGCTTTCTCTTCTTCTTTTTCTTTGTTGGTTCCTCCGCCATATCCTCGACCACTTTCCGCTTTATGGACGCTGATCCTTGATCGGCTGGTGCATTCTCTTCAAAATCTTCCTCGACTGCAATTCCTTGAGTGTCTCCTTCCTCTATAATATCTTCCACAAGATAGTCGTCTTCCAAAGCATCCGCTGAAACTGCGGCTTTCCGTTTAACCATGAATAATGAATTGCTAAACCGGCAGGATTCAGCAAAAAAAAACTGAAATTATAAAAAATGAGCTGCTCTGGGGAACGCAGTCACGGTACAGTCACTCATGGCAGAAGTTGAAGGCGAAATAACTGCAGAAGTTTTAACAAACAAATGTACAATGAATGGTTAAATAGCTAAAATGTTTCAATAATGTTACAGCTTTAAATAAAAGGTTTTGATGCATTTCACATATCTATTGGTTTCTTGATTGGTCGGTTTGATAGTTTGAGTGCGCAAAAGAAATATGCAGGGTCTTGGACCTCAAGGATTTCCCGCTCATTTCCGATATTAGCTTGTTAGCATCTTGTAGCGATTTGACAGTGACAAATCCGTACGTCTTGGGTGAGTCGTGCTGCGGGATTAAACGTGTAAGGCACATACATTATGGACAGGGAGTTCAAATCTTTGAATCGCATACCTTTCTCTGCTTGACTATACGAACTTGCTCCACTTTGACGAAAACCTCAAATTCTTTTTTGATTGTACGTTCGTCTAATGTCGCATCGATGTTGCGTATGTACAGTTCTCGCTTTCCTTCACTAGTATCGGTTTTGTGATTTGATACCCTGTGAAACGTATCACCCGTTTGGTGGACTCCAGTGTCCTTGTCAGCTGTAGAACTCTCTTTGGGCTTCTGGCCGTCGCATTCATGATCTGGATTCTGTGATGTATCCAATATTCCATCTTTTCTTACATTATTTACAATGTTAGATCCTTTCGATCTATTGGTAGCCATATCTGGCCACGACGAGGCATTGCTACTAGCCTCTGGAGGTAAGATTGTCTGCTCTTGATGGTGGTCCGACCGGGAATTTAGATTTTCATTTACGGTAGCCTTTCCTATCTGTGTCACTGGTAGTTCGTGCTCTTCGATGCGCTCAAAACTCGCAACACTTGATGTAACAATTTAATGTCCATTGGTTACATGATTCACAGATAGCTATAAAATGACTTACATTTGCTCTCCATTCCATAAGCACTCATTAATTATTTTTACTGCCTTTTTAGCCGCTTCGTGGGTGTCGAACGTTATTGCTGCTGTACCACTGGATTTGCAACCTGACAGTAGTGTACAAGAAGTGACGGATCCAAATGCAGAAAATGTGTCCCGCAAAGCCTTCTCTCCTATGGATTTATCCAAGTTCGCTAGATATATTACAGCTTCTTTTTCGTCTACTATCTGTGTCTGGCGAAGTGACCACATCACTCTCACCAATTTGCCGTTTATCGATATCTCTCGTAACGGCCGAACTGCATTGGATAAGAAATTAGCTCGATGAAAGCCCAATAGCTATATGATATGAACATGGACTTCGTATCAACTTGCCTGAGTGACTTGGATCATATTCAACAAAGCCATATCCAAGACTAGCTCCAGTTATGGCATCTCGAGAAATCCGAAAAGATGATACTTTCCCGAGATGGTTTAGAGCTGGAAGCAAATCCGATTTGCCCATGTTGGAATCGAGTTCTCCAACGTATGCTTTCATAGTAGTTGCACTTGGTGAATTACAAGAGCTTTCAGTTGGTCGGTCAGCGGCTATTGGGGCCTCATTGGTTGCTTCTTGCATCAAAATGTTTTGACATGAAAAGTGTGACTTTTCTGCCCCGTCGGGTTCCAATACTTTATAGCTTTCTTCCCTTCTTCCCCTCAGCAACACCATGCAGAGCAAGAAAGTGACCATCACATGTAAGAATGGTTGACTCTATACTAAGCTGCTTAATATGAGCAATATATTAAATTTCGAGCAATGTAGACTATGATGAGTATGGAGTATGGCCACACCTGGCAGATGAGCTTTCATCACGATTGCCTCTCCGCAACCTGCACTGGAATCCATCAATTCAGCGTCCTCTACGAACGATACAAAGTCTAGATGTAGACATGAAGCGATTCACCTACGATTCAGCTCCACAGCCGCTACTATCAGTGCAGACGCCGTACCTGAACTTGTATTTTGTCGCGTGCGATGTGAGTAGGAAAAGTGCTATCAATGCAGCGTACCCTTATGACGATACTGATATCTTAATACTATACGAAGGACAATGATTCTTATCGCATGTCCGTGAAAAGGCAGATTAAGGCTTGGATGGACGTCATCACTACAAAGAAAAATCAAGAATGGATGCTTGTGTATGTTGCGGGGCAGGATACTCGCAAAGGAGCTAGCTATCTCGGACTTAAGACCTCTGTGTACGATAAAATTAAGAACGATTTTAATATTGGAAAGAGAGACAGGTATGCTAAGTGAATTTTATGCGACCTTAACAATAGAGCAAGGTATTAATACTATAAGGAACAGATGCGTGTATTTGAGATCAGCCAGTTCAGAACACGCCGATTCAGAAGATTGGGTTGATTTTATCAACAAAATGAAAGATGGTATTATGACGAGCTTTGATGCGCAAGTTCAACAGTACCAAGATGATACCCGCAGACTGGATCTTCAGCGACAGATGCCAGGTTGGAATTATTGTACTTTCTTCATTCTCAAGGTATATCGTGGATTCATCATCTCAATGAATCATTATTCTTCAATACTAAACCGTAATTTAGGAAGGGCTAGCTCATACGTTTGAAACCATGACATTGTATGAAGAATCTCTCATTCAATATGATGAGTTGGAAGCTTCCTTCTTCCAAGTTTTGAGAGGTTTGTGTCATGCCAATATGATGCCACGGATACAACATAGTATTGACAAGTTGTAAACTAGACAAAGCGTTAGCTTGGTTTGGACATGTTGGCGGTTCTTCTCCAGGAGATGATAGCTCCAATGTTCTTGATTTCAAAAAGAAACCTTATCGAGAACTCATCAACAAAAACACCATTTCTGTTTTCGACTTTCGAAGCTACTTATTTGCACGCCAATGCTTCTTGCTACTCAAATTACAAAGACCAATTGAGACTTGTGCTAGAGCTCAGTTATTTATTTCCAACATGACCGTCACTATAAAGGAAAATGATGTAAGATACAGGATTCGAGGATACCATGGTGGAAACAATCGTATGTAACCATGTGTAACATAATTCCAGATGCCGGTCGAGGACTATCTCGAATCATGGATATTTTCAGCATGCACCAACATTGTCAATGAATGTGAACCGATTGCAACTCATCTGGCGACTGGAAACCCTGATATTTTACCAATCTACAATGCGGCCAAGGCTGATCTTTTGATTTTGGCTCGCAAACAGGTAAGTTTACTAGGATCAGTACAGCGTATTGGACTGACGACCACTAATTAATGAACTTCAACTCTGATACAGCTTGACAAACTTGGTGTCAAGCATGGGCACTTGCCAGATTCCACTCCATTTAATATGCATATTGACAAGAATGTCAACACAAAGAAGCGGTTTTCCTCTGGAGCGGAAGTCACTGATAAGGAGCCAATGACGAACCAAAAGCTAAGAGAAGCTGTAGTATCAAGAGAGGCTTTTGATAAAATGTACATGGTAAGTAGATTAATACGTTTAGTTCAATCTTGGAAGTCGCAAGCATCGCTGACTAGAAGGGCAATCTACAGGCACTGAGCACACGAGCGATTAAGGGTTACGATCAAAGCAATAGAGTGCGATCCGCGCTTTGTGCTCACGGGGATATAGCCTCCTTCAAATTGTAAGCGCCATCTTTCCATCTCATGCACTAATATGATGGCTACTTACCAACGTTTACAAATATTAGCGCTAGAGAAAAATACGACGAAGCTGCTCGTATACTAGACTCAATGACTTGGAGATACGGCGACCAGCACTGGAGTTATATCGAAAACGCTCTTTTGAGAAAGTGCGCAGAAGCTCAGAAAAAACTCGGAAATACCAGACAATTCTTGGAATGCGTGTTGACTCTGCTGAAAAATGCATCTGAACTTTCCAGCGAAGAGGCAGAATTTTATACCAACGAGCTGCTTGACAACGTACAAAACATGGAAGAAGAGATTCACCGACAGTTCTCTCCTATATTTATAGTGTCCGATGTTGTCATCGTAGATGATTTTGCAACCGTGGATCAGACCAATATCCGGATATGCGTGGATAACAAGCTTCCAAAGGTACATCGTATGTCTGATAGTTTGTGAAAGAGTTCAATCACGCACTGACCATATGTTTAGGCACTGCACTTTGACAAACTGTCGTTAAACCTCGTCGGAAACGAGCCTGAACATATCACTTACGAAATTAACGATCAAACTCTGAATGCTGGCTTGAATGTTTTCAACCTTTCCAGTCAAGTGAGTATTGAATATTTCACCAATTCTCTATTGTAAAGGTCGTCGAGACTAACAGCACGCTATAGACCTCTGCGGCTGGTGAATACGTAGTGGAAACTTGTCATCTTCAGTTTGGCAAGCTCTCGTTTGCTCACAATTTCTTGCATGAGGGTCACGAGAAACACATTCTTCGTCTGAATCACGATATTCAAAAACTGTTTGTCGACGTTGAGCAACCAGGAAGTGGTAAGCTTCAATAATATGCAAGGTCGCAAGCAGGAATTGTAGCTGTAACTAATCAATAACTCTGGAACTACCATAGTAACACTGGGAGAGCGACAGAATTTTGCGGTCAGCATCTACAGTGGTAATGAAAATATTAAAGAAGGCACATTTTTGTTGTCATCTCTTTCTGAGGGACTCGATATCCCTCTATCTGAGGAATATACTGCTACGCTGAAGAACATTAGCGATGGTACGTTCATATATCCACATCAGCACAGCGAGCTACTTCTGTAAAAACTAATATTACTCTAGAAACAAGCCACACTATCATTTTGCAAGTCAATGAAAGCGGTCAAATCAAGCTCCCAGCACTGACTACCGACCAGAAAATTGGATTCCTCATTTCATATGACGGACCGTGGAATGAAAATCAATTCAGAGTGAGTTACACTGTCCTCGAGTATCAACTAAGAAAGCACACGTGAAAAAAAATCACACTGACAATGCTTTGACATTAACAGATTAGAAGTAAAGCAGACTATGTAACAGCTGACGGAAGCATTCGTTCCTTCCATTCAGCCGACTTTGTGGATATCTTGATACCATTGACCGTCACTGAATCCAGTATATTTGGAGAGAACTGGTACGAAAACTCTTTTGTATAATCTCATGCAATTCGGATGGATAAGTGCTCACAAGCTATCCTATTTTACATTCTAGTATATATCTGAAGGTTGAAGCGTCCTGCAATGGAAACATTCCGGCACGTGTGCTTGGATCTTGCTTGGAACCATCAGCGTCCTATGAGATTGAAAATCAATCCATAAACGAAAATTGGGATTTGGTAAGTGTATATTACATTCGATGCCTGGTGTTGTAAAGAAATTAACAACGGTATTGTGGGTAGACCTTATTCCCTCGACAAGTGTCTACATTTGTGTACAAGCTCAAAAAGCAGGGAGGCTCTACAGGTTTGTGCTTAAAGTCTGCCTGTTTTCACACAGGTCTCCTTTCTTGACGTGTAATATAAACACCGTTTTAAATAGGCTCACTACAATCAAAGGAACATTTTGTTGTCAAGTATCAAACGTTGCAAAGTGGTACGTGTTAAGATGATGATCTCTAAATCATATGACGTGCGTATACTAAGCCATTTCCCCATCTGCAGAGGTTGAGGCAGGAATCAAAGCAAAGTTGAACACCAAGCTTAAGGAGCATAACCTTGGCCAACACCTAAATCACATTTGGAAGCATATTCGCAAAGAGTTCTTGTCGCACATTGATTATAACGATTACGGACTTACGGAAACCGTTCGAGTCAAGTATTTTGATGCTGAAGTATGCGAATCGTTCCTCCTGCATCGGGACCTCAAGACGAAAGTGGAACTGCTAGACTTGATAGAAGAATTTTTCCAAGTATGTTTCGATCTACTTATCAGCATCCTCCTCCTTGTATGCGCTTATCCACTCATATATTGACTCCCAAATGCAGCACAATGCCATCATTTCACAATCCGATATTCGAAAGGAGCATCCAACTATTTCAGAGAGAGCGTTGTCGTTTCCCTTGGATGTCCCAAGATCAAGAGTACTCCATACCGTGGAACTCATTTTGCCAAACGATACCTACATGCACGTGAATGAACCTTGTGAAGGCACTTTGAAGATCAAGCAATCACCTTACTGGGCATCAGAAGAGAGTGTAGAAGATGCGTCTTCATTCTTTGTATATGAAATAGAAGCTGACTATGATAACTGGCTTCTGTCCGGGAAGCGTAAGCTTAAATTCAGCTCAAAGGTATGTGTAGCTAAATGTATGATATGGATATAGAAAAAGTATGATACCGCTTTGCTGACAGAATCTCTGACAGGTTGGTGAAGTGTATGAATTCCCAATCACGTTGATTGCCCTGAAGACCGGTCAAATACCATTGCCTCCGGTCAAAGTTCACTCCGTCTCGTCCAGCATTTTTGCTTCGACATTGTACATTAATAGCGCGCAGCAGGTTTTAGTCCGTCCAAAAAGTAGTACGGCTACATTCTTTGTTGAGCAGCAACAACGCTTTGTACAACAAAGGGCTACTGCCGTACAGACTCCATATTCCGAAACCGGCCATCAACGTGCAGCACTGACTGCGGTTGACGAAGTCGTTGGCAATTAGTTACTCGAGGTTGTTCGTTTTATTGTAAGTGATGAAACCATCACCTGTACTCTATCCAGTATGTTACAAAAATGGTATATCAAGCATGAATAAAAGAAAAAGGGAGAGAAAAAAAATCTGAAAAAATAAACCAAAGTATTTAATCAAATATACTGCCGTTGCCGTTTCTTGCGTGCTTGATAACATCTTTGTTCTTTCTCTTCTCCTTTCCTTTGGTGAGGTTTCGTCGTGAATGATGTTTACCAGTCACTCTGTTTTCTTGGCTCTTCAAAGCTCGAGTCACCTTCTCCTTGATAGCATTTTCATCCAGATCTCCCTTCGCTTTTGGCTTTTTAGTTTTCTCATTTGCTTTACTGGAGTCTCTGTATGCCTTGAAATCTCTGTTTCCTGTTGGTGCAAGCAAGTCGTCGCCCGTAGACGAATGCTTTTGTTCATCTTCTTCTTCGCTTTCTTCTTGCTCGTCATCACTTCCAAAGTCAGACAATTCTTCTTCTGATTCTTCACTTTCAGTTTCCATATCGTTGCCCAATCTCAAATTCCTTAATCGCTCTTCAGCTTTCTTTAAAGCATTGTCGGAAAGTTAGCACGCAAGTCATGTGTCATTGTTACTTATGATGTACAAACACATACCTCCTCCTCTGTCATTTCCTTGGGTGGCTCCTCTGTAGCTTCTTCTTCTGATTCTTCCTCGCTTTCAATATCTTCATCACTATCTTCTCCATCTTCATCGCCGTCCTCGCCTAAAGCTTCTTGGTACTAAAGAAGAGGTCAGCTATCACATCTAAAACCAATGGGTTGAACGCAATTTAGCTTACCTCCTCCAATTCCTGCTGATGCTTCTTTGTAAATCCACTAGCAGCAACCTGCACATCCAAATCAAATTCCCTCTCGATATGCTTTGTAAACTTGGGGTACAAAAGAGATTCATATCCGAATCGTCGTTTGAAGAAAACACGTATACACTCTACATCACGGTTGAAGTAGCTAATTCACCAGTCAGTAACAGAAAGGAAAAGGTTAAGTTTGTAGTCACATATGCAACTTACTATTCAGCATTGGCATGCGACGTTGAGACCATTTGGGGAAAATCGATGAGGATAGGCTTTCCGGTTTCCTTAATCAAAATGTTGAATTCGTTGAAATCACCATGAATAAGACCATGCTGAGCCAATTTGACAATCAAATCCATCAAGTCGCTATACAGCTGAGCGGGATTGGCCACTTCATCCACTTGTCGGCTGTAACATAAGAAGAAAATTAATTTTCTGTAATAACATCGGTCACCAGTAGAATTGTAAGCAGTACATACAGTGGGAAAGCATCGATAAGCTCCATAACGACGCAATGTCTGCTCAAATCAACAGGTTCTGGGACAGGAAATCCGTTTTCATACAAGACTTTCATGAAGGCATATTCCTTCATGGCGGCTAAGCGAGACATGTACATCCAAGAAGCTGACTTGCGCTTTTGCAGATAATCTCTCTTTGACTTGATGCTACGGAAAGACACTCGACCAAGTCTCTGAAGTTTGAGTACGAGTTGCTTATCGTCTTCATTTGCAACAATATAAATGTCTATTATGGAGATACAGAATAACATATTAGTTAGCAAAAGTTCGAAAAGCATGCCAACGGTGAACATTGCGTACCTGACTCCTTGCCAACACCAATCTGGTTTCCAACAGAAAACACCGAGCCTCTCTTTGAAAAGGTCTTCAATGCAAGATAATCATAACCTCCGTATGTCAATCGGTAACCATCATCTGAGGTGAATGAAAGGGGTGATGAGAAGTCTGTATAGCAGCTAAGAACAATCAACTATTTGACCACTTGGCTTACATTTTGCATTTTGAACTCTTGCAATCAAATTTCTTTTTGCAAGCTCTCCAACAATTTTATGACTACCTCCATGACGCAATGAGGCGATCTGAGCGATCAAAGAGGTCGGGACGACTTCATGGTTTTTAGAGCCCATTTCCACCTTGGTAGGAAAAAGACAGTCGTTAGATTTCGATCCAGAATACACTTGACAAGTATATACCTAGTTCACTTACAGCAGTCAAGACTCTGAAGTCCTCTGCGGACATGTATCGCAAGGCTTTGGCATCCAACTTCATGTTTGAATGTTCTTTCTTTCAGTGGATCAGTAGACGAACTGAAAAGTTGCTCGAAATTTTGAATCGCAAAAAAAATGTACAGACTCCGCTAGGACTGCCTTTTGCTAATCCATGTTGCAGCCCTTGAGCCAACGATATCGGTCTGCATCAAGATTTACACTCAATATTGACTGAAATCTATCCGCATGCCTTCAATTGAGTATTTAGTAGCCTGATACAATGAGATTCACGCTTTATTTTTGTATAATTCTTTCAGACGTTTCACTTGCCGAGAAAATGGTATACGCAAGTTCCCGTTTTACTTAAAAATTCCAATCCCGCACGACAAGAGCAATGTCGTTTTTACATGTCTTCCCTGTGGTTACTCGCAAGCCGACGTGGCCTTCACCCTAAAGCCAGTCCAACCCTCATAACTTCTCCATTCATTCAACGATTACCACGACTTCCTCCTACTCGACCATTCAACTGGACACCAAAGCAGAATGCGCAGTATCAAATACAACCCAGATTCACCGGGCCCAAATACCAACGCTTCAGTCAAAATAAGATACCATTCTATCAATCTAAACGCTTCTGGGTTACCACTGGCACAGGCACTGTGTTGTTTGGTGGATATTATGTTACGCATTTGGAGACAGTGCCTATCAGCGGAAGAACTCGGTTTATGGACATTACCCCCCGTCAAGAAGAAGGTATGCGTCATATGCTTCCGTGCGTATGTCATCATCACACTAGTTCGAGACTCACCATCCTTTCACATTAGCTATGGCAAAACAAGCCTACGCAGAAATTATGAGCCAATATGGAAACCGAATATTGCCTCCCAACCATAGACTGTCCATCTTTGTCACCAATGTCGCTAAACGTATAGTGCAAGTGTCTGGCATGGATGACTTGAAGTGGGAGTTTCATGTCATAGAATCACCGGAGAAAAAGTAAGAATTGACTCACTGAACTTTTGTTTATTTCGTTGCTGACGTTATACAATCGGTAGTGCTTTTGTTCTGCCGGGTGGGAAAGTCTTTGTCTTTACCGGCATCATACCCATTGTCCAAAATGAAGGTAAAATAAGGCGATAGCGCGAAGTCACCGAATGTAAAGCTCATGAATTTGAAATTTTAGATGGTATGGCAGCTGTCCTTGGGCACGAGATAGCTCATCAACTCGCAAGACATAGTGGCGAAAAGCTATCGTTTGCCAAAATTCTGTTTGTGGTGCAAATCACCTTGTCCCTCATTGGCATCGACCCTTCCTTCATATTCAACCAACTGATGCTGAACTTTGGTATCATGATGCCTTTCTCTCGTAAATGTGAAACGGAAGCAGATAGTATTGGTTTGCAACTGATGGCTCAGGCATGCTTTGATCCACATGAAGCAACGAGAGTCTGGCAGAGAATGGAAGCGTCTGGAGGCAAGGAGGTACCACAATTCGCCAGCACACATCCGAGTCATAAGAATCGAGTTCAAAGACTTGAAAAGGAGGTAAGGAATTGCCCTTTTGTTTGATTTTAATAGGAAAAGCTTAGACTGTGGTATTGACAATGAAGTATACTAGTTACCGAAGGCTCTCTCCATTCGATCTTCAAGTGACTGCAGCACTGAAATGCGCGATTATGCAGAGATGTTTCAGCAAGTGTGGACTCGGTGGTAGAGAAAAGATAATGCAATAAGATATTTCATTTCCAAGGATAGGGTAAATCACGATAATTAAAAATAGGAGGCCGATATAGCATTGTGCAATACAATGTGGATAGAATTAATTTTGGCGGTTTATGCGTCTGCTAAACGTTTACCAACTTCCTCAAACACCTCCAAAAAGGTTTCTGGTTGTTGGGCTCCTGATAGAGTGTACCTTGTAAAAAAATAATTGAATAAATGACATATCGATCAAATTAATTGCAAAATCTCGTATTACATACTTGCTGTCAATGGTGAAATTGGGCACGCCACTGATGCCTTGCATTTGGCTTTGCAAGATGGCATCCTTAATTTCTCGAGCACCCTGATCCGTTTTCAAGTACTCCAGAGCCTACACAGTATATTAGTCTGATTATTAAAACCATTTATGTAGGTAGTATGTGATAGTAACTCACCTCAACATTGTCCAAGCCAATCTTTCCAGCCACATCAGCTAATTGATCGAGATCGCCAATGTTTCCTTCGTCCTCAAAATATAATTTGAACAATTGTTCGATAACTTCATCTTGCTTCCCTTGCTTAGTTGCCCACTCGATAAGTCTGTGCGAATCAATAGTATTGGCGATAGGTCCTCCATACGAGAAATTGATACCATCTCCTTTCCCCATTTTTTTCATGTGCTCTACCATGCCGTCGACTCTTGCTGCGCCGAACTTGGCAGCATAACGCTCAAGCTTGTTAGCCGGTGTTTTGCTCAATGTGGGATCCAGTTCAAAGGGATGCCACTTGACATCAAACTTTGTGTCCGGGTGGGACGCTTGATAGCTCGTCATAGCTTTTTCGAGTCGACGTTTTCCAATGAAACACCTAAGCAGAAGCACACATCAATATTGTTCTGAAAAGAAAAACCAAACACAATCAAGTTGTTATGCACTTACCATGGGCAAATAGTGTCACTGACGATGTCAACTTTGATTGTGGTTCCCATTTTGCGAAGGAATGGTCGAGTAAAGGACATACTGGGCTGGCTTTGTCAGCCATGAATTGCACCAATTCCGACTTGTGACTGTCATTACAAATGCAAGTGGAGGCTCTCCGATTCATTGTTGCTGTCAATCAAAGCTTTCTCATTTTCATGCTACTGTTCTATTCCTTTGACGAATGTTGATGCGAGAATTATCGTATGTTCCGAAAAAATTTGTCTTATCCAAAGATATTTATCAAATGGCTAAAGAAATTTTTTTACTGCTGCTTCATCTTTTTGATTTTTTGCACATGGACTTGGGCAGTGATCAACATGGTAAATTACTAACTGCCGCGCAACTGAGTTGTCATAGTTCACTGTAATCCCTGAATATTTACAAAGGTGGATATCCAATAAAAGGACTCAGCCCAATGTTTTCACGGCGACGCATACAAATATTTTCATGTGTTTTCATGAAGCCAGGTTAATGCTGTCTTGTGGACATCGATGTAGCCTGATGCTGTATGTGCAAATAAAAAATGACTTACAGCTATGACACTACCATATTCAGTTACTAAAAGACCCTGCATGCATTTGCTGTCAGTTTTTGTAGTCTGGGAGGTGTGAAAGAGTATGGAAGTAGAGGAAACGTGATTCTCATCAGTCTCAAGACATGATCCGCAAGCAAAGATCCTAAACTGTGTTTACACAGGGTCACAACAAGAACCCAATTTCGCACTATAGAAGCAAAGGAAACATGGCTTATTAGCAACGACGTGCCTGGCTACACTGAAACTGCTTCGTTCCAACATGTTTGTATTTCAACAGCCCACTTTACTGGATGTAGCGCTAAATAAGGAATCAACTTGAGGAGTCAGGGCAGATGAACAAAGACAAGTTCTGTCATCTGTTGCTAATTGTTTTTTTACTAAGCAAATTGACACGAACAGATACAGTGACAGACTTTGTACTGCTAACACCGTGCTGTATAGGAAATCTGTAGAGCTCCAAAGCAGGCTTGCAGCATAGACCTTTGTGATCAAAGGTTTTTCCAGATAAAGATGAAAGCGGCTTGGAAAGGAAATGCTTGGTACTAAACCTTCTTTACCAGGCACAAGCCAATTTCAATTCAGACGATGTATTTTAGTTCTTTTTGAGACCAAGTATAATAATAATGTATCAGAGATGGTACTAGACGAAAACTCTATAAGTGGACTACAGACCATTTTCCTTTACGGACTGAGCCTCAGGAGGAAAACCTTACGTACGCAGGCAAGCTCAAAGTGTTCACAAGGTTATTCCTACGTCATAGAGAAGCAATATCCACTGTGCGATTCTTTCGGTCTAACAAAAAATTATCGGAGTACGCGTCATGAAGTATCAGCGATAGCGGACTCAAGTTTTTCCAAGTGCGTCGGCGTAGTTAAGGAGGGCTGTGTTCATATTGAGTTTTATCCGGAAGCAAAAGCAGCCGCGATACCATCAAGCGTGAGTGGAAAAGAGTGAACGCCGACACGGACAACTTCGAACATAATAATTCCTCTCACTTCTTTTCGCTCAGCTGCGGTGATGCCACTTGCGACCTGTAAAGACGAGGTCAATGTACAAAAGGGGAAAAAATAAAAAATGTGCGGAAGTAGTATCGAGGTTGCACGATTGAAGGTAATCATCGGTGCGAACCGATTGGAATCCAAATAAACATATCAGAAGAAAGTATTGATAAATGATAGGTATGGTTTTTATTATTCATATATACACAGATCCAACGACAGCAGGAATACGTATTTACAAAGGCTGTGGTTGTTGCATGAGATTACACTTGAATACGAGTAAGCATCAACTTGATGTCAAGATGTGCAATTATAGGTGAGGCTTATGATGATCTACAATTAGATCATGTAACCTTCAAACTCATCCGTTCCCAAGATGTCCCTATCGCCTGAACGATACCGAATCATCCATTTTCCATTGGGAAGACGCACGTAGAAATTGGAATATGGGAATTTACCATTCCATGCCCCAGTTGGGCTATATGGAGGAATCTTATGAGCAGGGACAGTTTCTTCTCTATGCACAAAATGCTTTCGAGCGTAGCGTTTACTATTTTGACTTGAATTAGATGTTTCAGCTGCTGAGGAATAGTCTTCGTCCACGGATAAGTGTTCGGCACTGTTACCGAATATACGAGTTAGTCGATTGTAGAATCGATGTTCACTTTGATCACTGTCAGCAGAGGAGCAAGATGAAGTGGATATTGGACGACTCCTAGGTTCCCTTTTTCTTCCGAGGAAGCTATGACGGTTATTATTCTTATCCTTCTTGGGGGTAATGGATATATTCAACATTATGAAATACAAGAGTTGGGAGAGTGTCGATATAATCAGTGAAATTTTTGAATGTCCCCTTTTATAACAGAATTATCTGGGCCAGGAGCCGGCAAACTCCGCCCGCCACATCTCCGCCAATGGCAATCCTGCGAATGGACCTCACGAGACATCACTCGACTTGCCTATAATGATATAATAGCATGAAGTGTACCCATTTTGGCAGATTAATCAACAAACTATCAGATTTTTTGTCATTTGCTTGATGGTAATAGCACAGTGAATTGTTGCTATGGGACATTATGATCGATTGTATGTCGGATAGCATTTTCATGTTTCGGATTACTGAGCCATTTTCTTCGTTCCACTTTTACCGGCCCGCTGTTTGACGCTGATGACAAGCAATCTCAGCCCCATTACAAATCGTTCTCTTACCAATGTTGATGCCTATCTCGTGTCACTAAGCAAAGAAGTTACCCAACTCTGTTACAAGACTTAACACATGCAATTGCTCTATCGACCAAAACCAGTATGAATCGCTCCTTTGCGTACGACAAGGGTATGCGATGGGCTAGTAATATGCTTAGTATGGAATATTACGTTGAACGTCGATGCATGATTGAAAAAAAAAAAAAAAAGGAAAAAATTTTCAACGGCCCTTCGGCAGAATTTGAGCCGAGAAAATTAAAGCTTCTTTCACGTAATTGTTGCGGAAGCTGAAACACTTGTTCCAGCTATGGCGCACGTCTCCATTGTCTTGGAAAATCCAGCGGCTAAACTGAGTTTTCCCAATTTGTAGAGATCTTCATGAAGCCCATGCCAGGCTTCATGGCTACACAAGATATTGAGGTACTTGGTGTATCTTCAAAAATAATTCTGCCACATTCTAAGAATGCTTTTAAACCTGTTCAGCCTCTATGACTTCGCATCATAAATTCTCAAAAATCTTCTCGTGGGTTAAAGACGATAACATGAACGACTCCACCTCAAACGTGAGACGAAACAGCTCTGTCCACAACAAAGCGTACCCATCCCAAACTTTGAAACGGCAAGAGCATCCACCCGCTTATACCGAGAGACCCATCACGAAAGCCAACGGCGCCATCATCGTCAAAACCTCAGACTTTCTACCTTCCAATCCTCAAGCTGAACTGGCTGTGCTGAAGAAACGTAGTCATATATCGCTACGATCTGAAGAGACTTCCACAAGTCTTCCTATGCTATGTTTTGGGCTATCTTCTGATATAGCCAGTGCCTCTTCAACCCACGACGTTGGCCAGACTTCAGATGAAAAGAAGGAAGGGTTAAACACCGAGAGCGATCAACTTGACAGTGTGGAACCTGAAATTCACCCCACACACTTAGTGTCTGAAAACCAAGCCCTGACAAGGGACCTCGACATAGCAAAGACACAAATCAAGGAAACCCAAAAACGCTGTGACGAAGCCCAAAGCCTTGCCGATGCAAGACAGTTTGAAATCGAAAAGCTAAACGCCACAATAACGACACTACGTCGCTTGCTCTATCAAGCGAACGCTTTGGACGATGAGCCACAAGACAGTGATGGCAAAGCTAGTGAATTCGATACCGATCCTCATAACCAAAAGATAAAAACCCTCCTTGATGAAATTGAAACACAACAGAAATCCTACAATGACCTATCAGAAAAAAACCAAAAGCTGACCAAAGACTATGGCAAATTGAGCCTGCATCAAGTCGAGAACAACGAAATCATCAAAGAGCTGCAACGTGAAATTGCCACCTACCATGAAGACATTCAGCGGTATGAAATTGAAAAAGAACATATGCAAGCCAGATTAAACAACTTTCTATGGGAAGTCAACTGGGTCAATAAATGAAAAAATAATATTTTGGTTTAAGCTTTAAGCAGCATTAGTGTCTGAATATTTTCCTTTGTTATTTGCTTGCCTTGACTCTTTTTGCACAACTGAGTCCTTGTTGTGCAGTGCAGTTTATCATTGTGTTAGTAATAAACATTCTATTAAGCGATACAATGATATGAAAATGCTGCCATATCTCAACCTTCTCTCGCAGTCAATGAAATTTCAGGCAAATCACGAGCCATAGGAAACGTGATTGACTGTGTGACGCGCACGTTTCATTACAAGTTGGTTGAAGCTTTGTTTAACCTGCACCGCATAATATTAACTCAACCACCATGTCAAGTCTTTTTAGCTCAAGAGTAGCTAATGAAGACGACGACAAGTATGACTTGGATAACTTATCGCCACGCCAATCACAATACTCCTCCACATTCCGAACACAGACCCTTCATTCACCGCCAGGCACCACTCACTCCTACACTTCCAATTCATATGCAAGACCTCATGCACGGCCGCACGATATATTGACTGAGCACGATATAGAGCTACCAGAATCCGATGAATCCGACGCTGAAGTCCCCCCTTCGCTCATGATCGAAATGCCACAAGACGTCGATGAAGAAGTGACGGATCAGCGACCATTGTTAAGTGAGAGACAATGGGAAAAGTCACCCATTCGCGAAACCGCACCTAGACCTCGGCCTTCGTCAAATTTAGATAACTTACGACAACGAATACCAACTCCTCTCCATTCAACTCGCTCCAATATGACTCCGCACGATAGAACCATGTGGCGATGGGCCAATATTGCCAATATGGATCACTTCTTTGAACGAGTGTATTCATACTATCTTGGCAAAGGCTATTATTGCATACTACTGGCTAAAATCCTTAATTTACTGTGAGTGATTGGTGCGCATGATCTTCAGCTTCTCCATCACCCTATGGACTAACACGTGTCTCCAGCACACTTGCTTTTACTATCACATTTTCGACCTTTCTTGTGGGTTGTGTCAATTACTCTGAGATTCCCAGTCACACAAAACTTTCAGAAGTCTTGGAACCACAATGTCTTTCAAAGTATGTAAGCATTCTATCCTGCTTTGCTTCTCTCAATTCCTGACTCATCATGTTTCATACGTGGCCTACAGGCTATCCTTTCCCAAGGTCTTGTTCTTGCTCATCTTTGTTGTTTGGTGGGTCTGGCAAGCTCTTCAATTTTGGTGGGATCTGCCGGCCCTGAATGAGATGCACATGTTCTATGTGCACTTACTGGATGTATCTGATGTACGTATACAGTTGTATCACATTGGTTTCAATATTTGCATTTCTCATCTATCGTTACCCATTTCTAGAAAGACATGGCTACCATAACATGGCAAGAAATTTTGGAGCGGATCATCAGTGTTCGAGAAAGTAATCCTAACATGGCCAGCACAGCTCCTATCAAACTTGACGCCCATGATATTGCCAACAGGATAATGAGAAAAGACAATTATCTTATTGCCTTGTTCAATAAGGACATATTGAATATCACTATCCCGCTCCCCTATCTTCGCAATATGCATGTTTTTACTCGTGATCTGGAATGGAATCTTTCATTCTGTGTTCTGAGCTACGTCTTTGATTCAAATGGTCAAATCAGGAAGCGATTTTTAAAGGACAAAAATAGGGCTGTTCTTGCTGAAGGGTATGTACAATTTTCTATCCGAAAAACATGAAGTAGTGATCTCGTGTGCTCATGTGTCCGCCCATTTTATTAGCCTTCGTCGCAGATTTATCATCATGGGTTTTCTCAACCTCATATGTGCGCCATTTATCTTGGCGTACTTGTTAATTTACTTTTTCTTCCGCTATTTTGAAGTGAGTATAGTACAGATCATGTTGGCAAACGAGGACTCGTTATTAAGACTCTCTCTTTAGGAATACCACAAGAATCCAGGCGCAATCGGTTCTCGTAACTACTCTCCTTTCGCTAAGTGGAAACTCCGGGAATTTAATGAGCTTCCTCATCTGTTCAAACGACGTCTGAATAGCTCTCATATATCGGCAAACAAATACCTCGACCAATTTCCAAAAGACAAAACAGCACTCATTGCTCGGTAGAAATCCCTGCTTGCTTTCACTCTTATTCCATGCACTTCCTGACTATGTATCTCATGCTTTCTTGCACAGATTTGTCGCATTCATATCTGGATCATTTGCTGGCATTTTAGCCATCATTACACTGTTCGATTCCGAAGCATTGCTGAACTTTGAGCTAACACCCAACGGAACCATTCTTTTTTACATCGGACTGTTCGGCGGTCTCTTTGCTGTAAGTAGAGGTTTGATACCCGACGATACTCTGGTGTTTGAACCAGAGCAGGATATCAGGAAAGTAATCGAAATCACACACTACTTTCCAAATGAATGGCGAGGTAAACTTCACACCGATGAAGTTAAAGGCCAATTCAGCCAGATGTTCGACATGAAGATCACATTGTTTTTGCAAGAATTTTTAAGCATTCTGTTTACGCCTCTGGTACTGTGGTATTCACTGCCGCAATGTAGCACTCAAATCATCGACTTCTTCAGAGAATTCACTGTCCATGTGGATGGTCTAGGCTATGTCTGCAGTTTTGCTTTATTCGACTTTAGACGACATGGCAACATCAAGTATGGTGCACCCGTGGCTGTTCAAGACGAACATTACGTGAGCAATAATGGAAAAATGGAAAAGAGCTTTTTGAATTTCAAGGTTAGTTTGATCAACCGTTCGCCGTGCCAAAAAAACGCTTGGTATTCATTTTTCGAACATTTGCAGGCGAACAATCCAAGTTGGATGCCTACCGATCCTGCTGGCTCCATGTATCTTTCACGTATGGCAGAATATAAAGATCATCGAGCTCACTCGAAGATTGACGAAGAAATGGATGATGACGATGAAAGCCAACTTTCTCACTCTTCCATTGTGAATTCAAGATACTCATACGCTTCTCCCAAGTACGATCAATGGCGAACGAACAGACGATTGAGTCCTGGTGCAGCTGTGCCTTCTTTCATTCCTAACAGCTCGGCGCCCGACTCATCGGAGCCAAATTCGCCATTCGAAAGAAGGTCAACGCACAGGCAACCAGCGGCAGACTCATTCGAGCACGATATTCCTAGTGAGCTTGGTGATTTTGCACCAGCTCGTATGATACACCCAGATGAATACCAAGACCAAAATGATGAAGACGATGGAAGGATTGACCCTGATCAGGACAATAATGTGCTTGGATTGTTAAACCAAATATACGATCATCGCCCTCAGATAAAATAAAAGGAGCGTTTGTGAGACGCGAGAATCGCGCTTCCAATTTTTATTTTTTATTTTGAAACTCTGCAACTTGTCACCTCGAGATTTCGTACTTTACCTTTTTTCTGTCTCATTGACGTTGGAAATCAAAATGGATTTGGCTGTATTTGAGACCTTGTCCAAGATCTTTGATGCCGACGCTAACATTCGCGGTAATGCTGAAAAGCAACTGCAAACTCTTCAGAGCTCTCCTGGTAAGAGATTTACCTTGAATCAGATCGGAGATGAACCCTCTTTTTTTTTTTTAACCAAAAAAATCTTACGTGCCATGTTATAGAATTCCCGGTGAGTCTTGCACGACTCTCTCTATCTCAGGAGCTTGCAATTCCACAACGTCAGCTTGCAGCCGTCACTCTCAAGCAATATATCGAATCTCACTGGTCTTCAAAGAACGAAAAGTTTGTGGGTCCTGAGCCGCCGGAAGAGGTCAGAGGAAATTTTTCGATAGTCGTACTTTATGCAGTGTACTGAACTTTGTCCTCAACCCGTTATGTAGATCAAACAAACCGTTCGCGATCTTCTGCTTAGAGGTTTGACCGATCCCGACACCAAGATTCGCGTCGCCAGCGCCTACGCTGTCTCTAAAGTCGCCCACAACGACTGGCCTGAGGATTGGCCCAATTTGTTCAACGTTCTTTTGGATTTGATCAAATCAAGCAATTCTAACGATGTTCATGGCGCTATGCGAGTTCTGACCGAACTTATTTCAAATGATATTACCGTTGAGCAGTTCCCTCAAATCGCCCCTGTTCTTTGCCCTCAGTTGCTTGCCATTCTGACTAACGACGCCGTGAGTGTTTAACGCAGCCGCCCGCCTTATTTCGCTTCCCACCCTGATTTCCTATTCTCTGATCTAGCAATACTCTCTGCGCACACGTGGCCGTGCTGTGTCTATCTTCAGGAACTGCTTGGAAATGGTGTTTATGATCAAGGAGGATCATGCTAATGCTGCTGAACAATTCTTGACCCCTATTATGCCGCAATGGATTGAGGTTTTCCTTGCCATCCTCAAGCACCAGACTCAAGGAGATGAGGAAAGAAGACTTGAAGAGTATGGCTTGAAGCTCGAGGTTGTCAAGGTTAGTACAAGAGAATCTTCTAGATCACACAGCATGACTGTGGGGGTTATGTCTAACAAATGCATGCTGTCTTCCACCAGTGTATCAACATGATTATCATTGCTGTGCCAAAGTTCATCAGTCCATTGCTTCCGCAATTGTTTGAGCCTGTCTGGATGGATCTCCTGGATCTTAGAAGCCGTTATATTAATGAATTCGTTACTGATGGCGGTGAGGCTAACGGCAGTTTCCAAGATTCAGATGGTGACATCATTGGTTTTGAATCTCTGCTGTATGCCCAATTCGAGTTCATTGTAGCTGCCTCTAGAAAGAAGTCCATGAAGGCTATCTTCCTTGGTCAGGACGGCAACGCAGATTTCTTGAAGGAAATGCTTTGGGTTACCATGAGCTACATGCAGATGACTGAAGAACAAGTGGAGATGTGGCTCACCGACGCCAACCAATTTGTTGCTGACGAGGAAGATGATACCTATACCTACAACGTTCGAGTCGCTGCCGTTGATTTGCTCACTGTAAGTGTGGAAAATGGTGCCATGTTTGTTTCTTCTAGGTTCCCCTTTTTTTCTCAATGATGTCCTCTTCCACAGGCTCTTGAATTGCGCTTCCCCAAAGAATTCTTCCCTGCTCTTGGTCATGCTGTCCAAAGACACTTGGGAGATTCCAACGCCAGCCGCGCCGCTGGTAACTCTGACTGGTAAGTCAAAGACACAAAGTAATGTACGCGAGACTGATTAGCTAAAAACTGCCTTGTTATTAGGTGGAAGATTCAAGAGGCCTGCTTGATGGCTGTCGGAAGAACATCGGAAGAACTCATTCAGGCACTTCAGGATAAGGATGCCCCTGTCAACTTTGATCTCGCTGGATTGTTTGAACACGTTGTTCTGGAGAACATGAAACTTACCGGTGTGTATGAGGCGCTTGGGTTGTGGGAGAGATAACGGGATCTTGACTTATCTATTTCCGTGACAGAATTTCCTTTTGCCCAAGGACGTGCTTTCGTATTTGCTAGCGAGTATGCTCAGGTCCTTCCTACCAACTTGGCAGAGCAATATGTCCGTGCAGCTGTAGAGGCACTCAAGACGACTGATGGAACCATTCCTGTCAAGATTTCTGCTTTGAAGGCCCTCAACAAGTATGTTGACAAATACAGCGACGGCTCAAAGCGTCATGACACTAATTGTTTGCCTTTAGTTTCTGTAAACATTTAGATCCCCAGTTCATCTCGGCTTACCAGACTCCCATTATGGAAGGCAGCTGCCAATTGCTTCCCTACACTACAGAAGAATCCCTTCTCCTTGTCCTTGAGACTTTGACAGCAGCCATTAAGGTCAGTCTCACGTTTTTTTTTTCCGTCTAGCAAAGAAAAATATCACAAACATGCCAAATTTATACTAATCCGTCCCGCCTGACAGATCAACAAGGAGGTCACTGCCAGTTACGAATCTGTTCTTGTTCCTTCATTGCTCGAAGTATGGAAGAACCATCCATCTGATTCTCTTCTGGCAAGCTATGTTCTTGACTTGTTCGATGACTTGGCCAAGAATGAAATCATGTATGTCAGCTTGTGTAGTAAGATCTTACCTTACATGCGTGAAGTTTTGATCAGTGGTATTCCAGAGATGCCTATGCTTGCAGTATGTATATCACAGTTTTTGTGTGTGTATATGAAAGCTTCGGACGTGACATCTTACCAAAAAACAATTTCCATTTGCAGTCTGCAATTGACATGGTTGCAGGGCTCGCGCGAGGTGGTCCCTCTCCCTTGTTGCCCGAATTTGTTGATCAGTTCTTCCCACCTTTGATGCACGTCCTTTGGACCGTCAATGACAATGAAGTCCTTCAAAGTGGACAACAGTGTTTGAAGACCTTTATTGGCAAGGACTCTGCTCACCTTGTGCAGTGGCGTGATCAAAGCGGCAAGAGCGGATTGCAGTATGTTGTCGAATTCGTTGCAAAGCTATTGACACCGGATCATTCGGAATCCGAGGCACTGTTTGTTGGTGACCTTATTGTTAAACTGATTCAGAAGGTAATTACTGTCAACACATACAAATATCCAAATTCCTTTTTGCATAGAGACGTAGTATCTTATACTTTATGTTTTCCCTATCGTAGGCTGGAAACGATATTGGACCTGTCCTTCCTGATCTTTTGAATGTCATTATTAGCCGTTTGACTATCTCCAAGACCCCATCCTTCATCCAGGTACGTGTTGGTATGGTGTATGCAGTAATCTTGACAAACATGTATTGATGCCAAACCTATTTTCTGCTCAGTCTTTGATCCTTGTGTTTGCACATTTGATCAATACACAAATGGAAACGGTGGTTCAGTTCCTTGTCAGTGTCAATATCGAGGGTCGAAATGGTCTTGACATCCTCTTACCTGTTTGGTGCGAAAACCATGACTCTTTCTCAGGATTTTATGCTCTCAAAGTCAGGTAAAGAAAAGCCTATTCATTGCTCCGCTGCTACTGCCCCGGCAGTAGAACAGCATGTCACACCAAATCGAGGTCGGCTTCGTCCGAACTAAAACTCTACTTTGTATAGCTCCATCGCCCTTTCCAAGCTGTTCTTGTTAAATGAACCCAGACTTCAGAGTATCAATGTCAAGGGTGATATCATTGTACCTGCCGGTGGCCGTAAGTGTGAAATAAAATCTTGTTATGTATACATCGGGAAATACTAAGTTTTTTGTTTATAGGTATCGTTACCCGATCTCAATCCAAACAATGTAAGTGGACACATATAGTATTTCTGCACTCGAGTGACAATGCAATAACGAATGTTCGATTTACACAGCGCCAGATCAATACACCACCATTCAAGTGCCTATCAAAATCGTCAAGCTGCTGGTGTCTGAGCTGAATAATTCACCAAACGCGGAAAATCAGGGTGCAGATGAGGAGTTTGCAGAATCAGGCGATGAGGTGGGTTGAAGGAGTACTTTACGCCTATCTTGACTTTTATGAACCTCAGTACCGACGTTTCTGATTTATTTTTATTTCCTCGATGTAGGAGGATGGAGAATGGGAAGATGAAGATGAATCGCCTTTTGTTCCCGCTGATGAATTTGCCTTCTTGTCAGGTACAAACTCCATTTGGTTTTTTAGTGTGAACCACTTCACTGACAGATGGGAAAATACTAAACCAGTCGCGCATACAATTTTTTTTTTAACCTTTACTTTCTGGAACGATAGAATTACTTGAATCCAATGGCTTTGACGAAGACGATGATGATGAGGAAAATGATCCCGATCTCAAGAACGATCCTATCTTCCAAACTAATCTGAAGGTAATATTTACGCACACTGTCGTCTGACCTCAAACAACAATATAGTTGGACCTACCATATTCTGATGCTAACTCCGTAAACCGCTCTATGCGTTTTGCCTTTTCTTTTTTTTATAGGATTATCTCACAGACTTCTTCCGCAACTGTGCATCCCACAATGTGAACCACTTTATGGATATTTGCCAGCACCACTTGAATCAGGAAGAAAAGTCCAAGTTGGAACAAGGACTGAATCAATAGAACCACACCCTCAGCGTACACCACCCACTTCTTATAATCTAATAGCCGTCATATCGAATTGAAATAAATTGACTTGAATATTTTTTTAACCAAGTTTGTGCACGATCAGACGATTGCATCAGAGAAGGGGCTGGTGAGTTTTCCGAGGTATCGAATGTTTAATTCGTTGCGTGAGGTGGGTTGCTAGGATCAAATGTTTCATCATGATTAACTGTACCTGCCAAAAGGATCTTATTCCCGGTCACTTGGGGGGGGGGGGGGGGGTTCAACCTCGCTTATGCAACCTGTGACTGGGTTGAACGGCAGGGAAAAGAAAAGAATTTGACAGCCAAGTGCTACGAGAAAGTGGTGGGGGGAGCAAAGTAGTGTTGCCAAAAATGCCCTTTTTCTTCTGTGAAAAAAAAAAAAAAAGGCATGCAGCGCCAAGCGAATCATGGAGGTAGTGTGATACTGAGAAGCATTAGGTTCTCAATTACCTTCCTTGGTTACGCCTTCAACATAAACAAAACCATCATTACACAGACTTTTTAGGAGTTCTCCTCGCTCTAGCTGAGCCTAGTCATGGAAAAAGACGTGCCACGATGTAGCAAATAAAAATAAAAGACAAAGAACAATTGTATTTTTTGGTCAGATTCCGTACAAACAATAAGGTCATTCAACAAAGTTCAAACAAAATGTACACGTTTATAAAACTGGTATCAACGGGTGTTATGCTTTGCTGGCATTTATTTGCACTGTGAGAAAGGAATAGAAGTGTGAGTCATTAAGGCATCCCCTCCCCCAAGTTGGAAGATCTACTAGAGGTTCATGCTATCACTCACGTGCATTAAATCCTTGTATATCAAACGCCATAGGGCCTGAAGTATCATATGATGTTGAAGGCTGAGGTATTGACTGATTCTCAGGCAAACCCATGAAGTTGGAGGCGTAGAGACACGAGTTGTTTGCTACAGGGGGGAGAGAGTGGTCAGGGCGCGGCATATCATCATTGATCGGTAGCAAGAAATAAAATTGCCCCTCACCGAAACTAAATGCCTCGTACTCCCAACTCTCCGTGCTTTGATCGTCTTCATCTTCTGCATGTTGTGTGGCATGCACATCATCCAGCACAAAATCCGCATCGCCTATTTTGGCTGGAATACCAAATGCTTCAGTATTGTATCGATTGGTTAATTTGTCTCGGATGGTATCTAATTGTGCAATGAGGATTTCATTTTCTCGCTTGAGATTGGTTATTTGCTTTTGGTATATTTTTTCTTGCACGAACGCTGTTCTGACAAATTCTAGTGCTCGCTGCACAATTTGTGATTTGGAGGGCCGTCGGACCGTTCGGAGGGTAGGTAAAGCATAAGCTAACTCCTGAAATTTGGTGTTGAGTGTTTCACGACGCACACGTTCCATCGCGTTGTGTACCATTCTTTTTTCTGAGGTGGGCTCCTTCATAGATTGTGATATTGGTCTTGATTCTTCTGGAGAGACTGTAACATAAGCTGCTGCTGCTGCCATCGATGGTCTAAAATGTGTAAGATTAGCACACACAAGAAAACCTGCTAACGTGAAATTTTGAGTATATACATCGTTGGTATCCATATATTTGTAGTGTCTAGATCGTTACAGTCCGAAGAGGCTAACGTTGGTAATGCTGTATCTTCTAGAAAGAAAGCGAGGATGAGAATCTGCTATCAGATCCCTTGATGAGAAGGCTTTGCTACAACACATACTTATTGGAGGTGAGTAGCTATCGCGAGACGTTGAGGTTTGTGAGTAAGACGAAGCGTTCGTAGTGGTTGACCTCCTCTGTTTCCTATCTGCCGGCATAGTATAACGTAGGCGAAGGGAAAGAGAAGAGGAGGTCAAGCAGGAAGGGGGTTATAAAAAAAAATATAAAAAAAAAGAGTTGTCACGGCTCACACAAATGTCATTGTGGCGGTTGCATTTGTTGTCAGGTTGGAACGGCTTACCCGATTCTGTTTAAAAGCTTTCTTATTGCACAATTCAAACATTTGGGTGACCATAGTGCCTCAACACCTATTGAGTAGCACATCTACGCTGCTAATAAACTACTACTTTGCTTTCCTCGGTCTTTCATGTTCAATAAAGCAACAAGGATAAAAATAATGGGGAAAAATGCGTATATACAATTCGCGAGAATAACAAACACAACTCTCTAATCCTCATCCGACTCGGACTGTGCAGCTTCTATCCGGCGCTTTTTCTTGTTTGGTCCTTGCAGGTCTCGCATGACTGATCGTTTTCGAGCCATACCTTCTTTTGACTTTTCGATGTCCTCTTGCATAACCTGACTTCGCACGAATATATAGGTTTTGGGTTTCTTGTCGGCAATCTCTTCGTTTTCTCGCTTACTTTGACCTTCTTTGAATCCAAGCGTACGTCGATGAGCATATCCAGGATACATGGAAGGCACAAAAGGGAATGCAGTTTTGGGTCGAAGAAGATCGGTCGCTTTGGCCATGGTCCTTATCGACCACAAATCATATGGTTGTCCCGATTTGAGAGTAACATGAATCTCGCCATCAACCTCGTCGCCTGCTGTTTTACTTTGAAGGAAAGGAGCAGCAGATACAAAGAACGACTTCAATAGTTTTTGATTCGACTGTACATTCCTATCCTGATCTTTGATGCCGGCACCTAAATGATAATAAATACGGTCAGATCATACGGGAAACCTTAGTTCACTCATTCGATAATGGCGACATACCTGCGTGAGGAAAGTTGAAGACTATTTTAGAAAATTTCAGCTTTCGCAAGGCTTTGCACTTTTCCAATTGTGTAGCATCAACCTCGAATAGAACAGTGGCACCTAGTTCCTTAATCACGTCGATATTATCCTTAGCTTCGCCTTCATATTTTTCGTATAATACTTCCTCGCTGTCGTAACATGTTGCTACTAAATTCTCTCCACCATTGGTGATATTTTCTACTAAGCTTCGGGCAAACGAAAAGTTGCCTTCACCCACTAACAGGATCTTGTCCAGGAATTCATACGGAGGCTTCTGTTGTTGCTTTTGTGATGCCGCTTGTTTCTTTTTCCTTTCCTGCTCTAACTGCTCAGTTTTCTTCTGCTTCTCATTCTGCTTCTGCTTCTCTTTCTGTTTCGACAGCAGATTAGACAAGGCTGATTTAAGCTTCTTGGGACCCATAGTGGAGCCGATAGTGGGGTCAAAAATTTCCTACCTGCCTGCTTTTTCTGGGCCTGGCTGTCCACAAGCCACATTTTTTCATGACCGCTGAACAAAACCTAGGACGAGCAAAAATAACTTGCCAGTCCTTCCATTGAACTACCAAGCAGCATCATGTGGAGTGGTAGTTACTCACAGCAATACGTTAATCCACAAAACCTGGAGCTCGCCGAGCAGGAATTAGAAATGTTCATGGATTTATACAACCGGTAATGCTCTCAGCCTTCTTTGTCACAAAGCATGAATCCCAACCCCCTAATGATGTATTGTACTTTCAGCATTCTCTCCAACTGTCGCAATAAATGTATACCCCCAAAATACCATGAGCCTGATCTCAGCAAAGGTGAAATGGTATGCATCGATCGCTGCGTGGCAAAATACATCTCCATTCAAAAGATGTTGGGCAAGAAGATGGAGCAAAACGCTGAGGCCCTTACCAATTTGGGATCCACCGGTGGTGGCCTTCCCAGTACTTTATAATCTAGACAAACGATCGATTTCCATCTTAAAATTCATTGTACCATAACTCCAGATAGATATTGCCTCGATTTTTTATTTCTTCTTTTTTTTTGTCAATATATAAAAAAAAGACATTGTAATTCAATTTGCAAAACTCCTTCCAAAACCTGAGTCTATAGCAGCACCTATATATCGGCGCCTGATACCGGCGTGAAAGCTCCAGCAGCAAGACACAAATTGCGTTTTGTGAATTGAACTTTGTAAATCGGAGTCTGCTTAGTAGGGAATGAAGCAAGGTGGTCTTTGCTGTAAAACGTAAAAATGGCAGTTGAGAAATCAAAGTAACATCGGAATGCAGTAGTAAACAAAAGGAAATCATACCTCTCAGTCACAGACTTCTTGCTGTCATCACCGTCTTTCACTTTATCATCCTTCTTGACCGGCTTATCTTTGCCATTCAGTTTGGCGTCTTTATCCATTTTCATGCGCTTGGCCAACGAATCCGAACTGACATTGCTTCTATCTACGCCGTCCATATCTTTGACAGAAAGAGCGTATGGGGTATCTCTCTTGACATCCCAAACTCGTACTGTACAATCCGCACTACCCGAAACCAAGACATTTCCATCACTGCTGAAATCAAGGGAGTAGATAAAGTCGGTATGTCCAGTCATCGTCTTCATTCTCTTTCCGGAGCCAAGATCCCAAAGCATGACGGTTTTGTCTTCGCCTACGAGTAAAGATAGTCAATTTATGGCTGCCCACGTCAATATTGACTTGTCAAAGAAAATCAACACTTACCAGCTGATGCCATCAATTTACCATCTGGTGAAACAGCCACAGTCTTAACTGAACCTTGGTGGCCAGCAAACACACGCACTGACGCACCCTTTTGAACATCCCAAAGACGGGCCGTTCGGTCACTTGAGCCAGTGACCAAATATTTTGAGTTGGGATGGAATTTGACAGTGTCGACATCGGATAAATGTCCAGCAAATATCCGCAATGGATGAATGTGATCACAGCTCCATAGTCTTGCCGTTCGATCGTGTGATGCTGTGGCGAAATAGAATCCGTATGGGCCAAACTCTACATCCCAGACCGGGTAATTGTGACCTTTGTAAACCACAACATTGCTAAATGTTACTGTGTTCCAAAGACGAGCTGAATGAAGGTATGGTCAGTTATTATGTGGTCTAACCTGCTTATTCGATTTATTTTGTAGGAACAGTTCTCCTTACCAGTTTTGTCTTCTGAGCAAGACAACAAGTACTTGTTGTCATGGCTGAAGCTGAGGCCATAAACTGGTCCTGAATGACCAACAAGCCGCTTGACCGTTGACCCATGTCTCTCCTTCTGGACGTTCAAATCCGCGTCTGCCATTCGAGAATACATCAATTCCTGATACACATCGTCCCTGACCGAGAAATCACCACTTACAATCATTAACTTTGGCCGGAGTAATATTGTTCTTGAGAGATCGCAACTTTTCACCTTTCAAACTCCAGATCTTCACATACGATTCTGAGAATCCTCCTGCTATAAGACTGCTATCCTCTGACATAGATATGCAATTGAGACTGAAGTCCATGACTGTGTTAGTCGATAGTTTGGATCTAGATAGCAAATGACAACGTGTTCTTTACCTGTCGTGTGTATTATGGAACGTATAACAGCATACGCTAGGTAGTGACGTGCTATTGAGAACCAGACGTTTTTGAATGTCTTTGATAGCTTGCACTTCAGCCTGTACATCAGTACCTCGGCTGCACAAAGTGAGTCAATATAATGCGCTAAACAAGGGGATGGCATTCGTTGCAGCTTACGCCACACGTCAACCGCTACATTCCATCGTGAAACTTACTACGGAGGCATCGGTATGTCACCAAATGCAGGTCCATTCGGTACTTCCTGTTGAGCTTTTTTGTATGTTTCTAGCAAGGATACAGAAGGCTCTCCATTCATGACCTATATAGATTCGGTCAATTAGCTCGTACACACAAAATACCGACTCTCTTCGCTTATACATACAACGTCGGCACTAGCACGTTTGGCATCTTCTTCCTTCAAAGCTTGTTCGACTTCCTCTTTAAAGTTATTGTCAGTTTGTAGCTTTCCAAGCTGAACTTCCTGTTCATTGAATGCGTCTAGTTGTTGCGCTGCATGGCCAACGATTCCTATAACATCATCGGATTCTATTGTGCCTTTGCTCTTTCGAAGTTTACCGTGTGCAACTTTAAAAAAGTAATGATAAATAATCGCTATGATGTGACATGGTTAGCTGATTGAGATTTCCTCACCTTGAATATTAAGGTATTGGTTCACTATTCGAAGTAGAAGCATGAACTTGTTGTCTTGAAGGTAATTGAGGAAGAGTTCGAAAGGAACGGATGACATTCGCATTATGTATTTGTTTTGACGATATATTTGAGCAAGCTCGTTTTCCTGTACATGACTCTCGTTGGTGATGGTTGCTAGTCGGTTGATGTCGGGGGTATGGAGCTCAAGATGGTCGTGCTTGTACGTATCCATAAAGTGTTTTGCTGTAATGCATGTCCCATGAGTATGGTAATGTTCCATTATATTTCCACGCTACAGTGTGTATCATTTACCTTGCTCATACAACTTCTTTGAAATAAGGTCGAGGTACGAATGTACAAAGACAGGAAATAGGACTGATCGTAGCTCGGGCTTTGTTCGTGGACACTCGTTAGATGGTTGCTTCTTAGCTCAAAAAAGTAATCATGGTGACAACATACCTTGTACCAATCTAATGAGTTTTCAATCCAACCTCGAAGACTTTTGTAACTAATGTCATAAGCATCGGGATTTCCGGCTTCTGCTTCGGAATAGAATAAGACATGATCTGACATGGAGGGATCGTCCTGTGGTCGGAATCGGCTGGACATTTCGCTCAATGGAATGGTTTTGGAGCTAGCTTCTCGCCGAAGCATGGCTTCTGTCTGTCGATAACCCTTCTTTTGCAAATATTGTGCAACAATATGATCGAGTTCTTGGGATGAGTGAGTGCCGCCCGACTGTTGCCCATTGGTGGTAGCATTCTGACCCGACTGTGATTGGGATACTTGCTGCTGCCCGGACATGTCCGATTCCGTTTTGACACCGTCTTCTGCAGGCTGACTAGGTGATTTGGACATTTGGTCGATCGATCACTTGTATGAATTGAACCTTTCACGAGCGCGTTTGAGCTTCGCGGACGATGAATGCTACGTCACACCTATTTTCAAATATAAATAAATCAGTAAAATCACTTTTTTTGGGGGTCCGTCCTTGCCATTTCATTGTACGGCGATAGAATTCATGGAAACCTTGTGCGTGAGTATTAAGCATGGACCTTAGAAACGCAGCAAATTGCCGCACCAGTCAATATCGGTACTGAGGTACAACACTTTAAAATGCCAAATCAGTCCATGCGCTCATATGGGTTGCATTATTATGGTCGCGCTTAAAGTTTTATGTTCTGAAATTCTAAATTTGTTTACCTATATCCATCAAACACTACTTGTAACAATTGTAGGAAATCATATTACAGATCTGCGTTGATGATAATGTTTAACTCTACCGTTTGACACCATTATTTTACATGCTTGACTACCATTTCTGCTAGGTCAAGTGCGATCACTATAGCCGACCGCATGGCGTTCCCTTCCGTGAGGCTTCCGCTCCACAACTCTCGGGGTTCGACAATGATGAAACAGCTTCGAGAAACATATCTCCATATCTCAAAGATGAGCACATTTTACTTCAGAATTGTGGTTCTTTGCCCACCTCGGTTAGATGCGAATGTGACGACAAAATATAAAAAGACAAAAATCCGAGGTATCCTGTTGAAAATATGTATAGCGAAGACAAATTGCTTAGTTAATCGCTTCATATGACGTTAGTTTGAAAGCCATTAAGGATTAGATAACCTGCTGGTGTTTAGCTTGAAGTGGCGAATATCACATCACAATGTACTACTGTCTTCACAAACTAGTTGTCGATATTTTACCATACCTTCAGCATGAGCTTACTTCATGCTCGTCTTGATAATGATGAAGGGGGTAGCCACGGAAAACGGGTCATTGTTGAATACCTCGGGATGCATTCTCAGAGGAGCAGGTGACCATCTCGTTTAGGCAGTATGAGATTGTACCTGCAACCTTTCCGTTCAAGGTTTCTGGTTTGTCCGTTAATGGACATAATGTGGGAACGGCTGTCTTACATTATAGGAAGTTAGCCATTCGCCAATCTTCCGGGCAACTTACGATCAGAAGAAAAGCGCATCCCTAAATTGTGGCTGCATGACAAAATGGATCCAGAACAATATGACTCTTGGAAGTCAATTCAAGCAAAAACTAGACTTCAGGTAAGACGTGCTATGAATATAGTTTTATAATTACTACAGCAGATCTGGATTTGAATACCCCGCATTTCTTAGTGTTTTCTGTGGATATTGGAAGTCAACTTGAAAGGTGTTTGGAAATTTCGTGGGGTAAGGATCATCGCATCGCTCTAAGTCCCAACGCCATACCATTTTACCAAGCTGAGTTGATACCCAAATGAAGGTTGCTTTCGGGATTTTGGGTTTAGAACCACCCCGCTGCTCCCCTCCACTCCTAACCATAAGCTCTAAGCAGGGAAATCCTTTTTTAGAAAATAGGTCGAAGCACATATAAAAGGGGCTGTCCTTGAAACTTTGCAAGCAACATCTCTCCTAGTTTTGATTACCTCAAACACAAAATGACAGAACCTAAAACCCTCGAGGCTGGAGAAAAGAATGCAAATCCTGGAATAGCAGCTAGCCTTAAGCGCCTGCTTAATGGTGGAGAAGGGCATGGCACACAATATCTCATTCCTGGAGCTCTTGTCACATTTCTCTTCTTCTTGTGGGGCTTTTCATACGGCATGTTGGACACTTTGAACAGCCACTTTCAGTCTGTCTTGGGGATCAGTAAATTACAGTCTACATGGTTGCAAGTAGCATACTTTGGTGCATACTTTGTGATGGGATTCCCACTATGGCCACCGTAAGTGACAATGTCATTTTTGATCTAAGCTATAAAGTTTTTTTTTTCTCACCACTCTGGACATTAGGGCTGGTCACATCATGCAACGATTTGGTTACAAGAAGGGTATCATTTTTGTAAGTGCTGACAGAAACCCACCTTGTCTCGATATCAATGTATGTAATATTTCCTTTCCTGCGCATTCAAAGGGTTTGTGCCTGTTCGTCATTGGTGCGATTTGCTTTTATCCCGCCGCTATTTCACTGCAATATGGTGCTTTCGTTGGTTGTTTGTTCGTCATTGCATGCGGCCTCGGTACACTCGAAAATGGTAGGGATAATCAGATTAAAAAGTTAACGTTGGTGTAAAACGCCTTTTCCATTGACACGCCACCAAATTGTAGCCGCAAACCCTTATATCACTGCACTCGGATCTCCCCGTTGGGCATCATTCCGTATTAATGCCGCTCAGGCTTTCAACGGTGTTGGAACTTTTATCTCTCCATTGATTGCTTCAAAGGCTTTCTTCGGCAACACTGACGACTCAACTGCCAGTACCGCCGACAAGCTTGTATCCGTCAAGTGGGCTTATGTTGGCATTGGATGCGGTAAGGAAATAATTCCCACGTACTGAATAAAAATGCTGGTCATACCGTGCTGACATCTCCATCAACACATAGGTGTCTTTGTCATCATGCTTTTGTTCTGTCTTGCCAAGATCCCTGAGATTGATATGGAAGCTGAAATTGTCGAAGAGAGTGGCGAAAAGAAGAGAGCCTCTATGTGGTCGCCACATTACTTGCTTGGTATTGTTGCCCAGCTCTTATACACTGGCGCACAAGTATCGCTTGCAAGTTTCTTCATCAACTTCGGTACTGACGTTGGTGGTTTCTCAAAGGCTGCCAGCTCTACGTATTTGTCATACGGTCAAATTGCATTCACAGTTGGTCGATTCGTTGGCACCTTCTTGATGCGATTCATGTCATCTTCCAATCTCATGGGTATTTTCGCTGTTATTGTTACCATACTTAACATTGTCGTCGTCGCGGTACCCAATCCAAACATGACCTTCCTTCTGATCGTCATCATGTTTTTTGAGAGTATCATGTTCCCCACAATTTTCGCCTTGGCAACTAAGGACTTTGGACGTAACTACAAGACCGCCAGTTCAAGAGGTATGTCACAATCGCTGTATACTTACCGTCCAAACCAATTCTAATAATTCAATTTATCTTTTCTAGTTGTTGCTTGTGTCTGTGGTGGTGCTATTATTCCCCCATTGCAAGGTGTCATTGCGGAAAAGAGAGGAACCCAGTTTTCCTTCATGCTTCTGATCTTCTGCTACGCCTATGTTGTCTTCTACTCATTCTTCGGTTGCCACTGGATCAAGTATGTAGACGTCGATGATAGAACCGATTTAGATGACATTCAGCAAGAGGTTCAAGAGAAGAATCATCGTGAACAGCCAGAAGACTCTCAACCTGTTGCTGATGATGTCCATCATGACAATGGAAAATTTTATTAATATCGTAGTGTAACTCAGTAACTGCTGGCTAGTAGCTTAAACCCCTTTGATGAGTGTATGTACATAATACAGTGATTTGTGATAATTACCATTTGTTAGTGACGTTTCCATTAGCCCAATTCAATGAAAATGACAGCTAGCAGGCTTAATATTTATATCAATGACACGATTGGCAGTGGTGCTCAGGCATTATTTTTTTCTTTATTACATCTGCGCTCTTCTTCGAGTGACCGGTCTAACGTAACTGTACATGATGTTTTGAATAAGTTGGGAAAAATGACTTGAAAATTGCGTTGACTTGTGATGTCCAGCTTCAAAATGAATCAAAATTTGGGAGGGAAGTTGGAGGTACAAGTTCATGGAAAAGGATCGATGAACATTAAGCTTCCCCTTCTTGCTGCTCTTCTTCCTCAGCCACATAATCGTCATCTCTTGGAAGTACTCGCGTGACCACCTCCAGGATGTCGTCCAATTCCTCACCGGTGTATCGTTCTTCGCATTCTTCTATAAGCTATTTGAAAGATGATAACGACCGATTAGCTCGATACAAAGCTATGGCAGTAAAGGAAAATAAAAATATTGAGGAAACATTTGAGAAAACTAAGTGAGAACTTACAATGTGCAGTTCAACGGGTGTCTGTGGTCGCAAATTCAAGATCTGTAGTTTTTCTGCTTTGGTTAAAGACCACTTCTTCATTTCTTCTAGAAAGGCTACAACTTGACGCTCGTCTTGCGTGCTACACGCAGATTTCTCCAACGCTGTCTTGATCTATAGACAATTGGTTAGTTGTTGTCAGTGATCGGACCATTGCATGAGGATCCGCATGTTACCTCGAACTGTATGGTGCGAAGATTCTCAGCATATTCGGTATTTGGGTATTCTTTCTGTCTCTGCTTCTGTGACTCCATACGCTCATTCAGAAGCTGTAATACTTCAAAGTTACTGAGTAATGCTGCTCGTGATTCTATGACTTCCATGGTGCTAGGTTGGAGAAGTAGTAAAAAAAAAATCTGAGCTGCAATTTTAACAGGCACTCTTTTCTTCACTTTTTTAACATTATGGCGCGTGTTGAAATCTCCTCACTATCTTTAACAGCATCACAACCGCTAATACCTTTATACACACAGGACAGATACCTAGCACCTACCAGCGCTGAATAAACTCTTTTTAATGCGATTTATTGTCTGTAAAGTTGTATAGTACAGGAGATACTTAATCTCATTTCATTCTTCAGGATATATCATTTCGCTGCCCTCTTTCTACCTTGCTTGCACGAAGGTGATATACCTTACGTAAGTCACGAAACTGTTTAACAAAGGTATCATGATCCAAGCTCCCATCCAAAAAGCTTTGCGCCACTGACTCGGACAGATCGTCACACTCCAGTGCGGCCGCTCGTAGTCGACCGATAATGTTGGCAGTGGAAAATCTCTGTTACAATGCAAAAAAAGGTCAACCACACGATCCCAGGGAGGTATTGACGCCAAAGAAAAATTATTCAAGACTTACATTGAATGCTGCTTGCTGTCGCTGGTCATTTTCTTGAAACTGTTGCCAAACCTCTCTCCATTCAGCATCCAGTGCTGATACCTCTTGTTGAAGCTGTTGAAGATCATCTTTAACAGATAGGTTTCTGTCTGTAAGACAAATTGTGGTTACTCAAGCTGCACCGCCATTTATGTCATTACCGTTACCCTATTCATGAGACTTACTAGCAAAAAGCTCATTACCCCTCCTAAGCTCTTCTTGTACTGTCTTCTGCTCTTGAACCTGGTCCAGCTGTTGGAAAAACATTTCGAATGCCGATTCGTTAGACAAAAGCTCCTCCAGCTCTTCGTTACTAGTCGAAGAAAACATTATTAGCCCGAGCGTCCGCATTGGGATCCCAAAACTGAAAACTACATACGACTTTGATTTGATTATATTAGCTTCGATTGCTAGGGTAGAGGATAACGAGTCGTGTATATTGCTCTGAGGTTGTGCACTATTGTTGTCTCGAGGTATTGGTGGGGGTGGCCGTGAACTATATCTGTCATTTCAGAGAAAGGCGGGTCAACGGTTTATAGATACTAATAGCATGCTCCTAAATGCCAACTTACGATACTGGGCTAGTAACCGCGATCCAGTCATCATCAACAACGTCCGACTGCGCACTTCTCACAGGAGGGGCACGAATGAACTCTTCTCGAATCTCTTGTAGTATTTTCCCAAGATTACTTTGAGAGTTCCAGTTCTTTGCATGCAACTTTTCTTGCCACGTAACGACGTTCGACTCTATCCAAGGATGTCTCAAATCATTTGGACTGACGGTGATGATCGGTGGATCCTGGGGAAACTCTGAAGGTACGTTTATGAGAAGACTTATATCTAGACTCCCGGCAGAGAAAGGCAACTCATATTGCTTTTCGGGTGTGAGTTCTTTGATGTGATCATTATAGGTAAAAAGAGACGTTATCTGTTTCCGTAACCTAGTGGCCTCCGTTAATTAAAGTTGTAATGGTCATACTGTTCAGTGTAGCGGAAATGGTCATATACTTACTGATCTTGTTGTTGTGATGGATCGGGAGTCTGTGATCTAGAGGACTTTCGTCCTGTCGAGCCCCACATTTTGTCCGTTGTAAGAAGCTGAAGTAATCCGGATGCTGAAAGGTGGAGAGACACCTTGTGGGAGGGCGGATCTTGAATATTCCATCCCACCTTGGCATTTCAGTCAGTTGGCGCAGACGTCATGGATTGACTTTTCATTCCAGCATACTTTATATCCCATAGAGAACGTCTGCAACTCTTCAATTCTATTAAAATATGGTCTATAGCCTTGGCAAATTTGGAATAATAAACTATTTCTACTTAATCGAAATTTCACCATGCAACAGCTCCATCGTCAAGGTGACACGGATTTCACCAGCAGACCGGGTATTACCACAGTTCCTGAACGTATGGACTGCTTAGATATTAATATTATCGATCTACAACTTTCGATGGAGCTTTCATAAGCACGTAAGTATGCTCATAAGGACTTTAAACGAAGAACTTTGGGTTTGGCTCAGTTCAATGCATATCTTAAAGTGGAGAATCACGAGATTCGCTGATCCAAACTTTTCGTTCCTAGAAACTTACCTTTTTCTGTTCTTCAACTTTTGCGCAACCACAAACTGCAGATGGGCTTTAGAGATAAACTTGATTCACTTGTACATGGTGGTGTTCAGCAACCGGCTTCCCATGAACGCAAGAAGAATTACGAACTAGGAGAGGTCCTTGGTAATTGTTGCATAGAGAAGATTATTCTCTGCCGTAAAGCTAGGCTGCATTCGCCTAACTCTATTTATTCACAGGAAGTGGCTCATACGGATCAGTCAAGCGGGCAACACGTATATCTGACGGTCTTGAAGTTGCCGTCAAAATCATTCCCAAGAAGAATGTCACTGGTCACTTCGACATGGTTCTTAGCGAAATGAACGTCTTGAAGGGCGTTGACCATCCCAACATTATTCACTTTTATGATTGGTTTGAATCAAGGTGAGGAAAGCAGATGTTTACTTGTTATAGATGGCAAAACTCACCGGTATTCTTTATTTAATGACAGAGACAAATTCTATCTTGTTTTCGAGCTGTAAGTGAATATTATCCTCAGGTCATGCAAAAGGAAAATACATCTCACCAACTATGTAACAGGGCCACAGGTGGTGAACTCTTTGATCGAATTTGCCAACGTGGAAAGTTCACTGAAAAAGATGCCGTGGAAGTTATAAAAACCGTCCTTTCTGGTTTAGAGTACCTTCATAATCACAACATTGTACACAGAGGTATGATCTGTTCTTATCTCGACTGGAAACGTACACTGCCAAAATTAATTCGAAATTATAGATCTCAAGCCCGAAAACTTGTTGTATAAAACTGACGATCAACACAGCGCACTGGTGATTTGCGACTTTGGGTAAAAATATGAACGTTCTGGCGTGATAAATATGATAAAAGTAATCTGACTCTTTGTTCTTTCTAGTATCGCAAAGACCGTTGAAGACGCCGCTTCAGTCATGACGACTGTTTGTGGATCACCGGGCTATGTTGGTAAGGGTTTCTCTACATAAAACAAATTGGCTGCAATCTCAAAATCTCACCACTCGCTATTATGTCACTGTAGCCCCAGAAGTGCTACTTCGAAAAGGATACGGCAAACCTGTTGATATTTGGGCTATCGGGTAAATACCGTCTGACAATATGTTATGATAGACATGCACACACAAGCTTATACAAATTATCTCTTGCAGAGTGATCACATATACACTGTAAGTAATTATGAGGATCAACAGAGACAAGGATACTGTCCTTAACCTCGAAATATTTCAGTTTGTGTGGCTATCAACCCTTCCAAGCAGAGGACCAAGCGGAAATGTTGACCCAAATTACAAATGCTCACATCGAATTCCATGACCGTTATTGGAGAAACGTCTCACAAGAAGGTATGGAAAAGTGAAACATACCATGCTTTGATTCTTGTTTTGCGTACCTGACCGCTCCACTATATAGCCAAAACTTTTATCAGGGAGCTCATGAACCCCGTTCCGGAAAAACGTCTGACTGCCACTGAAGCTTTGAACTCGCCATGGATTTCCTCCAACTCTCCCAAGGATGATTATGATCTCATCGATCAAGTGCGCGAAAACTTCAACCCACGAGCTAAATTTGCTGGAGCCATCAAGGCAGTTGCGGTCATGAATCGCATGAAGACAGTCCATACTGATACGTCCAAGTTGGTTGCTCACGACGAGGCCAGTATTACTGATATGATTGCGGAAAATGAAGAAGCACTTAACTAGCGCTTTGTTTCCTGAATGGCCATGAACCTGTTTATCTCATTTTTGAAGTAGCCCATCTTGTTGTTCTAGCATTTTAATCAACGCTATATCTATTCTTACCATGCTCCACTGTACTTTTTATATAACTGCAGAAAGGTTTACCCAATATTTAAGAACGATTCTGACAAATGCTGGGCACGTTACTATGTGGATGGGTTTTGGGTTACCTAGGTGTATTCATGACCTATCATATCGGAAGCCACGTTAAAGCCCAAAAATTATGATCTATGAAGGGACAGCAACCATCAGTTCAATAGACCATTACGCTATCATTCATTCTCATACAGTTTGTTTCAATTTTAGATATCCAGCGACATATAAAAAAAACCATTGTGAAGAAGTGCAAAATTTATGCGGGTTATGTGGATTGAACACATGACCTTCAGATCTTCAGTCTGACGCTCTCCCAACTGAGCTAAACCCGCTTCTCTGAAATTTGGACCACACATCAATAATCATTGCAACAATACAATTCTGATTCTTGAAGATTTACTTTATCTTCTACTTCCAATTCGTTAAGCACCTTTCTTCTACTTTATTCTCATCTTAAATGTATGATGAATTTCAATTAATGATTCTGCAATGATTTATTTAAATTCCGGAGTTTTCTAGGTATACATGCATAGTTTGCAGTTCAGTGAGCTGATCGTGGTGATGACACATAAGATGTGTGCATATTTCGTACGTTAGCCATTTTACTTCTTTTCAGGACAGCTAGAGTCTGCTTTATGAAGAAATCTTTTTTTATGTAACCCACAATTTACTCCCTGCTCTTTTATAATTTGAAAAATAAACTTTACCTGACTAGCCTCGTAATTATCTCCATATACAATCCTGTCTGCTATTACATAAATTACTCCTAACGTTCCTGATTGAAATATCAGACTTGAGCATAAACACTCAACCAGTGCCATCATAAAGTCAAAATTTGTTGAACAATCCAAGTCCTCGGTAGTCAGTCATCCCATTAAAAAAAAAAATTCTGGCATTGAAAATTAAAACATTTACTCTTCCACAGGATGGGCTTTTTCGTACTGTCCCAGTATCACCAAGTTCCTTGCTCTCTGACATATATATAGACATGCAGTTTATTTACACTTATACTGAATATCCAGAAGTAGTTGGTGTCCAAGTAAATTGCAGTTCTCAAAATGACGTTAATCATCAGTAGCTTAAGCTTTTCTGCGAATTTATCGCCTTTGAAAATTATGAACTTCTATTCTTTAAAGAACATATCTACGAAAAGTGGATACTAAGTCAACATGATGTTACTTGAGCAAGCTCAGCTAACAATATTGGACACTGCTCTTTTAAGTAGCGAGAGATAAATTGCGCAACACAACCCAAAAAAAAAAAACCAGTTTCAACTAGCTACCAGAAGGAATGTCAAATGGACGAAAAAGAAAAAAAGAAAAAACATCCGTGCAAAGCTATGCAGGTTCAGCATAGCGAGCAGTACTTTGCAAATAATAATCCTCTATCTGATAACATGTCATTAGGAGAGGCTGCTTTGTGGTGTTCCCCTTGGAAATTCATGCATCTCCTGACTCTGGGCCAAAAGAAGTAAAGAAAAGCTCATAACTTTAATATCATTATGCTTGTAAAGAAACATACGCGATAATGCTCGAGCAACAACATCTGTTGTATTATTTAAAAATATCTCATAAAAATCAGACCATTAAGAGCCACTAATCGCAGAGCTAAAATCTTGGCAATAAGGAAATGTGCCAAGAAACATAAAGGGTGTACCAGGCCGCTGATAGCCAACGCCGTCGCCAAGCGACAGTGGCCAAATTGTAGATAGTAGATAGCTCATCGCGGATACTACGTGGACACGTTCTTATTTCCTTCTTTTGCTATAGTCAGTTTAATTCTGCTGAATTGACCAGATACTTGCATGATGAGTAACGAAGAAAATTAAAAACTCTATATCCCCAAAAATTCAAGCGAGTTTGTCGTGTATGAGGTATAATTGTATATCAGAATAAACTAAATCATGACATACAAATACAGTATCTCTTCTGAATAATATAGAGACAGGTATAAATAGAAAATGTTATATCTTTTCGACTTTTATTCACTTCTGCCTTTGACTCCGGTGAAATTTATCGCAGTTTTGTTCTGCGGACAGGGAAGCAGAAGTGATTTTTTTGAGAGAGGAGTTCTTATTCACATGCAAACGCTGCGACTGTTCAAATTTTGGGTATGAGCGCAAAGATTACTCCAGCATAAAAGTGTACCTTAACAACTACCCATTGCCCACCCACCCAAACATTCGTTGTGAATAGCAACGGTAACACACTCAGCCCATTCAGCCTGCAGAACAGACTTTAAAGATTGAGCTAGCTATACCATGCGGCTGAGAAGCTCATGGTATACACTCTTGTCATTTGCAGCCTTTGTTGCAACATGTGCTGTTTACCTTCGGTCCTTTTCTCGACTACAAGATGCCTTCGTGACAATAGTCCAGCCTGGTAGCTTGGATGACCTTGAACAACTTGGCCGCTTCATCGAAATTTTAGACATTGACGCTGTAGAACCTGATGGACAACGATTGGCTCATCAGCTGGCTGACGCTTCATTCTCGAACTCTCACCTGCAATTTCTACCAGCTTTCATAAAGTATATTGAAGGAGAGAAGATCGCTGTTCTGGTAATGATTTGCGGAAATAACGCTGTATCTTATTTTGCTTGCGGTTAACCTCTGATCCCTTCCAGGTCTGGGTTAATATGTTTTACTGTTGCTTGGTTTTGATCGGAAAGGTCATAAGCAAAGCAATCTTCGGCCGTATTATGAGATCTGAAAATCAGGCAAGTTTTATTGTCATAGTGAACACGTAGAAAGGGGTGACTCACTAATGCACAGACGATACTATTACTTTCAACAGCATCTGTACGACAATATGCTCAACTTTATCCTATTCAAGGTGATTTTCATTTGTACTGTCATGAATCCTCGCTGGGGTCAGGTTCTTGTATTGGCTCTTTGGATCGGCATTCTTGGCTTTCTACATATCTTTTGTAAACTTAGTCGTGATCGATTTGATCATGTAAGTATATTCTCGTCTTTTTTAAGTTACACCTTTGGCTTTTGGTAACATCTATGGTGTGTTTCAGCTCTCTGTTACGCCATCTGTGCCCATGGTGGGCTTGTATAAAATTGTCGGGCTATTGTGCTTTATCCTCATTAGCTGCTTCTTATGGTACTATGGCTGCCTTCACCTATTCCCTTCCATGCTTACGTTTCTTACACTGGAGGTAAGTTCTTGTTTGTGTTAACCATGATTGCCTACGAACGTGGCATTGATCAGATTATATTATAGACTGTTCCCGTAGCTATCGATACTAGTCAATTATTAATCAAATACGTTGCCCATATCATCGATAATTTATTCGAAGATCAAATGGAAAGCAAAGGTGTCATAATGTACTACTCCGAATTGACTGCAGATCTGCTTATCCTTCTCTGTACCATTCTACAGTATCTTCAACTGCTGGTAAGTATCAAGCCTCAATAGTTTATACCGGTCTATTTGTTTCCCGTCTTCAGCGCTAATTTAGTATATCATCAGTGGATGCATGGAAAATCTTTTGGCTGGACGGACATAATCCTGTTGCTAAATTTGAGAAGTGCTTTTAAGCACCTTGGAAGGAAAATCACCACACATGGTGTCCATTGGAAGGCCTTGACAACCATCCGGTCCTCGTAAGTACCAGCATTAGGATTCATGAGAAAAGCATACGAGTTGAAATTCATGTTCTTTGCTTTATTCTACGTCAGTTATCTACATGCAACTTCGCATGATTTGCTTTTATATGGCGACCAATGTGCGATATGTCGTGACAAAATGAAAGAAGCTACAAAGCTACCATGCGGTCATTGCTTTCACCTTAGCTGCTTGCATTCTTGGATTCATCATCGGCCCTTTCAAGCAACTTGCCCTACCTGCCGAAGTACTATCGGACCATCACCGTCACTCGACAATACGAGTGCCGAAGCTGCTGTAACGTAAGTTCAAAGCTCTCCATCGTCATTGCATTAACTTGAGCAATTTATCTGATATTGTTCATTTAGATCTTCCATCTGGGGTGGTAAATACCTGTTAGCACTGTTGCCTTGGAACATAGAGGTCAGCTTGACGGCAAGAAATCCTCACTATGACGATACCTCTTCTGTATACAGTGTAGACGATCGAGATGAAAACCTTCCCTCTGGTCTACCCAGCGGCTCCAGCACTCCATACCGAACAGCTTCTTATGCTGACCTCCATAACAGATGACGCCTCCAAGAAACACACACATCGCATTGCCCAACACATCATCAATGACTTCACCATAACAATACCCTTTACATCCCTATCTGTAAACGAATTCCTGACAAATTTTTTTTGGCTCTTTTCTTTTTCATCCCCATAAGCTCCCCCGGTAATAAATCATACATGTTGTAATTCCTTCACCATCACGAATAACGCTGTGTTTGATTGAGCAATCTATTTGTATGGCGTATGCCTGAACAGACGAATTACATTTATAAGCTGCCTTTCATTCTACCATCTACTGTACAAATACCCGATATTGGTTTGAATCTCTTGCTGTAGGCATTTTACTGTGGGCTGCCTGGTGGAGTCATCTGTAGCGCATAAATACATGTGTTTAGTATTCACGTGGTATACAGCCGCTCGAAAGATATACGCATTGCGTCTTACCTGTTGGCTCAACTCGCCAAAGCGGGCACCAACTCGCTCAGAGTGCTTCAAGAACTTGTCGGCGCACTTGTTAACGCAAGCCTCCTGCAAATCGTCGGACCGACAGAGTTAGTAATGCAAAGCCTTAAAAGAAGTCAGTCTAACAGTATACTGACCTCCTTGGATGTGACACCCTTGGTTGTGAAATCATTGACGCAGTCGTTGAAGCAGCGTTGGACCAAGTTGCTATACAATCGAAGGAAATCCTTCATCTAATTTAAGGTGCATTAAAGATTAATCCAGGTATAACGATTTCAGCAGAGTTTGCATAAAATACATACTTGCTTGTGCTCAATCATTTGAGCAATTTGGGCCTGCTCGGCTTGGTTATAGCGTTGGAAATCCATGACTCTGTGTTGATAATTACAAAACTTGGTATTGAGTCGTTTTCGAAAATTCAAAGTGACAAAACAGGGAGACGTCACAGAAAAGCAGTCAATTGTTTCGAGTGAGAGGGATTTCTTCGGCCAGAGTGACAATTCGATGCCACAGAAGACGGCCCACACTGTACACTGGCTTACCGATATGTGAATTGATTTAATTGGAAATGAAAGCATTATGAACTTTGCTTAACTTTGCACCCAAGTGATGAAATTAATGATAAGTGCTTTGGGTAAAATAAATATATCATTTAATTTCTCTCATAACGAATACATCCACATGCAGTAATAGCGGTAGCGCTACTTCAGGACGGGATGAAAGTACTTTATGGAAAAGGGTACTCACATGAGGTTAAACATGGAAAACATTGTAGTTACCAGGAGAAACTTATGACTTTCATCCATGTTCTCCATGTGTGGCTCATCTGTTCCATCTCAGTTTCTGCATCAGGCACGTCAAACTCGCTGTGACTTACTTGACTCTTTACAGCAGCTATTGTCTTTCTTGAAGCTAACAAACAACCTTATGCTGTATGTACTGCACTACTATAGAGAGCGATGACTCTATGTTTCACTTTACGATAAATATCGTGTACTTCACTTCATTCACCCTTGGAGTGAGAGTACAAAGTGCAATTCACCTATTATTGACGTGACGAAATTAATCTTACGTCAGACTTTATTCTCAATGGGAGGAAGACGTTCACACTATGTTTCGGAAGGACTATTGCCTCGTAGCTAGGCCAAAAAACCGAAAATGCTACCTTGATGACCCTGAATAACGTAAACTATCCAGACGTGATAAATTACATGAAACACCATTTCTTTCATCCGCCTTTAATTTTTTTACATCATTGCACAAGTAACGGTTACAGCTGGTACATTGAGACACTTCACAGCAAAACACATCGTCTTCTAAACTTGACTCTTCAGCTTCCCCTCGCAAAGCACAAAGGCAAGGAATCATAATCAAATAGCAAATACAAGTGCACGTTTTCCAACAGAAGTGGTGGTATTGGAACATCTTAATCGACGTCGAGGTGCATTTCGTAATAAGGGATACAATCACAGGGAGATGTTGACCCCACGGTGATAAAAATAGCATTGAGGTGAAGCTGTTGTTGGAATGTTAAACTTGTACTGCAGTGGCAATTCATTATTAAGGCCAGCCAATAGTACGATGAGAGTATAATCACATGGAGAACTTTTGATCCATGAATGGGGTCTCACTTTCACCTGGCCAACACTGGCAAGGACCATCCCAAAACAACAATACTACGCCTCGTATTTGTAACCGTCATGGTCGATCAACAACGTCAAGAAAGTACCAAGGAGGCATTCACCGATGTCTAAAATATGAGTTGACACTCATACTTCATAATAAAGAAAAAGAGAATGATAACAAAACTAATAAGAAGAACATGACTGCTGTTCAGGCACCAAGGGCTGGTACGCACGAGACAAATGACAATGATCCTGCGAGGTTCGGAGGTTGATGACAGAGTTAAAATTAGCGCTCTCTCGTTGTCGTCTTTTTGCCTGTAGCGACAGCTTCTTCATTACTATACCCGGACTTTGGAAAGCATTCCACCTTTGCAAAAAAAGTAATGTGTTGTGTTGTTATGAAAAAAAAACGTTTTCGGATGCAATTTCCGTTACGTTAATGTTTCATTTGATCCCTGGAACGCATAACAAACCGAATGTCAGCCCCACCTGCAGGTGGACAGGGACCATCAGATTTTCTGCTTTACACTTTTTCTCTGAGAGGTAGAAGTGGATGATTGGGGCCATGAAAAATTGACGTGTATCAATTTAGGAGTTTGAATGGCAATTTGATCAAAGGTACCTTGCTTGCGCCAACCCGTCTAAAGATTCCTAGGTTGGAGTCTCATACCTTTTTCCATCGGTATATGTTTGAAAAACGGAATGGACATGTTTGTTCAACGCTGCAGACCCATTGATCCCCATTGGCGTATCGAGCAAGTCCTACCTCCACGTGTTTGCAGACACTTTGCTCATTATCGCTGGCAAAGCTCACTGCTTCCTACCCAAGTGGCTTCGTTCCGCGGCTCACGAGCGGGGAGGCGTGCGCGCTCTCTTAATTTCATACGATCATACTGATTACCAGTTGATGTTATCAATAAGATATTTGATTTGATTTGGTTTCTCTTGCGGTTTTGAATGGGTCGACTTGCCGTGTCAGAATTATAAATATTATTGAACCTTATAGCCGATTTTAATTTTGCCGATTGGGATTTTTTAGTAACAAATTTAGTGGGGCTTGAAAATATCCGGCGTGCAAGCTGAGAGGCTGAGAGTTAGCGCACGAACTGCCGCGGAAGACCTAAAATTAGGTCTTGACTGGCAAAAAAAAGACGGAGGGAACTCGTTGGCTATAAAATGGCCCAAGTCGTGTCAAACGCTGTGTTCTTTTCCCTCCCCATTTCCTTCCCTCTCTAGCATCTAAACAATGTGCGGTATCTTTGGCTATCTTAACTACCTCATCGAACGTGACCGTCGCTTCATCTTCGACACTTTGACTCAAGGTTTGTCCCGTCTGGAATACAGAGGTTATGACTCTGCTGGTAAGTTATCATACGTAGTTAGGGCTGGGGCAAAGTTTGGGTAACTGACCTGATTTGGTGATTCGTAACGTAAGGTGTGGCCGTCGATGGTGACTCTGAGGATGAGGTCATGATTGTTAAGCAAGTCGGAAAGGTTGCTGCTCTCCGCAAGTTGATTGATGAGCAAAAGCTTGACTTCCACAAGACCTTCATCAGCCACTGCTCTATGGTAAGGACCAACACGGTATATCCATGGAAGGCTGTGTGTGAGTGGACATCTGACATTCTATTTTCGCTTCATAGGCACATACCCGTTGGGCTACTCACGGTCAACCTTCACCCATCAACTCCCATCCTCACCGATCTGATCCCACCAACGAGTTTGTCATCGTTCACAACGGTATCATCACTAACTATAAAGAACTCAAGACTGTCTTGGAGAAGAACGGCTATGTGTTCGAGACCGAAACCGATACTGAGTGCGTTGCTAAGCTCACCAAGTACATCTATGACAGAGAGAAGACCAACGGTAACTTGACCTTCACCGCTCTTGTCAAGGCTGTCATCAAGGAGTTGGTACGTTGTTGTTTGATGATCTTACCCTCCGTTTTGCCCCTTCTGTCCACTAACCCTTGTCTCGTATATAGGAAGGTTCATATGCTTTCATCTTCAAGAGCAAGCACTTCCCTAACGAAGTCGTTGCCACCCGTCGTGGTTCTCCTCTCTTGGTTGGTGTCAAGACCGCTAAGAAGCTCAAGGTTGACTTTGTCGATGTTGAATTCGGTAACGCTGCCGAAAGCGGTGAAGGCAGTAAGTATTTCATGTTGCTTTGCTCTCCCGCTTTTTTCAAAGTAGGTTCTAATCCCCCCCTGTTTTTTTTTACAGTCAGCAACGCCAGCGAACCCCAAACCATTGAGAACAACTTTTTGTCTCCCGATGGTGGTCATCCCAAGCTTCAACGTAGCCAGTCTCGCGCTTTCTTGAGCGAAGATGGTCTTCCTCAACCTATTGAGTACTTCCTTGCTTCTGATGCTGCCGCCATTGTTGAGCACACCAAGCGTGTCTTGTACCTCGAAGATGACGATATCGCACACATTGCTAATGGCGGTAAGAGTCTTTTTGTTTTTCATTTTCCCTGGATGGCCACAAAGTTTAAGGAGGCTTAGGGGAAGGGGTTTTGTTTTCCACTTCACACCACAAGGGATGGCCACCCATTGGAGGGTCCCGACCCAATCATACTAGGAACGTGAAATACTCATCATATCTTTTCCACAGAGCTTCACATTCACCGTCTCCGTCGTGATGATGGCATCTCATCGTCCATTCGTTCCATCCAAACTCTGGAGATCGAGTTGGCCGAGATCATGAAGGGTTCCTTTGACCACTTCATGCAAAAGGAAATTTATGAACAACCCGAATCGGTTGTCAACACCATGCGTGGTCGTGTCAATTTCCAAAACCACAAGGTCACTTTGGGTGGTCTCAAGGCTTATGTTGCTACCATCCGTCGTTGCAGACGTATCATTTTCATTGCCTGTGGTACCTCATACCACTCCTGCTTGGCCGTAAGTTTTCAATTCTTGGTGCTTTTTCTCATCTTTCTACTTTGTCCTAATCATTTGGTCCCGTATTAGACACGTGCTATTTTTGAAGAGTTGACCGAAATTCCTGCCCAGCTTGAACTTGCTTCTGACTTTTTGGACAGAAAGACTCCCATCTTCCGTGACGACGTTTGCGTCTTCGTCTCACAATCTGGAGAAACTGCTGATACTATCCTCGCTATGCGATACTGCTTGGAACGTGGTGCCCTTGCTGTTGGTATCACTAACACCGTCGGTTCTTCCATCTCTCGTGAAACTCACTGTGGTGTTCACATTAATGCTGGTCCTGAAATCGGAGTTGCCTCCACTAAGGTGAGAAAGAAAATTTAATAACTATTATCTGCTCCTGCTGATCCACTAAACCCGATTCTTCCATGATAGGCCTACACCTCACAATACATTGCTTTGGTCATGATGGCTATCCAGTTGAGCGAAGATCGTACTTCCATGAACGAACGTCGTAATGAGATCATCGATGGTCTTTACCGCTTGCCTGGTCACCTCAAGGAAGTCCTCTCCGACGATGCCAAGCTCCAACAACTTGCTGCTGATACCCTTTACAAGGAGAAGTCTTTGTTGATTATGGGCCGTGGTTTCCAAAACGCTACTTGCTTGGAAGGTGCTCTTAAGATCAAGGAAATCTCTTACATGCACTCTGAAGGTATCTTGGCTGGTGAACTCAAGCACGGTCCTCTTGCTTTGATTGATGAGAACATGCCTGTCATCTTGGTTATGACCCGTGACTCCTTGTATCCCAAGGTTCAAAGTGCTCTGCAACAAGTCACTGCCCGTAAGGGTCAGCCCATCATTATCTGCAACACTGGCGATAACGGCATCTCTTCTCAATACAAGACCATCCGCGTTCCTCAAACTGTTGACTGTCTCCAAGGCCTGCTTAACATCGTTCCTCTTCAGCTTCTCTCTTATCACTTGGCTGTCATGCACGGTGTCGATGTCGATTTCCCCCGTAACTTGGCCAAGTCTGTTACTGTCGAGTAAATGGTGATAGTTCCTCAACACCTTCCACTTTTCTACACTTTGTAACCCCTTTCAAACTGCGAATTGCGTCTCGTGCTGTCTATATATTATACTCCTCTTTTCTTTACCTTTTTTTTTCTTACTTTGGAATGACTCTGTTCAAATGCCCAATGATTTGCAGTTCCTCCTCGTTTCCTGCCTCTCCAATGATCCCCTTTGCAGACTTGTAGATTTCGTGCGTTAGTTCGCTGTTTCTGTTCAAAATTTCACTCGAGTACTACTTTTTCTTATTGAAACATGTGCTCTCATTCCCCCTTATCTGCTTGCTTCAAAGCGAAAAAGAAACCCCTCATCGCCTGCTGATAAATAAAAAGAATAACCAGGACCTTTTGTCGTTAAAAAAAAACCACCCTTGGAAATTTTTGCCACCGAAATCACTCACAGTGTGAAGTCACAGCGGTAGTCACGCGATGGAGATCATCCAAGTTGAAATAGTGGCATGCGGACGTATTATCTCAAGCAACTGCTTTACTTTACGGTTACAATCCAAAGAGATTACCAAGTCTTGGTGCTTATCTCTGGACCCTGTCTTGCAATTTGGTTATGATTTGAATGCGTCCTGCGCCTAAAAATATAACCAAGACTACACTTCCCGCCAGGCCGCTCTCTTCACGCTCATCGTCATCCTCATTACTATCCAATTCAACAAACTCACTCCCACAAAATTATGCTGCATCGCACCTGACCACAGCAATGATGCAATCTCAGCACCCACCGGCGGTAGGAACTACCCCGCCTCGCAATTCAAAGCTAGACCATATTATACAGGTGAGGGCTTTTTTCCCTGTTCTTTTGCCTTGTGACGAGTCGCTTTTCTATTTTTACTAAAGCTTAGAGTTCTCTTATCGCTCTAGAATTTTTATACCAAAGCTGCCCAAGTCATTGTGCAGGCACGATTAGGTCAGATAGAAGAACGTCAAGCCAATCGCGGACAATCCACACGCCGATCTTCGAGAGGCTTGCAAACCAGAGACAGCAATACCAGTAAAAAAGCAAACAAATGGGTAGGATGGATTTCCTGTTTGGTTTATCCTGCTAAGCAAATTGCTCATCGTATTGTTCCGCAGTTCAATTTAGTCACAGAGGATTTGGATGTCTTGAAGGAGGATCTTAAATTTTGGCGGACGCAAGCCATCAATCCCTCGGGTGAAGAGCCTCCTCCCATGAAAATTGACATCTTTTTAGACGTTTCCGAATTATCTCAAAACCAAATCCTTGTTGTGGTGGATGAAACCTTGCGCCGAAATCGTATTGATCTTGCTTCCAGTGCTACGAGTTCCGGCTCAAGAACGACGGTTGATAAAATCTTACTTGAAAGCTGGACCTTAACATTAAAGTAAGTCGGGGAAAAGCAAGTCAGATTTGCTTCACACTGACTCACTCGTTTTTATCCTGCCTCAACAGCCATCCCATTCCTGACTATTCAGTCGACCTACCCAACTTATACAAACGCTCTATTGTCTTTTTCCGATCTTTGCATTCTTATGTCCGACTTTTACCTGCTTATAATTTGTATCGCCGTTTGCGGAAGTATGGAAACATAAGTCAGCTGCGACTCGGCTATCGTATGGTGTCCGTGGATACCGAGCAAAGTGGCGAAATTGGAATTGGTAAGTTGGAATGTCACTAACAATTCATACCCATGTGCTCTGAAACTAATAATTGGCTTTGCATAGATGTCTCAATTGTCGAGCACGATGCTCGTAGCCCTACCAAGTCCTATGAGTTTGCTGATATAATGACACCCCTGGGGTTAGTATGAATGCATATATACCCGCCTAACCTAATGTCAAAAGTCAAACCTTTTTGTTCCTTTATAGACATTTCAATCTCAAAGTCGAATATCGCCCAAACTGTGACTTTCAAGTCGATGACATGGAACGGGATCTTAGTGCTCGCTTCATTGATATGGATGAGCATTATTTCACACCCACTATGGCGAAATACCAGCAGGAGCAAGATATGCAACGAACTCGTTCAGCATCATCTTATGAAGGCGGCAGTGCCAAGGCAAAAAATACCGTAACTGGTTTCAAACCCGTGAGTCCTGTCAGCCTCCATCACTTAAAAAAAATTAATTTGTGGGCTTGGTCTAACACATAGTATTTAAGGGGAGCCTACCTTCACCCATCGCTGCTTCTAGTCATGAAGATCAGGAACTCTATGACAGTCCAAGTTCAAAAGCGTTGGCAGACGATTATTCTGATCCCCGTGAAATCGTTCAGCAACGTCAGCGACAAGCTAGCATGACATCCATGTCCTCCATCTCACCGGTGAATCGTGAACGGTTATCCTTCACACGAACCAGTGGTGCCGAAGCATCGACGGCAAGCATTGGTCGCAAACCATCGGCAACTAATATATCCCCTTTCAAATCCCCATCCTTATCGTCATCACCCATTCAACAAAGTGGATCCGAATATGGCATTTCTCAATCAAAATATTATTCGTCACCCATTGGCCATCCTTCTGGAAGCAGTAAGCCCTTTTCATATCAGTCTACTGGCGGAGACGATGGTAGTTCTAGCAGTGCTCGCAAAGTGGAGTTTTCAAGCAGCTTTGATCGTTACAAAGGGAGCCCCAGTCGTGGTGACATTGGTACTGGAATGAGTCGCCGCTTATCGCGTAACAGTGATCATAGTCTGGTTGATTTTGTAAGTGCACATAGGAAAGAAAAAGCTACACTATTGCAATGTACTGAACCATTTCTGCTGTAGTACTCATCTGGTCAAGATTCCGATTCTGCTCTGGAAGAATTTATGCAGTTCGTACAATCCAAGCAGGAGTTGAAGATGTTTTCCAGTAGAGGTAGTACAACGGCCACACCGGACAATGAGTTGTCCTATGATGACAGTATAGACAATAGTATGATGGCTAGTGGATTAGGGAGTGGCTCCATGTACAGGTCAAAGGTACGACGAATATGAGAAAGATCACGATAGCGCTGACATCTGACACCCTCTTCCACCTATAGAAAGCACTTTCTCGATTTCAGGCGTTGCGAGAATCGCACGATAACCTATCAGAATCGATGTCTGCTAGTATGATGGGGTTAGGTATAACTGAAGGAAGTGGTGGCGGAAGGAACTATGGGTCGCCTAGTTACACAGGCGTATCACCCACTTCATCATCGTCATCTCAAAGTCGATATCATCAACCCGCAGTGCCATCACCTCTTCATGCAGAGCAACGTGTTGGCCCTATCCATATACCTCGTGACATGAGCGCACCCACTATTGCATCTCACTTACACCGTCGACAACTATCTCATGAAAATCAAACCAATGTCCGTTCATCGCCACCGCAAACAACCACCTCTACCCATGTCTTGTCATCGCCTGATAGAGCCGCCTATTCCAGCTATCCCACTGATCCTCACCACAAAGACTTGAAACGATTACCTCCGCGTTCAGCACGATCCCCACCCGATAATGCGCAACTTCCTTCTCCTCGATCACGCGATATCCTCTCGCCTAGATCCCCTCCTTCCACAATCGACCGACCCTCTAAATCGGTGACGTTAGAAAGGCTAGCTACCAGTGCATCACCACCCCGAAATATTCCTCGACACATCAGTAACCGCCATGCTAGTTCTGGAGGATCCAGTCCCATTATCGGACCTCGACCAGATTTACAGCCTACGAGTTATTCTAGTTTGAATGAGGACGCTAATGAATCATCTCAACGAAACCGTCCGGAAAACAGTGGTCATGCATTGGCTAGTGGAACGCGAAGTGGGAGTCTTTTGGATGACGATGACTCTCTAGTATTTAAGATGAGCGAACTCGGCAATGAAACTGGGACGTTCGACTCTGGCGTGTACAATAACCCTTATCAAGGAAGTCTATACAGTGGTGGCAAGGATTCGCCAAGACAACGGCTATTGGTCGGACCCAATAGTCATTTTGCATCAACGAGTGGTAGCCCTAAAATAGGCACTAGTGGTGGAGAAGCTATGTCTCGGCGACCTAGCTCTGGTAGTGGAGCAGCTATGGCCACAGTCATGGAACAGGAAGAACCCAATACGGCGTCTTCCAACAGCTCAAGTTCTTCAGCTCATGAACGCAGAGCTGGCGGACCTGATGCCCACATGTTTAGTGGCGACTGGTAATTGGGGCCCCCAAATAAGTGGGAAATGAACCCAACTAGAAAAGTAACGTAAAGTTGAAAAAAAAAAAAGAAATACCAACCCCCTCTGCCCTCCAGCTTCAGCGACCCTTCTTGTTTTTCCTTTAAGTTTAATATAAACCTGTTCTCTCAAACTGTACACCTGGTTCTTTGAGCTTGCTAAAAGTAGAAATGAGAACCCAGGAAAAAAAAAACCCGCAAATGAGGCTGGGTTTTCAAAAAGAAGTAAAGTTGCCAAGGTGGCTGGCTTTGAGCGGACGTGAGTCTAATTCCACTCCGCCGCATGGCTGGAAAAGTATAAATTTACAAGTAAACGAGACCACCCTCACTCTTCTTTACTACATAACAACAACAACATGGGTTTCTTTGACGCTTTCCAAGAACATCACGAAGAATTCAACAACACTCCTGAGGAGCACAAGGGAAAGTTGTCTCACGAATTGATTGCTGGAGCTGGTAAGTGTCGTCATCGCTATAACCCTTCTCAGCAATCATCTAGAAGCTGACCTGTCCTTTTCTCCCTTTAGCTTCCTTCGAGGCTGTCAAGGCTTGGGAAGACCACCAAAGACGTGAGGGTAAGACTGTTAGCCACAGCTTTGCCAAGGAGTTGCTCGCTGGTTTCGCTGGTGCCGAAATCGACAAGCTGTAAGTAATCAGGGGTACTAAAAAGCATACCACGCCGTTTAACATGAGCTAACTTGTATATCTGTACACAGTGTTGAGACCAGAGGTTTGGACTTCGTTGACCGCGAGAAGGCCAAGCGTCATGCTAAGGACAACGTTGAGAGATACTATGAACAAGAGTATGAGCGTAGATAAATACCACTCTCTAGCCGCACAGTTTTATAATGGCTGACACAGTCCAAGTGCGTTCCTACTGATAAATAAATTGCATATAATTTTCAAATACACTTGCGGCTCAGGAGAGGTTATGTGAATTTTCGCGACCGACCGACCGTCCAATAAATGGGCGACGAGTATTTACACATGCTGTCGCTCTGAGCCCGTCGGGACTTGATGTTATGCGTAAAGGAAACCAAAAATGGCGTCAAAACAAGGTTTTACGATCTTTTTATTATTTTGAGACATTCTATAGTATTGCAGTAGGGAAAACGCAATTTTTTCTCAAGAGGTGCACATCCGCGTTGGACAAAAAAAGCGACTTGGCGTTTATATTCCATTCAAATGGCTGCCAGGGGGCACATGGTTCATCCACTGCCAATGTTGGACGATCCAGGAATTCCATGATATAGCCTGCCTGGCATACATACCAATGTATTCCTTGTGCTTGGGGCAAATAAACTCAATGTGGGTACCTTAGCGGAGCATATGTCTGGTCAGCCACCACTTCAACGCTTCTTTTAGCTCGTTTTATTTAATGACCTGGTTCCATACATACCGCGAAAACCGGTATGGATGAGAGGCTAGACACGAAAAGGCGCTACTCTGTTGACAGGCCAATAACGTCTCTCTAAGTAAAGTGTAAGTTCACCACGGGTATTTCGTTAACAGTCGGTCACACAATTCACATGAAGTGGGATTTAATGATATGAAGTTTATAACAGATATAATGAACTAGAACCGATATAGAGGGCAGCACAAACGTGCTTCCAGTGGGGGGTATTTATCTACGTTCATGCTCATGTTCGTAGTACTTCTCAACATTCTCTTGAGCGTGACGCTTAGCCTTCTCGCGATCTAGGTGGTTTAGTCCCTTGGTTTCAATACTACACAAATAGTTAATTCAGACTGTTTGAACCCCTTGGTCATCTTTTCTCCTTGAACTTACAGCTTGTCGATCTCAGCGCCAGCAAAACCAGCGAGCAATTGCTTTGCCAAGGCATGGTTAGCAGGCTTACCATCGCGTTTGTTCTTGTCTTCCCAGGCCTTGACGGCAGCGAAGGAAGCTAAAGTAAGAGTGACGGATAAGTTTCTAGACTGTTCCTTGAGATGCGAGCGGGGTTTGGCTACACTTACCGGCACCAGCAATCAATTCGTGAGACAAGTGACCTTTGTGTTCGTGGCCAGCATTAGCAACTTCTTGATGATGTCCTTGGAAGTTATCGAGAAAACCCATGTTTAGATGTGTGAGAGAGTATGTGTTGCTGAAGTGTTGGCTATGAAGGTAAAATTTATAGTTGCCTGAAGTCGGAGTTAATTTAAACTTGCCCTAGCCCTGCCCGCTGAGCCACCTTGGCATCTTTACCCCTTTATTGCAGTACGGGCCATTTTGCCTTTTTACATTACGGGGTGACGTAAACGGTCAATGAGATAGGGAAATAGAAAAGACTGAAACTCCATAACACGGCGAAAATGGCGTGGAATAGTCATGTAGAGTACATCATAAATGCAGCTATTATCAGTGCTGAAAGGTGTACTGCTTCTGCTCCCAGCGTCAATCATTGAAGTATCTCGTCTATTTAACGCGTAACGGAGAGATCCCACTTCCTACGGTTAGACCAGAATACTAAGTCCTTAGAGTTTCTTGCAGTGTAGCAAACGCCTGGCATCCTTCAGCAAGTAACCCTTACAAACTGTGTGCGAGCTGGTTCATTCTGCATCATCTTTAGTGCAGGGCGGTTTATCATGTTTTAAGCTCCGTTCAGTCATCAACAGCAGTCCAACTTTTGCCCTTTCCATTCCAGAACTGCGTACACACTTTGTATTCATGACCTTTTCACCAGAACTATTCCTGAGGCGAAGGTTTACGTATGGAAAGAACCACACTATTGACACAGCCAAGAGTAACTATAATTATCTTTCACTGTCAATACTCAGCTCTTACTGAGTCCGCCTTTCCACTGCAGGCAAGCTATGCAGCTACAGCAGTAACCTTTACAGCCAGCGATACCGATCGCATTCCCCGACAGCAGAGAGTTGTTGCCTTTGATTTATTACGTGGACTCTTGATGATACTTCAATCAATTGATCGTAAGCTGCGTTTCGATTTGCCGGTTTTCACCAAGGACTTTGCTCTAAATATTCCATGAATAGATGGTAGACTGTTCTTCACACCATTAGACCGTGAATTCGAATCATGGTACACACTTCCGAAGTACAATACAACCACATTGCTTTTGCGCATTGTATCCCACCCTTGCGCTCCTGGGTTTGCTATGCTGATGGGTGTGAGTAAAAACGCCGTCGTAGTACAAATTTTCGCCTGCAACTGATATTACCCGCCACATCAGATAGGTCTTGTCTATTTTGTTCGCTCCAGGAAGGCTCTGGGATGGAGCGATGGTCGTATACTTTATCACTCGTTCGTGAGAGGTTCCATTTTGGTTGCTATCAATATTTGGCAAACATGGCGGCGAGACATATCTTCAGGCGATGAAACTCATGGTATGTTGTAGAAAGGAAAAGGGTACAGACATCTCAATACCATACAAACTAGATTCCTATTCAAAGGGCTATTCCGATTGACTGTGCTGCATGCACTTGGAATCAATTATATTTGCTCCACTGCTGTCCTGCTCTGGTCCTTGCATCTTTATATGTACTTGGTTCGCCGCCTTGGCCGGTACGATACCTCCGATACAAAGATCGCAAATCAAGCCAACGTGATCCAGGTTTCTATAATACTCAGCTTGGCGTTTGTGTTCATGGTTTTTAACTTGCTGGTAGTTCCCCTGCCTGTGCCTGAGGGCATTGTGCCAGGCTACGGCTGGTGGCGATATTTGATGTATCTCCCTGGCACATCACAATTCTTTTTTTCCATGTATCCTTCTCTAACTTGGCTTGGTATGACGATATACGGCTGCGCATTAGGACTTATTATGATTAAGTGGAAAAGGAGTAATTCGGGGTATGCAAAGTGGAATATGGTAAGTTGGTGTCATGACAGAAATGCAATTGAACCAGCCTGAAAGGATAACAGTGACAAAATCTATTTACCATGACCGTTTCATTGTGATAAAGGTGCTTTCAGGAGGCTGGGTCATGCTGTTTCCGTTGGTTCGAGCTGTAGGGGGATTTGGAAACATCAATCCATCGCTTGTTGGAACAGACACTTCCAAAAGTTATCCGTTTCTTTCAAGTTGGAATGCCTTCTTCAATACCATAAAGTATCCCCCGGACCTCGCGTTTTCTTCGCTCTTTCTGGCCATCAATCATATGTACCTTTCGGTCTTCTTCCTCCTGCCGACCGAGGTCAATACCACTAAGTTCTATATGGCATCGCTGCTGGATGGCCCGTTAATGGATTTTGGACGGTCGGCTCTCTTCTTTTACGTCACCCATTTTCTTGTGTTTTCCAATTCAGCCGATGCACTAGGCTACTTCTTTCCCAACCTCAAAAATCCAAATGACCATCTGGACTTGAATCTTTGGCAATTTCTTCTAGTATGGCTTGCTTTGCTGTGCTTGTTATGGTGGATGTGCAGGTTATATGCTCGTTTCAAAGAGAGGCAACAACCCGACTCTATTTTCCGATTTTTTTGACCAACAAAACAGTGCTTCTATACACAAAAAATCACAGTTCTACACCCGTCTGTAAAGTTAGGCTTGAGAAGAGTACATTGTATATTAAATATATAATTAAATTATGGGTGATTGATGTAAGAGTTACTGCCATTAGGGCATTCTTATTTTACGCTTCTTCAGTTTCTTGTATGAGTTCGAGTTCCTCTTTAGTAAGCTGGACATGACCGGTGGCAAATCCCAATAGAGTAGAAGCTCCCATCAATGCAATGATTGCATAAAATACGTAACGTAAAGCATCAACATTCGCATCGGCAATAGCATTTTTAGTTGCATCTGAGAGGGTTGACAAGATGGATTGGTTTTGAACCAATGCTGCAGCCACGATAGTTTCGCTAACATCTGGTACATCCTCGGGAAGCGTCTTGAGCAATGCATTGTTGAACACTGTGCCAAAAACAGTAACGCCGATGGCTCCTCCGAGGGAACGGCAGAAACTGATCAGTCCTGTAGTTACCGGTAGATCTTCCTTGCGACTGGCAGCTTGAGCGCTGATAATGATACCTTGTAGGAACCAACCCAAACCAAATCCACAGACAATCAGAAATCCAATCTGTGTGCCAACGTTGGAATCACGAGTCCAAAGAGTCATCAATCCGGCACCAGTAGTTGCTAATACACCTCCCAAACATATGACGGGACGGTATACCAAGAAAACATTAATTACCACACCAGCAGTGACGCTGGAAATGATAATAGTTACCATGAAGGGAATAAACTTGACACCAGCTATAGTTGCAGAGTTGCCCATTCCTTCTTGGAATAAAATGGGTACATAGTACATTATCCCCAAGATGCACATTCCAGATAAGATACTTGCTGCAAAAATCAACGGAGGATTGCGGTGGACGGTAAAGATGTGAGCTGGCATGAGAGGTTCCTTAGAGTACTTCCACTGTACAAGGACGAAGACGACAAATAGGATGCCGAAAACACAAAAGAGACTTATGATAACGGCCGAATTCCAGGGATAGGTGCTGCCACCCCATGAAAGAGGAAGCAAAAAGGCAACAACCCATCCTAGAAGTAGAAGAGTACCTAGATAGTCGATGCGAGCAAATCTTTCTTTCCATGTTGTGTCTGGTGCCGGTTGATGGCGAAGCACAGAAGTGACGGCAATAGCAGCCACAGCACCAATTGGAAGATTGATATAAAAAGCCCAGCGCCAGTTAAGATGATCGGTGAATGCTCCTCCGATAAGAGGTCCAATGGTAGTGCCAACCATATAAGCGGCTCCAAGGATACCTTGGTATAGACTTCTATCTTGAATAGGGCAAACCACAGCTATGATAATTTGACACATAGATTGCATACCGGCACCTCCAATACCTGCAATGGCTCTACCGATAATGAGCATAACAATACCGGTTGACAATGCGCAAATCAAACTACCCACAAGGAAGAAAAACATGGCAAAGAGAATCATGATTTTATAACCAAAGATGGTTGAGCATTTGCCATATAAGCCTTGAAACGCCGTTGATGTGATGAGAAACGCTGATCCAACCCACGAGATGTCTGCGAGAGCATTAAAGTCTGATGCGATGCGGGGTAATGCTACGGTAACAATAGTCTGATCCAGAGAGGCCATGAAAAGGCAAAGACACAGAGAGAGACATAAAGGAATTAGAATTCGTTTAGGTAGATGGCTAGTGTCCATCTGTCCCTGATGCAAAATGCCTTCAGGGTTTTCTATGTCTTGATCTGGCGCATTTGTGTCTTGTTCTGTCTTTGGTAGATCTATCTCTAGTAGCTCTACAGTAGCTTGTGTGCTTGAAAGAGGTGTTGATGTGCTGGAAGCGCAGAGAACTGTATTATATATATGTGTTTCCAAAGTAATTTACCTCATCTATTATACGATCAATAAAAATGTGATTGAATGGTCCAGTTCATCAGATACAAATATGGCAAAAATAACGTTTCATTTATATCTTCGATGCTATACTTTTCGGTGTTCAAATTCTGCTTTTATGCGCCGGGCGGAGATCACATATTTGAGCTCGACCGTGATCCCAGATCAGCCTGGCTTCTCATTACTTCCGAAATACATCCTGTGGTATGGCATATCTACTTAACGACAGATACTTGTATGCCTCATGAACACACGTATTGTATGTTGTGAGGCTAATGAAACGCTTTTTATACAATACTTTGATTTTTTGTTAGTAAAACAGTAGCTAAAACGCATTGCTGGATAGTAGCATGACGTGCATTTTTTTCGCTATCGAAGTCAAGACCAATAAGACTTACATTATGGAGCGCAGAGTCGAGCGTTACAATTTGGTATAATCAATTACAGTTGTAAACTCAAAACCATCGCATTTCCGGTTCGGCGCAGATTTCCGGTGCGCCGAACGCTCCTCAAGAGTTTATTTCCTAGCTCAGTATAAATGGGACAGACAAAGAATGGTTATTTTACTCTGTTACTATCCACGTTTCCCAGGGGAAAAGTTCGCGGCATGTTAGAAAACAGAAACGGTAAACGAATGCTTTGTTTGGTTGAAATGATCTGCAATGCTCAAACCCGTTGATACAATATATTTTGGGTGTATTTATTTGAAAAAAAAAAGTTATCGCAAAGACTTTAGTATTTGTCTGATATTTCAATAAGATGTTCATCCCAAATTCTACAATGCTTCTTTCCAATTTGTCATCTCTAGTAATTTGCCATTTATGGAAACTTTTACCTAACTGACTCGAACAAATTCTTTATCCCGTCGAAGTCTAAGGGATCAATGGAATATTGATTCGAAGAACGCGTCTCTAATATAATTTTTTTACATTGAACGCAGAACATGCTAATCCTCAACCGGTACTTTCTGTGTGGGTGGGTAAATGGAAGGTCTTTATCATGGAACCGGACGATGGCGCGTTCTCGTTCATATATTGATGTTACTAATTAGCTGTAATGGTAAACTTAAGTGAACGCTCCATACACTTTGACAATTCTGCACGATTGGTCCCAATCAGCCCAATTTTAGCGTTTATTATTCAGTGTTTATTATTCACAGGGTGCAATTTCTTTTTAGTCCTGTCCCTATATACACATTAATACGCACTACCTTGGTCGGTCAATCATCTTCCTGCTCATCGGCATATGTCGTTCTATCCCGCGCTAGCTTGATGCTTCTTTATAGTAGTCTAAATTTTAAGAATGCTCGAATTGACGGTTCTAGGATGGTCTTTCAACCATGAGAGCATACGTGCCTATCACTGTAGCATACCCTAAACAAGCTTTGTGAATTGTATAGATAAGCCATTTCTAACTTTAATCTGCATCCTATCTATAATACGGTCCGTGAGACAGATGCTTATAAAAAAGCATTGTCTATCTAATTGCTACGAATTCATAGTGCACAGCCGTGTCTGTCCATGCAGTATGAGAGGTGTTTGTCATCCGTCGGCCCAATGAACAGTGTGAAACTGTCTCCGGATAAATGTCCTCCGGATGACCTAAGCCTACGCACTCAAACGCAATATTATAAATTCACGGAATTTGAAAATTTTATCGGTTGTTCCTCCCTTCTTGACAAATGGATACTACAAGGCTGTTGTCGTCGCAAAAGGTAGTCAGTTAGCACCATTGGATTCATTCCATCGCACCAAATAAAGTCCCACTAAAACGTTGATGTTGTTCACTTAACAGCCTACCAACTACGATGCGGTTGCTGTCAGGATTGGAGATTCACTACCGGCTGTTCGACCGCAGCGAGTTGTCGCCTTGGACTTGCTTCGTGGCCTGTTGATGGTATTGCAGTCCATCGATCGTTAGTATTTGTAGATGAATCCAGAAAGCTCGATGCGTAGCCTTGACTCACACCAATCTTTCCACAGACGCAAAAGCCGCCTTCACAACTTGGTACGGCCCACACGAGTGTTGGTACGAACTACCTTCCTACGACGAAGCCTGGCAGTTCATCCTACGACTCATGACACATCCCTGCGCTCCTGGATTTGCCATGCTGATGGGAGTAGGTGTTAATCAACATCAGTATTTTCATCGAGAATAGTAAATGTTAACCTTTCGTCGACGGGATAGATAGGTGTGACGTACTTTGTTCGCTCTCGAAAGGCATTGGAATGGAGTGACGGCAAATTGCTTTGGCATTTCTTTGTACGTGGCTCGGTCCTTGTATTGATCAATCTATTCCAGTCCTGGGGAATGGGAAAAAGTTTTGGCAACGATCAAAGTATGTCCCGGTCATCGACCATGAGATTTTTCCCATTATACGTTAATCTAACCCTGGTGTTCCCTTTTTTATTTTTCAAAGTTCATTTTGCAACCACTGTGTTACATGCTCTAGGTGTCAACTTTTTCTCCTCTGCTGTAATTCTCATCGCATCCAACCACCTTTACTCTCTCATCAAGCGTTCATTGAGTCGTCGCGATGAAATCAACATTGATGCCACATCCAAAGCCGACAAACGTGCCAATGATATTCGTATCCTTATCATTTTTGAATTAGCAGCGGCTTTCATGATCTTGAATTTGTTTATTGTGCCCGCAGTCTCGGCGAAGGATGGTGTCATTGAAGGTTACGGCTGGTGGAGATACTTTGTGTATCTTCCTGGATTGGCTAGCTTTTTCATATCCCTATACCCTGCTGTCAATTGGCTTGGACTGACACTCTATGGTGTTGGCTTTGGCTTACTTATGATCCGAGATAAGCGTGATAATCGTCAGAATGCAAAGTTCAACACGGTAAGTGTATCACCACTTTTAATATCACTTTGTAGTGCGATATACGTTTCCTAATATCATATTCAAAAAGCTTTTTGCACTGGGATGGTTCATATTCTTCTTGATAATTCGTTTTATTGGTGGATTCGGCAACATCAACCCATTCTTAGTTGGAGAATCAGGTGTAGCAACTGCCGCTGGAAACCCTTTCCTTACAAACTGGATTACCTTCTTTAATACCATCAAGTATCCTCCGGATCTTGCCTACACCGCCCTTTTCCTCACTGTTAATCATCTCTTGCTTACCGCTTTCTTCTTGGTCCCCACTGGACCTGATGCCAACAAGTATGTGAGTGCCATCATTACTAATGGTCCTCTCCTTGACTTTGGTCGATCCGCTCTGTTCTTCTACGTCCTTCATTTCTACCTTTACTTTGGATCCGCCGGACTCATCGGCATGCTTTTCCCTGATCTTAAGAGTCCCAAGGGTACACTGGCTATGAATGGATGGCAATTCTTTATCACCTGGTCCATTGGTCTTATTATCTTATGGGTGCTGTGCAAGCGCTACGCTAGATTCAAAGCTTCGCGCGGCCCGGACTCTATCTTCCGATTCTTTTAGATGATACAAACTGTATTCACCGTAGACGGTGTCATGAATAATGAAATAAATTCAACTACTATTTTTTTTAAAAGGAAAAGGAGCTTCATGTCATACATTTTGGGAAAATGCTTAAATTTCCCCAAACCCGAATCAATTGAATGAAAAAAGTCGTCCTGGACGGCCATTGAAATTTTTTTTTTATTGCTACACTTTTCTTTCAAGACGATCTAACTGTGTTGCAATGGGCAAACAAACTCATAAGAAAAAGGCCGGCAAGCGAGCAAATCCTTTAGCAACCTCGCAGGTTCCGAATGGAATGGCCGAGATTGTTCCGAAGGAGGAAGAGATTATTCCCATTTTGCAGAAGGTGAGTTACAATGGCTCGAGTATGTTTTCGAGGGCATTGCGTCTTGGGATTGACACGATCACTCTAGCTCTCTTCTTCTAGTGGAGGTGATAGAGCGTGGGCAACAGCCGGTATCTCAAACTTGCTGGTAGCGAATGCTCCCACACGAAAACTGCTTCTCTCGAAAGGCGTCGCTACTCTCTTGATCGAACGACTCACCGATCCAGAGTACGCCGTCGTTCAAGAGGCACTGGGCGCACTGAGGTAAAGAAAAGTACACTGAATTAGTGGGGTGTATTCGAATGCTATGTTGACATTGGTTTGAATTTTTTTTTACGTAGAAATTTAACGGTAGTGGATGATACTATAGCGCCAACCCTGTTCGCAGGAGATATTTTGACTCCCATTTCATCGTTGATCCCCAAGGTACCGTGTCATGTGGTGAAGATGTAGACAATTGAATAGTAGTATTTAACGTCGCTGTGTAGGTGTCTACTGTCATCCATAAGGTGTTGACAGACGAACCTGTTGTAGATGAGGAAGACAAGGAGATGCGCAAAGGAATTTGGGATTTCGCAGAAAACTTGATTTCTATCATGTGGAGTTTGAGGTTAGTATTGGCTGCGTCAAGGCAGTGCCAGTATATTGTTGGAAAGTCGAACAGTTTCTCATTAGCTTTTTCCCAGTGAGGCATCCGAGAACCATCTCAAATCCATCAACAGACTTAACATCATTACATTTTTGACCTCATTCATGACTTCGGCTGATAAGTGCCCACTCAAGGTAGTCGTTGCAGCTGGTAAGTTTTTTCAATTTTGAATTGACCAATGTGGATCAGCATAAATGACTAATTTGTCCAATGTAATCCAGGTCAATGTTTGAACACACTTACTGATGACAATAAGGACATCTACATTGAATTTCAAAATCACCCTGAATACATTGACATGCTCGTATCCATCGTGAAGAACTTGACAGATGAGGACAAAATTCTTGTGCGAATACTTGCTTGTGGTATGTACCTCAAAGAGTAGTTCCTTTACGATCAGTCGGAAACCGAAGCTGATTTGTCTCTTCATTTATAGCTACACTACTTAATGTTCGCGAGGCGGTGCAATCCACTGGATCATGGGACGAAGAAAGTGATCCAATTGCAGAGATGAACAAGTCTATATTACCTATTCTTGTGGAAGCTTTGAATTTCGACATAGAGAAGGCTTCTGAAGAATGCATTCAGGCTGTTAACAGTGGGGTAAGTTTGGCATAACTTTGGTTTAATATAACGTATTAAGGAAGCCGACGGCATCGCTCACATCGACTCTTCTAGAACTTGACCAAGGATGATCAGACTGGTGAAATATCTGCCAAGCCTAAGCAACCGCTGACAAACGAGGATGTAAGTGCAACAGCAGTGAAGCTGACGTGTGTCAATTCGACTTTAACCTAGGATGTTAACTCGAATTGTTTCATAAATAGGAATTGGTGCAAAAGGTTCAAGAGCGTCTCACTACCCTCCAATTGGCATTAGAGTTGATCTCCAACATTTGTATACAAGATAATACCGAAGACGATGGATGGGAAGATGGTGATGCAACCATGGAAGACGATGAGGAGGTGACTGAGGAAGCACTTAATGGCGGCGATGATGACCTTGATGAATCTATTTTGGAAGACATGGCAGCTACTGGCGAGACCTCCACTACAGCTGATCTCGCACTCCTCAAGAACAACCCTATTCTGCACATGTTGATTCACCAGGTGTTCCCTCAATTGATCAAATTGGGTACCACCACCAAGATATCCTATCCTCCTCAAGAAACCCCTGCCAAATATGCACCACAGAGTATTGAAAGCAGCATCATCAATGCCTTCTCCAACACTCATTTGCGCGCCATCGAATGTTTGAACAACTTTTTATTGACCATGAATGATCTGCCTTCCAAGTTTTGGTTTAAGGAAAAGAAGGAAGATGCTCAGAATGCTTGGATTTGGTTATTCCAAACTGCTGGCGGCGTTGCAGGATCCGGTGTTGCGGTGGGAGACGAAGAGCCTGGTCAAGAGCTTCGTGGCGCTGTACTTGAAGCAATTGTTGGATGTCTGTGGGCTCTTGCCCGTGGACTTGGCCAAGATATTGTAAGTCATTTTCGAAGGGATGTGTGCGGGGCCCATTTTATCTCAGTCTCTAATTATGGTCATAGGTCTTACAAGGTTTCCACGTACCTGCCCTCCAAGGTGCTTATAACTCCTGTGCTCGTGATTCACTACGCGTCAAGTGTGTGGGAACTCTCGGTGTGATCGCGATGCGACAAGGTGATATTGAAAACAACAAGGTGAGCAAAGGAAAAAAAAAAAAAAAGCATGAACCTTTTATTTGGATTCGATCTGATCCCATGGCATTGATCATTATAGAACATTGGAGATTTCTTTATCAAGGCATTGAAAGAACTGCCTCCCAAGGGCTCAACCACCACCGATGCAGCCACCGAAATATTAAACGCCCTTTTCGACGTCTATGGCGATTGTGCATTTGACTATGACTTGCCTGTCTTTGTCAACGGCGGCTATTTATCTGCCCTAAAATCCGTATTGCCGGCGTATAAGAATGTCGTCAAAGCTACGGACAAGCGGAAGTTCCGGGACCTTCGTCTTCGTGCCGACGAAGCACTTGGCAACCTTAATGCATTCATCCGCTACAAGACGGATGAAAGAAAATAGATCGACCTCATATTGTAATTTTGCTCTTATTCCATTTTCCCCCTTAAATCAACAATATAAAAAATAAAAGTATGCATCCCCCATTATCGTATTACCATGTCAATTATGTCACCTGGTGGGTTAGGAACGGCTTGTCTTACGTCCATTTTTTAAACGGCTTTTTGGGATTTATTAATCAAAAGATTTTATGAGAATGTTAACATCCTGTCAGTGGTGTATGATGATGGTTATGAGCTTTCCTTTTTTTATAATAAAAAAAATAGCTACAAAGAAACAAGGAGAAGAAAAGAACAGAACATGGTGTGGAGATAAAATAAATGGTAAAGTGAAACGCGTTACCGTACTGAATTGTCCCCTGCAAAAAAGCCAAGTGAAGAGCTCGACTGCGGAGGTTCGTGGGATGCGGAATCATGTACAAGGTGTGCGACTCAAGGCTAGGAAGTAACGCAAGCAAAACGTGAACAGAAAGTATGATTAAAAAGCAAAAAAAGAAAACGGCGTGTAAACCAGCACAACGGAGGTAAATGCCAGGCCTGCCATGGCATACGAAAAGGAGAACCAGAGAAAAAGCGACATAGGCAAATGGATTAAAAACTTATGACAGTCCATGTTAGGCGGGCGGTCGGGCAGTTGAGACCTTTTTTTTTTTTCTTTTTTCTTTTGTTGGGTGGTAGCGCGGAGGGGCTCAAACGTCTACTATGCGCTTGACACGATTGCAGTCGTCCAGGTGCTCGCCGCGATACTTGATCACGTATTCTCCGTTCTTCTTGAAGGTGACAGTCTTATTCACCGGGCAACCCTAAAGGCCGGTCATTTTTTTTAGATTGCTGTTTGAACACAGTGTTGGTTTTTGGCCCCACAAACCCGTACCACCTGGGTCTGCGGTTATGTCCGTCTGGGATGACTTACCTTGGAGCTGTTGGAACATTTGTAGTATATACTTTTTTCGCCGCTACCTTTATGAACGGTGTTACCTGGTAGTAAAATATGTCAATACCGCTTTTCCCTTTTGTCTGGTATAACCAAGGTACAAAGTAAGATTGAACCTTACCATTGTTTTTCCAAAGATACTCATCGTTGTACGGAAAGTCACGAGTTTCTACGACCTTGGTAATCGATTGCATTTCTCTTCGTTTTCGTTGTCGTTTGCCTGCTTCCTGCGCTGATGATGACGCATTTGCGTCCGACGAATGGTCCGCCGGCGGACTCACTGGGTGATGAGAGGATGTTCTATGAGAAGAATTTTAGTTATTAATGGGGTAATTGTACGGATGTGCGGAGGCCCAACATTTGACGGAAAAATTCGTTTTTTAGAAGGCCAACTGGGAACAATCTCAAAGTTTAAAGCCACACAGATATTTTTTCCCTCTTCTCTGTTCGTCACTGTGCTACAATCTGATATCGATCTATTAAATCCCACCGCCTAAAAAAAGATGTTTTTTTCTTACCCAATTGCTTGGTCCATAGATAATCTTCGACGTTTCAAATCATTCTCAGAACTACTGCTTTCATGTCGAAGATTAGGGGAGTTATATCGGAACGGTGGTAGTTCAACTGCACTATGACGTCTGTACTCCAGGTGCCTTGGTCCTGGGGTATGTTCACGGCTGGTTGAATACGTTCGCGGAGGAGGTGAAGGCTGCAAACGGCCATAAGGAGATAGTGTTGGTGTGTGGGTAGGCGTGTGAGCGAGCGCTTCCTGGTTTTGTAGATGGGCAGGTGAAGTAGTGCCAGACGACTTGGGCGTGGTGTCGTTGGTGTCAACATGATACGGGTGAACTGTATCGGATGACTTGAATCGTATGGGTCGCAGGGCTAAGCCATGTAGACCTTGACTGTCGCGTTGTTGCATGTAAAGATCGATTTCTTTTGCGCGTAGCTTGGCTTCTTCAGCCCTTCGTTTATCTTCTTCCACTTTGCTTTGTAAGATCAATTGTAGAAGTTCAGGCTTGTCTCGAAACTGGTGTACCACATCCTGTAGCGCAAACGAACTGGACTGCTGCGTGTATGGGGTATGTTGTGGCGTAGTACTCTCTCCAAGAGGGTCTACATATAACGGTGCTCGGTAGGGCTGACTCGTTGCGGCTGGTTCTGAAAGCATTGGTGAAGAAATCAAATTAGGCGGCAACACTATCGAAGATGAATCCCGATGAAGAGCCGTGGTCGAGTAAGGGTGGAAGCCATTGACCATAGGTGATGTGGCTCTTATGTATATTGAAAGGAAAGGAAATATGTATACAAAAAAAAAGAGAGAAAGACGATTAAAGAAGTAGAAAGAAAATTGTATGGGCCAATGCAGAGGTCTTCAGTACCGTCCAAAGACCGTACTGGAGAATACGTAAAAGAGAAAGAAAGGGTTACAAGAGGAAGCGAAAAGGAAAAAACCCTAAATAAAAAAACTCAGTGCCCGTAAATAAAGAATCAAGCATCCCTAATCCGGCGAAGGGATCCCAAAGGAGAATTTCGGGATGATGGGGTTTATGAGGATGACTAGCTTATTTGAAGTAAGAAAAGTGCGGTGGATAGAGAAATGAACGCTACAGGATACCCTATCGTGCTGATAAAGACCTCTTCACAGGCTTTCAAGGCACTTTTTTCCCTCGATGTTCGAGTCTTTTTCAGTCTGCATCACCCCACGGGGTGAGTTGAGTGACTACCTATTTTTATTTTGTGTTATTTTTTTTGGTGGGCCCAATGGCAGCCTGTGACATCAGTTCACAACTTTAGTATTATGGGAGAATTCATTGATGCGGCAGGATCTCTTGATGTTACTATTACTTGATCCAGCGTGATTTGTCTTCAGAAAATGGTCTAGTATGGTTTCTTGTTATGTTGTTTTTAATTTTTTTTTTGGTTTGACATGGGCTGCACTACAACCCGCCTCCGTCTGCCGGCACATTTTGTTATCGGACTTTGCTCAGTGTCATCGTGAGAACATTGTTGCCAAGCTCCATATTTTTCAATACGAACTATGACCGAGAGAGGCTTCTTGAGAACATTGAAGGGAGTGTACCAATGCAGAAAGGTGTCGTGATCTCAGTAAAGAAGAGGGCGTTTGACCAAGGCCATTGTGACAGAACGCCGTTCCAATATCTCACCGGTCTGTGGACCTATTGGCTACCCGCTTTCCGCTGAATGGCTCTCTCACAGACTCACACACTTATGCTTCTTGATCCCACTTAGAAATATGAAATCTTTGCCGTATTCACATGTAATTATTTTTTCCACCCTATTACTAATGAGTCATTTTCAATGCGGTCGTCGCCCAATACTAATAGTGACGCTTTTCAGCACGGATTAGAAATTTCAATCGGCTCATGCTATTTCTCAGTCATGCTATGAAATGTTGTGGGGTAATTCGATAAGCAATAGCAAAGGAAAAAATAAAATAAACGGCGGCGGCGGGTAAAGGAATTTTGGTGCGATCCTAACATCGGTCGGCGTCTTTTTTTTTTTTATGTGGTGGCTCACTTCAGGGTCCAGTCGGTGTTCAACTCAGCTTCCTTTCCAGCACATCACAAACTCTGGGTTTCTCAGGCTTTATGTTGTACGGTAAATTGTCATTCATTTAAGCAATGGGCCGCTGATATTTTATTTCTTGAATGTGTTTTTCTCACCGGTCTACACATAAAACGATACAGCTGAGCAACATGGGAATTACCCAACCACTCGATATGGAAGTGACTTTGTACCCGGTAGATTGCAAGGCATTTAGCCGAACTGCAGCCTGAAGTTTGGGTTGATATTCTATGGTCTGATAGCCTAAGGTCTTTAACACCTTTCTAAGCTTCGGTCCTATAGGGCTAGAGCTGCCACTGCGAGCCATAGCTTGTTCTAAAGTAAGTCCACGATCTTGCATATACCGCATTAAAAAATCAGCCGAATCACCATACATAGCATAATCTACGTGGGAGATCGAGGAACCTGACTGGAACGGAGATAATCCCGTCTCGAGCACAAGCATTGCTGAGCTGTCATTGGGTGCAACAAAGCCAAGTGATTTAGCCTTTGTACCAAGTTCATACATAGCTTTCGCTTCATCCCATAGTCCCGTTTGTTGTAACCCCTCCACCAGCGGTATTGCCCGTTGGAGTCTATATCTATTGAATTTTCGTGCGATATTACTAGTGTGTTGCATATCGGATAGGCGAACCAGGTACTGATCAAAAACGCTCTCTAGTGCTGACGTGAAAACGAAGTCTCCATTGGTTTCGTTGATGCCTACTAGTCGCTCGCCTTGTACAAGCGGTGACAAATCTGGTATGAGTGCATCCCAGCCTACAGGCTCTTGCCAGTTGGAATAAAAGCCTAATCCATGGATGAATTCATGCTGAAATGTGGAGAAGGATTCAGGTTAGATTCCAATATCAGGTACCATGTAACCAGGCACCCCCACCCCCCTTTTTTTCCATACCAAGATCACAAACAAAAAATCAGATTGATCACCTTCTATTGGTCCATCATCCTACATAGCATCGATTCAATCAGTCATTCATGATTCGGTCAGTAAGCTCAGAACTTATGCCCTTACCTCAAACCAAAATGGTGCCTCCGCGTTGAACAAACTGACAATATCATACTGTGCAAAAGCTGGAGGAGAATTGAGTTCCATTTGCTTCACCAGTGCTTGTGGGTACAATCGAAAAACGCCATCTCCTTTTGCTATGGCCACTGTGCGGGCAGGGTATGAGCCGCCTAGGGTGACTAAATTGCCCTTGGGACATTCTCCTAAAGTGCGACAGAAAGGCACATAGGTTGCATTAACCATGATTGGCGTGGTGAATGTAATAGCTTGCGATATGATACTGCCTGCCCGCTCAAACGCTTGTCGAGCTCGTTGACAGGTGTGATTACTCGCATAGCATGTAAAATCAATTTTAAAGCCACTCGCGTCCGTGCTACGTTTTGCTAGAGGGGTTCGGGAATTTTCTGTTTCCGTCGCTGGACAGTGCACGAGCTGCTTGATGGATGGATTGAGAGGATGGTGATGATCGAAACATATAGTACTTGAAACATAAATGAAAATAAAAGTTATTGTATAAAGAATTATGCTGAGCGTATGCATGGTATGTTCGAGCTCTTTGATGCTGCAGGGTGGATTATATGACCTGGGAAACTAAATAGCAAAATGTTGTTTGCTTTAGCTTGGTAGTAATTAGGCTCGTTGCAAAGAAGAGAAGGAAAGAAGATGATCGGAGACTTCTAAATATCATTTTGGGTGGACCAGATGTTCAGGCAACGACTAGCCATAGCCTGTCACTCGGAACCTTTCCATTGGGGCTTTGACCCTTCATTATACATGTTTGTTGATCTATCCAATACAGCCAATATCAAACAAAAACTCGTGACGAATGGACGATAGTAAATACAGAGACTCTGCTTCGAATATCCACCTAACGTCCGTATATTGCATTTTTTATACTGAAGGTTTATTTTGGGTTTGAATAGATAATGGGACGGTATCTATGCAGCGGTGTTTTTGAGCTGTTCCTCCTCAATCTTGTCCTCCTTCTTACCAAGGCTGCAGAAAAAAAATAAATTAGTTCAATATCCATGAAGTGGTGACACTTGGTTACTGTGAGTAGGAGACAAACTGCAACAGGTGCCTTTCTGTTGCTTTTCACTGGCCATATATTGACGGACAACATGATACTTACTGGTTATACTGGATGAAACGATAACCTTGAACAAGTTGTGCAACTTCGTTAGTAGCGTGGCATGCGAACAACAAATAGTTCTGTGGTCGGACAGCCAAGGCGAAGCGCATGAAGAGGGCAGAGTATACACAGAGTGCTAAAAAAAGAGAGAAAGCGGATGGTTGGTTAATCTAATTTTGATGCCATATCGTCGGTGTTGATTATCGTCTTCATTCATATCAAATCTATTTACCAGCAGTCATGTTGCCAGAGATATATTGAGGATCCTTCTTCCAGTCAGAGATGGCAGCAATAGGGATACCCCAGTTGGCGACTAATAACAAACAAGAAGAAATAAGTCCTTAATTCCTTTCTTTCATTGCTATGCCAGTAAGTTTACTCACCAGGACCCCAAAAGTGCTAATACAGACAATAGTGATAAAGAAGGAATGATTAGTATATAAAAAGGAAACCTTCAAAAGTGTTACTATAGAGATCTTGGACATACGGTGCTGATGAACGGAAACGGGTAAATGAATGAGTTAGTTTTGCTTCTTAATGCAAAGTCTGCCGAATCGAACCAATCCCGGGGTGGCATTTCTTACCTCATCAAATAGCTCTTGAACTCCTTGGAGGCCAACTTCTGGGTAATCCTGCTGGCAATAGATCCTGATGCTTGGGACATGTTGGGGTAGGTAAAAAAATGTTACGGGGGACGGGAGTGTCGACTTTTTGATGAAGCGGAAAAATCATTTTTCAGAGATCCTGCGTTCTGATTGGCTTTGCTCATAATCGCTTCCCGGCAATGAAAATCCCCTTCCCGTGGAATGGCCCATGGCATATAACGAAGGCTATTCAATCAGCGTTTCCCTATAACATACTTCATAAATGCAATGATAGTAATATAAAACCTTTCATTTGTTTACCATTCTATGGATTGTGTTGTTCGAGACGGTTTAGCTTTTTCATATTATAAACCATTGTTGACGTGCCTGAAAAACTCAATTTGAACCTTCTACCCTAACCATCCAAATATCTCTCTCAATAATTTGCGGATTTCACATGCACGGTCATTGGGAGAGCTTACGTCTTCCATTATGCCAATGGTGACATAACTTCATGTGTAGTAACTCTTTTTTTCATAAAAAGGAAAAGAAATCGTAACGTTGCGTATGCCTATAATATTGTGACGTTGCTGTGCACGCGTCATTTGCTCAGTCAAACGCTTTAAAGATAAAATTTGGCTTGAACAAACCCGCTGTAGCTTCACAAACGCAATATACAAGGACCGATAAACGTTATTATGTCCAGTTCAGGTGAGGGTGCTTTGAACAGTACCTCAGAGCCTTTACCTGCCTCTGTCATTCAAGACGATGAAGCACATACTCTACATTACTCGCAAGCTCTACCCTACGCCTCGCAATTAGACAGAGAAGCGGAGCTGTGGCTCAGTGATATCTGCACTCAACTCGTCGTCAGTGTTCAAGCTCACGATTTTGCACCGGGCTGTTTATTTTGGGTGAAGAGTCTTAGCAGGTGAGTCGGAATTGACATTACCAGTGGCAGGCTTGATGGCGGTGACTACCAAACTAACATTACTGCACACCAACCTAGTTACCTAGACCTTAAACATGCTTTACCTCGTGAAACAAGAGCCAACTTGGCAAAACTACTTTATGAATTGACTATCATACCTGGAATGGACTCGGCACTTGTTGAGATATGGGCCAATGCATGTGTCAGATTAATCAAGTAAGTCTAGTTGATCTGAAGTGTTTGACATCTTACGTGAACATCGATATTCAATGTACTGGTACCTCAAAAGGAAAAAGAAGCATCTAGGACCTCAAGACCTTTCTCTGCCGTGGCGACCATTGTATGAAATGATCCATAAAACATTCTTCCCAAAGTCTCGACAAAGAACTTTGGTGTCGGAATCGTATCCTTTTTTTGCTTTTATTTTGTCATTATGCATGACACATTATACAACCGGACTTATTTGTCTTATCTGATCATTTTGCATACCTTCTTGACTCGAGCTTCCGCGCTTTTTCTTTTTTTCAGAAAACAAATTGCTTCTATCCTTCGACTAGCAGAATATGCACAACGATTTTTCCCATCCGGTGCTTCACAGGAGATCCTGGAAGAATTCCTACCGAAATTCTCAGCACATTCTGTCATGGACGCTTTGATGGCTCAAGGTTACTTGGTGCTGTTTCTTCCCACTTCTATTCCAATCGATTCAATTACACACCAAATTTTGGATAATAGCAGTGTGGCACCACATGATTACTTGCAAACCATGTTCACCCTATGGTTCAGCATCACTAACTCTCCGACTTTCGATGCGCAATTCGTGGACTTACTTTCCAGAATTGCTGAAAACAACGTTAACAGCACATTTGGAGACATAGGATTATTCAGTAAATTGCAAGTGAGCCAGGTGTTTGGCGCAGGATTACGTATGATGGACCTTCCCGTAGGCAGCCGTAGCGATGGTAGTACAGTGGGTGCTGGTGCTGGCGGTGGCACGACCACTGGTTTCAACAGCCAAGGTCTCAAGACGGATGTTAAGGCTGGAAATTCTCTGTTTTTGCGAAGGAAGCATGACAAATTCAAGAGTTTGGCAAGGTTTATTATTTACACCATCTACCCTGGCCAAGAAACTGATGACCAAATCTCAACCATGTCTCACTTGAAAAAGTTGATCCAAGCCATTGAATCCTATTACCATCCTTCAAACCATGGTCGTTGGTCATACCAGATTACCAACTTTGCTCGCCAACTATCTTCAGAATTTCTCAAGAGATGGAGAGAAGGTATGTGTGGAGATTGAGGGATATAGCGCGGGAGTGAATGTTGCGATTCCTAGTACAGCAAAGTTAATGTATGTCTGTTTTTTCTCCCTTCAGAGCAAGAGCCAGATTGCCCTACTCTACCCCAATTCCGATTGACACCTGAACTTCGCAAAGAGTTTGTTTACACCATTCGTGCTGTTGTATTTTTGAGTTTATTCGGAAAGGATCAGTATTCTGTCAGTGCTTCTCAGAGTGCTCTCAAGTCTTTAGTTTGTAAGTAGTGTGCGAGAAAGCGTTTTACCTGCTAGTGTGATGCTGACCAGCTTGTTTTTTTTTCGAACTTTTTACTTTATAGGGTTGGAGCCTGAGTTGTTGTTCCCTGGCTTGCTCGAAAGAATTTATCCATCATTGGAAAATCTCACGGAGACTCATAGAACTGCCAGTTCATTGAGTCTACTCTCTCATATAGCCCTTCCATTACTTTCTCGGCAACACTATCCTGCTGGCGGTAAGCATTTACTGCCGTTGTTGCACCTAACCATCCCGGGAATCGACATGAATGACCCTATGAAATCCATTTCATCGCTCATGTTTATCACCACCGCTCTAATGAATGTCCCAATATTTGACCTCACTGGAAGCTCTAGCAGTGGCATTACTTATGAATCCGAAGAAATCAACTTTGAGTCAATGGATATCGATAGTGGAAATCAGGTCTTCCATGTTGATAGAGAAGAGGATGATCTGTTGTGCAGATCTTCAACTGGAGAATTCGAGGAGTGGCTTTCCAAGTTTTTGAACAGGGTTTTCACTATAGTAAGTGTGAAGTGAGAAGAAAGAAAATGACTAGTGGCAGCCATTAACTCTCTGCAACTTTTAGTTTGAGAACTTGCCTCAACAAGACAATAAGAAAATGGGTGGTCATATGGAAGCCGGTTTGACTCAAATACTCTTGGTGAGAGAAGTACAAAGTGATTATGCCATCTAGAATGAACTTTATTTTAACCTCATACGTCTCTTAGCATACTTGCGAGGTCATCTTCAATCAAATATCCGACGAGTTGTACGATTTTGGTCTTCGAATGATAGTGGACTTTGCTGCACAACAAGTCCTTCCTAATGCTGTTCGACCTATGGGCTATCTTTGCGCTGTAGTCACTTCTCCCCATCCCGAAAAGGCATTGAAGAAATTTATTCCTCTTTGTCTTGATAACATCAGGACAGAACTGGAGCATGGCGCCTCCGGTCTCGCTACGAACTCTAGTACATCACAGCAACCACAATCTGATTCTACTTTACATTGGTACCAGAGTATCCTGTTCCAGGTCTTGACCATGCCTGGAACCGAGATTTTAAAGTACAAGAAAGACATTATCGACATCTTGAAGCTGATGCAGGCTGAATGCAAGAGTCGCCGCGGTTTCATGTGGGCTGGTAAACTGTTACGATTTGTACTGATGAGCTTGCTGGAGATCTATCCCTTGGAATGCAAGAGTGTACCTCTTGACCGCTGGAATGATCCAGAGTTTATGGCTAACCAACACTTGTATTGGGGAGCCTTTACTGACACGGCCAACCCAAGTATTAAATGGCACACGCCATCGGAAGAAGAAAAGAATTTTGCTTTGCAACTCATCGATACATTCTACACACCTTCTGAAAAAAAATTACGGGAATTGATGACGTTAAATTCGAACAACAGCAAGGAGTCTACCAATGAATTCTGTCGACTGCTATGTGTCGTGCGAAACTGTGTTTTAGGCAGTGCTACTTTGACGGACGACGACGGTTTTGATATCGGAAATGCAGACGATCAACTTCAAGGCGAAGAGGATTCATCCACTATTCATCATATGAAAACTCTGCATGCTGGATACAGCTTTACCGACTCTAATGACCCACGTACGGAAGTTGCAAGAGCTTTCCGTCGAAGTGTTGGAAACTTGATCCACGATATGTGCGGCTATTTCAAACAATCTCGAGAAGACGACGTTGAAAGCATCAAGATGATTGTCAAGATTGCCAAGTCATACATGACCGATCGTGGTATCGAAAAGAGCAAATTCGATGCTAGCCGTAGAGGATATAGCTTTGCCAAAAACATTTGCAAAACTCCAAATTGTAACAAACAATATCCCAGATATTTACTTGGTAAGTGACTTTGGCGAAGTACAAAAATACCAGCGTCATTGTTTTTGTTACGTTTCTAAATATTCCATTGTTTATCCATAGTTCGACGAGTGTACAATCACCACCTCTTGCGTCTGAAGCAAAATGCTCATGGGCGTGCGCGCGCTGCTTTGCATGATGCCATATTTGCTGATTTGGTAGAGTTGTCGCTCAGCTACTATGCTGAGATTAGAAAGTAAGTAACAAAAGGGCTACTACTATTCTATCGTCAAGATGCAATCATAAACAATTCGCTCTATATTTAGAATGGCACAATCTGCCCTGACCTATGCTGCCCGATGCTATGTGGGATCCAAACCTCGGATTGTGCCCACCTTGTTGGAAGCCCTTCAGCCAAGCACAGAATGTAAGCATTGTTGGGATGTTATAGACATTTTTGGGAATACACGAGCTCACTAGACAACGCTTTATTTTGCAGATTCAGCCGAGGTCTATGCCAATCGTATCAAGGGTGCATTGTACTTGCTCAACTCTCGAACCTTGATGTTGACTTGTCTACGTGATTGGCGGTTCGTACCCAAATTCATGCTCTACCTTTGCAAAACTCAACATGAGGATAAGGTACGTCTCGGTTTGTTTATGGAGAGATGGCGTAGGTGATCAAATATGGCTGCTTACATTTTACTACCCCAGATCTCCGTACAAGAATTGGTGCGAAGACTGTTTGTGGACTACGTTTTCAATTTCAATAGCACGTCGTTCCGTTTGATTATTCCTGATCAAATCCAGAAAGCGATGGATGAAGTGGCCAGCATGGGTCTTCGTTCTATATCCGACTTCGAGCAACAGATGCAAAAGGCTAAGGCCAAGGTTGCTGAGAGACTGCAAAACGAAACCAAGGCATACGGTGAACTTGTGGCTTCGCTTCTGGAGCTTCTCAAAGATCCCAAAGTCCACTGGCGTTTCGCCAACATGGCCGCCAACTTTTTAGAGCTGCTATTGAGGTCAGACACACCTCCTAGCGCCGAGCTTGTCGAATTTGCGAATCGTTGTATTGTCTCGGAACTACCTGCCATGCGAAAGATTGGTATCTCTTCCACTAGTCGAATCTTGTTGTATATCAAGCAACGGACGTTTGCCCAAGGAGATGATGAAATGCTGCTGGTAAAGGAGACGCAAAATCCAAGAAAACACTTGGTAGACACCCCACAACCTCTCCCTTCAGGGTACACCCGTCAATTTTTGGAAAATTCTTGGACCCCCATCGGCAGCGACTGCGATCTTGTGGATAACATGGTCACTGGTTGGTATGTGTGGCCCAAATCGTACGAAGCATATTCCTTAGAACCACCGAATTCTGAGGAGATAGTGATCGACCAGGCGTGCCAAGAGGGATTCGAAGAATTCAGAAAGGCATATACTTCATCCGACTTCTGGTCCAAGATCACTGTTTATATGTCACAGGAGACCTCTAAGGGTCAAGAAGATGCTTTTAGTGGCACGAATGCTCGCCTCTACAAAAGTATTTTTGGCATGTTCCTGGATGAGCCACTGGACGCAGTCAAGCCAGAAATCGAACGGTTGTGTTCCCAAGCAGATCAAAAGAATCAACAAAGAGCAGCTGCTGAGCTTGTAGCAGGTATCGTCCGAGGCTCAAAACATTGGCCCCTAGAAAAGACAACAGCTTTGTGGGATTGGCTGGGACCACTTTTACGCAAGACGTTTGCTGCCATCACGCCGGATTCATTAACCTATTGGGAAGGCATGGTGAAATTCTGTGTGTCTCAACGTGACCCACGTCGCCTGTTACCCCTGGTGGATGTGATTCTGTCTGCTGAATTTGACCCTACCTCCTATGCTGCTTTCTCCGAAGCGAGAAAACTGTTGTTTGTGCGAGCCCTTTTGACAACCTTAACTTGGCGAGTCTTGCCCAGATCATCCGATCTCCTAGATGCTTACTTTGATAACTTGCATCATCCTTACAAGCAAGTTCGAGAGGCCCTTGGTGGAAATATTAACGAGATCCTGCAAATTCAATGGATCCCTTCGATTGGCTCTGTCAAGGAATTACTGGCCTTCAACCAGTCGGATAAGTCCAACGCCGCCACCATACCTATTTCCATCGAAGATCCACAATTAGAAGAAAAACTCCAAAAGGTGACTGAGAGCTTGGCCATCTGGCGCCAGGAAATCGAACCCACAGCTACGGCAGGATCGACTAAGTATGCCAATGCTAGCAAGACGGTTTTATGCTGGCTGCATGAAGCATTATCGAATTGGCGGGTGGCCGGAACGTACCCACACGTCTTGCGCCTCCTTCCGGAGCTCTTCCATATGCAAGATATCAATGATGATCACGATCTCCAGACCATGGCGTCGGGTGTTCTCAATTTGATTGCACAGACGTCTTACCCACACTCGCTGGTACCCCACATGGTGGAGGCGTTTGCCCACATTTTGACGGAATCCGATAGCTGGCACATCCGAATGAAAGCGCTTCCCATCCTTCAGGTGTTTTTCTTCAAGCATTTATTCTTACTCAAGTCCAGTGAAGTGATACGCATTATGGACGTCATTACTGATTTACTGATGGACACACAAATAGAAGTACGCCAGCTTGCATCGGTTACACTGAGTGGTTTGGTGCGATGTTCTCAACGAGATGCCATCCATGTTTTGAACAAGAAATACACCGACCTGGTGGTCAGCACCCGTATACCGAAACGCATTAGACAATCTAACGGAGAGAAAGCACCCCTCCCCGAAGGATTCCAGGAGGCACTCCTCAAGAAGCATGCTGGTGTACTTGGCCTTTCTTCTCTTGTTGACGCTTTTCCGTACGAAGTACCCAAGTGGATGCCTGAAGTCCTTGTACAGCTTGCAGGATGCATATCTGAACCAGCGGCTATTCAGGTAAGATGTTTGTTTTAATTTTAAAGCTCCTTTCTTTATACAGTACCTTTTATGCCGAAATTTGCCTAAACCATCTCTTATTTATTTTTTCTCTCTACAGTCGACGGTGCGAAAGACCTTTTCGGATTTCCGAAGGACCCACACCGACACATGGCATGAAGATATGCTTCAATTTGATGAAGACCAATTATCTCTCTTAACTGATATGCTGATTTCACCCTCGTATTATGCATAAGCCCTAATATTCTGTTTGCTGATGTTAAGCTTAAACACATGTCTTAGTCAGCTTTGCTATGGTTATTAAAATTTGGGATGTTTCCGTTAAGTCAAAGCCAAAGGCTAAGCAGAGCAGCGTGATGGTGTCGCTATTCCAGGCACAGAACAGCCTTTGCTCGCTTCGCCACCGGGAGTCAAATGAAAGGAAATGTTTGTTCCTGCCTGCCAAAAAGTGTACGTCACGTATTGCATAAAAATACTTAATATGTAGATAATATTTTTAGCCAAGGAGGCTGTAACAAATTGTCGAGAGGCTGAAAATTTTTAGCTGTACAGCTATATAAACAACCTTCATGGCTGACATACTTGTGCACTATCCTCTTCCTCAATGGCCTCTCCAATCTCCTTCGTACTGCTCGCTCTCTGTCTTGTCTTCACTCTTGCTCCTTGGGCTGCCAACGCTCACGGTCGCTTGGTACGATCATGATCATTTTGCCTTGACACTCGTCATGTAAACTAACATATCTTCCAGATCATCCCTATTGGTCGTGAAGGCTCTACTGATGCTCCCATCACCACGCTTCCTTGCAATAGTCTCAATTCCTCCAGTCCGGTGGCCACTTACGTGCAAGGAAGCAAAGTTCAGCTCTCCTGGACCATTACCGAAGTTCATGATGCCAGTGAGTAATAAGCCCTAACACAGCCACTCGTAAAAAAAGCAATACTCATCGCATTTATTTTTACTTCAGCTTCTACCTGCTACATTGACATCTCAAAAGGAACAGATGACTCTTCTTTCACCAAGCTCGCAACGCTTGAACAATGCGCTTCATACCTCGGTACTTATGTCGCTAACGTTGATCTTCCATCTGAATGGGACGGTCAAGGCACTCTTCGCTGGTGGTGGCATGTACAGAGCCTCAACGTGACATTCGCCACTTGCTCCGATATCACTCTTGTCAAGTCCAGCTCATAAAGCGAATACTTTTACCTTTTCTTATTATTATAAGCTATTAAAAGGCAATAAATGCATGTACTCTAATGCTATCATCGAACACTCTCATTTCTTTTTTATTTTCATGTAAACCTTTCAAAGCATCACCCCCCAGAACTCTTTCTATCCATAAATAAACATGTCATTTCCACCTCGTCATCGATCTGATCTGATGCAGTATGAAAAGAAACATGGCTGGTTGTAACAATCGAGGATCGAAATCGGCTGTCCTTTTGCCTAATTTGGCTGTTTTCGGTTCAGATCCGACTGTGAAAGAAAGACAAAGGGTTTACCAATTGAGCTGAACCTTAGCATTGACATTTTCTGAATTACAGTTGCACGCCCTGTGATTCCTTTTCGTGCTCTACTGATCCAACACGTTTCTGAGTGACCTTCGGATCCCCTTTTTATCACTTCACTTCACTCTGGCTGTGATCAGCTGTGCTTCTCTCACCAAGCTCCATTTCACGTTGCCACTTTCCTCCTTTTTAATTTTACTTTTATTTACATATCTATCATTTGCCACTGCTTTACGGTGCTGCAACCAAGTGATAACGTGTGTTCATCGCTTCTTTGTATCTTACAGCATCTTCAATTTTTTCATATGTTGGTAGAAGGTTAAAAATATTTGTCTAATAACGTACCTCAGAAAAAGATACTCTAGCAAAGTGTCTCCGGCTGACGGATTCAACCGCGTTTATGCGTCATAGAAATATCTTGGAATTGGAAGAAAGGTGTCTCGCTTCGCAGCCGCTAATCCCTTTTTTTTTTTTTTTTGGTTCCGCCTTCCCATGCTCAATGTCCATTCATGCCTTGTTTCGCTAGCTATTATGCCCATTGAACCACTCACTCACAACTTTTACTCTATTACATTAGAAAGCTATTGCTTTCGTGATAACGGCTCTATATGTTTACATGAATAGCGGAATCCTTCAACAGAGGAGGCGACTGAGTTGCAACAACAGTTTTCAGCCAATCGCAAAAAGGAGCAACCAGGAACACAACACAAACAGCTGATATTTTTTTATTCAACACAATCAGGTATATAAATGCACCAAGGTACCTTCTGCGCTTCAATATCATCTTTTAATGAAATATATCTGGGCTGTAACCGCTATCTTCTCCATCGGAAAGGTGGTGGCCGATTGTGTTGCCAATCCTGCCGACCCATCCTGCGCCAGCTATCAGATGAACTCGACTCTCATTCAGAATGGTTTGAATAGTCTGTGCTCTCAAATGTCCTTCATGCCAGTACGTATCCATGGGAAAAGCAAGCAGTAAAGGATCAATGCATTAATTTTTCACTTGCGCATTCAGGGTTGTACTGTACGCGGCATATGTGCCAACAATACACAGTTAGCATCCAACTCCTGGTGCAATGAGTTCTCCATTTTGGCTGATGTTTGTCAAGTCGACATGCCGGTAGGTACACTTTAACGCAGCATTCTTCTCACATCGTAGTGTGGCATTTGTATTAATCTATGCATGCATACCTTCTTTCTTTGTTTTAGAAAATGTCTGGCTGTGCCGATTACACTCAAATGTGTAGCAATGTCTCGGTTGTTTCAGAATGTAAGACTAATACCATGCTCCCTGGATTGCCAACCACCCAGGATGCTGCACAATATGTTCAAAGCATCTGCTCGTCCATGGCCATGGATGGTTGCGATGCTTGTGTCTTTCCCGCCGGCGGAGGTTATCCTCAATGTGACATCCTCTCTACCTATGCTCATCTCTGTACAAGCATGCCGGACATGGATCAATGTGCATCGTTCAAATCCATCTGTCAAGCAACACCAAGTTTCTCTCTTTGCTCCTCCAGTGGGTCCACCGATGCTCCACCCAGTATGATCATGTACTTCCACCAGGGTATTCATGAATACGTTCTGTTCAAGTCCTGGGTCCCTAACAATAATGGCCAGTATGTTGGAGCCTGGTTCGCCATTTTCTTCATCGCCGTCTTCTACCAAGGTCTCAATGTCCTTCGAAGCAATTGTGAGGCATACTGGCTATTGAGCGCCGAAAAGGGGGATAAGAAGTGGAGATTACTTGGAAAAAATGGTGAGTGTTCGCGAAGTTCTGTTGACGGGATGTAGATGATCGACTCATGTGCGTTTTTTCGGGGTTCTTTGTAGGCTACTTTGCTTGGAAGCACACCAAGATCGATCTCATGAGACTTGTTTTCACATTTATCGAGTCCACTATCTCCTATGCTCTGATGTTGATCACCATGACATTCAATGTTGGTCTCTTTTTTGCCGTTGTCACCGGTTTGGCCGTGGGCATCTTTTTCTTTGGTCGACATCGAAGTCTGGCCGGTTTAGCTGAGGCTGGCAAGCTAGATGGCTGTGCTTCGTGCCAATAATATCCAACAAGCCTCAATCATGAAACCTTTGGTCATCTTTGATTGTTCCTATGTCATTTATACTATCAGACTATTTCCCATATCTATAGCCTTATCTATCCCTACTCTTCGCTTACTCATTGTATTGCGGAAGCCTATCAATATAAGAAACACAACATTTTTTCTTCAAAAACAGTCTAGTATATTGGCAGAAAATCGACGTATGCATTTTTTTTATATTATCACGGTTGTGTATGGGAAGGTGTGAAATGGGAGTTGGGGGGAAGAAAACAAAAAATGTACAGGATTAGCGTCTAGCACTTTGCGTCCTGCCTCCTCGGACGGCATTTCCGAAAACATTGTTGAAGTTGTTACGACCGCCTGTTCGCTGCTGGAATGGACGTTGACCGCTAACGGCATTGCGGTTTTGTTGACTACCTGGTTGACCTACAGCAAATAATGAGAAAGGGAGAAAAAAAAAAAACCAACCATGGCAGTAAACCCAAACTTACCCTTGTTGCCTCGTCTATCTTTCTGTTGTTGCTGTTGCTCTGGTCTCTGCTCAGCATTCTTTTGCTCCAAAAGTCGTTCGTTTTGTTCAACAAGGTTGACAGCCTTGTCAGCGAATTGAAGAGCCAATTGTTGCACACGAGATTGCTCAACTTGGTGCAAAACAACACACTGAGTGACTTGATCCAAGGATGCGGAAAGCTCCTCTTGCCAAATCATCTTTGCAACAATGGAGGAAACATTGACAGTCGACAAATCAAACATTTGTGAAAGTTGTGCAAGTCCAATGGTGGAGTAGTAGGATGCGTAGGTGAAGAGATATGTGCGCAAACCTTCCTCTTGAATTTTTCTGTCGTGATATCATTAGATTAGCAACAAGATCCAAACCAACTCGTCGAGCCTGTCATTCAATGTCTTTCTTACCTTGCCAACATATCCTTAATGTGCTGTGTGTTGGGCATAAGCTCCCAAATCTTGATGGCCATGATCAAATCTCTAGACTTCTCCCATTCGCCGGAAGCAAGTGCCTTGGCAGCTCCCATGATGTGGTCTCGAATGTTTTCGGGAGGACCAAGGAAGGCTTGTCGTTCATTGTAGTCTAAAAGTCTGCGGAAAGTTTTAGAGATGACTTTCTTGTTGTTGGGACCAGCTTGGGCTTGTGCGGGAATTTCCAAAAGCATAGAGCAAGTGTGATATACGCATTCCAAAAGTTCCAGGTTAATGTGCATATGGAATGGAAGTTGACGTTGACGTTCAAGTTGTTCCTGGTCGGCGGCGACGGGTTGACCATATCGCTGCATTTGAACACCTTGAGCCAACAATTCCTTGGGTCTTCCAGAACCTTGCACCTCTTGCAAGCAAGAGTGAGACTCCTTGATCAAACCATCACGGAAAGCGCACAAACCGAGCTGAACCATAACACGGTTGTACAAGATTTGAGTAGGGATATCAGCCTGGTGAATAGTCTCTTGCAAGTGAGACATGAGCAACATATCGCGAGCAACATGGAAGCGCTGATGGAGAGCATGGTGATAGATGTGGCACAACATGGCTCTGGTACGGAGGACAGAAACATCCTGTTGGTAAAGGTAGGTGCAAAGTTGGTGAACGAGTTCAGCAGGGTCGGTGGCGGTGATAATGCTGGATTTGACATGGTCACCAAGAACACTTTGGGTGGCGATTTCGATTTGTGAAATGACCTGTTCAGGCTTGAAGTAGACGTGTTCCAATCTTCTCATGACGACACGTCCAATGCTGGCAGCCAAGTTATGCTTTTCAAAGTAGACCTGGGATCGAACCAAGATGGCATAAAGGCCAGCCTCATCGCGCATACGGTCGATGTAATCGGTTGTATGGGGGTCGATATTTTGAAGTGACTTGGTGAACTCGTCATCGAGGCGCTCAACAAAGCTGATCAATGAGCCGCGGAGACCAATGGGTTGGCCAGGCTTGGCAACAATATCCTTATCCTCGTCATCGATATCATCAGCGTTCTCAAAAACGTAGAAGGAGGGGTCGGTTTCGAAAATCTTCAACAATTGGTTGATTTCCTTCTCAACAGATCGCCACAATTCGACTTGCATATAACCAGTCATGCTGAGGTTAGCATCGAATCTAGAAGAAATGAGAGCAAGAAGGACCTTGATTTTCTGATAGGAGGAAGTGGCATCCTTAAGCAATCTTTGCAGGGTGTTGATTTGCTCGTTGCGGTCAGTGCTCTAATAAAAAAGCCGTAGTTTAGAAAATGAAATAAAAATGCAGCCATATATTTCCAAAGAAAATCGCATGACGATCTTTACCTTCTTGCCTCTGGCTTCAAGAATCTCTCTAAGCTTTTGGAGCAAGTTTTCGCTGGTAATCTCGGCAACAGCCTTTCCTCCCTTGCCAACAGTGGTGAACTCAGAATCATCGATTTGAGGGGTAGATGGACCAGCGGCATCATCGTCCTCTGAATCAGAACCTGCCAAGAAAGCGTTCTTGCTCTTCTTCTTGGTAGCAGCGACAGTGACGATAGCGGGCTCTTCAAGAGAGTCAGGGTCCTTGCGGTACATCTCGATCTTGTCTTCGAAAGACTTGTTGTTCTTCTTCAACTTTTGCTTCATGGCGTTCATAGCCTTAGCATTGTTGGCGTTCATCTTCTTCTTAGCAGCCTTCTCCTTTTGAGCGGCTTCCTGGAGGAAGTCCTCGAGTTCAACAAGGCACTTGATATAGAACTTGGGGGTGACGATACCGTTGATACCAGCCTGAGCTTTAGTCATAAGCTTGTTGAGCTTGTCGAATTCTAATCACAAATAAGGGAAAATGGACGATTAGATCATATTGTTTCCAAAGGAATGTGTCTGGCTCCTGCTGGTTTGCAGCCAACTGCAAAACCAAAAGGAAAAAATAATAATTAAAAAATTCGTAGGTTAACACTTGCCGTTGGAAATCAAGGTCCAGTCGTTGTTCTTTTCGCCGTTCTCAATGGTCTTGACGCAGCTTTCCATCTCTTCGTATCTCTTATCTTTTTGAGACTTGATTTGCCGCCGGCCACCGTCTTCGTCATCAGAATCTGCATCTGAATCGGAACCGCCCTTCAAGAAGCGATTCTTCTTTGGCTGATCGTCTCTTTTCAGATCGTCGTCAGCATCGGACATATCCTCATCAGAGGACAATTCCTCATCAGAGATGAAGGAATCGTTGTCAGATGAATCGGTTTCTGATTCGCTATCAGTTGCTGAACGGAAGAAGCGAGAAGCCATACTGTCGAGAGGAAAATCAAGGCGAATGAAGAGTAAGCGAGATAGGTGTGGAAGAGAATAATAAGGTCAGTAAGTTAAACATTCGATATGCGACGGTAATCGCACCTTCACTACAGTCAATGCCGAGTAAAACACACACCTATCTACGTTGTAGAGTTCGAAAGGTTTCTCTTGCGCAGCCAATATTTTTTTCTTCTTCTGCAATAACAAAAATTTCTTTGGTCACGTGCTTAGTGAAGTCAACTTTTTTTCTACGGCAAAGTGATGAGCCACTGACTGACTGACTTTGAGAACCACCCACCCGCAAGCGTTTCAGAAGGTAAAGATACGGTTAGGAAGATATTTTGCATTATTTAAAGTAGTGCTATCGTCAATCCATAAACATGCAGTGTAGATGCTTCCCTGCCTTCGTCCTATGTGTAGTAACCGACTTTAAGTGGCCAACCGAGATTCACAACCCACACGTTGCAAACAGTGATGCTTGGACTGCATCGCCATTGATCCCTGTACAAAATAAAATTTCTGTTGGTTTTATATATAATGTAATCATTGTATATCGATTAATGCACGGATGGATTGCTATCAAAATTTTCCAGGCACTGACCATTGCCGCCAATTTTGGCTTCGTTCTCTGGCCAGTGTCGTTTTGCGCGTCACACTCCAGAGGAAAAAATATGCTGGCTGGCTCATCAACATACTTACCTACTCATTACGCGTTTGCATAATGACCACCTTATCACACCACATTGATGATCAGACACTGCGAAATGACTTGGAACAATTGGTAGCAAATGATCCCAAAAGCAAACAAGTCATTGATCGGTTGATCACGTATTTTTTGACTAGAAGCGGAGCCCAAGATGAGGAATCCAAGAACGCAAAGCGATCACTGGATGAAAGTGACGGTTTAGAACTCGTAAAGTCCAACCCAACATACAAATTAAAGGAAATATCATTTACGGCTCCTGAGCGAAAAAAGATGGATCTGCTGGTCGGTGAGCGACACTTACTTATTCAACATTATAAATCACAGTACGAACTCGCTATTCCCATTGAACGCCTGGATACCCTAGTGTGCGTTCCTACTCCTGAAAAGGCCAAACCAGTGTATACGTTTATACTTTTTGAAAAAAATCCAAGAACCAACGCTATAGTGTTCTCTTTACCTGGCCATGATGCTGTGTCTTTTTATGACATGAAGGCCGATTCATCCAATCCCAAAGGCTTGTATAAAACCGACGACTTGTGCAGCTTTTTCGAAAATCAAATCAAGATACCCCGTATACTGCGACCCTCTGCAGAAGCATTCGTTTACATCAAACTTTCGCCATTAGGACAACGGCAAGAGAATTTTGGAGTCAAGGCGTATCGCAAAACGAGTGAAGGTTATCTCTTCTTCTTACCCAATGGTATATTTTACGGATTCAAAAAACCGTGTTTACTTTTTCCATTGTCCGACATTGGCACGACCAGCTTCCATGATATAACCCAACGTACGTTCAATCTGACATTGACAATGAAGGTTGGTCATCAACCTCGTGGCGTCGGATACGATGCGCTTGTCAACAAGAACAAAGACCCCTCGGTGGATTCAGCCGAAGGAGACTCATACGAATTTTCCATGATCGACCAAACCGAGTATGGTGTCATAGATCAGTACATCAAGAAAAATAAAATTAATGACAACAGTATGAGTGAAGAACGCAAGGCTCCGCCACCTAAACTCCAACAGGATGAGATGGATGATGAAGATGAAGAAGAAACTGAAACTGCCAAGAAACGCCAGCCCGCTGATGACGATGATGACGATGAAGAAGATGTCAACTTTCAGCCAAGCGATAATAGCGATGATGAAGATTTAGAGTACGACTCGCAGGCGAGTGATCAGGAAGGAGCCAATGGTTCGGATGATGAGGAGGTGGAAGGAGATAACAACGAAGATAATGATGCAGATGACCATATAAGTGGAGACGAGGCTCCAAGCACACGTGGCAACGCCATGGATGAAGATGAAGAAGATGAGCTAGACGAATAAATTCAATCTAGAACATAGCGCATGCGTGCCATTGTTTTCTGTTATTCCTGTAATTGCTTCGTTTCAATGTATTAAAAAATGTACTAATAATCTCATTACGATTCTATGACGACAGATAGATTATGCGTTTATATTTATTGCGACGGTTAGAGACATTTTTTTAGTACACGACTCTTTCTCGAATCAAAAAAAAATAACCATGTCCTCAGTATATCAAAGAAAGTCATCTGAACCAGAGAGAAAGGTGAGTGAAGTTGAAACTGACTTCAGATAGATAACAAGCAATCATCTCATGGACCATCGCTGTAGGCTCAAGAAGAAGAACACCTTGATAACGCCAAGTACCACACCGAGTTCGAAACGGTCAAAGATGATGCCGAAAGAGCATCTGAGCTACACAAGGAACGCACTGGCAAAGAACTAGATATTTCTGATAAGAATGTTTTGGAGAGTGATTTCCCGGAAAAGAAGTCGCCATAGATTTTGTTTGTTAAAGAGAGATCTTTGGCTATGCGGCGTTCCAATTGGATGGCCAATTAGGCTTCTGAACACAATGATTGCGCGATCCTGAACAATCAAGCCAGTTTGAAATATATAAAATAAAAATAAAAAGAATTTGTAATTATCTCGAATCTTTATCTCTCCTCACTCTCACTTTTCCTATGGTATCGTTTGTTCGTACCCCTCAAAAGGGTGCCTCTTTGATGATAGCCTGGCAGTGCCAGCAACAAAAGATTGTCGTCGTTGGAAATAATACAATAGCCGCTAGTCGAGTTTTTTCTGCCCTGGAAGCTGACGCTAACGTCGAACTTATTGGAGATAAGGATACCATGTGCAATGAATTGCTTGTTCGTATCGAACGTGGCGAGATTACCTGGGTGGCTTCTGAATTTCAGCCATTGCACCTTCATAATGCTGATCTTGCATTTGTTTGCCTCCGGGATCAAGACTTGGCCAGACAAATCGTCAAAGTGTGTAAGGAGAAGAGAGTCCCTGTCAATGTCGCCGACATGAGCGATCTTTGTGACTTTTTTATGACTTCCACTCATCGGGACCAGTCGCTGCAAGTCGCTGTATCCACCAACGGTCAAGCATCCAAGTTGGCCAGCCGTATTCGCCGTCAAATCGCTTCCGCACTGCCAACCAATCTTGGTGCCGCCATCCAAAGAGTTGGTTTGTTGAGGAGACGTATTAGAGGATCGGATCCTAGTGATGCTGCAAGCACCCGACGTATGCACTGGCTGGCCCAGATTTGTGAGTATTGGAGTTTGGATCGCCTCGCTGCCTTGTCCGACCGAGACATGGAAGGCTTGCTGAATCTTTACAACAATGATGAAGGATATGAAAGTTTGGAAGGCGCTATCATGTCCCCTTTGCCAAGTGCGTCTCAACAACTGGACAATATCCCCACGGAGATGACAACGCCTAAAACCGGCTCTCTTACGTTAGTTGGCTCAGGGCCAGGAGATCCGTCTTTGCTGACCGTAGCTGCCGTTGATGCTATCAAGAATGCTGATCTGGTTCTTGCTGACAAGATTGTCCCTGCTGAAGTTATCGCTCTGGTTAAATGTGATCTTCAAATTGCTAGAAAGTTTCCCGGAAATGCTGATGCCGCACAAAATGAATTCAACCAAGAGGCTTTGAAAGCCATGGCAGAAGGAAAGAAAGTGGTGCGTTTGAAGCAAGGCGGTAAGTTGAAGAAGAAAAACCATGATGAGTAGAAGAAGGTTGATCCCCCATGACTAATCACGGATTCAAATTTTGGCATTATTTAGACCCATATCTGTTTGGTAGAGGTGGCGAGGAAGTATTGTTCTTCCGTGAACACAATTATGATGTCAAGGTTATACCGGGAATATCATCATCTACGGCTGCGCCGTTGCTTTGTGGAATACCGCTCACTCACCGTGGTGTTGCTTCTCAATTCCTTGTTACCACTGGCACGGGGGCCAAAAACTCATCTGCTCCTTTACCCACCTACGATGCCAAGCGAACCGATGTGTATTTGATGGCAATTCACCGTCTCGAAAAGTTGACTGAAGACCTCATACGAGACCAACAATATCCTGCCGACGTCCCCTGTGCTATTTTAGAACGCGCCAGCTGTGCTGACCAACGCATTGTGTACGGTACATTGGGATCCATCTGTCAAGTTTTGGACAGCGTTGGTGGAAGTCGCCCTCCAGGTCTGATGGTAGTAGGTTGGGCCATCAATGTCCTCAAGAAGGAATCCAGCGGTCTTGAAGGCGTTGCAAAGAGCTTCTTGGATTCAACCGCTAACGAAGGCAGCAAGTTTCACAATACCCAAGGCATTTTAGCCTTACACGAGCCAGAAGGAGTATGCTAAGACGACTCTCCTCCACTAATCCTATTTTGAACCATCTTTGTTGTACTATAATCCAGCCATCTGTATATCACCCATTATTCTAGAGTATATCAATAAATCTGCCCTTGTTTTTTTTTTACATCCTTTTATTTCAATGTCAGTAGACATATTCCTGCTCTGTGGTTTAGAGCATCCATTGGGCTGTTGAGACTCAATTCATGGGAGTCACTGGTTGGAGTCAGAGGAGGTGATCGGCTGGCAATGAAACAAATGAGGTGAGTGAGAGTACACGATATGCCCAACTATAATTCAATAACAGATGTGAAGCTCTTACCTTACTCTGTCGTCTATCTTTGTAGCTCCAATCACTACAAGCACTGTGCCGGCCGGGAGGTTACTCCATATCTTCTGCACATAAGCATCCAAGCAAGACAAGGAAGTGGGAGAGTGTGTCGGTGTGGGATGATATCTGTTGGCTTTTGAATCTTCGGACGTAAGCGTTGGTGAGACGGGTGGCTGAATGCGTGTGTCAAACATGGGTTGATTCCATGAATGGTCATGCAGGCCAGCCCATACAAAATCGTAACGCCCGATGGCATCTATCACTTCATCCACCAGCTGGTCTTCAGTATCACATCTCTTCACGGCTTTTGCATGTTGTGTAAATGGAGAATGTCGTGAAGAGCCTGATGTTTCAAAAATGGCACCTAGTCGTGAGGGTCGACAGCGTTCGAGTCGACTGAAGATAGATTCTGTGCTGGAAAAGTACAATCCGAAATCCGGTCCGCGCGCCAACTTGAGATTGACAAGCTCCATACTAGCGGCAGCATCTACACAAGAATCATGGCCAACTACTAGGTCATCAGTCAGCGTATCATCATCACTTTGAATAATCCTATTAAGCCAGCGTGCAGCTAGATATTTTAACGAAGGTCGCAAAGGCGGACCGTTTCGATGGTGATAGAGTCTAAATCTTCTCTGATAAGTGATCAACCAGCCGCATGCCATCGGTATCGCTCTGAATATAATTACCTCGCAGTATCAATAATGTTTGGATGCGCCAATTTGAGTGTCTTCAAATCGCACTCCAGACTATGTCCAACCAAAATGGTGTCCTGATCAATGATATCCAAAAGTCTTTGTTGAATATCTTGTAACGATGTGGTTACGCCGACCAGATTCTCCTCTCGAATGCCACTATATCGTGTGAGGTAATCAATGACAGGGTGCGAAGGTTGCACCATTTCATCCATGATGACATTCATGTCTTCATCAATGAGCGATATTCTGGCGAGTTCCAACCCGATTTGTGTAAGGCACATTTCACAGTCCAAGGCAATAAGTCTTGGGTTGTTCTGTATATCTAAATCTGACTTCTTGTACGTCTCAACCCAGTTAGAAGGTATATTAGTATGACCAGACAGTGAGGAGTGAATAGGGTATCCTGCTTCAAGCATTTCGTCCAGCGAAAGGATACATTGTTCTACTGTGTACATTTTAGTAGTCTTGAGATCTTTATGTTAAAAAAAAAAAACGGGGAGTTAGGGGGTTTACCCAGGTTAAATGGATGCAATAAAATTGTTCCATCATAGATTATGCAACGTACTAGCTCGACGTGCATTTGCTCGTCGCTGTCTTTCCGAATTGGATATCGTACATTGGCAAAATTCGGCAACAGGGTGACTTTTTACGGTGAGTTTGAGTGAAATGACCTCGTCAAATAAACCAGATGAAAACGGCATTTGCTGCATAAAAGAGCATGTTTTGGAGAGATTGGCTGTTTTACTGAATATATGCTGCTGATTCCAGCCGATGTCAAAGCTGGAGCTGTTCAACCCAGGTGCATGAACAACAACGAATCGGCGGATATGGTGACTTCGCTTCAATTGTATCCAGCTAGGTCGTGCGCCGTCAGCTAGCCACGAAAGCAATAATAGGCGAAGATCTTTGATCGTCAGTTGTTCTTTGAGTTCATTTAAATTCAGGCGTATATCTTGGCATGGCTTCTAAGAATGTCAATGCAAACAGTGAGAAGCATCCTTGTCAAGCCTTGATAACATGAATGAGCCATACTCACATTAAGAGAGATCAGGAACGAACCACACGGTAATGTAACTTTGTCCTTTTTGCGCTGCCTTCGACGTTTAACCTGTGGCGGTTTTACGTTCATTCTGACATCGTTTACTCTTGCATGGTCGCTTTTACTGAATGGATCGGAGGTGGCTGGTATGTACGATGTTATGGTGGTGGGCGACAGTGGTTCAGAAAATGGAACGGTTTTCCTTGTATCTATGACACAGACCATGGGGTTCGAAGAAAGAAAATATGAAAAAGTAAAGAACAAAGAAAACAATATCCCCATAATTCTAACAGTATATCTATTAATGACCTTATTGCGAATGCACCTGATCATCACTCCGTTCCCCCTTGTTTCATGGCAGTAATGAAATGAACGATTAAGCTAAGCAAGTAAAGCGCGGGGCGGCCGACTACACTCATTTATGATCATATATTCAAATTTATGGATAGGATGAATTGTCATCATGGTAGAAAAGCGCTCACATTGAACAGCGAGTCAAAATCATCACATAAGGAATGCTGAGCTGAGTTTGGCTTAATAAAGTGTATATCGCCAAACTTGAGCACAATGTGTACAAGACATAAGCTTATGTGACTGACGTGATCTTTGGACTTGTAGAAAGGACCGGAAAAGAATATTGCATGGTCAATTGAGAGAGAGTATGGTGTTGAAGTGTAAAACAGAATGATCCTTTTCAGGCACAGTGAAGGAATGGAGACGGCGATCGGTCGACACAGGAATTTTTCTTTTACTTTTGTTGTGGGAGCCAAAAATTTATCTATGGGGAGCTAATGCAGCCAACTGTTGCTTATTTACACCAATTTGAATTTGATATGGTCATCAATGTACGCATGGTTTTTGGTTTAAACACGCATCAAGAGTGATCATACGATTTGGAATGGTACTTGATCTCTTGTCTGAAACATTCATTGCTTCAAGGATATAGCAGTTATCGTGTAGTGTGTGTCCTTTATGACCAGGTAGGGTATGATCTACAACATAATGGTAATACAACTGCAGACTTTCAATGTGGTGGCCAGTATCGTCTTTTTCTATTCTGTTGGCGGATCGCCGACACTGAGGGCTTTGACAATGTTTTTATTCTCGAAACCATTATTTGGTGGATATTTCGGCATCCAGTGTGAACATTACAATGAGTAGTAAATACAGAAAGTAGTCAAAAGATAGACTGCCTTAGCTGTTGGCTATTTCCAGGTCTGTTTTCTTCCAAGGAGCTTCTATCATTGCTTCACCTTTCTCCTGGTGGATGATGCGTTGATCGTCCCTTACATCCATAAACGTGTTTAATTACTGTTCGTCATACATTTTTAAATATACCATCGATCTCTGCTATCATCAGAAAGAATAGAGTGGCTGTTCGTTGCATGTTGTATATTTGTGACAAGATTTGCATTCAAATTTTGAAATCAAACGATATTACACAAACATGTGTGTGTTTCGGTCAAGATTTCTGGTTAATTGATTGGCGCGAGAATATGGAAGATAGCAATGGCAGATGGATCTTTCTAGAGTCTGTTAAAGGATTCGGTCAAGATTTGCCTAGCGATGTTCCGCATCTTGTCGATTACTTTATTCAAATTCACATGTCTACTTCTTGTAAGTCAAGAATGCTCAGATCCCAGCCAATGACTATCTCGTCACCAGCGCTAACCATGGCTGGAGGTATGCAATTTTTTCTGACACATAAAAGGAAGCGCATGAATCGGTAAAAATTAAATATCGTTTGCCATAACGCTTGCTTGCCCCGCTGCGAATAAACTTACAGCACGTAGAACAACCAAATGGAGACGAAAACAGATCTATTTCATATCATATTTTAAATATTCAGCTGTTTGTACCAAAGATGGTAGTCCCATGACAAAAGTAGACGTCTTCCAGAGAATCACGAAAGCAACTTTATTAGAGAAAATCATATGCAATTGATGTGATATCATTGATGCTCGCGTGGCTCCCTTTCCTTGTCTGGTTGTGATATTTTGATCTGCAGTGTGACAAGAATTTTTTTCTCTAGGCAGGCGAACTTTCAGATGAATACAGAGACATTGTTGCAGTGTAGTTCTCATGGAAAGCAGTCGACACTCCTTGAACCATTACATTGCGGTTGGTAAAATGACCCGGTTCCGAGACTCTCACATGAAATCTCCCAAAAAGACTAATAAAGGACAATGAGATGACTTTGGAAACGACTCATATAAGGAATTTCAAGCTGTGTTCTAAGGAAATGATCCTGATTGGGTTATGCTATGCAGTTTTGGGCAAGTAATCGAGATGAAGCCAAGGGTTTCTTGGAGATTGAGCCAAGAAAACAATGAGATGCCAAGTGAAGGACTGGGCAATCTCAAGGAGCGATGGGGTTCGACATTGTGAGAAGCGTGGTTGGGGTCCAGTATGTAATTTACCACATTGGAAAGTAGCCAGCGGCCCAAGCAAGACCAGGATGTTTTCCCAAAACGGACGAATTCGTTTAGTCAATGACGGATTCCCAAAACGAGCCGTTTTAAGCGTAGTCATGATGGAGGTAACTATTCCATGAGTATGACGGGATTCAAGACTTTGATGGTACGCGATGAAGGAATGGATGTTCATGAAACTCTCTCAAAATGCAATTATTCAAAAATACAGGCTTCAGATGTTAGGATTTAGCACATGCCTTTCTTACAAGAAGAACAATTAGCCAGCTCTTGAACAGAGGCGGTGGTTTAACCCCAATCATAAGCATGAGCGGTGATTGAATTAAGATGTCACTAAAACTCGTGAGATTCTCGCCATTTTGGATAATATATAAATGGGAGCCAGTTCGTTTGATCTGTCGAAACTTACTTGTATTCTAACTTTATTGCATCGCAATGGCTGCACCACTTTCAACCCCAAAAAGCGAACAATGGTGGACCAAAGATCCAAAAGAATTCGACTTGTTCCAAAAAATCATCAACATGGATCTTGGAAGCAATTATAAAGAGAAAGTCAGGACCGGACCTGTGCCTAAGCATTCAATTTTGCGAGACCATGCTTTCGTTATTCCATGGGCAATTGCTCCCATCGCACTTCAATATGTCTCACAGATGTATTTTGGACGAAATTGGAGCCGCCTAGAAACATTTGGCGTCTATACAGCCAACTTGGCAGCCTTTGGATTAACCACGGTCCGATACTTGAGAATCCTCGGTGAAAAATATGGCCATTTGGATGCCGCTAACAGAGAGCGTGACCGTGTTGCCCAAAACAGAGTCACTCCCTTGACACTTGGGCTTTTGGCTACTATCTCCCTTCGCACCATGATGGCAGCCATTATTGCTTATAAGCCTGGTCGCCTACCCCAGGTTTCATGGAAGCTACCCATCGATGCAGCTTTATACATGGTGGCAGTAGATTTCTTCTTCTACCTCTATCACAGAGCTCTCCATCAAATCCCATGGCTCTGGAAGATCCACAGAACCCATCATACCACCAAGCATCCCACCTCGTTGATGGCACCCCTTGCAGATCATATCCAGGAAACATTCGACATCATCGTTATCCCTCTTCTGGCCTATACCTTACGGCCTATTCCCTTTGCCCATTGGTATATTGCTTGCGTATATGTCAATTTCATCGAGTTGGCTGGCCACTCTGGTGTTCGTGCTGACATGGGTCACCCCGTCATTGGACCTTTGCTTCGTCCATTCGGTCTTGATCTTGTCGTTGAAGATCACGATCTCCACCACCGACTTGGAAAGCGCGCCGGCAACTTCGGCAAGCAATCTCGTATATTTGATACCTTGTTTGGCACCACCAGCCCTAGATATGAAACTACCCCAGAGGCAATAGGTCTTGACAAACAAAAGACTGCTGCAACCATTAAAGCCAATCTCAAAGACTAGGAATGCTCTTTTATTCACCCCTACATGTATATATATAATAGTTTATAAAATCCAGTGCTTCTGACAACTATACAATGTCCCGACCAATAAAACAAGGAAGTCATCATTAAAAAAAAGGGAATATCAATTTGCATGCGGTTGTTGAAAATTTCAGTTACAATTTTGTTTTTGAAAAAACCAGAGCTGTCTTGGTTTTTTCCTTCTCCTGTGCCATGAGGACTACACTGTATGTTGCAGGGTTTACACCACGTACGAGAGCAAGAGATTTGGGATATGAATTCGAAAGGTACGTTTGCAACGTATGTGTAAGGTCATACTGCTACGGTCATTCAATGTCAACTTGTCATGACATTGATCCCACCCAATCACCTGTTCAACACATGCCCTAATCATCCGTGATTCGCTTAATTCGCTCCACCCTTCAACGCTGCACTAAAAAATACGCAACAACCCCATATGAAATAGCTATACATGGACGTATATCCTAAAACAGCCGTTATTAATCGTGATCTCATTTGCGTTGACAGATATGGACGATTAGTTCGATGTGATATTCCAGCTCAAAAGAACCCAAGTGCCAAACCGTAAGTTGGATGGTTTTGTCATTCGTTTTCGTGATGAAAAGAGGTCTCATAATAAGCACTTGATCAGGTTTGCGTTTGTGGAGTTTGAAGATCCTCGGGACGCAGAAGACGCTTTGAATGAAATGCACGGTCGCCGTGTAGAAGGGCATACCTTGACGATACAGGTGCGTTGCGTTCCCAGCAGCACATGTTTCAATATTTTTGGTGTGACATTGGTTGACGACAGCAACTAACCTCGCGAATTGCAGTGGGCTAAAAGTTCGGCAAGCAATCGATGGCGCTCGGATAGATCACGGTCACCGCCAAACCGATATGGCGGTCGATCACCAGGAAATGGACGATATCGTAGTCGCAGCCGGTCACCACTGCGGAAATCTGCTTCGCCAAGAGACCGCTCACCACCGTCGACAGAGAGAAGGCCAAGATATGACTCGCGGTCACCTAGTCCTTCAAGAGAACAAGCACGTCCTTCCGAACCATCCATCATTCCATAAAATAGATCAATGTCGTGGTTACGTTCAACTTTCGACTTTTCACTGCCTTTCCCTTCCCCTAGACCAAGCTCTGTTTTATACGTCGCCCATTTCTTCTTTCTTTTGGATGAATTTTGTTTCCATTGTTTCTACTCTATCCTTTGGTCCCTCCCCCCCACAGTGCACATATTGACTTTGGTATACTGGTATCAAGACAAAATGTATTATATTACAACAATTGGTTTCCAAAAAAAAAAACACTATTCAATTCTATGTACATGTTATGCAAAGTGCTGCTACTACTCATATTCAGCAATGGTCTGCTGAACCGTCACCATAAAGGGTCTATCCTTTGCAATATCCCAAACTGGCGTTCGTTGCATGACTTCCATCAACAGCTTCAAGCAGATGAGCGCTTGGTCTTTGACGGATTGCAATTGAGCATGATGAGCGTTGTAAACCAGCACTTCGCAAGCATGCTTAAATTCGTGGACACACGGCCGGAAATAGCAGTCCACGCCGACTGCCACCATCTCATCGGAAGCAGGTACCCACAAATCGAATAATTTTGAAATACGCATGGCGGCCTTAGTACAGGCTTCCAGCGAACGGTTGTGTTCTTCATCCAATGGACCAAACGCGGCAAATCGTGATGGGGGCGAGTGATGAACGCTGCCAGGAACTGGAGACGATGCAAGTACAGGCGAGGTAGATAGCTCAGGAAGTGGCAGGTAGGTTTGGTGCAATAAGATCCAATTACCATAGTACCGTATCAATTCCATATACTTGCAGCGGGATTGCCATAACGACATTTTTGGCGTGATCTCGTCTTCATTGCGGATCCATTCAGGAAGTTCGGCATAAAATGAGTGCAAAATGCCTTCGATGCGTTCAACTTCTTTCAAAGACACCATGACTTGCGAGTCGGAATAACATGTTTCGCGAATCTCTCGTGTGATTTGCAGGTTTTCAAAGTTGTATCGTTTATACAATGCCTGATACCGGTCTTTTTCAGCATATGGATCCGAGAGACCGTTCGTAAGCTCCTCAACTTGAACATCTGGTTCTAATTCGTCGCATTCATCATAACCCTGTGATAATGGTGGAAATAAATCATACGTGCGTGTGGGTGGAGACATTGACTTTTCCCGTTTAGCCAAAGCTTTAGTTCTCAGCGTCGCTTCATTTGACGGGGTGTGAAATTTCACCGTACAGTCATCTAGAGTCATATTGTATGGTTTGTTGTGAAAATGGGAAGCATCGGTATCTATGCAATAGACAACCCAAAAGAGAGATCGCGCGTAATCGATGAGAGATTGAACCGTATCGTTTTGGTCGGTAAAGACAGACCGCAAAATGGGAGTCGTCTCTAATTGCGATTCGACAAGGCCAAGTAAATTTTCTTCTCGATGCATACCTAGAGAGTACACCATTCTAGATGCCATGCCGATATTCATATACGTCACATTGGGATCTCCGCTCTCGATATTGTACAGTGCCAAATTCACAAGACTGTGTACAGTGAGCAAAGTGGGCTCTTCGAAGCAACAGGCTGCCAAAATTTGTCTGGTGTACAAATAATATTTCTGTGCATAGTTGAAGGATTCTCGTTCAGATGAAATGTAAGGCATTAACACAGATGGATGCCAGCGAAACGCATGCGGAATGAGGTGGCATAGCATGGAGGACTGAAGCATTTTTAGCTGTTGCGGTTGATTGGTTTGCAGCAGAATTCTAGAAAACGTTCGTGCAAATTTCGGTATAGATCCATGCAGAATACAATTGTGATGTTGGTGTAAAATATTGACTAAGAGCTGAGGTGGAAGGCGGGGAAGGGAGATAGGACCATCACTATCATCGTTTTCCATCATCTTGGGAGCAATTGTAACGTCATTAGGAATATGCTTCAATGAGACGGTCGTGAAATGAGAGAGTCGCATAGATCTATAGATAACGTCGTTCCTGATAAGGTTCTTCTGCTCATAGGAGCCGTCCCTGTCTTCTTGTCCGGTCAAGTGCATATTGTCCAGACCAAAGCTGAGAAGTACTTGACACAAATCGTCGAGCTTTCTTGAGTATGTGTGTATGGAAAGACCACCGGTGCTCGACTCAGGATTTCGCTCGATATCCCAAGATTGTATCGAGCGAGTATTGATATGAACTTCGTCTGCCGGAAAATCCACTTCCATGTTATGGTGGCCATTCTGTCCATTGGTGATAGTACGGATATTTGCATTGGAATCTTGCTGTTGATTGACGCAATCCAAGTTATCCTTCACCAGACTTTCAATAGCGTCGAATTGAGCCAAAGCAGTGTGAATTTGATCTTCGAGTCCAGCAAATCGTTGTCGTAGAGCTGTGCTTTCAAGATCACCTGGAATCTCCAAATAAGTACACTCGGTATCAGCCTCTTCACATTGTAAGCATCTTGGGCGAGTACGAGAGCATTTCGAGCGATTTTTACGGCATCTGTTTGCTCGGGTTGTTAGGTACTGTATGAGTCACAAACACTAAATGATAATGTTGAAACATACCGTTGACAAGATAGAGCAAGACGAGCTCTACGTCTGACGGGCCTCGAGGAGTTTTTCTGTTCGTCGTCTTCCTCCTCTTCCTCTTTAACGTAAGCCGATTCTTCAAAGTCTACGAAGTCCATTAGCTGCTGCCAAATTGCCTGTGGCAAGCAAGTGGGTAAAATAGAGAAAACTGCTGCGCTGAAGAAAATGAGGAATCTCGTGACCATTCTAATTTTTGTGAAATAAGGGCCGCAATGCCGTCAGTGGCTCCTTGTAGTTACAACTTCATTTCCAAATGGTTTTCAATCCTTCAAGGCTGAAGCTTCTACTAAAGCTGGCAAGCAACCGTTTGAAAATGCTGCAGGCCAAGAAAACGTCCTTAAATCAGCACCAACGACGTGAAATCGCCGGGTTGTTGGAAAAGGGCAAGGAGGACAGTGCTAGAATCCGAGTCGAGCATATCATTCGTGAAGACTTTGAGACAGAAGCAATGGAGATTCTGGAGCTGTACTGTGACCTTCTCAGCGCAAGATTTGGAATACTGGAACAGATCAAGTAAGGTTATAGACGATGGTTTTTGTTGGTGATAGGGGAGAAGCTGACCGCCGTTCTTGGCAATATCTAGAGATTGCGATCCAAGCATTGAAACTGCAGTATGTAGCGTTATCTGGGCTGCTCCCAGAACCGACCAAGTAAAGGAATTAGCACCAGTAAGTTGAAATATTTACTGTTACCGTTGTGCAATTCATAGTCTTGACCTGTTTAAACTACGCAGATACGCGACCAACTGGGTGCCAAGTATGGAAAGGAGTTTTTGTTAGCGGCAATGGAAAATACGAACAATGTCGTGAATGAAAGAGTAAGAGTCCTGCTTTATAGCGTACATATCATAGTCTTCATTGGTACTAATAAGTCAATCTTTCAGCTTGTCAGCAAGCTATCAATTGCCACACCAGAAGCCTTTTTGGTAGAACGCTATCTGGAAGAAATTGCAAAAGCATATAGTGTGGATTGGAGATCCCCAGATTCATATGGGGGTTCCGATGATGGTGGTGATGAGGATGTCTTGGAGGTATGGAACTGAGAGTAAAAATCGAGAAAAGTGCTGCTTGGACTAACCCTTTTTTTCGTCAATTGCATAGGATGTAAAGGAGAGTGGCGAGAAAGCACAGTCGGATGACGCTGAACAGCAGGTAAGAATGAGCTAGAAACAACTGAAGAGGGGGTTCATACAGACTAATTGACTGTTTTGTATATGAATAGGTCGATGATAGCGATTTCTCTGAATCTAACTGGGATTTGCCTGCACCACCTAGCAATGTTCCAGGCAAAGCTGGATCCAAAACCTCAACACCACCGCCGCCACCTAAAACCGACCAGATACCTGATTTTGACGAACTAACACGCAGATTTGAGGCACTGAAACGCAAGTAGTAAATGCCTGCGACTGAAAGTGATTGTATACCATAAGTTCTTGTTAATAAACGTAATAACTCTTTGGCTGTGAAGCGTTAAGATTTCCAAGATACACATTACTGAGCATGATTGTCGAGAGTTATTTGGAAAATGTCACGAATGCTCCGGCAAAGCCATGCACGAAAATATGAGGCACAGACAACCTATTTCTCATTTATTTCATTGTAAACGTGGTTCGGAGGAGCCTTGTTTACAAACTCTTAAGGACAGCCTCTGCGGAGGAGGAAGATACGTCTGGTCCAGATTCGACACCAACGTACTTGAGGACAAGATCATCAATGACAAGAGCGAAACGCTTGGATCGGAGCTGGCCAAAGCCCATGCTGGACAAATCTTGGCTCAAACCGAGCTTGGTGGCGAGTTCGCCATTAGCGTCGCCAACGAACTTGATGCCCTTATCAGCACCACCAACGACCTTAGACCAACCATACATGACGAAGGCATCGGTGATAGAGTAAATCAAAACCTCGTCAACTCCCTTTGACTTGAGTTCGGACAGCTTTTCAATGAAGCCAGGAACGTGAGTTTCGGAGCAAGTGGCTGCGTGGATATTCAGTACACGATCTGAAGCTTGACATGCGTGATAACCGTCACTTACGTGTAAAGGCACCTGGTACACCGACGATAACCACCTTCTTGTTAGCAAAGTCCTTGCTGCTCTTGAGAGGTACTGGGCTGGGGGCCAAAAGCGTTATTGGGCAAACTCGTTTGTAATCAAACCTAAACACGTAGATAATTACCGTCCGCAGGCATTGGGGTCAGCATGAGCATCATAAGGAACGTATGTCAAAGTGACTTCAGGAAACTGTCAAAAGAAAAAGCGTAAATAGAGCGAAGTATTAATTGAGTCACATCGTTGAGTCTTGAGCGATAAACATACCTTGTCTCCTACAGCGGCGGTCTGAAATTTACATAATATGTCAATGGTACGGCTCCAGTGGAGCGAAGCATCAAGTCAATAAAGACTTACCATGATGTTCTAGCTTAAAATAAAGGTTATAAGGAAAAGCAACCGAGGTTTCTTTTAAGGAGGCTATGGCCGCGCTTTATTTTGCCAAACGTGATGACGAAGCAAAAAATTAACGCCAACGTATGCAATGCGCTTGAATTGACCGTCACCTTTCTTTCCAGGCACTTTTTCTGAATTTCTTTAAACCATAGCTTCACTGTGTACCATCCTCTTGGGTTCAAGACTTATTAATAATGCACTTATGGTCTGCTTGTTGCTCTCTCAACTTACGCGCCAACATTTACCCAGTGGGCCAAAAAAGGAGAAATGGGTTTTGGAACCCGATCACCTCCGAAAGGCATATAAAGACCTCTGCATCGTCGAACGCGGTTTAAAAATTCATTTTCACATTGAAACTACCAAACATGACCTCTACCGACCATAGCTTAAAATTCGCCTATGTTGGCCTCGGAGAGATGGGAAGCGCAATGGTAAGTAACCAGTGGAAGAAGTACGGCATTTTTAAAGGAGAAAAGGTAGCTGACTGCTGCTTTAGGCGCAAAACCTCCAAAACTGGCTGGCAAAGAATGGACATCCAAGCCCACTTATGGTGTGGAACCGGTCAGCAGCCAAAGCCCAACAGCTTTCTGGTGTGAAGGTAGCAGAGACACTTGAAGAGGTTGCTCAGTACGCCAACATCGTCTTCTCTTGTCTATTGAACGATCAAGCTGTCCGCGACTGTTATGACCAAGTAAGTGTCCTGATTATTAATTAACATCTTTTGCACGGCCGTTAATGTATCGCGTTCATTGTAGCTATTCAAGCATTTACCTCAAGGCAAAAAAACTATTTTCTGTGAGATGAGCACCATCGCTCCTAAACTTACCTGTGATCTCCATACCCAAGCGACTGAACTCGGCGCTGGCCTTATAGCTACACCAATCTTCGGTCTTCCACCAAAGTATGTGTCATAATGCATAATTTTCAAAAGTAGATTTAGTGAGCTCACATGCATTTGAACTTTAGGGCCCGCGCAGCAGAACTGATTATTATCAAAGCTGGAGATCTCAAGCTGAGAGAAATCGTAAGCCCATACCTCATCCCAGCTATGGGTAACAAGACAAGTAAGACCTTACTGCTTGTACAATGACAATATACCATGGTGATACTGATGTTAGATTATTATCATCCTCAGTCGAATGTGGAGAAGATGTTGGCGAGGCATTGAAAATGAAACTAAGTGGTAACTCCATGGTCCTGGGTTTTGCCCAAGTCATGGCTGACGGTTTGACTTTGGCAGCTGCGTCTGGTAAGCAATCGTATGGAGCATGGTTTCAAATAAGAAAACGATTTACTAACATCAATAATAGGGGTTGGACAAGACAAAGTTGTTTCATTCATAGAGGGCATGTACCCAAACACACCCTTGGTTGCTTATGTGAAGAAAATGGCTGCAAGTGAATATGCAAATATCTCCTTCCGTGTTGCAGGAGTTAAGAAGGACCTTAAACATATTATCGAGCTTGGTGCCGAATACAATATAGATCTGTCGGCTCAGAGAGCTATGTACAGCAACTTTGAAGAAGTCGAGAAATTGAAGGGAGATAATCTTGATATCACTAGCGTGGTTGGAGGTAAGCTGCGGTCCTAAACTTTATTTCATATCCAAAGGTACTGTGACTCGTCAGGATGTTCACTGTCATTCATTCTTTTTCTTAGCCGTACGTAGCAAAGCTGGACTTGATTTTGATTTGGACAAGAAGGAATAAAATATTTATCAGTTTGATAATTTCTATATTGTAAAGTGAGGTCTAGTGAGGAGAAGATTTTGAAGAGGTAAAAACAGAGGGCGATATTGACTATCCTCTTTAGCGAGATCGTTCCATGTTATCCATGCCCAGTCGCCATCTAATTTTTCCGGCTCCATTGATCTAAGATTCTCAACGTCTTCATGGTCAACTGTTGCTTTCATGAACATTGTACAGTAGTGCTTGTTCTCAGCTATCGTATGAATGTCTTATAAATAATTGTATTCAAAGTCTTTCACGCAAGAATTATTGTGTCACCTGTCATCACATCATTGGTAGCCGTGGCAAATTCAGCGGTGCTCAGGGTCAAACCCGTTTCTTCATATACCTCACGAATAGCACATTCTTCAAATGATTCTTTAAACTCGAGATGTCCTCCAGGCAATTGGTAAGTGCCGGCTCCATGAGATCCTTTTCGTCGGCCAATCAGAAGTCTATCCGGTGTGGTTGCGGTACCTTTTAAAATGACGAAACACCCAACGCCGACTCTCGCTTCCTGTGGTTTCTATAACAAGGTGGTGAATCAAATGCCTTGATACGACATGACTATAAGCTGAATCTTACTACGCACTTCTGTCATGTTATTGATAAAAGCAAAAAGTTGGTATGCGGAGTTTATTCGGTGTATTCAATCTTGTCACAAGCGTATGACAGGAGCTTCAAAGATAACGAAGGGGAAATAGCCAATGTATTAAAATAAAGAGATAGTAGTATATTAGTTCTAACTCGTTGGTAGGATTGCTTCCAGCGTTGATGATGATGCTTCTGGCATCTCATTTATGTGTTTAATCCGATGCATTGTGTCTCCCATAAGCTCTCCAGTTTGCGCTTTGATGACATTCTGTTCGTGCTTGATGGCCACTTCCCGGGTACCGTTCAACAGAAACAATGAGAGTCCACATATCAGTCCGATAGAAGCGACGGTTCCAGCGATCAACCAGAATATCAGGGGCACACAGTACACTCTTCTTGTTAGTCCAGAGTACCTGCTTCTTGGAGGGAATGCTTCTGCAATTGATTCACAATCTTTACCTGGTGAAGAGGACTTGAATTGAGGATTATGTACCATTGAGAAAAGCAATAAGAAACCAGTAAAAGGTTCAAAAGTACGTTCTTATTTTAATAGTAAGGTGCAGCAAGCACAATCATCATAATATTCGAATTTTCTCTAACGTGATGGATGCTCATACGCTGGATATTTGAATGACGACTATAGTCTCTCCTTAACGTAAACACAGAAAAAGCTTTTATAGAAATAAAAAACTTTCATTATTCCAGAAAGCCGAGTGCGTGTGGAAATTATGAGCTTTTCCACTGGATAGCGGCAAAGTAAGGCATTGGTCGGAGTTAGGTAATTCCTTGGTGAAAAATATGTGCTCAGTTGCAAAAAATATCTGCAAAGTGTGTTCCATTTGTTTCTTTGTAGCTGAGGTTGACAATCGACATTACCGCCATCGTTCCTGCATACAATCACTTTGTAGAGCCACGGCATTCTCCAACTAAAATTTTGCTAAACGTGGTCCTCATTGGGTCATTGGATTCTTCCTACGTATGCCTGATCCAAGTGATCGATTTGGTGATTCCATTGACCAGTATTTGGCGCTAAGCAATGGTGGCGACAATGGCGAACATTCTTTGAGAAATGATACAGATGATTACCAAGAAGAAATGAAGCATGGATATCGAACTAGTTCATCTACGAAAGACTCGTTATATTCGCTGCCAGATGTATACCACCAAGAGGCACCGACCAGCTATCAGCCGAAGCTTCCCAACTTTGTAGCAACCGCTGATCCACAGTATTTGTATAATTATCAATCAAATTTATATTACGATATCTTTTCCGATACGTATTCGCGGCTTGACGAAGCCACCATGATGTATCAAATTGTTGATGCAAATGCCGCAGCAGAGGCAAGCTTATATTACACCACCAACGAACCAGCATCGGACGAAGCTCTGCGGCTTGTCGTTCTAGAGTCACAACTACTTCCTGTAAATAACATAATACTAGTAGACGCCAACGGCATTACCGTTGGAAGGGACAGAAGCTGGGATAGACGTCTACGGTTACCAGAAATGGCAGTTAGCAAATACCATTGCCACATATTCTCCAATTCAGCCGATATCTTCCAAGATACGGATAATGACAAAGTGGCTGATCAAGAGCTGGCTAGCAATTTTTCTATCATTGATGTCGGTTCACAGAATGGCACATTTGTCAATGGAGAACGATTGTCATTGACAAGATCAGCAAGTCCTCCTTATCCATTGCGACATCTCGATGTGATCTCGGTTGGTACAACGAAATTTCAGGTTCACGAGCACACTGGATCATGGCCATGTGAGCAGTGCAAATCCTACAATGGAAATATTATTGATATCGCCACCACCACACAAATCAAAACACCTATAGAAGATGCCGAGACTAACAAGCATTTAACGAAAAACGATAGAGAGATGGCTCGAAGGGAAGAGTTGAAGCGGATGAAGCAAAAGTATACGGATAATAAGCCCAATATAAAGTCTAGTAATTACGTGGATCGTGCCGAAGCAAGACGGAAACAACATGGTGATAACAGTCCAGTCCATCGTAGCAATGACATGGATATTGACACCTATTCACCAACACAAAGCTCAAGAACAAACGAGAGAATTGGAGCGGAAAATATTGGAAATAAATTGCTGCAAAAGATGGGTTGGAAAGAAGGTCAGGGCTTAGGATCGACAGGGTCCGGTATCATAGATCCTATCCAAGCACAATTTCGTGAAGGCCGAGCAGGACTGGGATCCGTACAAGTGGAAGACGCATACAGTGGTAAAAAAGGAGCCCTGGAATTAACCCGAAAACGATACAACGAACAACAGTAATACAGACCTCCTATGTAAATGATAATTCACGGTTGTTTTTCAAATTACCTTCTTCTGTTTCTACGTGAAAAGTACTGAATTCGTGTCGTCATCAAAATTTTCTGGCCCTTGAGTTTTTTTTTCATTCGATTCGGCCATTGTAGTAACAAACTCGTCCTCCCTACTCTTGTACGCAAATGTTTGCTAGACTTGCTTCTCAGTCAACTCGGCGTGCCTTCCAGAAGGCCCCAGTGCAGGTATGATCACTTGGGACAATGATATAACTTTGAAATGGGCTCCAGATTTCCCTTCATCCAACCACCATATTACGCCGAAGACTTGTTTCTACGATTTGAAAAAGCTTCAATGGCTCGACAAACCTGTTCAACTTCGTCGCCAATCTTTTTTCACACATATCATTAATTAAGCGACACAATCAACTATATATGAATGAATCGTCAAGTTTCAACAGCGTTCAATTTGCCACATTTCCATCTGACATTCCTCTTTCTTTCTGCTTTACAGGCGCGTTTTGCCTCTACTAAGGCACAAGCTAGCCAGGCAAGTATCCAAAAACGATTGGAACGCACTGAAAAAAAAATGTTCAGAAAACTCATAGTATCGTCTTTAGAACTCGAAGCAGATTGCTGCTGTCACCACTGGTATCGTCGGTACCGCTGCTTTGGCCTACAGCCTTGTAGACAACACCGTCTCGGCAAATATGGCAGACGAAGGTCTTCACCCACCAGCTCATCCCTGGTACCACAAAAGCCCTATTCACACTTTTGACCATGCGGCGTATGTTTTTATCCCGTTATCTCAAGGTTTTGGACTTTTTCTTATCGCTAATCTCTTCCATTTAGCGTTCGCCGAGGTTACCAAGTGTACAGAGAGGTCTGCTCAGCATGCCATTCTTTGGATCGCATTGCATGGAGAAACTTGATCGATGTCTCCCACTCTGAGGATGAAGTCAAGGCCATGGCTGAAGAAGTCGAATACGAGGACGGTCCTGATGACGAAGGAGAAATGTTCCAACGACCTGGCAAGGTAAAAAACAACAAAGCCGATTTTTTTTGAACACCTACTATAGAAGACAAATATGAGCATGTCCAAACTGACCATCTATGTTTGTAGCCCTCCGACTACATGCCCAAGCCATATCCCAACGAGGAAGCTGCCCGTGCTGGAAACGCCGGTGCTCTCCCACCGGATCTCTCTCTCATCATTAAGGCTCGTCACGGTGGTGCTGTAAGTATACTTGATTTTGCAAATGCGTCTTTTCGGACCCGGCATGATAGCTGATCCTCCTTTTTCTTGCTAGGATTACGTCTTCGCTTTGTTGACTGGTTACGTTGATGCCCCCGCTGGTGTTGAGGTTCGCGAAGGTCTCAACTACAACCCATACTTCCCCGGTGGTGCCATTGCTATGGCCCGTGTCTTGTTCGATGGACTTGTTGAGTACGAAGATGGTACACCTGCTACCTCTTCACAGATGGCTAGAGATGTCACTACTTTCCTTGCTTGGGCCGCTGAACCCGAGCACGATGACCGAAAGAAGATGGGTATGAAGGCTACCATCATCCTCAGTACCCTCACTCTCTTGACCGTTTACATCAAGAGATTCAAGTGGGCTCCTCTTAAGACTCGCAAAATTATCTACAACCCTCCAAAATAATGGCATTTTAACAGATCTCTACATCCAGTTTGCGTTTGTCCTATATCCTTCAATTCGTTTAACCTCGCCAAATCTAACAAACTGCCACAAATCTCAAATCAATAAATTGATTTATTTAGAACGGGATAACACGACATCCACATCAAAAAGACAGTTGGACGTGGTTTCTGGAGTATGAGAGGCTGTTTTATACATTTTGATTGAGGCATACTTGGCCATTCTTTCTGAAGGAGGGATTTTTATTCATTATGTTTTTTGCAACGGTCTAATACGTATTGTGTAAATGAGGTGAGGAGGTATGAATGAAAAGACAAAAGGTAAACATGACGAATATGTCAGTTTGATGAGAAACTGTCTTCGTTATGTGCTCTGATTGCTATGTTTAGGGCTTTGGGATACGAAGAGTTCTTGAGACCATAGCAGTGCCATGCAAAACGAACAAGAGGACGAATCCGTGTACCTTTCCCAGCATGGGGTTAATTCCCAGTGGCATAGGAAGTTGGAAGATACCTAAGGGAAGTGAATCAGCATTGCTGATGTCGCGTCCAGCAATAGTATATGATAACAGGGCAACGATAGCAAGAGAGCTAGGTATAGGCAGCCCTTCAAAATGGGATATCTTGCCGGTGGAATCCTTGGGCAAAAGAGCAACGGTGGCATTGAAACGCGCCAAACGAGCCAAACCACAGCAAACAAAATAGGTCAAACCCAAAGCATCTACATTGCTTTGCATACCAACGGCAAAAGCCAATGCGGCTGGAGCCAATCCAAACGATATCTAAAATAAAGAGTATGCCAAGATTAAATGTCACTTCCATTCACATGTCATGGTGTGGATATCAGCTGGGGCAAACATACCAAATCTGCCAAGCTATCAAGCTCCTGACCCAGCCTATATACACAAACACAGCCAACCATGCCGTTAGTTTAAACCCAAGCAAAACCTCTCATGAAACCAATCAGAACACGTACAAGCTAGAGTTCTTTCTCCATCGAGCCACCCTGCCGTCAAAGAAGTCGAATAAGAGGCCAAACGGCATGTACCACATGGCGATGTGAAGGTCACAGCGATCATGAGAGACCAGGTATCGCATGCTACTGAAGATCGACATAGTACCGCAAATACCGTTCATCAGCGTAATAACGTCGGCGAGGTAAAAATTGCTAAACAGGACCATTGACGTCTCAGCAAGATAATTTAACGCGCGGCCATTGAACCCAACCACTTACCGAACCATGGAAAAGTGTCTATTGTCTGTGCTGATGAGCTTAGCATCGCTTTCGCTAAGGGGCTTGGGGGGCGCCCTGTCAACCGTCTTCCCAACGTCACCAGTTTCGTTTTGAATGGCCATGCTAGACACAAGAGATGAATGAGAGAAATAGTTGGGCAATGAGAGCAGGTCCATAGTCAATTACCTCGAGAGAAAGATTTGAAGAGATTTGGCAGGAGAAAGCTCTAGTAGAAAATGGAACCTGCAACCTTGAATGCAAATCTTCTGGGGTCTTTCCTTCTTTTTTTTTTTTTTTTTATGACAACCGGTCCCTGGTTTACATGTCACGTGAAGACAATGAGACAGCCCAACCAAGCTTAAGAGTGTCAAACCCCACGCTTGCTTGCCAAGCTATTATGAAAAACTCTATTTCACCATGTACTCAAGGTCAGTTCGATTGATTATTTAAAACAATTTATTTAGGGTGAGGTAAGCACTGATGAATATACGCTAAAACATAAGGGTTCCTGGCATTGTCTGGTTCCTTTGAACCTCGGTTTTCGGTGTTTCGTCCTGATCAAAAAGACTAACAGGTAATTTACCCTGAGCTACACTGGCCTTACCCTTATAATCAGCCCCCGGCTCTGCGTTGTTTTGAGCCATACTATTTGATTCTTGCTGATGTGGAACGAACGGGTTGTGCTCGTCTGCTTGTGTTTTCTCGCCGTGATCCATTTGATCGAACTGTTGTGTTCCTGGTTGCATACTGGTAGGGCTTTGTCCTACCATATCATTAGTTCCAGCATTTTGGGGCACAACATTGGCTTGTTGACCATTGATATCCATATTTGAAATGCCGGCAGCAGCCTGTTCTGAACTCGATCTATTAGCGGCATGCGAGTCTTCGATTCGAAGTTGATCTTCGGGTACGGATGCCCAAGTATCAGCTCGGCTAAGAGTATCACCATGTTGATCCAATGGAGACGACGCCCAGGTATTGGACCGGCTCATGACTTCAACGTTTGTAGAGTTGATAGGTTGCTGATACGGCTCTGGTTCGTGTGGGACGGAAGGTCTGAATTGATGAGACATGGGTGTCAATAAATCCATCCAGGCTTGCATATCTCCCCCTGTACGTGTGCGAAGAATATAGTTCTTGTCACGATCCAATGTTTTCATCAATTTTCCTTTGGAGTTATTTCTGCCACGTATTTCAAATATGTAGTCATGGTGCATATTGTCTTCTCTACCAATCACAGTAGTATGAGGTATGAAGATAGATTTTTCAGGGTTGCATGGGAAGTCCTTCTCAGATCTGTATTCATGAAGATATCCAGTTGGTGTAAGTGCGTACTTGTGTTCAACCCAGTTCTTGGTGACAAATGTTTTGCGTTCGATAAAGCCAACCTTGCAAGGCATGACCAGAGGATGATTTTGATTCTCATAATGAATGTCGTTGAGATTTCTGTAAGCTGCGTTATCGGGCACCAATTCGCCTTGACGACGTTCGAAAAATACTTTGTATTCACAGTCAGCGTCCAAATTGTTGAAGGTGTCCATAATGGATTTCACAGTCTGATCAGTCAAATACTTGTCTTGCGTCTTGTATTCTTGTAGAGAAAGCATAACGCTACGGGCATTCTCGATAATCTTTCGCTCAAAGATGGCGTATTCACCTTGCAGATTGATCATGCTGGCATGCAATCTGTTTTCTTCCTTGTATAATTTGATCATTTGTTCTAGAAGGCCTATAACCAATCATAAAAAGAAGGGTAAATGAAATGAAATCCCACGGACGGTGGAACAAAAATACCTTACATGAATTGACAATATAAGGATCAGTCTTATCCATGGCATGTTCTGGGCTTTGATGTACTAATTGAATATACTTGTTGAGTCGTGTTTGTAAAATATCGGCTTGCTCTCGATAGCGATAAAGCCTCTCTGTCTTTAATCGGTCATCGCTGTTGATAGAATGTATCATAACCTTTACTTCTTTTTTCACTGCGCGTAACCCTTGTATGATGGCTCTGTCCAAAAATAAGCTGTAGTCGTTATGGTGTTTCGCTTGATGTACCGCATACTCGCGAGTTGCAGCCCAGACAGTCTGAACTCCACCATCTTCACGAAAATGTAAACCTGAGCTTTGAAATGGAATTTCGATGACACTAGCTCCCTTGGTATATCCCTTTGCAGTTTGGCTATGAGCAGCGCTAATTTCCTTCCAAAAAATGGCCTAAAGTGGAGGAGTGTCAATGCAAAGAAATTGTTTCGAAACATCGTATGGATGGGGCATAAATGCTTTACCAAATTCTTGAGAATACCTCTCCATGCCTGAAGTCTTTCAGCGATGGTAGCGGCGGGGTTGATACCGGCTTCCATACGAAAGGTTTGCTTCTGATAAGAAGTGGTGTTTCTGCGAACGATAGATAACTTGGGTGCTATAGCACTAAAAACTGGTGCTGGCTTAGCCTCGTCATCTACTTGAATTTTTTCGTTGTCCAACACTTGTTGCATTTGTTGTGGAGGTGGATAAGGTTCCAATGCAGCAGATGTTGGCGATGTTGTAAAGTTAGGCGAGGTAAGCTCCTCTTCGGAAGGTTGCCGCTGAGCGACACTGGTATCGACAGTCAATCGAGGAGCATCCGAGGCAGGATTAGCATTGGGATCTTCCATATTATTTGATAAGTATGGGAAACAAAGGTGAAAAAAAACACACAGGAAATCTTAGATTTTCTAGTTTTGTTTTATGTTGATGTCAGACCTCTTTACTCCGAGACCGAGAACATCTGTGCATACGCATCTATTTTTCCGCAACAGGAAATTTCAAACAGGCATGTCATTGACTGCAAGTCCAGATGTTCTCTAACTTTCTATTATTGAATAGGCACGATAACCATGGCGTTCCCTCTACATTCGCATTCATGCCATTGTCTACGATTTGAATGTCCGGCGGGGAAGCATGATCATCTGAAACTGACCAGAACGCTGGGCTATCAACTGACGGACTGAAACAAATGGACGGCGTTGGCGAAAATGTTATAAAATTAAAGTAGACAAGGGTCAAGAAGTCTATAATTTATTTGTATATCATTGGTCAAACAGTTTGATCGTGGAAAAAAGGAGGAGTCATGAAAGGATGATATTACGACATAGCCTTTCTGCAAAGTCAGTTTCATTGCGTAAGAACAACTAGAAGTTTTCCATCCCGATCATAGCAATTTAACACCGCTGCATCCGACTTCTATGCATTAGAATGCATACTGTCGTAAGTACATCATCAGCCAACTACCAACCGGGTCAACTTTTTTTTCTGAATTAAGCTTACATGTTGGGGAGGTTGAAATGTTAACGAGTTTCACTACATACCACATGTGGGACGTACACCCTTGTCATGCAACTTTTAGTATCTCAAGCTGAAAATTACACTATTGCAGAAAGAAAACAAGAGTAAACCACCCTGCAGTCATTAGTTTCAGAAGTGAAATAGAATCTTGTTAATGCAAAGCACAAGAAAATAGTCTCAATGTTTGGTAAGGGGCTGAAAGTCAGTGCGCAAACAAATGTGCCGACATAATGGCAGCGCACGGTATCGATATTTACCCTAGGTTTGCGTCGATATCATCATAGTTATATTATGAAACGCCGAGAAAAGATGAGGGAGAGCCAATAGTGGGGAGCACGCAGCTCAAACTGTTGGAGGACATTTCATGCCGCCATAGTAACCAACTGGACGTACACCGCAAATTAGCTGCCATACCTGTTAATTCATTGTACGGAAAAATATTATACAGTGCGTGGGTTAGAAGTGACCAATAAAAAGTTATGGGCGATAAATGGGTCATTCAAGTTTCAATTATAGCCATTTATTTTGATGAACAACTGGTGAAATGGGTATAAATTTTTGTTACATGAAATGGCACTTGAATTGTGAAAGCAGCTGAATTTGTGAAGCCGATGAACGACGATATTAAACTAAACTCCCACAAATCGAGAGATATAAATACAAAGCTATTCGATTACCATCTACAGTAAGTTAAACTACTTTCACTACTAAAAAATGACTCTTGGATTCGACGAAGATCTTCCCGCAAACGTGTATGAGTTCAATGAGATGCGCAAGAAGCTTCACTATGAAAAGACCGGTATTGCTTCTCTTTTAAAGCCCGCCCCGGTTGTCCAGCATCTTCCTTCTTTCGATGCCAAGGGCAATGCAGGTTTTGAAGCGTACAAGGCTGCAGGAAAGCTTCAAGGAAAGTTTGTCTTGATCACTGGTGCTGATAGCGGTATTGGTCGCTCCATTGCTACTCTTTACGCCCTTGAGGGAGCTGCTGGTATCACCATTGTCTACCGTGACGAAGAGGAAGACGCTGATGCATCTTACACCAAGCAAATGATTGAAGGCCAAAGTGCCTGCAAGATTAACCTTATTGCTCGTGATATTGGTTATGAAAATACCTGCCAAGAAATCATCGACTCTCACATGAATGCCTTTGGTCGCTTGGATATCCTTGTCAACAACGCTGCTGAACAACACAAGGTCACCAAGATTGAAGACCTTGACTGCGCTACTGTTGAACGCACTTTCCGCACAAATGGTAATTAGTGGTTTGCAGATGAATGACGATTTTACCATACTATTATGACCTATGCTTATTCACTTCCATCTACAGTTTTCGGTGTCATCTTCTTGACTAAGCTTGCTGCTAAGCACATGGTCTCTGGTGGTTGCATCATCAACACCGCTTCTGTTGCTGCTTATCGTGGTATGGACGTTCTCGTCGATTACTCTGCTACCAAGGGTGCTGTTGTTGCCTTCACCCGTGCCTTGTCTCAGCAATTGACCACCCGTCACATCCGTGTCAATGCTGTTGCTCCCGGTCCCGTTTGGACTCCTCTTATTACCAACACCTTCAACTTGGAGGAAATTCAAAACTTCGGTGCTCACCCTCCATTCAAGCGCCCAGCACAGCCAGTTGAAATCGCTGCTTGCTTCGTATTCCTTGCATCCAACGATTCCAGCTATATCTCCGGTCAGGTACGTGTGTCAAAAAAAAAAAAGTTTCCTATAATGCCTTGCTCGTTTCTCACACACAACTTCTTTCTATAGACCATTCACCCCAACGGTGGTATCACTATCAACACATAGATTCATACCTTAAAAGTATCGAAGTTTCCATTCCTCCCTATATTCAATTTGTTTTTGAAGCATTTGTCCAATGTGTTTTTTGTAACCACATCATTGCGACAACTTGTTTGTTATAAATATGCAATCCATCTATGAGACTATTCTACCTTTGGCGTGGAGCATTGCTGAGGAAGTGAACTCGGGTTGATGAGTCTGGCTGTATGAGGGGAATATCGAACATAAAAGAAATAGAACCCGAATATATTCAAGTCCGCGCTACCATCGAGGACTGTCCTGGTCACTAGAATCATGAAGCCCTGAGAACCATATCGGTTGCTAAATGCGGGTTGCTGTCGCCGGTTTCGCCGGGATTGGCGTTAAATGTTATGAATACGTATCAAGAGGTCTAACAATTAGATGCTAAGAGTCCAGTCTACTGTACAGCAGGCTTTCACCAACGCTGTGTATGATAGACATTTCATAAAGAAAGGCTCTTTAACACTCCACGCGAGGTCTGTACAAACTTGAGAAATTTATTATTCCAATACAATTAAATTGTTTGGTTAGTTGATACCATTTGTGATTTTGAGGGACAAACAAAATTGCGATACTGATTTCTGCGAATCTTCCCGAAGATTTCAATCTCCAAATTTTTGATGGTCAATATTGACTATGAGCGGTTATGCAGGCCCGAATTCTTCAGAGTATTCTTTAGTCTTCAATTCTGTTTCTACTGACAGCAGCAGATCGATTATGTTTCTCAGGTGCATTGTTTTGGCATACAGATTTGGCACATGGAATGTCAAACTTATGATCACCATCATGTGTACGACCAGCTTTCACCGATGGATTCGATCTATCGAAGCAAACAAGCCTTATTATTTCAAAAGCTTCCATGAGATCACAACCTCGCTTCGGAGGACATGCTTCATAACAGAAGGAGAAAGAAACAGCCGAACGGAAACCCCATAAAGTGTGGAAGGCTTGATTGTTGTGCGCAGCTTTGTCCTCTAAGCCCTGACCAAATGCGGGCAGAATTTGGGACAGAGTAGCCAATCAAAAGGCTTAAACCTCACCTCTCTTGGCACAATGGAATATGCCAAGAGAAAGCAGAAGGGTACTTAAGAGACAGCACCGGACCTTTTTCTCTTTTCATTCCTCTCTCTCCCCTCACTCTCTAAAATATGGCCAAAGTTGACGAAGCTGGTCCAGCTGCACCAAAGTATGAAGCTGAGCAACAGACCAGAGAAGTTCCGCCACCACCATATATATCACAGGAGCCACCCAAGGCACCACCACCAGGCGTGGCATCTCCTAACACTGTACCACTCGATCACTTGGGAGCGGAATCTAGTAACGTCCATTGCCCAGAGTGCGGCTATACCGGACCCTCCGAGGTCAAGCACAAAGTTGGAGGCGCCACAATTCTATCCATTGCCGGCCTTTTCTTCCTTGGATGTACCGTGTTTGGATGCTGCCTGTTGCCACTTTGTATCTCAGGCTTGAAGGATGCTGAACACCGCTGTCCTCGATGTCGCAATGAGCTGGCGACTTACGCAAGACTTGAACGTCGCACAATGACGGGACGTCCACATTAAATTCATAGATTTAGTCAAGGTCGACATCCAAAACCCACCTTCACATTCCCTCAATATACCGCTTGTTTATCTCTCCCTCCGTACAAACCCTATCATATGAAGCAATCATGTATTGTTTATGTTGTATTATCACTACCCTTTCCTAATAAACTCTTCCGAACTGCCATAACATGGTATGCACATGTTTGTCTGTTGATGAAAGAAATTTTGGTCTACATCCGTCCGTTAAGGCTGTGCTTTGTGCGACTATACTGTGATTTTTTTCACCTGTGGTGCAACAAGAAAATAGTTAAATAACAACCAATCTGTGCGTTTTTTATCTTCTGTTCGCTTTCAATGGTTCAAATAGGTATAACAGCACCTCCTATGAGTGAAAACTGCTCTTTATCACTCAGCACGAACGTGTCCACGCACCAAAAGTACAAAAAACATTTCAGCATATCTCTTCCTAAGCTGATAAGGTTGCGGTCGTCAGAAAGATCGTCAGAAACAAAACGTCCGGCCGACAATATTTTGGATAAGATCCGATGCGAAGAGTTCTCAAGACTGGACGACGCCGGCATGGTATACCTAGACTATGCCGGTGCTGCTCTGTACCCCAAGCATCTACTCACCATGCATCATAGATTCCTCGAACAGCATGTTTTAGGTAATCCTCATTCTGGGAGTCCAGCGTAAGACCTTGTTTTTGTACATCATGGTTTTTCTACTTTCATTTGTAACCTAACTTACCTTTGATTAGGTCGATGATGTCGAGTCAAATTGAGATAGAGGCCAGAAAGGAAGTCTTGAAGTATTTCGATGCAAATGAAGAGGAATACATGGTTGTGTTCACTTCAAATGCAAGTGGGGCATTAAAGTTAGTAGCTGAAGCATACCCTTTTGGCGAAAACGCACGACTCATGCTCAGTGAAGATTCCCATAACTCACTTCATGGAATGAGAGCCTTTGCCGCTAAGTCAGGTGCCAAAACGGATTATATACGAGTGCATGACTCAGGTCTGATCGACTCTGAAAGTTTTAATGTTAGTTTACCCAGATGTTGGTTTAGGATATTTATAGAGACTGTGCAACTAACCATCGATCGTTCTGCTGTGTAGCGTATAGTCGAAGGACAAGAAGATGGCAGTCAGCCAAACACCACGAAAGGACTGTTAGTCTTGACAGCGCAAAGTAACGTATCTGGAGTTAAGCAAGACTTGGACCTAGTCAAAAAAGCGCAAACGTTGGGGCATGATACCGTGGTGGACATAGCAGCCTTGGCCGCTACCTCACGTGTATCTTTGCGTAAGATCAATCCCAGTGCAGCCATAGTTTCCTTCTACAAACTTTTTGGTAAGTGATCCGGACAAATATGCTTCCCTGCCGACTTGTCGTCCTGATGACCTGCATTAGGTTATCCAAGTGGTATTGGCGCACTGATCATGAAGCAAGACTTTGCCGAAAAATTACGTAGACCTTACTTTGGAGGCGGTACCATCGAAACCGTGCAAGTCCCAGGACTCAATGTCACCATGGCCGAAGGCTCAAGAAGATTCGAGGTATGATTGAGACTCCAGGAGGCAGTTTTACAAGATGATCTGGCCATATGTATTCACAAACTTCCATCTTCGTTGCGTAGGACGGTACAATCAATTTCTTATCCTTACCTGCAATCATCTATGGACTCCAGTTTATAGATGGCGTCATCGACCTTGTCCAACAGCGAGTGAGAGATTTGATGGAGTACACAATAAGTTCGCTGTCCACGATATGCTACAAAAATGGTACACACATTGTCACCATTCATGGAGCAGTGAATCCGAGCCAGCGTGGAGGCAGTCTTGCACTCACTTTCCATGCAAGCAATGGAGATGAAGTACCTTGTGAAAATATCGAAATGTTGGCCAACAAGGAAAGAATGTCGCTTCGCTCAGGTTGCATGTGCAATCCAGCTATGGCAGCTATATTGACTCACCATAGGCAAGAGATAGGCAGAATAGGAGAAAATGTCAAGTATTCGGATTTACTTGAGCAACTCGGGAAGAGTTCCATTGGCGTGGTCCGCATTTCTTTCGGTCTAGCATCTAACCAGAAGGATGCAGACAAGTTTGTAAAATTTGTTAAATCCCTCGCTAAAAATGAAGCATTGGACTAAGGAGAACCAAAGTCGACAAACGCATTGTGAATAGTATTCAAACCAGAGCATATAGACATAGCATTTTTAAATAAAACCTTACAGTGAAATTACACTCTCGGCTGAAGAAAAATGGACAATGTGGTCCGAGAACTGTGTGTTACAATGAACAGACGGAGACTGATGGAATCGATATGTTTGTCGATTAGCCACTGTTTTCGGGTACACGATGTTTATAAGCCATGATTCTGCTATGAACGATCTATGTAGTGTAACAGAAAGCCTTTAAATTGATCGATGTCATTTGATGGATTACCACACAAATGATGGACGTCGCTTTGTTGTCGATTGGGGGAACGGGGGCACAACGCAATGGCTTGGGTTTGTTTTGCTAGCATTACGACGAGGAGGCACTAACTTTTCATGATGCAAAGACCAACTTATAGTTAGTAAACTTGATATTGCAGATTATTATCATTATTTGGAAATGCTGCTATTATCTGGGGTGGCGTTGGTCTATGCAATGTTGTGCTCATTGGTGTAAGTGTCTTTTTCTCTGGTTGGAGATATCGGCGAGCCATACGTCATGTCAAAAACAGTTTTGGTAGCAAGGTAGGCATTAAACTTGTGTTGAATTTGTCTTTGCATATATATTTTGAAAATCCTACATAACGTCTAAACAAGAAGAAAATAACAAACGGGATATCAAGAGAAATTTTCTTGTTAGTCTTGCTTGACTCAGCCAATATCCTAAAATTGTTTAGTAGCAACATTAACTTTCTCTGTGTATCATTAAAGCTGCGGGCCTGACGCTACTTCAATCACCACTGTCGTCATGGTATCACCCATACCTTTCTGTTAACCACTGATCATTCCGTATGTACGCGGATTGGGAATTAATGAGCGATCTACAATCTGTCTGTATCGTGGATTTCGACCCGAGGAGTAATAAACAAAAAATGGTGGTTCTCGAACATCCACTGATTCAAACAAACCTGGTGGTGCAATGCAGCCTAGAGCAAATTGCAAACGTCATCATGTAGGCGTCATACGGCGAATGTCAATTGTGCCTGCATCCACAAAGATATCTTTTTGTGGTAACCCATGGGTAAAACCGAGATGCAGTGATTAATGAAACAGCGCATACAAACCCAGTGTTGGCGATCGTTTGAGGAGAAATTTACAGAAGGGGTAATGATTCGAAGTGATATTCATAGATCTCATTTCATACTATGTCGGCTCTCGTAGTAACAAACAAACAACTTCATCTAACTATCTTTGCAATGGTAAGTCCCTCGTTTACCTGTAGTATTCGGCTAGGCACGGGGAGTAAAGTGGACAGTTTTGGGAAAAAACAAACAATCATTTTTGATATTGTCACATCATATTTGATAAGAATGGAGCATGTACTCTCAATGCAAACTGTGTGGTGGGCGACACCCATGGAGCAGAGTAGAATAAAAATAACTATTACGATCGCCCATTGTACCAAAGAGCCCGAGAACATTTGATTTCGAGGTGGAAGGGTTTTTTCTTTCTTAAAATGGAACTCAATCTACACGATGAGGGCGGCCATTTTTAAACGCTGCGAGATCCAATTTGCTCATGCAAAATACCCACCCTTGGAGTTGGCATGATTTTCAACTCCAGACAAGAAAAGTCCCCGTTGCGGTCAATACAGCAAGCACCTTATTGTAAAAGCAGCAGCCGAGCCGCCATGTGATGTGGAAGAAGAGAAAGTTGGCGTATTGGGCCATGATGATCAACGGAAGCCTGAAAGTGGTACAGTAAAAAAAAATCAAAAAAAAAAAAATCGTGTGGTCTAAAATCACACGATGCTGACATCCGTATTCAATAAAAATTATTTCGAAGATTGGAGGAAAATCTATCCATGTGGTGAAGAAGCGTACAAGCATGACCGTAGTCAGGGCATGGAATGAGATACAATTTAGTGGGAGGTAAAGAGGAGGTACTTTAGCAACATGGTTTCACACAGCAAGCGCTCTCTTTACTTGTGAAATGTGGATATTTAGCCTGTAGCGTGGTCTTCGGCTGGTCATAGCATAGATCGTCTGTCTGTGCCATTGATTGCTCAAGTTGTTTCTACCAGGATATTGCCTAGATGCTAAGACTGGAGCGTGTCTTTCTTAAAGGAATCAAAAACCTGTTTGAACCGAAATCCACCAGTAAGGTACCAAACCCAAAAGCAGCAGTCCTACGAGATTGTACTGGAATGCTCCAGTCAGACGTTGCAAACAAGGTTATAAGTTAGTGTACCCATACTTTGTAAGTATCCACTCATGATACTGAGTCTTTTGGGCGAGGAAGGGAGACGAAGGGGGGTTTGCCGTCACCCGCCATGCTATACTGAGCCAAATTAACGGTGCGACATAAACGAGCCAACGCGTTTTTACGTTGTTAAATGAGGAGGGAAGGAAGTGCAAGTGGCACAAGTAATCCGCGTGGCGAGGCAAAGCTTGAAGATCGTGGCCATTCTCATCGTATTACTTGTTGTTGGCCTGCCTTCTGGGTTGTGTGTCTGGTTCTTCTGGTGAAAAAAAAAAAAAAAAGAATCGAACTTAACGGTCTAAACCTCCCTTTGCATCTCCCGTGCTTTCTTTTTCTCTTCTCTTTTACTCCTGATTGATCCCTTCTCTCTTTTTTATTTTGTTCTTTATCTTTTTCTGACCTCTACCGAAATCCCCTCTTCTGTTTTCTCTCTTCTTTTCTTTACCAACAGACACACTTCTTTCACAATACTCTTTCTTCACTTCACGCTTCCCCAATCCACAGTCTCTTGTTTATAATCTATGCTTATGGCCACACAGTCAGATCATCACCATTTTCAGAGCGCCGCCGACATTACCAGGCCGTTCCAAAAGCAGTCGTATGGCACTTCAAACAGCGACAGACCGCTGTCGGATCTCATCAATTGTTCTGCTAAAATGCACAGAACCACCGTTCGACCAACATCCGACATAGTGCAAGCAGCTGATATTTATAGACATTCATTATCACCAGAAGGTTCGTTTCTATGCTGTTATGAAAGAAAGAAAAGAAAGTGGCGGGCAGAAAGGAGCAATAGCAGCAGGGAGTGATGTGGGTGCCTGTGCTGAGTGCATATGGGAGGAAAATCCTCACTTGGAATTTTTTTTTTTTTTCAAACTTTAAAAAATATCCTGACGGATGTCTTGCTTCCTACAGCTGAAGCCATCGATTATTGGTACGAAAACTTGCAGCATTATGAACAAACCGTCGAAGCCATGGCTAGTTCCAAACTTGATCAAAAATTCAAGGATGACTTGAACCGTGTCAATGAGTGGTTTCGACTATTATGCGAAGCAGAGAGAACCACAGCCTTATATAGTATCGTTCAACATGCGACACAAGTACAGATACGATTTTTGATTGCTGTCCTTACCAAGATGGCTAATCAAGACCCCTTGGGAGCCCTGTTATCACCGGGGCCTAATCAAGACAAAGGTATTGTAATTTTGAGGGGAACGTACCATAGACGAGAGAGAGCATGCGCTAACTGACCCAAAAAAAATATCTATATGTACTTCCCCCCTTTTCTTCACGCAGACCCTTTTCTACCTACCTCAGTCAAGCAGTCTGAACTCGAATTACAACAACGCATGCGCTCTGTTTACCCTTTGCGAAATAAATTGGCTTCTCGCAACATGTACCGACAATCCAATGCCTTTAGTGAACCTGACGACTACACTCGAAGAAGACAGCATGATTTATTATCTGGAAGAACCCTTGGATTGACCGAGTCTGGAATTCTATATGAAAAGGCTATGGCCCTTAAGCAAGCTTCTGGCATCCGCACTTCTACTGTCAGCAGCAGCTCAATATTAAGCTCATCGTCTTTCATTAAATCTCCACGTCTTCCTCAGCCTGTGAAACGACCCGATTCCAGTTCAAGCCTTTCCAATCAAAGTCCCGCCACCAGTCCATCGCCTATAACCGACTGGCCCTATGCGTTTCAAAAGAACGACTCGTCCTCCTTTGTTGCTAATACCTCTGCTAGAAGTAGCCTGGCTGAAACTTCATCAACAAATAGTAGCACACTAGGTGGACATAGTAGCAGCAGTAGCAGTGATGCATTGTCAGAATGGTCACCTTTGCTTGCTCCCAAAAGCCAGCAGCCACCGCATCAACAAGATCAGGAACATAATCGACCTTCTATCTATGATCACAAATGGAGTCCAGGGGGCAAGAAATTGGAAACGACTAGTCTGGAGCAGCATGAATCCACCACACTTCCTTTGCGTGCTTCCAAGCCTGTGTTATCCTCCATTGACACCACCATGCATCCGAGTTTTTTCAATTCTCAGCAACCACATTCGTTACCAAGATCTGAACCAAAGCTATGTGACGATGTTGTGAGCTTGCCTACACCGGATGACGCAAAATCAAGCTCCAACGCCACCACATTTGATACCAATATGGGATTAGATACCAAAGCACCCACTTTACCCATAAAATATAACCGACGAATGAGCAACAGTACACCTACAGGTCATCGTTATTCACCGCTCCTGTCCCCTCTACCCAGTCCAAAGTCTCTCTCTCGATCATCTAATCGATCCACGTCACCGCCTTTCCGAGCTTGGCCACCGTCTCCTGCGGCCAACAGCAAATCCAATTATTCGCAATTTCTCAATCCGCACGATGGAGTGAGTCTTCCAGAGTACCTGAGTGACCATAGTGATGGATCAGGATCCAGTCACGCTGAACCAGGGCACTTGACAGAAGCGGCCATGAACCGAAGACGAAGAGCGTCTGCCGCTCGTGCAGCCAAAGATAAAGTTGCGGCAGAAACAGTGGATTTTGATCTCATGCAGGATGTTCAAGCATGGCTTCGAACTTTACGATTGCATAAATACGCCTATGCGTTTGAAGGGCTGACTTGGCAGGAAGTCGTTCGAATGACCGACGATGACATGATCCAAGCTGGAGTGAATACCATCGGTGCTCGACGCAAACTACTCAAAGTATTTGAAAATGTTATGAACCATTGCCAGAAAAATGCAAGTATTTGTTTGACCCCAAACCCTTTTGTTTGTCTTTCTTTCAACTGACCTATTTTTATCCACAGGGCCTCCAATATTAACTAAGCACGCCAAAACAACAACTCCCTCCTGTCTTTTAATTCCTAGAACATAGTCTTGCCTTTTGTACCATTTCATTCCTTCTGGTGCCTTGACGCCGCCTTCACGCCAATTTTACATACCATTCAAATAAGCCATGATGCAAACTCAAAGTTTTCTAAAAAAAGATCTTCCGATATTGAAGCGAGGTGGAGACCCCTCTCCGTTTTTGACTATCAGCAAGCCATTTTGGGCGCAAGCTGTTGTGGTGGTGGTAGTGGCTTTGTCAAGCTCTCGGTTCTATCGCTTCGTTTTGCTTTGGGTTCAAATTTGGAAAATTAAGCCAGGAGGCACTTCCATTGGTGCGGTTATTTAAAGCAAAAAGAGATATTTTCAGCTACGGCCGTTTGTCCGTCGACGTTTCTTCTCTCATCCCATCTAATGAAGTTGACAGTTGGAGCAACACTCATTGCTGCCTTGGCTGCAGTTGTTAGTGCCTGTGAACCAGAATGTCGTCGTGGTCTTGCCACTGCCTTCTCGGATAAATACTATGAACCTATCGCCCACACCGTTCAACTCCTCAAGCCAGAATTAGTCAATTTCAAGCTGAATGTGCCTTCTCAAATCTCGGCCGCCGTTTCCGAACAAGCTTTGAAGGCCGGAATCGAGACGGGTGTTACAAGTGCTATCAACAAGATGATCAACACCGTTACCGGTGACAGCTTAGATAAGTTGTACTACTCTGAAATGTTCAACGGCCCAAGATCATTCAAGGGTGACTGCAACAATCCTAAGCGTGTGGACCGTAGAATGCCTCCTCCTGGAGAGAGCTGGACTTTGGAAGAATGTAAGTTCAGCCTAATGCAGCTTGAAATCCCTATTACCCTGTAGCTAATTCCACTTTTATTCTAGGCGAAAAAATGGACTATATCTGTGGTAATCCTCCTTCCATTTGCCACTTTTTGGACGAGGTAAAAATCCAGCTTTTTTTTTTTTTTGTCTTGGCTTTATGCCATCCTCCTCCTCATATTAACCTCCGCTCCATCCAGATCAAGGACCGTCTTCTCAACCGAACCCGTGTTCGTCTCAATGAGTACTCTAACGGTGATGGTATTTTTGTTCGCACTCTTGATAACGACGTTAGAACCGCTGTCAACAACGTCTTGTCAAGAGAAGGTGCTGGATCTTTGATCGAAGACCCTATTGTTAACATCATGGTGGACGATATCATCGTCAAGCAATTGGGTGGCATGAAGAACTGGTCTGAAAGAGATGTTAAGAACTTGTGCTTGACAACTGATCAAGACAGCATCTGCAATAGCTGGGACGATGAAATCAAGATCGAGATTCTCAAGTGGCCTTAAATCATTTCCCTCCAACCATTTGCCCTATCCCCCCCCCATACTACTGCTTAACTACTTTCTTCTCCATTTGTTTTTCATCCCATGGTCATTATAGTTTATGCCCCATTGCAAAAATTGTTTACACTCATGCCTATGAGTTCCACACCGAATAGATACTGGTCCGTTATGAAACTTGAGATATAAAAAAACATGATCATAAAATCCTCCTTTTTGAAACGTTTATATGCGGGTGAATGTTTTGTATTAGGGATGTATGTTGCAGGCAGAATGTCATAAGGTGAGTGTTATATACAAGTTTGATTTAAAAATACTTTATGCAGTGTCTATGCCGATATCCAGTTGATAGTGGTAGGGTTGGAGGGCTTCTTCATCGACCGATAAGACGACGAAGATCGCACAGGCGTAGGGTCGGGTCTGACATAAGCATCAAGGACTCCCGTCGGAATAAATAAACTAGACGAGTCTTCGTTAGATCGTTTAAATGTCGGCACTTTAGATTGAATCACTCGAACGCTGGATCTAGGCATGGTCCCGTCTTCGTATTTGAGGTACAGCAGACGATCGTCATCTTTGCTACCCACGGTGATAGACTATGGAGCAAAGCAGAGTACATGATGAGTATACCGGCGCAACCAACATTTGTTTTACATATGCAGACATCTTACCTCGTCGGTTTCAGCTTCATCAACTTCTTCTTGAGCGATCTTTTTGACAGCGGATTTCTTGGAAACCTTGACCTCCGTGGCACGACCACCACGCTTGGTTGGGTTCTTGTTTGGCTTAAATTCTCGGAACATTTGGGCATGGAGATAGTCTAGTTCACACATCCGACTTTCCGGTAGGAGCTGATTGAGCTCCTCCAGCTGTCGAATAATGTCAGTATCAGGTAGTTGACTGGCAAGGGTTCGTCTCTCATTGTCGAGAAGGTGCTTGGATCCATTCACTTTAGCTTGCTCTTCAAGTTCAGCAACCGTTTCATAAACGGAATAACTTTTCCCTTCTTCTATCTTATTAGGATTGGATGGGGTCAAGCAATGCATATTGGGCTCTTTGCGTAAAACGTGGTCAATGTCCACAGCTGAAAAGAAGGCAACGGCTTGCGGTAAATTGGGAATGCCAAGTTTGTAACTAAACAGAGCGCGAGTCCATAGGTTGGCAATTTGCAGGGCAAGTGCAGTACGATGCTGATCTTTTTCACTTGAGAGATACCGTACTTCGTCATGGACCGAAAGCATGAAGCGAGCATCAATGTTATATCGATCAATCAAATGAGACATGGAAACAATCATCATATGGAGATAGTCGACAGCCGAACTTTGGACGACCCAATTGATACGAGATGTCAGGAATTGGGTTCCAGCATATTTGGGTTTTAAGGCATCCGTGATGGCACAGCCAAGGATGGGTGTTCGGGGCTCCTTGCATAAGGCGATATCTTCAAGCGCATTGAACATGTAGCTTTCCGTGCCTCCATGCCAAAAGGCTCGTTTGAATTGATTTCGAACGGACCTTTCCTTTTCACCTTTGGTGCTCAAGTAAAGCTCCGCCGCCTTTTGTTTGGCTTCGTCCAAATCCAAGTCTTGGTTGTACTGCATGAGGAGGCTAGTGGCATATTTTGCGCCTGCGCCATAGATACGAGCATAGTTGAACACCTTGGCTTTATTTCGACTGATACCCAAGATCTGCGCCGTTTTAGAATGCAGATCTGTACCTTCTGATTTGGATCCCTGCAGAGTCATCCATCCCAAAGCGGTTGCACCATGAAATCCAAATTGAGCATCGCCAATGATACTGGATATCCACAGTTCCTCGGAGTCTACATCTGCACCGACAATCTTATATCCTGGAGGAGCTTGTACCATGGACTTGAGCTCGGAACCAATTCGATTGGCCTTGGCATTACTAGCAGTGAGCCAAGTCTTTTCCACCGCTCGTCGTGTGACAGTCCCCATCGTGACCATCTGAGGTAAGATGATTCCATTCTTGCCATGACCAGGTCGTTTGGTAAGACCCATGTCCTTAACGTCGTCATCCCAGACAACGTATTGGCCCAATATGCGCTCTCGAGAACTGATCCAGTAGGCTGATTTGGCATTTAGTTCGAGTGCCTCGCGTGCTGCATCGTATTCCGAAGAGAGCACACCTTCTTCGAAAAAATGCAAATAATTCTTGGCGATGGGATTGCCACAATTGGCTGTTTCTCCATCCTTGTGAGGTATCTTGTAATAGAAATAGTCTTCATCCATAGAAACAATTTTGGTATTACCCGCTTCATCGGCTCTGGCAATGGGAATCTTAAAGCACCAACCATGCTCGGTGAGATAGTGAATTGGGTGGTCTTGCCATTTCAGTCGTAGTAACAGTGGTGCTATTCTTGACCGAGTGGAAATCTTGAGCTTGTCTGCCTTGGTATCGTAAGCGTCTTTATACCACTTGGGCTGTCCTTTGAGTTTACGTTGCCTTGGGTTAACAAACCAATCCAGCTGGCTTAGCCAAGGGTCCTTTCGCCATTCTTCGTCCTTTCCCACCAAAGCTCGAGCGTTTTCTGCCAATTCCTGAAGTTTCACGTCCAGCATATCTTCCAACTCCTTGTGTTTGGCAACAGAATTGGCCAGGTATTCTTCCCAATGTTCATTCACAGTCAAAATTGAATTTCCCATCTGCAGCATTCCAGCGAACGAGACAGGGTGAGGACAGTTTTCATGGAACTTGGGCCACAAGGCTTTGTAGACACGGTGGGTCATATCGACATCGGTAGCACAGTATCGTATCAGTTCCTCGAAATTTTGTTGGACATCTTCCAGTTGGCCGTCCACCAGAATATTGCGAGATGACTTGTCCATGTCCATATTGCAATGAAATTTCACCACATCTTTGAGACTGTTTAACGCACTGACATCAAAAAAGGAATTGCTTCCTACGTCCATATTTTGTGATACGCTATCCATCACCGAATGCGTATCCGAATTCGAAGATGTCGACACTTTGCCGATATTTCGACGTTTGATTTCCGACATCCATGCTGGTCGCTGCTGTGAGCACAATCCTGAAACCGCAATATGCATACTCATGGTGTCTAAAAATCCGAGTTTGGAAGATGAGGTGTTGTACTCTTCCAAAATACGGGCTCGATCAAACCCAACGTTATGTCCGATAACAATTCGCTCATTGCCTGTTTTTCCAAATGGTATAAGGTGATTGGGATGGTCGCTTTCTCCGAACAAATAAGGTGATACCCAGGAATACCAAGCTTGGGGTGATGCCGCAGTAGCCATGATAGGCTGTGGACCCACTGCTACAGCCGTTTCGACATCAAAGGTCAATATGTTTTCGAGTGGATGATCGACTTTCTCCTTCTTTCCACTTTTTGGATCATATCGTGTCCATCCACTCTGCCGGCTCCATTCCTTTGGCTGTTGTGGTAAGTCAGTGACGGCAATCTCCTTCGCCTTTTGCATATACGAGCCAGATTGTTCAATTCCAATGCGCAAGAAATGTTCTTCTAAGTCACGGCCGGTGAGTTTTGGCAATTGAAATGAAATATCCGGAATCTTGTCGGTCGACTTTCCCCAAATATGCTGCAACTCTAGGTGTTGACGAGCATACTCTTGTCGCGTGGCTATATCGCATGGTTCTTTCGAATTCTTTGGAAAAATTTGCTTATGTAGTGCCGACGACAGCAACTGTACATTTACAGGGTTGAAGGTTTCTACGGCTACAGAGACATCATAATGAGTCAGTTCCACATTCTCATGAGTGGCCTTGTGATACTGAACACCACCACAGCGTTTCCTTTTTTTCTTTTACCTTCTCGGTCCGTCGCTACAGAGACTTTGAGGCGAACTTGAAGGCATGTCCATGAACGTCTTGCTCTCCAGTGTCTCTGAACCAGACAGACTGGGTGATTTGCTTTGAGCATGTATCAAATTCAAGGAATGGCAACTTTTTTCTAAATGCTAGCTGAGGCTCAAAGCCAGAAAAAAATTCCACAGATTTTAAGCGCAACTCTTTTCTGCAACAGAGCAGAAAGAGGGTTACACGTGACGGTTTGCTGCGAAGATGGGCGTTGCAAACTGAGTCACTTCCTCCCCCCGAAGCAAAAGTTATTCTAAGAGCAAAAAGGCGTAAATGAAATGAAACGAGGCAAATAAGCTGGTGAATGCTTAGAGAAAATAAAGAAATAAATGATCATGCGGTCCACCCAACCACGTTCTCTTCTGTTCTGTTCTGCTGTGCTCTTCTTTCCGAATCGACGTCAGCATACAGCTTCTGGTAGACTAACGGGTGCTTGATGAAGTTTGTGCAACTCTCGCTTTTCCGTTTTCTCTTTCACTTTTCGCTTCATGACCGACCCTTCCCATTCAGAAGATTCATGTTGGCATCCATATCCCAACTACAGAACAGACCACAGCAATGGCACTGTCACATATCACTTTAACCCAACAGCGAAGCATTCTCTGGTCAGAAAGCACGTTGTTAGCCGCATTCAAACAGCCAAACTGCAATCACATAAACCCCCATCGACATCCCCATTATCTCTGAAAACTTTACATATCTCCAGTATTCATTCCGGTGGACTGCCTTCCCCGCCTGTCGATAACGATCATGACCATACTCACAACTTTCCTAACCATGAAGACTCTCACCTCGTTGTATCACCTACGCCCACTCCCACAGAAGAAACCTCAAAAGATAACCGGTTTGCGAGCGAACTGGTTGCCCATGCCCTTCAAAGACTATCAGATAATCAGGCATGTTCAAAAGACGTGGACCCCCATAACGTAACGTCTGGCGAGCAAGAAGATGAAAGTGATATAGATTTGCCGAATGCACAAGATTTAAGGCAAAAAATTGCTGATTTGACTGCAGAAAAGCACAGGTTATTTCAGTTAATGAAGAGTAAAATGCAACAGGATATTGAACACGACGACGATGATACAGCTTGCCAAAGAGGTCTGACGCCAGTTTCTGAAGTCACCGTATGTTCCAATCCAAGCGAAAATGAAAAGGAAAATACTGAACGCCCAAACCAGCGATCTCCTCAGCCGGCCGCGGCATCTTCTTCAAAACCTACTTCTACTAGCAGCACAAGTACTGAGCGTCCCTCCATGTACCGATCTCGACCACTGAGTGACCGAGGTTACTACCATCATCAGTTTCATGCCCCACCTTCTCATCATCATCTTCCTCCTCGCTCCATGTATGGAGCACCATCCTACAGAGTAAGTCACTTTTTTTTTAGTCCTCCCACACCCCTTTGTTTGCCTACCTCCTACACTTCAGCTCACGACTTTTCTCTAGGGCCGTCGTGATGGCTATTTTCCCCGCCCTCCTTCCATGCGACCTAGCCCATATGGTCCACCCTCGCCATACCGCAGGCGGTCGCCAGTATTGGATAGAAGACCTCGCTATTGAACCACCCAAAAAAAAAGATTGTATTTGAAATTTCCATCCATTCCATCGCTGTATAATTATTTTTGAATGATAGTGTCTCTGTCATTGCCACTCCTCTTCGCACCCCGATCGCCCACATACTACATATTTTTTTTCCTTTTAATTTGAGTAAAGTACTTTAGTTGTTTCGTCTCGTTCTTCTGGCATGTCCTTGTCAAGTCGCATTTTACGACCGTTTATTGCTGGTAAATTCATAGACACCCGAGCTGGTCTTTACCAGCTGCTGGACCCTCGAACAGCCGAGGCTTCTGAGTCTTTAATGGAGGCTACACCTGAGCATGTGGATTTGGCAGTTCGAAATGCACATCGGTCTGAGCAATGGCAAAGTTCGCCAAAGACTCGACGTGATGCTCTGCATCGGTATGCTGCCATGTTGGAGAATCATACAGAGGCGTTGGTGCAGGCTGAGCAAATTCAGACGGGCAAGCCGTTTGCAGACGCTTTGAGTGACGTACAGGAAGCCATCGAGTGCTTTCGCTATTTCGCCGGATACGCCCAGACGCTGACTGGATCGGCCATCGACACCGAAGACAAACTTATGGCTGCCACGCTTCGTGAGCCGAAAGGCGTGGTAGGCATCATCACCAGCTTCAATTACCCTGTCTCTCTCTCGGCTTGGAAGCTTGCCCCGGCTCTGGCAGTTGGCAACTCTGTGATCGTCAAACCTGCTCGACAAACTCCTCTAACCGCCCTCATCATGGCTGACCTTGGGCGCGACATCTTCCCAGAGGGTGTTATGAGCGTGGTGCCGGGAGGCCCCGAGGTCGGTCAAAGCCTAACATCTCATCAAGGTGTAGCGCATGTCTCGTTTACGGGAAGCACGCATGTTGGGCAAAAGGTCATGCAGGATGCAGCGGCGAGTAACCTCAAGAGCGTCACCTTAGAGTGTGGAGGCAAAAATGCTGTAGTGGTGTTGAAAGACGCTGATATTGATTTGGTCGCCAAAAGCGTAGTAGGGGGAGCTTTCTCCAATGCTGGACAAAACTGCTGCGCTAGTTCTCGTCTGATGATTCACCACGACATTCATGATCGTGTGGTCGATCAAATTCTCGACCGAACAAGTAGGCTTCAGCGAGATGTTGATTTGGGCCCTCTTATCGACAAGGCTCAGTACGATCGAGTGTTGGGCTACATTGACCGTGCTACCGAATCTCTCGTCCTTGGAGGCAGACCATGGAGCTCCAAAGGCTATTACGTCTCTCCAACCATATATACCCATGTCAGTGACCAGTCGGCACTTGCCACAGACGAGATATTTGGACCGGTACTGGCTGTTTTAGAACCATTTGATGATCCAGCACACGCTGTTCAAAGAGTGAATAGCTCTCCTTATGGATTAGCCAGTGGCATTTTTTCACGCGACACAGCTCTAGCACAGCGAATTGCTCGAAGTATTCAGACTGGTATTGTATGGATCAACACCTACAACTATCTACCCATGAGCGTTCCATTTGGTGGCGCAAAAATGTCTGGCATAGGCAAAGATCTCGGCCGTGAAGCCATGGATGAGTTTACATTCATCAAAAGCATTTTAACTCCCTTTTAAATACATGTATATTTTTTTTTTTACCCTGTAACCTACATCATTAGACAGTGGCAGTCGTAAATGAAATCAAATAATGCAAAGAAAAGGGAGGACCTTTTGAGTTTCACGGCTTGGAAACGAGCAGCTTCCATTTTTAATCAGTGAACATTAATTTAACTATGGTACAGTAAAACATTAGATTGAGAGATAGAAATAATGACTATGCGTGCGTGTGATTATGCAGTATTGGTATGTTTCGATTATGCAGATGAAATAAGCTTTTCATCCACATATTCATTGGTATCATTGGCGGAATCTCTCCTCACGCACAGTTCGGCCACTGGAATTTCGCCACATACAATAGCAGGAAAATCCAAGTGTACATCAGCAGTTTCATTAAAGGCTAGTGTAAGATGAAATAAATGTTTTATGCATATTCTTTCGCATTTGGTGTCCACATGGCTATCGTGTTTGGAGATAGGCAAAAGAAGTTCGAGTGGGTTGGACCACGTACTGGATGGATTGGTAAGGAGGTGTGTGTAAGGCTCCATTGACTGAGAGTGGTGGGTTTCAGCTTTTTCAGGGTCACTGCAGGGGAGGAGGAGAGATTATCATGGGTGTTAGTGGCCATACTTTGTTTCAATACATTGGGGTTTTTTTAAAACAACTTGTCACCCTTGGTTTGGGACTTTTTTGTTTTTAAATGTGTAATTACCTGACACTAGCAAACTCCCATAGCTGGCAGCCTAACAAACATCCATTGGATTCCAATTTGGGAGGCATCAGACTTTTCAAACGTAACGTCAGTCGAACCGACAAATCACCTAAACATATGGATTTAGGTACTTCGAGTTCATACCGCCACTTGCGATCAGGCGTGGTGCCCCAATATATAGTGGATATTTTACTCTGTGATTTTGTCACGGAAAACTTGATGTGAGCCCGTATAGCAAGGTCGCCGATCAAAGCCACAGCACCCACGGAATATCCGATGGATCCAAAACGATGGATGAGCGAGCATGGTAACTCACGGTGTAGCGCCCACGAGAAAGGTATCCGGTGGAGACCAGCCGCCAGCTGAAGTGTCTGAGGGGTGCTGGTTTGATTAAAGAAACACGTCGCGCTGTCATACGGGGAATAAACTAATTCCTGACCCGTCACACGAGTGGAAAGATGGACGTAGGAGCTAGTAGGTATCAGTAATTCCACATACCCACTGACCGTTCGCTTCTCTGAAAGATCAACACTCTTTTCATCGAGAAAGATATGGAGAGAAGTCATACACTCTTTAAGAGAAAGGGGAGAGAAAGGGCCTGCTGGGAGAGGGGGGCAAATGAATGGGGGAATGTTGATAATTATCGCAGCGTTTATATAAGTGAGTGGCTCAAAGCCTTTTTTTTTTTTCAACCGCGTTTCCTATTTTATTTCGTTACCCTTGTAGTACACGCTTGCCAATAAAGCAACGATGTATTAAACAAAAATCCCTCGATATGATAACTTATGTTTCGTTATGAGTGGCCACTTTAAACGAAACCATGCGCACAGATAAAGATCTTACATCACAGTACCATTTATTTGCCTCACATAGCGCAACACCCAGTGCTATTCGAAATTTCAAAACGTAGTCCTTCCTATCTGTTCCACCTTCTTACTATGATTTACACCCCTGATTGACATGATGGTCTCATCACCTTGATGCAGGTGGGACGGCAACACTTACTTGCTGGCAAGCAAGAAACTGTACGATTTTGGCCGACTTTTTTTTTTTTTCCCTTTCCGACTCCCGGCGCAAGTAGCCTGTCAAGACGTCTTTCCCGTAGGACAGGTTACGAAACATAAACAAATGCAGAGAGAGGGTTTTGGTTGCGATGTTGATGATGAAGAGTCAGATCAAAAATAAAAAGAAGTGTGTTATGCCTGAGCGTCGGGAGCGGGCATGAATCTTTAATGACGGAGCATAATTGGCATATGATGATGCCCTTTACCCTGCTTTCCCCATACAAACGAAATATGCCGCTATTACTCCTTCGATCCAAAATAGCTTTACCCCACGTCAGGTCACTGGTCAAGCCATACTCTACCCTTCAGCCGACCGTCGAGCTGTTTTCTCCCCGCGATTCATTGCCAGAGATTCGAGACAAACTGCGCGGTCTAGGCCAGGGTACTATTGACTTCGTTCCAGACTACCAACCAGGGGTAGGTCTAATCACATTGAACAATCCCACACGCCATAATGCAATGTCAGGAGTCATGATGAGCCAGTTGGCTGATTTGACCGACAAGCTGGAAAACGAACCGACGGACTTGGCTGGCTTGATCGTTACCGGAGCAATGCCTGCCAAAGCCTTTTGTGCCGGGCTAGGTAAAAAAAATGGTTGGGGCTGGAAATTTTCAGGTTCATGGGTGTTTCTAACGTGTCTACCTACAGATCTATCCACAGCCAAAGAGTATCTTTTATCCCCTGTTGCTGGCGTAGCGTTTGGTCGATTGATGCATGACACTTTATCAAGGTTCGCTCGCTTACCGTATATCACGGTGGCGTCTCTGGCCTACCCAGCGTTGGGAGGAGGAGCCGAGATATCGACAGCTTGCGATTTTCGAGTGCTTGCTCCGTCATCTCGTATTCAATTCTTACAGTCCCGAATGGCCATTGCTCCGGCTTGGGGAGCGACCCATCGACTCATACGTCTGATTGGCCGTTCCAAGGCTTTGAAGTACCTGGCCAGCTCTGCACCTATTTCTCCTGAGCTTGGCCTTCACATGGGTTTAGTGGATCACATCTCGCAAGACGGGCCCGACCCGTATTCGTTATGTCTTGAGGATTCCGCCAACATGCTGGCATCGTTTGTGCTGGACCCCAAAGGCAACAGAGTCTCCTCCCGAGCGCTCCAAGGCATCAAAAAGCTCGTCGCTCATGCCGATCTTGGCCATGACGATATCGATTATGATATGGAGGTACTCTCCGGATTATGGGGATCAGAGGAAAACCTCAAAGCCGTGCTTGGGGGCGGGCAAAAGAGCAAAAGCAGTAGAAAAGAGTCATAAATACCATGAACAGTAAGATGGACTATGAACTGACTGTGCCAGTGACACCATTTTTAAAAAACAAAAAAGTAAAAAATGCGCATAACATGAATGCTTGGGAAACTCTCTCTCTCTTCCTTACGTTTCATTCAATAAGTTTATTTTTTTATTTGGATGAATAGAATGGACCTCTTTTTTGCAGTCTACGCGCCGGTCCAGACGCAGATACAGCTAGTGACTAGCTGACATAATTAAAAGTAAGAGCACAGTATCCAAGGGAAGACAGACGAAGGAGAAGAAAGGCAAAAAGGCGGAGAGAGGGGCTTTCTCTTATGTGAAGAAATTATAGTTAAGGTATCTTATGCGACGGATCAATACATTCTTTTTTTTGTGGGGGGGGATTTTTTTTTTCATTTTTTCGTAACCTGATGATAGATGTCTTTTTTTTGTTTTGTTGTTATGGGAGAGTGCTTTGTTTCTTTCAAGTTGTAATAACATGTTTCTGCTCGGGGTCTATTTGCTCTTGACGTTTTGGCTGAGCCAGTTAAGACCTTCGAAAAGGCCTTCTCCAGTGGTTGCGCACGATGGATGCACATACCATGCTCGGTCTCTCATCTTGTGCAAGCCCAATCGTTCGGTCAATTCTGCAGGGGACATGGCTGAGCGAGCACAAAAAGGGGGAGGAATTAGACAAACGAATCGACATAAGAGCCAAGGTTGGAAAACTAACCTCCCGGTAAATCTTGCTTGTTAGCAAACACAAGTAATAAGCAATCCTTCATTTCTCGATCAGATATGATGCGGTGAAGCTCCTGTTTAGCTTCATCGATACGATCACGATCTTGTGAATCAACAACGAAGATCAATCCTTGAGTGCCAGTATAATAATGTCGCCACAAGTTGCGGATCTTATCCTGACCGCCTACATCCCATACCTAAGAGCAAGTTCGTGTTAAATTTGCGGAGATGAAAAACGAGAATCACAGCATGACCGAGGCATCGATCTGTGAATAGGGCGTGTTTCTCATATAAAAGACTTACATTGAATTTGACGTTCTTATATGTAACTGATTCAACGTTGAAACCGACAGTTGGAATAGTGGTGACAGATTGGTTGAGTTTAAGCTTGTACAAAATAGCTAAAGGTAGTGCCAATGTTAGTTGGAAATGTCAAATCAGCCGCATGTAATGGAAGTTCTCATCCTTACTTGTTTTACCAGCAGCATCTAATCCAAGCATTAGAATGCGCATTTCCTTGTTACCGAATATCTTTCCTAAGGCCTTTGACACGTTAGCCCCCATAGTGAATGAGTGAAATTAAGAAAAGGGTTTAAGAGAAGATGAGAAGATGATGGAGGAATTTTGTGTCACTTGAAGTAATATAAAAATTGTGCCTGGCTGACTGGTTTGCCAGCCTTTTTTATTTTGCTCGCATATTCGCCTTTTCAGGGAGGACTGTCATTAGACCTCAATTTTTCTTTCTGCTCTCCCCTTCTGTCATGAGTGACGAACAATTACTGCAACGTCTTCAGAATCAAGCTTTGGAAGACCGTCAAGAACCCGAGCGACGAGATAGTATTGAAAGCCAGGACAGTGATGTGGTAAGTGAATGGACAAGGTTTTACCTCCCACTCAGCTGCTGGGTAAACCGGACATGACATGAATCGCTTTGGGAAATGTGGCAGTAATGCTTTATTCTTGTACAGGATAACGAAGAGCACTCTCAGCAGCCTATTCGCACAGAAGGACGTCAGACTGGCCCAAAGGGTGTCCTTGCTGACTACGCGTATCATAAACAACTCAAATCGGAGGCTGATCAAGCACGTCTGAGAGCGTATCATAAACGCATGGTAAATCAGGCTATCACCACTACCTCATACGGCCAAGATCAGCAAGAACTTGTATTAGAGCACATCAACAGCGATGAAGATGATATAGATAATGAGGATGAAAACGCTATTCAGGCTTACAGACAACAACGTCTCAAGGAATTCGCAAGAATAAGTAATCCTGCCGTCCGTCGTCAGCAAAAAGTGTTTGGTCAAGTGGACGATATTGATGCAAATGAATATGCAACCATCATTGATAACGAGTGGAAATCAGTACCCATTGTCATTCATTTGTATGACGAGGTATGTTGATGTCAGCGTTCGCCGGCGGGGAGGTTCATGCATAGGGTTAATAACATCAACAACTTTCCCCCCTTTTACAGAGCATTCCCCATTGTCGTCAAGTGGATGATATATTTGCAGATTTGGCTAGAAAATATGCTATGGCCAGATTTGTTCGTGTATCCGCCCATGACCTTGAATTTGATTTGGTTGGATCTTCCGCTATCCTTGGCTACCGCGGAGGTTTGCTGGTGACCAATTTGGTCCGCCTCGTCGATTATGTCAATTCACGATTTGAGGTCGAGACAGTCGAGGATGTGCTTCTAAAGTATGTTCCACGTTTTCTAAAGAAAGGGGTTCAGGTTATATTTAGATGAGGAGGGTCAATGTTTAAACCATGATCACTACTGACATCCTTTTACGTTTCCTTTAGATACAATGCTGTTACTGAGGATGATATTTATGACGCCCCACCGGCCACCACCCGTCAAAACGCCAGCGATGACGAAGACGACGATATTTAACATACCCCACCCGTTCTGTTATCTTGTAAATACTGTAACTTCTTAGCTTAGCTGCTCTCACGAGGAATTTCCGTCTCTCTCATTTAAGTCTACAAGAAAATATGTCACTGATAAATCTTTTTATTCCATTAATGTGTCTGTTTTTGTCGGCCATGATATGATGCATTAGAATGAAACAAGGGGAGAAAAAAAATAATACAAGAAGTTATTTTTTTTTGTGTTGCTTTTTTTCTGTGTTTGTTTTCTACACGCGACAATGCCTGTCGAAACATTCTGTATTACTGTAGAGAAAACATGAGAGGGAAAGACTGGCTCAGCCCACCCAGAGTAATAAATCCAAAAGATTATTTGACTACACACCGTGCGCCTCCTTGGAGGGCACATCCAATAAAAATGACGACTGTAAAAAGAACCATTACTGAGGCGGTTGTTGTCTAGTTGGAAACGTGCGAAGTCAGAAATGAAAAAACGGTCAAACGTGGAAAAAGGACGAAAAGGCATACTCACTCATGTCGAAGTCTACCCAGCTCTGATCTCAAGGCAGATATCTCTTGACCCATATCATAGTCACGTTGCTTCAAAGTGCCGATAAACTCGACAGCTGGGGGCACGTTAGTCAATGGAGGTGTAAAAAACTTTGTTAGATCTGAACTCTTACCCTTGCTTAAAATCTCCCACTTGCTTTGCTTTAAATTGCGATCCAAAGGAAGGGAATCACGAAGTTCATCAAACAACTCCTTCATCTCCTTCCTTCTCTTTCTTTCTGCAAGCTTGTGACTAACCCGAAGTTCAGGACTACGAGAATAAGGAGTCTCAGGCTTGCCCATTGTACTTCCATAGTCCCGAAGGTGATCTGGTCGTGGAGCCCTAGGGTCGCTGGGTGAAGTGTAGGGTTCTCTTGCGCGATTCAATCCCACCACTGGCAACGATGCTCGTCGGCCCAAGATCGGGCCGCCATTATTACCTTCATCGACGAGTTGACTGGTACGACGATTGGTAGGATAAGGTTGATAGTGATCATTGGGTGGGTATCGCGATTGGAAACCATCTTGCTCCGTTGGACCGGGTGGATAAGGAGCGGAATGCGTGGGTGGAGGGCTCGACGGAGCTGAAAATGGACCTCCTCGCTTGTCTTCTTTGATGGCCGGAAAATGAAACCCTACAATAAAGAAAATGTAAAATACCACATGGGTTATTATTTAGCGGAAATCAAAATACAACACCTATGTCATTCATTACCTGTGAACCGCCTGTTGGGATCAGTCGACGGAGGTTGTGGCAACTCAGAATTGGCAATGGAGTGACGCCTTTGGAAGGGTTCATAGCCGGAAGGTGGTGGGGGAGGGGCAGCGTTCGATTGACGATGAGCATAATGATTGTAGTATGGATCATCGTATGGCTTTGCTTGTGCAAAGGGCGCTGGGGAAGGTGATCGAGAAGGGGCATCGTTGGTAGCAATGGAACCGCGCCGGCTAACATTTCTTGATGTGGGTATAGGTAGGTTGATATCATGCAGTGAAGGGCGATGTTCCGAAGAATGTAACGCTGGGTCTGTGATAGAACCTCTTCGACTATTATAGGTGTACGAAGGAGATTGGTGAGCCGGTTCAAGAGGTGACAGGGTTCTATTACTACTACTAAAATGTTGAGCTTGCGATTCTGGTCGTCCACCTGTGTTTGTAGCAATATTTGGCGTGGCCGTAGGTCTGTTTAAAAACATGCCAGACATGCGGTGATGTAGATATTCATCAGTAGATTGTGAGGGTGGTTGTGAGTATTGATCTGGCATGGGTGAATGGGGATGATGTTTGGCTGGTGGAGAATCCCACTTGCGTTCATCTACGTGCAGAAAAAGGTAATGAGTAACCAGTCCGTGGGCAGTCAATCAAGTTTTGTCGAGTGGGAAAAATAAATAAAATAACAACATGCACATTACCAGTATCAACCACCATATCTGATCGAGACGATGACGATAGCAAATCTCTTGGAGACGGCAGCAGATGTCCAGGCCTGCTATTATCTGTTGCCATTCAAAACTAGATTTAAAAAGGGGATAATCACAACAACAAAGAGAACGAATATATGAAAAAAATGTGTATGAGCTGGATTTCGGAGGGCAACCCCCACAAAAATAAAAAACTTAAGTATTTCTTTGTGCAAAACCCCAGGCTATTTTTATTTTCATGCCCACACTGCGGCACACAATTTGCTAGGTTTACATTGATAAACCCGTAAGAACGCTCGATCATAAGCTACTGCATCGTTTAACCATGCGCCGGGTTTTTGGCAATTCAATAAACCATTTGCTATGTAAAATATCTTTTCTGGCCCAAGGTTGGCCAATGTACCAGGGATTTCTTGTATCCGCGTGGAAGTTCCATCTTTTAGCCGCTGGCTCCATGCTTTGTGTGCGATATGCATACTTGCATGCTGTCTTAAGACCCATGCAAGTGAAGCCATGCTGGTTTCCGACTCTAAGCAATGCCGTCTTGCCGAATATGCATCTTTGGTAATTGAACTCCACCAGCTCTTCATTTGACCCTCGTAATTAAATTGGCTCCCCAGTTCATCACAGGCTTTCTAAAACCACGTTTGAATCAAACACCGTTTTGGACAGGGTTAATACTAGACAGCTACTTAGATTTTTTTTTCGGGCTGGCGAACATGCACAAGTACTTACTATCATCTGCTCAGCTATTTGTACGCCTATTCGGCTATACATAAGGTAATCTGGCTCTGACGATGGGTCCGAGAATACCACTCCTGTTGGAAGATAGATCTGTGGTTGAATCAGCATTTACACAACGACAGGTTGCGGAGATGACTACTCCGCCTCGGCCACCTTCGTTTTCCCCAGATTTATTGCAGCGCTCCTACCTTATTGGTGATTGGCTCGTAGTGAATCAAGGTGTCCTGAGGTGAAATAGGCCATGTGTTCTGGTCGATTGTTCGGTTCAACAACGCCATTTTGCTCATGTACTCCCATTGTCGTGCTCTGATAGCGTTCTCCAAATAGTTATTGGTAACGATGAGGTCTTGGTAGTATGTATGCCAACTTGTGTTCGGCGACATGGTTTGATTCCTGGCATAGGGATTGCCGACCTCCAAATTTAGGGATTCTAGCTAAATGGATGAGCCGAGCTTGTGAGCTAGAACACTACAAATGATTTCCTTTTATTAAAACTTACCTTTCGAATCGCATACCCGATCGTCGGTCGATCCATCCAACCAATTTTTGACAAAGATAGCGCAAATGTTACCTTGATATCATGGAAAATGCTTTGTAACAATTCATTCAGCTGCTCATCTACACTTGGGAAGTGGGAGCCAATCAAACTGCTAAACAGGGAGGCGGTTTGAGTTTCACACAAATTGTTTTCTTCAAACACGATATCTCCATGGATGTTTCTGATCGCAAATCGTGCTTCCATGGGCATTTCGTTCGCAAAAGTCAGCAGAACATGCCACGTGAGATAACTATGGATGACTGCTCTTTTCTCGACAAGAAGGATTTCTTCCAGCTTTTGCAGATATTCGGGGGTTCCTAAGCTGACGTATTCCGGACTGTTGTTGATTGCTACACCAAAATACTTTTGCCAATCCATGGAAGGAACCAACGAATTGATGTCTTCAATTGGTCGAGGCAATGCAGTCGCTTTGCTGAGGTAGAGCTGTTCTGGAGCTTCGCTCACATTGGCTAACCTACTTTCTATGCCAACAAGTTGATCTGCCCATACAGCAAGATCTATGCCTTGACCAACATGTACCCCGTATGCTGAAAGGATCGATAGAGTCTTCATGACATTATGGCGAAAATCGTTAACTGAGTCATTTGATTGATAACTTGCTATAGATGGGAGAGTAACGCCCGCTTGTTGGATGCTTAAAATATAGTTTGAAGCATTTTGGACATTCTAACCATGGTGTGCCATATCAGAAGTCATATAACAGCTTTCATTGTTCAATTGCGTTGTAGATTGCCTTACCTGAACAACCTCCAGCCGAAAGAATGGAAAGATGTCATGTGTGGCCAGATATCCCAAAGCCTCAGCTAGATCGGAACTCTGGTGCCTAGGACTCGTTATGTTATAGATGCTATCCAGCTGATACAGCACAGAATTTAAGCTGGTCAAGTTGGATACGTTGCGATGAATACATGAATCATAAAACTGGTCCAATTTATTGAACTGCTGGTTGACTTCGGCCGACATGTTGATTTTCCTTCTGAAAGGATCCAGTATATTCAGTCTGATATACTCCAGTACACGATGCTCGTTTGAAAACTGGCCAGTAGTGACTTCATTCCCACCTGTTTTGTTGGTACATAATTAGCGTAAGGTTCAGTGAATTTCTATCATCTACAGACCCCTATTGCATAATAGACTCTTACAAGTGTAGGCATGGAAGTCATCACAGGGGTTGACTGTGGTATTGACGGACTAATGCGAAAATGATGTCAGCAGCTATCCCTTTGTTCATTACTTTCACCACCCAAGATACACCACCTGAATTATATGAGCTGCTGTGCTGATGCAGTGGTCGTCAGAACACAATGACTAAAAAAACCCATATTTTTTGGCTGTTAGTTGACCAGGTCGAGATTGGCGGCGCATTGTTACACCAAGCTCCTCATAACAAGCCGCATACTCACTTTGTCGAGTGTGCTCATATCCATACTGCTGCCGTGATGGTGGCCACCACCTTGCACTTGAAACAGATAGGCAAACAGACACATTCCAATGAACAGGAAAAAGCAGGCAAAGGCCAGTAGTTTTTCCCGAACTGTAAACTTATCGCCGTATGTAGGAAATTGCTGCTCTGGTATATCGACTTCATCATTGGAATCAGATAATAGTGGCTGGCGCTGCGTGTTTTCGTTCTGCATGTCCATTACGATAGAAGAGAAACGAGGTGTGAGTAGAAAGACAAAAACCAAGAAAAAAAGGACCGAGTATGTTTGTAGCTAATATATAAAAATGGACAGCGCTGTGGCGATCTTTCCCTATTCGCGACCCCATCAGCAAAGCCATATCATTTTATTGTGCGTTCCACTCCTCAACGAAATTATCCAATTCCTCGGGCAGTTCAACTCCAGTTTGCTCCTTGAATTCGGACAAAAGAGTAACAGCTTCTTGATATTTCTTCTGCTGCTCCTCCTCATCTATCGTCACATTGGCCAGGTTGATCAATGCTTCAGCTAGGTTGATGGTATTATCTCCCTTGACTTCCAAGTCGATCTCCGGTACAGACAACACTCGTTTGTAATAGTCAATACCTGATTGACAAATGTGTTAAACACCCGTGGCAATACACCCAAATTCTGCATCAGTCTTACCCTTCTTCAGTTGCTCAGCCGCCTTGGTTTCTTCTTCCTTCAATTCAGTCTTGGTGTCAGATTCCTCTTCATCCAAAGTGTCAACTTTACCCAACCAATAGTTGGCCAAAGTAAGATGACAATTGCCCATACCAGACAAGGCCACGACATTCTCTTCATCGTCTAATATAGATGGTATTATCAGTGAGATAGCCCCAAGCAATCGGGACATGGCAATGTTGCTACGTACCCTTGAGAAGCTTCGTATACTGCTGTTGAGCCCAGTCATTTAGAGGTTGCATGTTTTGCAATGCATCCTGGAAATCTGCATTTGTCTGTGCAATATTGATAGCCTCCAAAATATCATCGTCGGAAAGTAGTCCGGATGACACTGCTTGTTTGAGATGATCAAGTCCCTTCAATATGCTGCTGTTAACCTCTTTGGCATTTTCATCCGCTTCGCGTGCCTAAAGATATATGTGGTTCAGTTGAAGAAAAAAACGAGCTTCTGAATGAATTTTTTTCTTTCTTTCTAGACTTACGTTGCTAAGAATCAATTTAGCCATTGCTATTCGCAATTTGCTTTCTGTTTTCTTATCTGATTCTTCGAGAGTACCGACTTCTTTCAAGGTGTCAAATCCAACTTCCAGTCTCTCCTTCGCAGCGTTCAAGAACGAATCAAGCTCTTTGTTGTCTAACATTGTGCCGAGATCGTATAAAGCAGAGCCGTATGTGAGATGGAACGAAGCGGGGATTTGTTCCTCGGCCTCCCAGTTGCGTAGGATTCTGTCGCATTCATGAATAGTGCCTCTCAGAAGAGGTAACACAACATCTGTTGATTCACCCATGGCTACATAAAGTTCAGGTTGGTATGGGATCATCAAGGTTCATGAAAAGCATTTGTGCCAGTCGATAGCAGTTAGCTTGCTCACATACCTGATTTTTCTTTGGCACTTTCATACAGAGCGGTGACTTCTCCCAGTTCATCGCCTTCCTCTACCTCCTTGTCCAAAATGACCGTCTGCGTCTTATCCTCCTCACCCTCAATTTTAGACTTCTTTGCTGCTTTCTGAGCGGCTACTCCTTTCAAGCCTCTAGGGCGCTTTTTGTCTGCAGGTGCCATGGTATGGTTGAAGGATGGAAATTTTCAAAAGTTTTTGTGACAGCATATTTTAAACGTCTTGGAAGTTGCAAAAAACGCTCGAGACGTCATCAAAAGTCAGTGAAGTGCTTGAGACCAAAGTAGGATAGGAACCAAAAGAGTTGAATTTCACTGCTTTGGGATCAACTGAGCATGCTATCAGTTTGTATACCTTTCGTTAAAGGAATCTGTTGGTACGGGCTCGATCGGGAGATGCTGGGTTCATTTAGTTGCTTGCCTTGTCACCGAAGGCTTTTTCTGCAATGAGCATAGCACGGCTAGTCAGTAACCTGTTCACAGCACTCGTTATTCCACTATGGGAGTGCTTGTAGGCGAACTCATTGCCATAGGGATTAGTATGGAGTTTCAAGGTGATCGCTGGGGTTTTGTACGGGTTGGGTTGCAAAACCCCACAGCGTCTGAGCCCCAAAGGCGGAACAGCGGCTGTCACAAATTGCAGCTCTCCACCATTTTGTCAGGACCGAACTGCTAAGAAAAAAAAAAAAAAAAAAACGTCAAAATAAGAATCAGCAGCATTCAAATCTTCAACACCTTTCATCGTTTCTTCTCATATTGCGCTACTTCCGCTTTGGTTTACGTTTTTACCATCATCACCGGCCATCCATGAACGTTCTAGTATACACAGGGGATGGCACTTCCCCTAATTCCGTCTCTCACACTGTGTCTACCCTGAAGTCGCTATTGGGTCACTCCTACGATATCATCAAAGTCGATGCACAGGCCCTCGACAAAGAACCGTGGGAAGCTACTTGCTCTATGCTTGTCATGCCAGGTGGTCGAGATCTTCCATACTGCCATGATCTGAATGGCCCTGTCAATGCACGCATTCGCCACTATGTATCGGAAGGTGGTCGTTACTGGGGCATTTGTGCAGGTGCTTATTATGGTTGTCAAGAAATTGAATTTGAAAAAGGCAGAAACGCAATGGAAGTCATCGGCAAGCGCGAACTGGCTTTCTTTCCTGGTTTGTCTCGAGGCACCATGTATCCAGGGTTTATTTACAATAGCGAACGAGGCGCTCGTGCCACAAAGCTGTCAATTGACAGAAATAAGCTGATGAACCTGTACGCAAACAACGACGCCGTACCATCTGAAATCGACACTTATTACAATGGTGGTGGTTACTTCGTCAATGCCGATCAATACGAATCCGTTGAAGTGTTGGCGCGCTACACTGAGAAAGGAATCTGCCAAGACGAGGAATACCCTGCAGCTGTTGTTCACTGTCGGGTGGGTAAAGGCAGCGCCATCCTGGTTGGTACTCACCCAGAATACGACGTGGCCAGGATGAAAGACAACTTTGACGATTATGAAGGTACTGATATGATCCAAAATCTGATGTTGGCCGATCCGTCGAGAAAACAGTTCCTGAGAGCTTTGTTCGCCCGTGTTGGACTCAACGTCGTTGGCTATACGAAACCCGTTCAGGAGGATGCCAAACCTCAGCTACAGGAAAATCACGTTCCTGCTTTGACTCCGCTGTACCTATCGGGCTTTCGACTTTCACAATACGAAGAGGTTGTTGCAAAACTGAGGTCCACCGCGGACGCGTCTTTCCACCTTCGTGATGTCAATGATACCTTTTGCATCAAGTCACTGCCTAATGAACCAGCCGTCGATTTGGGTACCCTTAACTTGAATGAAACGGATGATGAACCACAAGAAAAAAAAATCAAAGATATTCTTGTAATAGATAAGCCAAGTATAGAACCTGTATGTCCACCTGGGTACCTCACCAAGTACTTCAATATTGCCAACTTTTATGAACATCTCAAGAAACACCGATCTCAACAGTGGGGAGGTGGTGGTTGGTTCTCATATGGCAACACCATGCTTTATGGAGAGGTAGTGACCAGCACGCAAACAATGCTAGACAAGTAAGTAATGCTTTTTTTCTTGCTGGGCAGAAAGTTGGTTAATGGTCTCGCTGGGGGCACAGGCTAAAGTTCTCCCTCTACCTACCTGCAGAAATTTTAAATTCAGCCAAATATTACCCTCGGGTTTGGTGTGCCTGGCAACTAACCAGGTAGCAGGACGTGGTCGAGGACGTAACGCTTGGGTATCTCAATCTGGAGCTGTTCAGTTCTCCATGGTGATGCATCACTCCATTACGCTCTCCAATGCCCCCGTTGTGTTCATCCAATACCTGGTGGCCTTGGCGGTAGTTGAAAGTATCCGCACTCGCAAGGGGTACGAAAATGTACCATTGAGACTCAAGTGGCCCAATGATATTTATGCGCAGGTTCAAGAGAAAAGTGAGAGAGGTGAACCCACGACGGTACTCAAGAAAGTCGGTGGATTGCTGGTCAATTCTAGTTTCTTGAAAAACGAGTTTTTGCTTGTTGTTGGTGAGTACTTTTTCCACTAAAGCAAGCAGCACCTATCAAACAAACCAACCCCATTCATACTATTATCTACAGGCTGCGGAATCAACCTGAACAACCCATTCCCGACCACTTCCATCAATGATGTAATACATGCCCATGATGCATCCTTACCCAAGTTAACTCCAGAAGATACCCTAGCTGGCATCCTTGTCACGTTTGAAGAAATGTACAATACGTTCTGTGACAAGGGCATGGGATCATGGTTTTTGAACAAGTATTATGAGCGATGGCTGCATAGGTAAATAACCATATTGAAAATATGCTGTGCAAGGGAAACCGAGTTTTAACCTGTATTCTTTCTTGGCAGTAATGCAATCGTAACCTTAACTACGCATGATATGGAACAAGTCAAGATTACGGGCATTACTACCGACTATGGGCTTCTTGAAACTGTGAGCACTAGTAACCCTAGCAAGCGGTTTACGCTTCAACCCGATGGAAATAGTTTTGATATGCTGAAGGGATTAATTGTACGCAAAGAGTAGACTTTTTTAAAATAGATACTGTGAATACAACGAATTGGCCGCACAATGGAAGGATGGGACGTTTCGTGCGGGTGGCTTGGATAAGAGTCAGCCAATTCAAAGTTAAATTTCAGCGGGGGTCCGACAATTTGGTTAAAATTGAGGACACGCAATAAGACACTTGACAGCGTGAAACAACAACCACTTTTTTTGTGGGAGTGTTTTATTATCCCCAGCTTCTTCAGTTCATCAACCTCTGATTTCACTACCTTTTGGTTTGTAGTTTGGAAAGCTTCATTCCTTAAAAAGAAGGCATGACCTGCCAACCTGTCAAAACTGTCGGCCTGATCTTCAGTAAGAAGAAGATTCAACGGTCTGGATTCGTAGGCCTTCCGGAATATGCCAGGTACAGCCCCCCTTATCGAGAACTACCTTGGTGTTATATACTTCATATTCCTAACGCTATTACAGTCAACATGGGCTTCGCATCGTTCACGTCGACTTGGATGACCCCATGGCCATGAAAATCAACTTTGACTTGATCGTTCACAAGCTGACCGATCTGATCGCAGCAGCCACAAAAGGACAAGTGGACGCCAAACGACAACTTGATAATTTCGAACAATACACAAAATCACATCCAAAAACCATTATCTTGGATCCTTTAGTACATGTCGATCAACTGATGGACCGGCGAAATACCTTTGAGGTCCTCAAGGCTTGTCTGACTGCTCATACACACGACCATCCTGATGCCACTGAGCCTCTGTTCTACTTACCAAACCACATTTGCCTTCCAAACATTCATGCAACATTTTCCACACAAAATCTCCCTTTTCCTGTAAGTGTCTGCCACCATCCTAGAGCAACTCAACCCTCAGTAACCAATGATGTTATTTCCCCCCCCCCTTATTAGATATTATGTAAACGGGTGTCGGCTTGCTCATCAGAGGAGGCCCATAAAATGACGCTTGTTCCAAACCCTCAACATATACATCTGCTTGGACCGTATTACGACAAGAACGAGCCAGTGATATTTCAAGAATTCATACAACATGACGGTGTCATCTTCAAAGTTTACGTTGTGGATGGCACTTCATTTGTTCAGGTTCGGCCATCTTTCAAAAATGTAACGTTAGAAGGTAAGTCGTCTGACCGAATTTAGCCAGCGAGTGATAAAGCAATAAGCTAACCTGACCTTAGATGACCTTTTACATTTCGACAGCCAGATTGTGCCAAAAGCGTTTGAACAAGATACCCCACTTAATAGTAATCAGCAAAATGGCACTCATCATCAGCACGACTCGATTTTGCAAGCGTTTTTGACTAGAGATACGAACAACATGCGCATTCAAAAGGAAGCCGTTTTCGATCACCGAAAAATTGAGTTGATTACTCAAAGATTGTTTGAGCAATTGGTACGACATTGGGTGTATTTTTTGTTGACGCGTGGCATGGAAGAGCAGGGACCTTGTTCTGCTATCGTGGTGTGATCCTTGGGAAAAAGGGCTAAACTATATGTATTTCGGTTACTAATCCTTTCTACTCAACTCTTACATCATAGGAATTGACATTTTTTGGATACGATATTTTGGTCGAAACCGGTCCCAAGCATCGACATTTTGTTGTAGATGTCAATTACTTTCCCAGTGAGTCACTCGTTTACTTGTTTTTCCGTCGTGCCTCTACTTCCCCACTGAACTATTTCCACTGCACGCAAACAGGTTTTAACAACATACCCGATTTCCGTGAGAGATTTGTAGACATTATACTGAGCAGGCTCAAGAACGTGGAATGAACGCTTTAGTAGTCATTTCCGTATTACACCCTTTTACATAAAGCAACTTGCTATACTTGAAACTGTACTCGTTCTTTCCGCAATGTGGAGACGCGCGCTGCGATATTGGGCAGCGTGCCTTTTTTTTTTTTTTGGTCCCACGGACGACTATACACAAGAGTAGCTTCTTTTTTTATATGGATTTAGAAGGGAGGAAGGAAGGAAAATCAAGAAAGACTAAGCAAAGAAACACGTTGCATCAAATGGCAAGCAGATACATATGTCAACATTTGCGAAAACCAAAACATAACACTATGGTACAGTGGCCAACGATAACAAAAGGCATAATGGAAGCGAGTGGTAACAAGGAAGAAAGGCATATAGGAAGGAAACATAAAAAGTCATGAGAAAAACATCTAGCAAGAAGTAATGGGAATGATATAGTTGATAGGTAGGAGTGATTTGGTTTTGTTGGTCAAGAGGATATTTCGAAAAAGCGGCTATCACTCGCTGTGAGTCGCATCCGTGTGATCCGAAGGCTTAGTAGTGGATGAAGGTACGCTGAGGGACATGGTGCTAGGGCCAGAAGCGGTATTAATTACAGTAGCATTGGCACTGCGTCTCAATCTATCGAGTTCTCGTCGCAAATTATCGTTTTCGCGATGGAGAGACTCATTATCTCGCAATATAGCCTGCATCTTTTGTTGCAGTTGATCCTAAAAAATCCATGTCAGTAACACATCAACATGCATGTATAGGGCAGGCCACGTATCGCTTACCATGCCGAATAAAACATCCGTGGAACTGGATAAAGGCTTGGGTTCCATGGGTTCCATAATGGGAAAGGGTGCTCGTCGAGATTCGGAGCCGGCGCGGCTTCTTGAAATGTTGGGATTGGAAGGCCCTCCTCCCATACCACCATACAAATCAGTCAGAATCATACGTTGTGTTTCGTTCTGTTTTAACAAGGCCTCCAGATGGGAGGTAAGGATATGTGCAGATGCTTGTTCGGTTAAACGTGGAGCTTGTCCACGAGATAAGGATGATGAAGGCGAAGTGGAGGGCGACACAGATACGGATGAATGAGCAGACTCATGGTATTGGGTATCAATTTTGTCTGGACGTTCGGTATGTGGTAAGGAAGTCGACGAAAGAGGTGTAGAAGATCCACCCGTCAGTTCAAAACGTCCCTTCTTTCGGCATTCTAATGGAACGCTGGCCGTAGACGATGCTGTATCGGATGTATGCCCTTCTCGATCTTTGCTATTATCTCGAGACGTTGCCCGCCCAATCTCCCGTGTAGGTTCGACAGAGAACCGACTGATTTTACCGGACGGGCTGTCTCTATGTATAGAATGTTGGGATGTTGAGTTTTCTCTCGACAATGGAATGGTCTCGAAACGCACTTGTTGGGGAGAAGTGCCAGCTGGTGGTTGCTGCTGCTGTTGCTGTTGCTGGTTATGCTGAATCTCAAATCTGGATTTTCGGTCTTTCGGTTCTGCTAGATGATTAGAAAAGGCAAAAAGGAACATAGAGAAGCTCTGTGCCACACTCACCTAAATTGTCTTGGCTGCCAGAACGACTGATGGTCCTATCCGTATCTGAATTGACATCATTGGTGGGCGTGCCTGCTCGATGCGTTTGGTTGACACTGAAGCGCCCCTTCTTGACTTCAGTCTCAGACGGCTGTGTCGGTGCATTGGACGCAGCTGTGTTTGGCGACGCACTTGAACCGGAAGTCATTCCAAGGCCAACCAGCATTTGATGACTACTGCTTGCGCTGCTTCCAGCGCTATACATGCCACTGGGTTCTTTCGGATCCGGCGAGGCTGACGAAGGCGACTGACTCATTTGGATACCAAAAGGCGAAGCCGGGTTGTACTCTGAATTCGAATCTTCAATGACAAACCGTGACTTTCGAGGAGCAATGGCGGTTGGGATCACCAATTCTGGATTTTGAGTGGAAATGGTGGTTACGTGGTGGCTAGAAGGACTGGGGGCTGGGGAAGGACTTTTGACAACAGCGTCGCCGAACGAAATGTGCTTCTTGCCGCCACCAGCGGAAGCAGGAGTGCTTGATTGAGACGGATGACTTTGATCAACGGCGAATGTGACCGACGATGTTGGTGGATTGGCTTTCTCAGTTTCTTCGCTGGTTGCAGATTCTTCTGTTTCGTTCTCCTCGCCATCAAAGTCCCACTGGGTTGTTCTCGAGATGGAATGATGCTTCTGAGGCACCTTTCGATGTGGTCTCTGGTCAAGTGGCGGAAGTGATGCAAGCAATGTTTTGACCAGATAATCTTTCTTTTTGGCCTGCTTAAAAAAGGAATGTTGCAAGAGTTTTTCCGCACTTGGTCTTTTTTAACAGCGAAAAGAATGTTAGTTTCATTCCAACTACTCTATAGCAGATTCGTACTTTTTTTTTTACCTCTTGGCTGGATCTTTGTTCAAACATAAATCAATCATTTCTTTGAATTGCTTTGAATACTTGCGCTTGGCATGCTCTCGAATAAGTGTCGGTGGGTCGTTCGATAATGTCATCATTAACACCTGCGGAAGGAGAACGTTGAGTATCGCCGCGAGATTTTTTTGGATCACCGCCAATCAAAAATGAGCGGGACAGGAGGAGTTTCTTACCTTCATTGGCGGGAATTTGGCAAACGGTGCATGACCAGTAGCAAGCTCAATGGCGGTAATGCCAAAACTCCAGATATCTGCTTTATAATCATATCCTGCCTGCTCCATAACCTCGGGAGCCATCCAGCACGGCTAGAAGAAATAAACAGAAGGTGGATTTTTAGTAAAACGCATCCAGGAAGTTAAGTGAAAAAACCCCCATCATGGAATGGCCCACGCCAGTCAGGGTGAATAATAAGCTTTTTGTTCCCCCAATTACAATTTTTAATGAGCGTAATTACCCTCCTACATAACGTGTATGAGGGGTGCCAGTCCGTGCAAAATAAAATGCTTACCGTGCCAACAAAGGTCTTTCGAAGACCACTTTCGCCGTTCTCGACCAGCGAGCTGGATACACCAAAGTCTGCAAGTAGAACGGAGCCATCGTCGTCCATTAAGAGGTTACCAGCCTTCACATCGCGATGAATATGGCCATTCTTGTGTAAGTATATAAGGCCCTCAAGAGCTTGTTTAAGAACGGTGGCAATGCTGACTTCATCGAAACCTTCGGGAAAGGCCGTCTTCATAATATCCAAACAGGAGCCTCCAGAAAGGTAAGGTGTGACTATGTACAGTTTTGAACCATTGACAAACGAACCATAGACACGAAGGACATTAGGGTGTTTTGATAATGCCATGAGAGCTGTTTCACGCTGCGAAAAGAAAAAATAAACAAGGCCATGAGTGAAAAAAGTTTTGCATGTAAACAACAAAAAGGATCGGTACTTTACCCGAAGTTCATCAATCTGATTTCGTTCAAACAAATCAAGGTCGATAATCTTGATGGCTATTCTTTTGTTAAATGGTTTATAAATGGCGCTATACACCACAGCAGAAGATCCATATCCTAGGTTGAGAAAAGTATCAGCATCTCGCCACTTACGTACTGTTGTTATAAAAAACACCCGCTGCCCACCACTTACCGATAGGTTTACGGATTTCAAAGTCTTCAACGCGGTTGGACCATGACCCATCACTGAGCTGATGAAAATTAGCAGCAAGGGAACTGGTCATGGGAGAGCTCATACCGCCTTGACCGTTTTCATGAAGATGCATATTGCTAGGAAGCTTTGCCAAATTGAGTGTGTCTGACATGCTGAATGTACGTTTGCTGTGGTGAGGGTTGTGAGCAGGACTTTTGACTTGGGTAGCAGAGCGATTCAGCCGTGTATGATTAGCAGAAATGCCAGAACTCGAAGTGGCAGACATTGGGGAAGATCCAGACACAGGGCTAGTGGTAGAGGGAGGTTCTTCACCACTCGGACTGACCGAGATCGCGGAATGGTTCGAAGATGTTCTTGATATGGTCGGGAAATTAGAACTCATGGTACTTTCTAAGATATGAGTGGTTTATCTTGGCTATCTTCTCTTCTTGAATAAAATGCTGATTTCTCATGTAATCGTGCGCCCGAATAGCAATTTTTAGGTAAAAAAGCTCCAATGAATACCGGTAAAGTTAGTGCCAGTCAGCTGGCTGGAAGAAAAAATAAATGGATCAAATCAGCCTGGCAGGAGTCACGTGGATCGCGTATTTTTTTTCCTACTTCATGGAGGATAAGCAAGTCCGGCGGTTGCTTGGTGGTACTCTCATTAAAACGAATGGTGTACAAAATATTCTCAGTTTCTATTTGGTCCAACACTCTTTGTGCTCTCGTACAAGCTCCTGCGTAGTGGAGGCCAACTCCCCATGGCCCGGTCGCTGTACAACGGCAAAACTGGACTATATCATATCCGGCATGCAGCACGTAACCGGACGGAGAACATAATGTTGCACAGAGGGGTGGATTTATTATATACATGATGGTTTAGAGAACTTCTTGTGGTGACTATGGTAAAGCAGCAGTGATAATGTTAAATGATAATTCCCATGGATGAGAGTGTTGTACAATGGGTGTGATGTGGTGGGTTTAACGACTGCAAGTGTATGAGCGTCGGCATCGCGGAATCATGGATTTCGATGACTGAGCCTGGGCATCCTGCAAGGGTGTTCGGTTCTCATTATTCGACATTTCTTTGCTCATAATGAATTTGTGAAGAACGCGTGATGGCGAGCGGGGGTATGCGGAGGAGGATGATAGATGGGTGGATATTATATCCTGATCATTTAGTCGAGTGCCTGTCTGTTGATGGTGTATGTTCTCGGTGAAATGGAAGATAGGCTTATCACCATGGGCCTCGGCTTCTTCATTGTACACCCAATTCGGAAATAATCCGGCTTGAATGTTGAGGCTGGAAATGCTTGTTTTGGATTGTAGAACAAGCCTGTTTTGATGGTCATAGACAGGAACATTTCTATTTGGTGCCCGGTTATAGAAAGATTGCTTTCCGTCAGGGACTATAGGCACAAAGATGTTGGCAAGAGCAATCATACTATGGCCTATCTCAACTTCCTGGCCGTAGCTGTCCTCAATACAGATCGAAATACGCATTCTTCCTTGACTATTAAGCCAGTTCAAAATGTCATGTCGGTCACCTCGAACTTGGAAATGCATTTGTGCGTTTCCAACTGCTGCCCCCTCATGAATATTGATTCTACAACGCTCTCCAAATAATCGATACTGGAAATATGACTTGGATGCTTCCTTGCCATTAGCTGCATTTGTCTTGGACAACGGTATCGTGCAGTTGGTGGAGACGAGATTGAAATATAGTGTATGCAGGTCCCGGCCGTTTCCTATTTGGTGATAGGTAGGTTGAATAGATGAGGCGGCCGAAGATTTAGATATGGTGGAGAAGTCACCAGTTATATGCGATAAAAGAGAATCTTCAGAATGGTCGGCGCTGTACACTGTTTCTGTACTTTCGGTTGCGTCCATAATTGAAGTGTCATTCGCACCACTTTGGAGTATTTGTGGATGAATTGTATGCATGTTTTGTAAATTCGATTCAAGTTTTTCTGGCATATCAACAACAAATAATCCACATTGTAGTTCTAAATTGCACTTTTTCAAAACTGGGATATATGGAGCACCCTGTTCAAGGTACTGCTGCACCTCACTAGCGTCCCCAGTGTCTTGTAAATATTTTGCATCGCGCAACGACATATCGAAAATAGGACAATGTCGATCTGTTGGTGTCGTTGGACAGATTTTTAGATGCAGTGTAGCATCTTGCTTGACGAGGTAATTGAGTAACTTTGCGGATAAACAATAAGTTAACGTCGTACTCCAATTTGACTTGAGAGAATTTTTGTTAAGTTGTGATTTTATCAAGGTACTCGGTGGTAGTAAGTCATTAACCGAAGAGGGTAGTTTGAGATCGATTTCGCATTCTATAAAAAAGGTGCTGGAAGGTACCAAAGGCAATTTTGAACCTTGAAAAAAAATTAGTGCACGTTGTGTATATGCAGTTGGCTACCTCAGTGACTTATCACATACCACTTCTGATGACGATGACGATAGCATGTTGGCAGGTCTTCGTCAGTACTATGGACATCAAAAATTTAAAATGGTAGCAAGAAGGAATAAGCAAGAAAAGAGAAAAGCATTTGATTAAATACAAGTATTTTCTGGTTGTAAGCGTTGCAAAGTCAAGTAGCTTGGTTTGCAATCGTTGCGAAATATAACTAAAGAAAGCAGGTATCGTTTCACATGAGGGCATATTTACTAAATGAAAAGACGTAAAAACAAACGACATCCAAAAAGTATTCGACTGGCCGCCTCCTTAGTCACCAAATTTACTGCGAATGATGCTGTACCATAGCATCCGCATCAATTTGTTTATTTACATTCTTCAAAGCTTGACTGATCTCTCAACGCTGTTGTCAATATAACACCTTCCGCTTGGAACCAATGATTGCAAAGCTTCATATCTGATGATGATGATATTCTCGTGTTTGCTGTTGTTGACTTTGAATGGTGTTGTCAATATTACGATTTAACTTGACATATGTAAAATTTAATGCTAAGGACTATATTAAATATTCAGTACCATGGTAAGTTGATTATGCCCAGCCAGGGGTTTGCCTGATGCTCAAAAATAACGCTGCCTACCGCTGGAGACGCACGATGTAGCCAGTTGATGTTTCAGCCATATGATGTATGTCTCCTATTGCCACCAGTCTCCTTCGCAGTTCATACTGAAAGACACCTGACAAATTTACCAAGTCACTCATACGCAAAAGTTTGTTATTTTTTCATATTGGGAAAAATAGTGAGCGGATATCGACAAATATGATTGCTAACACCGATACAACTAAAAAAATGTAGTAAAGGTATTCTAATATTTTCATCTATAAGAATTGTAGATGTATGCAGAAGTGATTCACGATTGAGTTTGTTAATATAATAATAAAACAAAGCGTTGTATGGAAATGGTTAACTAAATGACCAATTCCTCTATAAAGTACACTATATAAATTTATCAAGGATATGCAAAACTACTTCCTCTTATTGCCACTCGCAAGTCCTGTGACAAGCAATGAACCTCGGCTCATTGTATCGACTTTCCATCCTTCCCGGGTCAACAAGCCCATGACAGCCGGATATAGTCGAGACTGTCCGTGGTCAGAATGCTTGCCAATACCAGTGACAATACTTAATGGCTTGATTTTGGTTCTTCCTGCTCGCATGGTACTCCTAGACCACCATTGATTGACTCCCTCTTTGACGAGTTCAACGGCCTCAGCAACTGTCAGACCATGGAGATCCAACAAATGGTCATCATTTTGCCTAATTCTGTCGGGTAGGAAAATACGCATTTAATAAGAGCCGATATGTCATGCATGACTACTGGATACAGCATACCTATGTTGGCGGATAATGGCTCTGGCTGCTCTCATATTCCATTCCTTTGCCGCCACGTCCATTTTGCGACCCTGAACAATTATAAATTGATGTGTGAACACAGTGGAGAACAGACCCGTGTTTATCAGATATATCACTTACTTCGTCTGAATAATAATAAGCGATACCGCCTTCGCCGTTTGTCTTTCCTTTAGCTCGCCGATAAGCATCAGCAGCTTTCCGGTAAACCTCGTTACGTTGAAGAACAAGACTGAATGCGATATCTCGACATTCCTCCGGATCGTCCTCAATATACTCCTCTGTATTGTCGATTAACAGGTATTCTGGAATGGCTCGGATCTCCTTTGCAGCTTCTGCTGCTCTCAACTTCGCTTCAACACGGTCATTGGCTAACATTGGGAACGCTTCCGACACAATTTCCCCTGTAAGTGGATCGAATTTGATCTCCTTCTTGTCATATAATGCAAGTTCCTGCAGTCGCTCTTCAATCATGATCTGCTCCTTCTCACGATCGCGTTCTCGACTCAGAATCAAATCGACCGCCATTTGAACAACTTCACCTTGGTCGTGGATGTTCAATATTTTTCCTTGCAACGTAGCGCCTACGACAAGCCTTCTGATTTCGTTCTCATCTCTTCCAGGCAACAACAGTTTGGCTTGATCTATAGCGCTATGAACCTTTCGAAGCTCTTCCCAATTCTGATTTGTCAAGAGCAAAGGTGATGTGTTGGTCAATCTCGAGAGCTGATCGACGCATTCTAGTAGATTCCCTTGAAAGCGTTTCACAGTGGTGTTAATGACGGTCTTACTAAGACGCGGGAAGAGGTGACTCAATTCCGAAACTTCTTTCTCGTACTCCAACCAGCGATTGGGTTCCAAAGGGGCCAGTGTCAACGGCTGGGGGTAGGTGCCATTGCGAATAGAAGCAGCGTTCAGACCACCTGAGTCCCATATCACAGTCTTCTTGTTTTTTTGACCCTGAGTCTTACGAATTTGACGTGGTTGCTTTTGCGAATTTTGACCATTGTTGTCCGCAAGCATTTCGTCTAGGTTGTTCAAAAATCGGCCTGATACATTATCTGCCTTAGTATCAACTTCGTCACTTGATACCTCCTCCTCCTTCAAAAACATATCATTGAGTATAATATCGGTAGCGGATTGCAAGTCTCCATCTTGTTCTTGTAGAGCTATCTCCAATTCCTCCTGTGGTATGTCTGGGAAACACCTCATGAGAAAATCTATTTTAGGTAGTTCATCTTCTGCCTCGCTAGGCTGCGGTATGGAAGTAGAGTTGTCGTCATTTGCAGGCACATATTCGGGTATATCCAGCGACTTCGTAGTAGTAGGCTGTGATTCTGCAATGTCGTCTTCTACCGCTGGAGCGTCTTTTGCGAGCATGGATAATATTTCAAAACTGGATGCATAGTTTTTGGTATCGTTCCATATGGCGGCAATAAGAGAGGCGTCAAGGGGTGGACAAAATATAGTCTTTTATTTGGTGTGAGTCTGACGTATAGATCAAACGAATTAGAACCAGCTGGGAATGCTCATAGTCACCTCTAGTTTTTTCCAATCGTTTGCTGAAATGTCAGAGTTCTTTCCTCTTTCATTCGGTTTCCGTTTTGCAGCTGTAAACTGCTTGTCTTGCAATCTACCCATTTCAGTGGATTATAAATAAAATGGAAGGTGGATTGGGGGAATAAGCTGCTATTAAACGGCCGAAACGGATTTTTTACGAAATTTATTTTGTGGCAATGATCTATGCTGACTCTGGCTGTTCCACTTCCTCTTCACCTTCTTCCTTAGGTGGTTCTCCAACAGTAAAGCGCTCGAGCAATTCAGGCTTGGTAGCCTGGTCACCATGTGGCATGAACTCGACAGTAGCTTCCTCTAATTCCAAAACCTCCTTGATCTCTTTGCTGTTAAATAGAGATAATTCAGAAAAACCAAGTCGATAAAATTCGAAATGAAAAATTGGCAAAATGCACCTACCCAAGAGCTTCAGCAAGGTCTCTATTGTTGGCAGACTTGGTCCACAGAGCCAGTCTGAAGAAGGACTTTCTGACGGACAATACAACACCACAGATCTCATGCTCAAGCTTGAATTGCTCTCCAATGCATGCAAGGATCTACATAACAAGAAATCCAGGGTTAGGTTGAAATTGGACGAAAGATCAAACATAATATGAAAAGAAAAACATACGGCATTGAGCCAGAGCTGGTTGACAGCCTCACCCATTTGCTTGGTTCGTTGGAATTGAACACTGAATTTGCCTCCGTTTTCATTAATGGGATCTTCCCACTCTGGTCGGATACCCTTCTTAAACACGAAGCAGTTGGAGCCAACATCCAAACGAGTTACTTTGGTGATATTACTCCAGGAGCTGTCAAGGACAAAAAACAGTCAATACACAATGTATGTTGAAAATGACGTTATCATAATAACGATTTCGCTACCTCCAAAAGTCTTCAACAGTGCTGAATGAGAAGACTTCCTTCAGATTCTGGGCCCAGTTCTGAGCGCTGTTCTTGCGACCAGGATTGTCGAACCAAAGAGTCCATGTGTTGTGAAGTGGGTGCTTAATGCTGTAGTCTAGCTGCAAAACAGGGTCTTGAGCATTCTTGTTCTCCACAACGACAACTTTTTCGTTTACGTCGGCCATGATCGATTGTAAAGTACAAATTGGCTGGTTATTTTTTTTTTTTTTTTTGATAGCAATTTTCGAATTCAGGTCCACCACAAGACGGGTTAGGGTTACAAATCAGAGCCATTCGTGACGTCACGCCTCAGGTGGAGGTGGTTCTTTCCCGACCTGACTTATCAAGAGCAAGGCGTGCTGGCAATAGGATCCTCCTCTTTCACTAGCAATTCATGTATGTATCTATACAAGCGGTTTAGACATTGGATTCTATCGACACATCGATGGATGAATGAATGATGGATGTGATGTGATAACTAACGATCATGTCTTTTTTTTTCTTTACTTTTTTCTGCATTGCCATTCTCATTTTTGAAATTCAACAAACATCGACATTTTTCCAACAACGTTGTTACTTTTGGTATTGTACACGACCGTATTTTCACCTGTCGACTTCAATACGCCCCTACAGTTTGTCATACACCATGGCCTCTCACAAGATTGCTAAGCCTGCTGGCGCTGCCCCAGCTGATGAAATCGAGTTGAGCGTTGCTCAAGCTCTCCTCGACCTCGAGAACAACGTTGCCGAACTCAAGAAGGAGCTTAGACCCCTTCAGATCTCTTCTGCTAAGGAGGTGGGTTGAACAACCATTGTACTTCCTATGGGTCGATTTTTGTTCTTAATGTTAATTTTTTTTGCTCCCCAATTTAGGTTGAGATTGGCGGTGGTAAGAAGGCTATTGTTGTCTTCGTCCCTGTTCCTCAGCTCAAGGCCTTCCACAAGGTCCAGCAGAGACTCACCCGTGAGCTCGAGAAGAAGTTCTCTGACCGTCACGTTCTCTTCGTTGCTCAACGCCGCATCATGCCCAAGCCCACTCGCCACTCTCGCCAGAAGCAGTCTCGCCCAAGATCTCGCACTTTGACTGCCGTCCACGAGAAGATCTTGGACGATCTCGTTTACCCCACCGAGATTGTTGGCAAGAGAACTCGTGTCAAGGTCGATGGTTCCAAGACCATCAAGGTGTAAGTACTGGCAAGCAATGATGAATTTTTGTAAAATGGTTGCTAATTCCATTGATTGTCCCTTAGCTTCCTCGACACCAAGGATGCCACCTCTTTGGAATACAAGCTTGACACTTTCTCTTCTGTCTACCGCAAGCTTACCGGTAAGGAAGTCGTCTTCGAGTTCCCTGCCACCACCGAAGTCTTGTAAACGACCCCTCGCTAGATTATTGTGAGAGTGTTTTGTTCCAATTGCAAGGTGCATTTTTATACATAATAAAAAACCAAAAGAACAACGGCAATTGCTTTGTACACCGCCAATGGTGTTTAAATTAACTTGAGCAGTGGTTTAATGTTTGGTGTGCGGGAAAGGAAAGAAAGCGTATTTAAAAAATTTAGCATGTCCAGTTCAAAGCCTGGAACGGATGGCTACTACTTGGGCACGTGCTAGTATCACCTTCTAGGCGCCAGCCACTGAAGCTAGAGTGTAGGTTTATTGGTCATTTCCTTGTCGAACATGGAAGTGGTGGCGGTCTGTGTAAGCACCGCTTTGCCTTAGAAACTAGTCTCTTATTTCTTGCATCCAGAACCATTGCTTACCATCCCAATATGGTGATGGTGGAGTGTCGGGAGCGGTGTTCCGTCTACCGGTCCCTCAGCTAGAAGGGGGGCCATCTTAGTATACCGAGACCACTTTTCGAGGATATCGTAGTTCCTGAGTTTTCTTATATCGCTGTGTTTCTGGAGATGCCATTGAATGAAGACCTGTAATCCCCTTGTCAACGCTGTGTGTATTATAAATAATATAAAAAAAGCAGTAGTGGCAAAAACGAACACATGCGGGTAAATAAAAGAGAAAAAAAAAAAATAGCTGGTGGAGGAGAACAGACTCAGTGCTTGTCGTTTGGACTGCCGCACTTTTTTATTTCTGGCGATGCAAACTGAACCCGACCCTAATTTCGCGCCTCCACCTCCTCTTGGCTTCTCATCTTTACGCCTCATGCAGACTATGGCGAAGCCCATAATCGAGGAAGTCTCGGCTGAACATGACAAACACAAATCCGCTCAAGGGTCTGATCTGATTATCAAGAAATATGAATCTCCAGAAGCTGACCGAAGCAAAGACCGCACAAAGGCAAGCAAAGTAGCTAATGCTTGTTTGACTTGCCGAGGGCGAAAGTTGAAATGCGATGGAATGCACCCCTGTAGCCGATGCCTGAAATCCGGTAACAGCTGCACTTTCCCCGACGGCGTTACCCCTAGTCAACGGAAAACAGTCAGCAACGACGACTACAACTCTCTCGAGGAAGCCGTCGGAAAACTCGAAAATCTGTACAGCAGTTTATTTCAAGGTACAAGGGGAACCGAGCAAGCTCGAACTATCCTGCTGGAGCTGTTAAAGTCACTTCCAGAGTCTTCCTCTGGGAGTCCCGTATCGAGCCCGCAATCGCCTTTTGAAGCTGTAACCAGCAACGGTCGATCTTCTACCCATCCGCCCATGGGGAGTAATATAAGCTTTTCACTTCCTCCGTCTAATCAGCCTGCATCTGAACCTCTCGCCACCGCTGCACTTAATTCCGTTAATATTGACGTTATTCAAAGCTTGAGCTTCGCCCGCGGCCAGCATTTCATGGGCGAAACAGCTTTTTATATGATGCCTGCCGAGGCAAAACAGCAATTCCGAAGCAGTCCGACTACTGAACCACCGTTTCCTCGTATCACAGCTATGCCTCCCACCATATCCTTTGACGACCAAGTTCATCTTATTGATGTATTTTATCAGCATTTAAATACGTATTTTCCCATCATGAGCAAACCACTGATGTTGAACCAACACTACGCCTTTTACCATGGTCAACCATCTTGTCTCTCTCCGTTTTTCATGAATTCCATCTTTGCGGTCGCTGCTCCGTTTTCTGAAAATGCCCGCCAGTACTGTCGGGATTCCAATGATGGCCGTAAAGAACTCCACACTGCAGGTGATCAATTTCTGCAGTACGCAGTCCACATCAGGGAATCCTACATGGATGCTCCACGTATCAGTACCATTATCGGCTTGACCCTGCTATCTTTTCGGCTGGAAACAGAGAAGTTTAGCGAAAACTCTATGCGATCATGGATGCTATCTGGTGAAGCTTTCCGCATGAGTCAAGATATGGGACTGCATCGCAACTGTGAGAACATGGGCATCAGCGCATCTGATCAACAACTCCGTTCTCGCATTTTCTGGGCCATTTTTTCCTTTGACAGGACATTGAGTATGATGCACGGTCGTCCTCTAGCATTTGACGAAAAAGATATTGTAAGTAGTGGTCTTCTTTGTTTTTTCCAGTCAGCCCCAGTTGCACATGCTCATGACGTTCGCTTGTTTGGCCCGCGTAGGACGCTCCGTTACCTGAAATCGAACTTGAAACGGATGCTGATATGAAGGAGACGTTGAGGCGATTCTTGCAATATGTAAAGTTGAGCAAAGTATCTGGTCGCATCATTAAGCACAATTATTCCCCTCAGTCTGGTACGAGGGCATCCTACAAGGTAAGAAAAAACATGTCTAATCAGGCCACAAAAAAAAATAATTCGCCCGTCCGTTTCTTCGGGGGGCTGTTCCTACCAAGCCTTGTTTTTTTTTTAAATTAAGAAGCAAAATGATGCCACTGATCCTTCCAAACTGACCCATATTCCCATGTTTATATAGCAAGATGCAATGCTTTCGACCCTCGACTCATGGTTGGCTTCAGTGTTGATGGATCTACCCGAGGATATGAAGTACGATCCGTCGAACGCTGTGGTTCAGAAAGATAATAATTCGCCATCGCTACGTCCACCATATAACCAAGGGGCCATAGCGAAGGATGAACTACCAGCATCACAGTTTGCGAAATTGTTACATCTCAAACTACATACATTATTGATTTTGTTGCATCGACCTTATATTGCCGACACGGCTGGTGCATCAGGTCAAAAGCCACAGCAACCCAGGTTGATCGTTTCTCGGCCGTCCTTGGATATCTGTACATATGCCTCAAGTATTATCACACACATCTGTAATGAAATGTCGGCAAAGGATCTTTCTCTATTGGCAAAAACGTGCTCTGGCCTATATGCTATGATCACCGCACTTCGGATTCACCTGATGAATGCTCTTTCAAATGAATCTAAATTGATTGCTGTAGGAGAAGCTAATTTCGAAAGAGCACTACGACTCTTAAAATCGGTTTGGACAACTCTTCCAGGTGAAATGGTGTCAGAAACCATCTATAGTTTGGAACAGCAGTATCGAACAAAAGGCAAACAAATGATGGGCAGCATCAAAAACGGCCCTATTAGTCAAAGTCCCATGACTGACAGTACGTTGTCTACACCTAACGATCCACAACAACGCATGGAATCCTTTTCTAGTCCTAGGGATGGATCTCGAGCCAGCGGATCGCCCATTGCAAGAATGACCGAGTCTGAAGAATCTCAGTTCCAGTTTGTTCAGTCCAAGCGGGATCCAGCTACCGGTAATCCCAAGCACACTTTACCCCTAAAAATAATACCGTATGGTCCTCCTGGTGAGGCATCGTCTTCCAAGCAGCAACAAAACGGCAACAAAGAAAAAATGAACGGCAATGGAGTGGTGAATGGCATGGTCAACGGCGGCAATTCTTTATCACCGCCGTCATCCATTTCAACCCAAAACACACCTCCCGTGTCTCATTTGGGCTACAGTCTCTCAATGTCACTGACCCCCAATTCTTCAACCGTGGCAACGTCGATTCCATCCACGCCGTATGATGTCAACGACAATCTCGGCTATGTACCAAACAGCTTTTTTCCTCCACTCCCCAACACCACCATGGCACATCCAGGCAACTTGATATTCGGCGGTCATTCTCATATGACTGCGTACCCAGATAATGATGCTCATATGAACGATATCCTCATGAACGAGATGGATCAGATCAACAGCAATATGGCTGTGTTCAATGGTCGCCACCACTCTGGGTACTTGCTTGAGCCCTATCTTCATGATGACCATCAGATGCATGAAATATCCATGATGGGCGGGTCATCTGCCGCGAATCATGTCAACGCTATGGCCGTTTGCCATGATGATAGTCCTATGTAAACGAGATGGGACTCTAAAAAAACGAATACCGGCCCTTTATATACAACCACTGGGGCATGCTGTCATTTGATTCGAGATTATAAACCAAAGCGCGGTTATATCTTGTTGCTGTTCTTACCATTCACTTTTACCTTTTTATTTCTATAGTACGTGCTCAGCGATTATATTATGCCACATCAAACAAGCATTGCCAAATTATATAGATCATCTTCTTCTGAATCCCTCCAATTGTGTTTCCTTTTTTTTTTTTTTTACATAACATATTGTATTGTTTTCGATTTTTGGGAAATTTATGAAGATTTTAAAAACGTGTCTTGGTATTTTCGTCGCATGTGAATGGTTTTTTCATATACATCAAGATCAAGACCATCGACTTTTCTTGAAACGCGGGCATGCAATAGTAATTGATTTGACTATGTCGATGGAGAAATGAATAATCGGTATTTCTGAGGGTGGTAGGTTGAAATCCACGTTACCTCGGATATGAGTTCCAGCTCTCCAATGCACTGCAGTAAATCCTTTATTTTGTACGGAAACGGATCCAGTAGATCTGTAGCCACCTCCAACGTATAACCTTTATGTTCCAGCACAGCACGGTTTGAGTCGGGGTTGTAAGCGGTCAAGCTTGGTAAGGTGAGGAAGGATCAGAAAGAATACAATGAGTTGGGCATGAACGGGGGCATTACAGCGAGTCAAGCTCATGTTCCTTACATGCCAGTGGCTCGTATGGATTTGGTTTGGAATGCAACGGGATCTTGCGCTAACTCCTGAAGCATGACCAACTCACCAGGAGGGACAGTCATGGCGAAACGCGCGTATTGGAAAGGTTGGCGGGCTGCAGATAAAGTTGGAACTGACCAAGCCACCCATCTGCTTTAATCAAACGGCGGGATTAATTTTTCATCTGCTCGGGGGGCCAATTACGGTATCGCCTTTTGCTTATTCCATCCCATGTCAACTTCAGAGAGTTCGTCTCCCAACATACATGAGACGGAATATGCATTCCCAAGAGATCAGCTTGCAGAATATATGACAGGTAAAGTTGGACCCCCTTTATAATTGTCGTTTTTTTTTCTTCTACTTGCATTCTCTGGACTGCAAAAACCTCATGACAAACGACGTCAACGCTTATCACCTATTATGACATTCTAGATGAATCCAAATCTCCATTGGTCATTGTTGCTTGCGGATCCTTCTCTCCTATCACTTATTTACACCTCCGCATGTTTGGTATGTACACTCGGACGAATGATTTGTCGACCCCCTTGGAGACCGTCTATATCTTCCGAAACATTGTAACTTTTGCTGCGCAGTGACTCATTAAATTACCACCCCCCCACCCACAGAAATGGCAAAGGACCACTTTACGGACAAGACAGAGTACGAGCTGATGGCAGGGTATTACTCACCTGTCTCAGATGCTTATAAAAAGGAAGGCTTAGCACCTGCCTTACATAGAGTCAAGATGTGTCAGTTAGGCGTAGAGTCTACTTCGGATTGGTTAATGGTTGATTCCTGGGAATCTCGGCAAAGCACGTACCAGAGGACAGCTGTGGTTTTGGATCACTTTAACCACGAGCTCAATGTTGTAGGTGGTGGTATCAAGCTGAAAAATGGTAGGTTACTGTCCACCGTGGTGTTGAGTTTGGAAAGCCTGCAAACTGATCTTTCTTACATCAGGCGAGCGACGTGACATCAAAATTATGCTTTTGGCTGGAGGAGACTTGATCGCTTCGTTTGGGCATCCTGGAGTATGGGCCCCAGAAGACGTAAGACACCACCAACCTCTTTCTTTGCTATGTTCTGAATAATAATTTTATTTTTCTTAACCTTATTTTTTTTTTTCCTTTTTCTCTATCCCCTGAACTTTTCCAGCTCAATCATATTCTTGGGATATACGGATGCGTCATAATAGAGCGTACTGGCACCGATGTGTACGGCTTCCTCCTCTCACATGATATTCTGTATTCACATCGAGTAAGTCTTGTCAGATTGCACTATCTCCCTGCCTTCATGCCAGCTAAATGACGTCTATAGATGAATGTAGTGGTTATAAAACAGTTGATCCACAATGACATCAGCTCCACAAAAATACGGTAAGGGGACCACCTCTATTTTCATAAACCACCCTTGCCACAAACCATTTATGCCTACGTTTTGCAGACTTTTTGTGAAGCGAGGCATGTCAATCAAATACTTACTCCCTAATCCTGTAATCGAGTACATCCAAACTCATGGACTATACATATGAAGAGGAAGCTGCGTGATTAATTTTTGAACGTCGAGTCAACCAGGATATGAGGATGACTAGTTGGTTTTTCAATAGACTTAGATCACTTTAGACATCACTTCATCTGTCTAACACATTTTTTTTTCCTCACTGTAGCATACCAGCTGCATTATTTCTTCTTGCTTTTTTTTTTTTTTCTGACTGTATTTTTACTTTTACGAAACTTATAGAAACATTATTTGTCAATAGCCAATTAAACACTGAAAGGGGCCCTGGACTCCATCCTATGGCACGTGAGATGATGGCTGTTGAACCAATTTGAGTTTCGCTTGATACCACCCAAATGGGATGGGTGACGGCAAAGGCTAGGTTGCTTCATTCCGTGGTAAAAAAAAAAAAAGTACCCACCATCATGACGCCTCCATAGCTTATCTATTACCGCGCTCGTTCGTCAGACGCCCCGCGGAAGAGACAAAAGATAGGGTGGTCACACTGAAGGGCATTCGATGTAGAGATATGCAACATTTTTGGTTCATTTTTAATCTTTGATATATAAAAATTGCATAGGTAAAAGGGGGTGGGTGCTACTATAAGGATTATACGGTGTAAATAATAAACTAGGCAATTTGCTTAACTTCGGCTTCATATTCGGCCTCAGCAATGGTGTGCTTCTGGTAAGCGTCTCTCTGTTGGCTGTTACGGCCAATGGCATCTTGCTCAAGATCAACCTTGTCACTGCCACGGTGGCAGAAGAAGAAGATAGGAGTACAGATGGCCATGGTAATAGAGATACCAGTGTACATCCAGGTAAGCTTGGGATCCTCAGTGACGGGGACCAAAGCGAAGGAAAGAACGGAACCGAGACAGCTGGTGAACAAGAAAGCAGCCATGACAATAGACTTCATGGATTCAGGAGCCTTCTTGTAGGCGAATTCCAAACCAGTGATGGAGGCAAAGATTTCGGACAAGGCAATGAGAGCATAAGCAGGCAATTGAATAGCGGCGGAGATCCAGTTTTCACCACCAGATTCACCGACTTGGTCATAGTATGGGGCAGACTTGTAGATCATGGACTGCACACCAGCGGCATAAGCAATGGAAATGGCAGCAAAGGCGAAACCCAAAGTGATACGGGTAATGGGACGCATAGGGATACCGAATCTTCTCAACATGGGGTAGGCGAAACGATCCATAATAGGAATCATAATGATCAAAACCAAACCATCAATGTTTTGCAAGATATCGTTAGGCACATTTCCTGTCCACATGGTACCGGCCTGTGAGATCAAGTTGTTTGTCATTTGAGAGTAGCAAAGCCAGTAGATGGGGTACCAGAAGAAGACAGTACAAGCTCTAAGACCACGCTTGAATTCATCAACGAAGATATCATCCCAGGTAGCCTTCTCAGCAAGTTCAGGGTGAGTTTCCTTGAGGGCGCTGGGCTTGCAGGCAGCCATACCACCGGGAACCTTTCTGCCCATTCTGAGAAGACGGAAAGCTTCAACGAAGACGGAACCACGAGGAGGAATACGGACATACTGGTTACGACCAAGTGCGACAATAAGGAGGGCAGGGCTGGAATAGCGAGGGAAGTATTAGTTTATGTTGTACAACACCGTTTGGCTTATGTCAGCTTCCTCCATAAAAGTTTGACTTACATGAACATGAGAGTAGGAAGGAGATAAGCACTCCAGAAGCCAACATTCTTCTCAAGGTTAGTGGTGGCAATGGAGGACAAACCACCGACGTTGATACCCCAGTAGAACATGTTGAAAATCTTTTGGTAGCTGTAAAAAATAAAATAAAACGTTAGCAACACATTGCTAGGACCAAAGACAAGGATGGGCATTTTTTACATACGTTGCTTGGGGAGTGACAATGACACGCTCGCCGCTCTTCAAGGTTCTGACGAAAGGATGGTGGGACCGGTATTGTTCAGCAACCAAGGGAGAGACATTGGACTTGATACCACCGGTACCGAGACCGACAATGATAATACCGACAACGAAACCAGGGAAGGAAGCTCCACTGTCAATGGCAGAAGGAGCGGAGGTGGCAGTGAGGATAACAAGACCAAGGAAGTAAATCATACCGAAAAGGAGAATTGTTCTGTATTTGCCAAGATACTGATCAGCCACAATAGCTCCGAAAATTGGAGTGATATAACACCAAAACTGGAAGAAGGTGGAGAGAGCAGTAGCAGTTTGTTGACCACGACCAAGAGCACCAGGCTGTTCAGCGGGATAGCTGGGAGGAGGAGGGTTCTGGATGTAGTTCTGGAAAGGACCACTCAAACCGTAGTAGGTGAAACGTTCACAGAACTCGATCAAGATGACCAAGTATGCTGACTTGGGGACAGAGTCAGCAACTTCACGAAGACTCTTCCACTCCTCTTCAGTAGGAGCAGGGCCAAAAGCATCATCTTCAACATGCTCAATAGCACCAGGCTGTTCGTCAACGATTTCAGCCTTGGTGGGCTCCGTATGAATTTTCTCTTCCGTATCCATTATGATCAAGAAAAAGAGAGGGATGTGAAAAGATAGAGGATTAGCAAATCGATCTGGCTTTTATAGAATACGAATTAATCGCAGTTGTGGGAGAGTGGGTAGATAGAAACTCCAAACTGGGTTGGTTATCCACTAAAGTTTGGGATTAGCTTACGTTGAACAAAAAAAAAAAAAAAAAAAACTCTTGATAACGCCAATTTCTCTCGGTGGGGTTTTTGCAATAAAGACTTTTTGGCTACCCGCCACTTGAAAGTAACGAAAGCAAGAAATTTTATTCTCTCCCTAATCAGAAGGATTCTGTATGGACTTTCTCCCATCCTTGTAGTTGAAAGTGAAAATAAAATATTTGGACTCTTCGCTCTGTTATCCAAAAAACTCTCACATTATCAAGTTGTAGCGGATCGATGTGGACATATTGCTAATTCTCAGCCGGATCCGAATTTGGCAAATCAATCGACATTAGGGTTTTCTGTTGGTCGCCGTTGCAGCCACCAAAGCCGTTAGTTTTGACGCGATATGGTTAACCATACGAGCACCACTTCCACGTTTGAATATAGCATGTGGTCTTGTGTTATCCAAATAGGAAAAGTATGTAAAATCCCTGGAGCTTTATCTACCAGGGCTATGGTCTCTAACCCAGGGTTCATAGCAGCCAGTATTGAACACAAATATCTACATGTGAAAGCACCTCTGTGCATCAGATCTGCCTGCGACGTACAGAAATTTATCATATGAGAAAAGGTTGGCATCATTTACGCGGAGCTACAGTCGCCTTTTTCGATAGGTGTTTCTTTTATCCGCATTTGCTTTCTGTCTCAAAGACATGGTCGACCTCTCCCCGGTAAACATGTATCGTGGATTCAAGCTGAGGTAAAAATGGTTAAAAGACGACGAAAATTCCATAGTTGATAACCCACGACAACTTGGAATGAAAACCCTGGGAATTCCCTTTCCTTTGGGTAGGGCGTTTCCGTCAAAAAAATGCATTTAATATCGTGGCTGTGATATAAATGGAAATCTTACGGTGTCGGGAGCCAACTTCTTTATGATTGATAAAATTGGTGGATCATTGGTTACAAACGATCTGTTCCTCTGCATACATACTTTTTTATTTGCATTTGCAGAGCCATGTATAATCTGTATGAGACATAGCTTAGTTCCTTCTACAGAATAGTATGAAAAGAAAAGAATAACCAATAGAAAGATTACAAAATTCAAACCGTAAAAATCTGTGCTTATACCAAAGGTGTTCAAAAGACCGAAATTATTGTGTGCTCACCCGTATCTCTATTTTTTTTTCCCTCGTTACCAGGGCTTGGCATGGGACTGACAAAAGATGCACTGAGAGTTTTCAATGCAGCACACATTGGATGCATAAGATTTCATGCAGGAAATATCTAAAAGACATAATGTATAGACACACCTTGTACAAATTGGCTTCGTAGCCGAGGGGTGATATGTTATTTTTTGTGATGTGTGGGAACTTGAGGACTAATTTGTGGTTATTTGCCTTGCAAAGGAAGTTCAAATTTTTCAATTGGTCACCAACGTAGGTGTTACCTCGGAACTCAGGTCAGCCTCATGACCTTGTTTAGCAAGAGGTAACGATGTGACCCAGCTACTTATCTCGAAATATAAAGACTGAAAGACCAATGAACGGAAGAGTAAAACCAACATCCCCGCACAATCTTTCAAATCGCTGTCTTGTGACTTAAAAAAGTGCCTGAGTCAACCCATTTAAGCCAAATCTTCCTTGGCCCATGCTTTTTGGCGGTGATGATACTGTATTTATAGCCAGCGGAAATGGATCCATCATCTCCAATCATCATCCTACTCATCATCATCACTACATCATTCTACACAATTCTATAGATTACCAAAGAACGGTTTCTTTTTGATCGAGCATTTAATAAATTTTATTCCAGAAAAAGCTTTAGTGGGATTATAAAGATGTGTGATAAAAGAATGTTCCAAAGCGTGGCCCTTAGATTGACTGTGAAATGGTCAAGTTTTTCATCAGGGAAACATTTAGCTGTGCGAATGCAAGTTTCTAAACGAGTGACGATATAGCTACTGCTCCCACGTGCATCCAGCCTGCAATACTCTCCGCACCACGTAGCATTGGTCTCAGGCCAATTTTTTTAAGCTGGAGGGAATTTTTTCACCCCGGCATTTTTTATTAAACTCTTCTCTTTTTCCCCACTTCCCTTCAGCTTCCCTCTCTCTCACTGTAGATATATATATATAAAATATGAGACTGATCATAAGAGAAGACTACGACGAAGTGTCCAACTATGTTGGTATGTAACGTCACGCGTTTATTTGTTTGATTTAGCGTACAATACTGAAAGATGATGGTACGGTTTAGCCAACTACGTGAAAGAACGAATAAAGCAGTTCGCTCCTACTGCGGATAGACCCTTTGTATTGGGACTGCCAACTGGATCATCCCCCATTGGCACATACAATAAACTGGTGGACTTTTTTAAGTCGGGAGAACTTAGCTTCGAACACGTCATCACATTCAACATGGACGAATATGTCGGACTGCCTAAAAACCACCCTCAGTCGTACCACACATTTATGTGGACCAACTTGTTTGCTCACATCAACATCAAGGCTGAAAACGTGCATATTTTGGATGGAAATGCACCTGATTTAGATGCAGAGTGCAAAGAGTTCGAAGCCAAGATCGCACGTGTTGGAGGTATTGAACTGTTTCTAGGAGGTATTGGACCCGATGGACATATTGCCTTCAATGAGCCTGGTTCATCCCTTACATCACGTACAAGGGTCAAGACATTGGCCTACGAAACCATCATTGCCAACGCTCGATTTTTCGAAGGCGACATTGGAAAGGTGCCCAAGCTGGCTTTGACCGTCGGAGTAGCGTAAGTTGGTTTACCTCGGGCGTAAAAAAAAAAAGAAGTGGGAACACACTGAACTGAACATTTCATTCTCAGCACCGTGATGGATGCCCGAGAAGTGGTTGTAACCATTACTGGAGCTCACAAGGCGATTGCCCTAGCAAAGTGCATCGAAGAAGGCGTGAACCATATGTGGACTGTATCGGCTATTCAGATGCATCCCAAGGGATTGATTGTATGCGATGAGGACTCCACTTTGGAACTGCATGTCAAGGTATAAACATGATAAGACGGACTTACGTTATCTTGGTTCCCCTACTGACCACTTTTCTTTTTCCCCCCATCATTTAGACTGTCAAGTACTTCAAGTCAATCGAGCATGTCCACCAGGCCCTTATTGGAACCGAGAACCTGTCTCTTCAGGGTAAGTTTCCGTTTTCATCTTTGGCCGAAAGCAGACAAACACCGAGTCAACTGACAAGATATTTTTTTTTTCGTGGGGACGTAGGTGGAGTTAAGCAGATCAGGCCAACTGCTTTTAATCAACGACCCATGAATCATCCTTATGAATAGTATACGTGTATAAAAAAAATGGGGGTTTATAAATATAACAGGACGGACGTACCGTCATGTAATAAAGGAAAGAGAAGTTTCTCGGTACACAGGTACGACCGCTAGTTGAATTTCTTCAGGGTCCTTTTTACATGTGGTTGGTAGATATTCAATGCTATGCAGGACGGTACAGCGGGGCTATCTAGGAACTCACGCACAACAGTCCTGTGGAAATCGATATGGTACAAATAAGGGTGTGGTGGATGTTGTACATCGATTGAGAAGAAACACGCCCACCTACCTCAATAAGATTACATAAACCTTGTAGCCGCTTGAACCCTGAAATATTGTGTGTGTTTTGGCGGAAAGTACCACCAATGTACAGGGTGACCCTAAAGTAACCCTATCGAACGTTGTGTCATGTAATTTATTGATAGGTGGAGGTTACGCTGGGGGAAGGTTGAGAAGGGTTTTGCTGTAGAAAAAAGCAAGCGAGATTTCTCCCTTTCCGATACTATTTCCCTTGGGTATTGACAACCGAAACAGCTAACCTCTGGTTTCTTCCTTGTCGTTCAAAAATGGGAGGGTTAGTTTGGACGTTTCTTTTTTTCGCATGGAATTGCCCGAGATCCCTGGAGCAATCCCATAACGCGTGTACGACATTGAGGCTGTTTTACTATGCAGGGTCGGTTGTTTTACTTCTCAAGGTCACAAGAATCAAGGGTCCAGGCGGGCGCAAGCGTGTATCACAAACTACTTTAGGTTGTTGGTCCTCGTGGGGGGCGTTACCCTGATAATGTGGGTTATATATAAACCCTCTCCTCCCGTGTCCTACACCACGACCCTTTCCCTTTTACCTTTGCTGGGGGATCTGTAAACCCTGTGGTTTTTTTTTTCCTCTTCATTTTCTCGCTCCTTTACCCCTCCTCTCATAATATAACACCTTCATCGACCTCCGTTCACTATGACTTCGACCATGCTAGACCAGCTCAGGTCGACTTTTGCTTTATCAAAGGATAAATTGGCACCGATTGTAGACGGCTTCAATGCTGAGACGAAACATGGTTTGAAGACCCCTTCCAAAGGTCTTGCTACCATGATCCCATCGTTTGTTACTGCTCTGCCTACAGGAAACGAAACCGGAACCTACATGGCTTTGGATCTTGGTGGCACCAATCTTCGAGTATCTGCAGTCCGCCTCTTGGGTAACGGTCAAGTCGAAGTTCTCGAAGTGAAGAAAGTCGCTACCAATGAACTGAAGAATGGTCCTTGCGACCCATTCTTTGACTGGATGGCTGAAGCTGTCAAGGAATTAGTCACAGTGAAGGCTAAGCATCTTTTCAAGCCTGCTCAAGTCAATGGCACCGAAACCTTGTCACTTGGTGTTTGCTGGAGTTTCCCAGTGGAGTAAGTACCACCCTGCTAATCCAAAACAGAAAAAATATAATTTAGATTATCTTTTTTGGCTGCCCTCGCTCACTCACTAATGCCTTCCTTCCTTTCAGTCAAACATCCTTCAGCCAGGGTACTATGCTTCGTATGGGTAAAGGATTTATCTTGGACGGTTATGAGGGTCAAGACCTGGCCGGGCTTTTCCATCAAGCATTTGAGAGAAAGGTTAGCCAATGACCCAACACGTGATACGTTGTTTGAATGAGAGCTTTTTGATGTTTAACTCTTACTTACCATTAGCATATCAATGTCCGAGTGACAGCTCTCATCAATGACACCGTTGGTACTTTGGTTGCTGCCGCTTATGCTAATCCACATACTCGAATTGGATTTATCTTTGCTACTGGTGTGAACGCCGCATACCCTGAGAAACTGTCGAATATTGATAAGCTTGGGTCGGATGAAATTAAGAAATACGGAGGTGATAACCCAGATGCTGAAATGCTCATCAACACGGAAATCGATATCTTTGGCAATGAAAGTTATCTGCCACTGACAAAGTATGACAAGGAATTGGATGCCAATCACAGCCAGCCTGGATTCCAACCTTATGAAAAGATGTTGTCGGGAGCTTATCTTGGAGAAATCACCCGTCTGATTGCTGTAGATTTCATCCGTGAAGGTCACTTGTTCGGAGGAGCCATTCCTAAAGGCTGGGACACTCCCTGGTCATTTGCAACTGCGCAAATGGGAACACTAGAACGGTAAGTTACTTTAAATAGAGGGGGAACCCTTGTTTCCTAGGGGTCCATGGGCCAAGCGGAGGTTCAATGGGAGAGTGTGCCTTATTCCCCCATTTTACTCACGCACTTTACGTACAGTGACACACACCCTGACCGTCAAACAAGCATCGAGCTTTTGACCAAGGCTTTCGAGTTCCAACAGGCACCAAGTGTAGAAGACATCACAACATTGACTGAGATATGTAAAATCGTCGCTACCCGTGCTGCCAGCCTTGTCGCTGTGGCCATCGCTTCGATGATCGAGCAGCAGGAACTGCATACCGGCAATGACAAGGACATCATTATTGGCATGAACGGCTCTACTTATGAATTTTACCCTTATATGGAGGAACGTATTCATAGATCTCTCAAGGAATGGTTTGGCACCGAGGTTTCTGACCGTATACGATTTGAGATTGCCCGGGATGGTGGTAGCATTGGAGGGGCTTTGATAGCCATGTTGTGCGAGAATTCGTAAGTTACAAGCGTTTCATTTCGCCCAAGCAGCAAAAATTTTCAACCTTCTTGGTTTAAATGCAGTGTTCACAAATTAATTCATTTCCCTAGGGAAGCTTCCCATGCTTCAACTCCATCGGCCAATAGCGATACTACCACGATCAAAGAAGATGATACCAAGATCGCACCTACAGGCGATCACGACGTCGCTGATGCTAAAAAGGACAAGAAGAAGAAGGATTTACTGTTTGGATGCATCCCACTTCATTCCATCAGAGCGTTTCTGGCACAGTATAGTACTACCAAAGGTGTAGAGGCTTAAGCGGCCTGCCCGAAGACTATCACAAAAATATATCTCTTGGTTGATCCTGTTTTCCTTCTCTCTTTATCATCTCATTTCTTATTTCATTCCTTTTAATCTTTTTGTCAAAATACCTAATTGGTACCTCTACTATCCCGCTATTCCTTATGTCGCTAATCTACCAATCCGATTCGCATTTTCCGCTCCTGACATCCTTTGCGATCACTGTACCTTCGTGTCAGTTTCACAGCATCTTACTTACCCGCTTTCCAACAAAACGTTTTATTTTATCTTGAGGATAATCCCCCAAAAGATTAAAAATATACATTGTCTTAAAACATCGCAATGGCTTATCGTATTGGCATGATTTTTTCCATCGTGTCGAGGAGAGGCAAACCATAGTGCTAATGCCTGCCTCCAGCGACATTGGTCGCACTAATAGAGTGACTACTATCTAGCACGTTGTCTTCATAACTTTTATGAAAATGATGCTGCAGGCCGTGGATAGCCATATTTGTGATGTTAGAACTTTGTGAGATGTAGAATTTTGTCTGCCTGTAGTACTGCAGATTGCGGTTGTTCACATCGGTCAAGGCAATTTAAGTGCGCATAAAAGTCGATGTTGCGGTTGTTGTTTAGATAGCTGATTTCTGATCCTATCTGAATGGGCTTCCGACCAGAATTTTTCCCTTCGCCAGTTCTACGCGGGGCTATGAGAGTAATTTTGCATCCAACGTGTCTATTGAGACATTATGCGGAACAAAGTACGTAGAAACCAATCATAAGGAATAACCACTCCATATTGACCATCATGAATGAGCTAGGAGCGGATTAGCTCCAGGATTGACAGGATTAATTCGCGTTACCAAGAAAGCCCTGCTCATCTTGAAAATTTCTGCTTTTGGACAAGCATTCATGACGTGCATTTTCATTACGGCAGAATGGAACGAGAGGTCAAGGCGTAGCGAGGGTCTAAGAGCCAAGCAAGTTTGCAAAAACATTGACTCCAACATATGAATGTGGAACAGTTTTACTCTGTTAAGAAAGCTAATAGCCCTTAGAATACCATTTCACTGCTTATTGCCAAGGAAATTGTTATCGGCATCTTTTTTTTGGGCAGTGATCCCGCTGAGACCCAGTTAATTTTTTCCCCCTCTTTTCATACCTGCCTCTTTCTCCATGATGTCGCTGCCATTCTTGCGCTTGCGGCCACCCATGCGCTTGCTGGCACTGTCTATAGTCAGCTTTCTGTGTATGTACTTTGTCTACCATTCAGTGTACAATGTGAACAAGGCAGCCTTGGACAATGACCAGGAGGCATCATCAAGTCAACCATGGCAATACACAGCACCAACGACGTTGCGTCAACCCAACCCCAACCTCAACGCTGCCATGGTTACCTTCGTTCGTGGAGACCGTGGTACTATGCAAAAGCTACGACATACCATGCGAAACATTGAGGATTCATTCAACGAACATCACGGTTACCCCTACATCATATTCACTGATGAAGATCTAAGCACGGAATTCAAAGAGCTTGTCAGCTCTTCAACCAAGGGAGACGTTATTTTTGAGAAGGTTGGAAAGGACTATTACGGATATCCAAAGGGCATCGATAAGAAGAAGGCTGCTCAGGCTCGAGTTGACCTCAAGGATGTTATGTTTGGAGACAGTGAAGATTACCGCTTCAACTCTCGTTTCTTGGCAGGAACCATCTTTAGGTAAATAACCCTTCCTTGACAAGAACATGTTTGTAAAAATGAAAAACTTTGTTCACCATTCCTACATGTTAGACATCCTGCTCTCAAGAACATGGACTACTATTGGCGCATCGAAGCAGGCACTGAATACGTCTGCCCTATTGCCTTTGATCCTTTCCAATACATGAAAGACCACAACAAAAAGGTATCCTTCTCAATGGCTCTTTACGAATACCACGAAACCTTGCCCACATTGTGGAACACGGTGAAGGAATTTGCAGACGAACATCCTGAATGGGTTGTTGATAAAACGGAAGGGTCAGGCTCTTTATGGGGATTTGTAACCGATGGAAACACTGGCGATTTCAATCGTTGTCACTTCTGGAGTAACTTCCAGGTATGTATATATATTTGAGTTTATGACATGGGATACCGGACTGACAATGGGTGTTTTTCAGATTGCCGATCTTTCGTTTTTCCGCGGCGAGCAGTACCAAGCATACTTCAACTATCTTGACCAATCTGGTGGTTTCTTTTACGAACGTTGGGGTGACCCTGTAGTGCATACACTTGCTATGGTTCTGTTCTTGAAGAAAGACGAGATCCATCACTGGGACGACATTGGCTATAGTGTTGCCAACTTCTTTATTCATTGTCCCAACGACAAATCCCTCTGGTCACAATGTACTTGTCGGCCAGAAAAGAATTTCGCTTATAATCCCTACAGTTGCTTCCCATGGTTTGAGCGCGCCACATAAGCAACCACAGCTCAAACTCCCATTTTATAAAAAATTATCTTTTTTGAATGTACATTTGAAATATTACAGTAGCATTTACACCAAGCAAGCAAGAATATAAACACATTGATTGAATGCACCCAGCTAAGGGCTGATAGAGTATATAGAAAACCCTGACCAACTGACTGCAAGGGATGATTCAATTCACAGTCTCACACACACATTTGGGGTTGGGTTGGGTAAGACTTTGAGTCAATTGCAGATTCTTTATTGACTGAAGATGTACAAATGCTTTAAAAACACAGAAAATAAAGGGGAGAAATTCAAACGAGGAAGCAAGTATATATAAACTAGTAATGGTCTTTGTTTTTTTTTGGGGTCGGGGGATGTTGTTTTGTGTCATCGTTTCAAGGACTTGACGTTTAGACAACGTAGCCAAGCTCGTATCTCTGGTAAGTGTTCTTTTCATCGTCCTCCATGTTAGGGTAGTAAGGCACAAGACTGTCTTGAGCGCCAATATACAAAGTGTTGTAGATCTTCCAGTACACTTCACGAACTTTGCGTGCAGGATGGAAGAGACCTTGAAGGACATATTGCAGAATGGTGGAAGGTCCCAAGGCTACTCGAAGACCCTCGATGGCATCCATGACGGCGTTAATGACGTGAGGACTAAAAGGGAAAAAAAAAATGTTAGTCAAGTTCCATACCCCACCTCTACCAACCTAATCGAATGCGCTTACCTCGTTTCGAAAATGTTGGGCCAAACATAGTTGAGCAAGTGCCGAAGGGCATCTTCACAGCCAAGTCCAACAACACCAAGTGACATGTGCTTGACCACCACACAGGCAGTCTGTCGATGAACCAAATCACGATCGATCAAAGCATCTTCCAACAAGGGTGCCACAGCATCAATGTAATCTTTGCCCATCTCACCAATGTACTCAAAGATGAAGGTGAGAGACTTGAGGACACCATTTTGCACGTTGAGCTCAGGTACTCGGTATTCGTTCATAAGGGCCGGCAGCACAGTGAAGGGAGCACAGGTTTCAGCAACAATGGCAATGGCAACCGTGGTACAGACACGGTTTTGACGTTCTTGAACCTTGAGGTTGTTGAGCAATGTAGCAAGTACATCCTGTGGTCCGATGGCCTTGGCAATGTAACCAAAGGTATTGACCGACGCACGACGAATACCCATCTTGTGAGCTTTCAAGAGATCGAGCAACTCGAAACAAATACGCATCCACTCTCTTGCCGAAACATATTCTGCACCACGATCAGCAATACGACCGACTAAATCAATACAATTCTCTTGGACCTTTTCGTGGCGATTCTTCAAGATAGGCGTCAATCGAGGCAGCAAGTCCTTAATGGGAGGCGTCATGCTGGCCATACCAATGACGTTCACGATACTCTTCAAGGCGCCGAGAATAGAACCAAGGACTTCTGGATACTCTTCACCGAGGTATTCGTACAAGATTTGTCCCAGTTGACTCATCAGCTTTTCTTCGCCACAGGTTCGCATGACCACAGCAATGCGAGAAATCAAATCGGCAGCCTGTTGTCGTACCTTGGCCGACTTGTTATTCAATCGCCAGAGAATGGTGTAACAGATTTGTTGCAGATAGGGCTTGACGCGCATGCCCAGGGCATTCACAACCGTACCAAAACCATTCAACATGACCACGTCTTCGACGGTTTGTTCTTGGAAAGCATAGAGGATACCGTCAATCAGAACTTCCTCCAGACGAGGATCAATATCGGCGGTACCCAGATTGGAAACCACCTTTTCAATGGTTTCCATCACCATCTTGCGATAAGGCTCACTTTCATCCTTGAGGTCCTCCACAATGCGGCTGACAATTTCAGTGACGCCAACCTTGTTCGCCAATTCCACCGTGGTTTCAACGACTTGACGATAGTTTCGTCGATCCAAAGCCATACGACGAACCCAGAAGTGCTTGAAAAATTCAGGCAAAATCTCCTCCTTGATGTATTGAGGTTGAACACCATCGGTAGCAGCACATTGCTTGACGACCTTGAGCACAATCTTCTTCATCTCTTCGTCAGGCGATTGAAATTCTCGGATCAAGATGATCATGACTTCCTTGGTATAGTAATTGGCATACTCGTCATCCATGAGAGGGATGATATAACCAATGGCTTTGAGGAAAGCAGCAAGACCTTTTCCACGATGTTGACGAATACCCGTCCACAAAGGCTTCAAGACGGAATCAAACGATTCGATACCATAAGGAGCAGCGGCTTCAGCCAAGGCTGCGATGGCAAGTGCAGTGATGGTGCGAACCTTTTGTTGTTCATCTTCCAAACCATGACCAATGGCTTCGACCAAGTTCTTCAATTGGGGCAACACGGCACATCCCAATAGAATGGCAATCTGTTGAACAATCTTGATACCTGTGTGTCGAGCTTGCCAAGACTTCTTGGACCGACAAACAGCTTTAAGGAAAGGCAACAGCGCAGGAATACCCAAGGCGGAAGCCACCACAGAGAAGGCACGCGCGGTGGTGTTACGGACATATTCATCAGCGTGGTCAATATCGGGTCTCATGGTGGTGATCATGGTGGGCAAACCGGCTGCCTTGGACAAATTGCTAATGATTTCACGACCTTCAACACGAGCATAGTAATCTTCATCAATCAGCAAAGGTTCAATGACGACCAAAATCTTGTGCACGTAGGGTCGTACCAGATCATCCAACTTGTACAGAATACGATCGATGACTTTGACAAGCAAGTGACGTTCTTGGTCTTCAAGTGTAGGAGACATCAAAAGCGGCAAAATTTGATTGAACAAAGGTCCTGGTCCAAAGTCTCTCGCCTTGTCTGTAATTTGACGAAGAGCCACTTTTCGCATGGGAGGAGTGCCGTTTTTGATTCGGAGTAAAAGGCGCATGATCTTTCTCTCCATCAATTCTTCAACGGACAACTCGGTTTCATCCTTGTCGTCTAGAAGTTTTCCGAAATGTTGCATATCCTCTTGCTTGAAAAATGGAAGATTCTCCATACCAGGAACTTCAGCCGGTAAATCGTACATTTGACCTCGAGTCTCCTCTTGCATCATAAATCCAACGTCCTGTGGTGTAGGGGTAGCCATCAACTTTCTTGCAGGTGTGCGAATGGGTTGGTAGCCAGCTGGAGGATCCAAGATCTTATAACCAGAAGTTGGGAACATAGCATCCAACTCTTCATCGGAAAGGGGACGGTTGCGAACATCCAGTTCTCTTTCCCATCGAACATGGTTCATAGCTTCAGGTGTCATAGGGACTTGAAGTTGGCTGGGGGTAGGGGTGAACATGACAGAAGAGGCTACAGGTGTTGACGCTACTCCGTTGACACCAACAGGCGTTTCGTCCCAACGTGAACGCTTTCCACTCGATGCCTTTGGTGTGGCATCCCAAGCAGAACCACCTTGTGATGATGCTACAGGAGTTTCGTCCCATCGGTTGCGTCGCTTAGGGGTCATATCGCTGTCAACGCTGGTGCGAGGGGTTTCATCCCATTTTCCTTTAGCAGAAGCGCCGTCATCGCTGGACCAGTCGGATGACGATGAGGGTTCGTGAGCAGGGGTTGCAATATCCCATCTTCTTTTCTTTTTGGGTGGAGTGGTGTCGCCGGACTCGCCTCGAGCGGCAGCCTCTTTTGCCTTTTCTGCCTCTTCACGTTTCTTTCGAATGATAGCAGCGCGAACTCTTTCTTCTTCTCGGTCAAGTTCAGCTTCTTTCATGACTTCAGCGTACGATCGTGATTCTTGATTATCGTCGCCTTTACCAGAAAATGCGTCAACTCTTCCAGGTGATAGTTGTCGTCTGAATCGTCGTGCATGGTACTCGTCTTCTCTTTCAGCAATATTCTTGGATCGAGTGTGCTCAAAAGGATCGACTTCTTCGCCGCCTTCCGCTGCGGTTTCGTTAATCAAATCTTTTGGTGCCGTGTAGGAATTCAATCGACGTTGTGCAGCTTGGTACTCTGTGATTTCTTCTTGGTCTTCTTCCATGTCGTCATTGACTGGCAAAGAGTCAGCGTAACCTTCAAATTTGCTGCCACCGCCGTAGAGATCTGTGTCGAAAGATACACCCATCATCGATACTCGATCATCCTTATTGGCTGGATCGAGTGTTGGAGGTGGGCCGTCCTTGAATTTGGCGCGCTTGGCTTGAGCAGCTCGAATTTCGTTCTCAATATCTAAAGACGGAGAATACATTGGATTAGTGGAAGGTATGATACCTGCGAATTAGTAGGATCAAAGCTCACCGTCTGCCATTAAGCTGTAAGGATAACTGTAATTTTCTGTCAGCAAAGGGCACCGCAGCCATAAACACTTTTTGGGAGTCACGTGATAGGGTTAGGGGAGCATTAGCTCATAAAATGCATAGTATTTGCTACGGGACGGCACAGCTACTTAACACCATGTCGCAAGACATTCTATCTATCATTATTTCAGAGAGACAATTTTTTTATTATTATGAAGGACTAATCAGCTACTTTTAAAAAGTAGTGGACATCAATGACTAAGAACAACGACATTTTTTAATTATGTGCGTATTGAAAGGAGGAATTTTTATATCTTTTATGTGTTTTTTTTTTTTTTTTACAAGGCGGGTCTACTGCGCTTTGGTCGTAGAAAAAACAATGGAAAAACAAGCAACTTTTTTATGAAAGCTTCACATTAGGAAGCCCCCTCACTTCATTTTGGAAAACAGGTTCACTTGTTGTGAAATGCAAAAGTGTGATATCACCAAAACTCAAAGAAGTCTCAATAAGATTCTTGTTGGTATGGGCAATCGTCTGTCCAATGGGGTATATCGGCCGTCATCTCACAATAATCACAATGCTACGTGGTTAGAGAAAATAAAATAGTAAGTAAATCATGAACCACATATTCCTAAATTTTTTTCGCAAAACTTACAGGTTGACCATTATCTTGAGATGAATACGAGTTTAATATATCCGGCGCACCGAGTTTCTTACAGTCAATGGTATCATGGCCAAAACGATCGCAAATTCCACAATAGGATTCTGATCTGGAATCTTGTTTGCCACGAGCAACATAGTGAATGGAGTCATGTTTCAACACGGCGCTAGTATCATCGTAGGCGTTTGAAGAATCTTGATCGGATCGTGGACTGATGGGAACGTGACTTTGCGCTTGTATGTCTACAATCTCTTGCTCCAGCCGCTTTCGTCGTCCCTGTTCTTTGATCAACCGCTCTTCTAGTTCTGATTCACGGAATATCTTGTTCTCCACCAAGTGCTCGAAATCCGATAATTCTTTACTGAGTTTCGCAATGGTTGCGTCTTTGCTCTGGAGGACTTTCTGATGCTGCTGTGTAGCGGTGTGCATGTTGGCCATCATTTCCGATTGAAGCTTCGCCACCTTGCCCTCTAAAACCTTCGTCTGACGATGAGATAATTGGAGCGCATAACTGAAGTTTCCGGGCGGCGGTGTTTCTGGACTACGTGGATCCTCGTTGAAGTCGTGGTTGGCATTTACAATGATTTCATCCATAAGTTTCAGGCATTCCATCTCCAGTTGCTTATGGGCTTCTTGGAGATGCTGGTACTCTGTAACATTTTGATCCCTCGCTTGGCGTAAGGCGTTCAGCTGGTCTATTTGTACATCCACTTGTTCACGGCTTTCAGATAGCTGAGATTGAAGCTCTGATATATCACCAAGCAGCTGGTCGATGATACGCTGCTTGTCAGCTAGCTCTTTCTCCATGGCGGTTTGTCTCTCTGATTGCTCCAAGGCCACGTTCTTTGTGCTGTATAAATGGGAGATCTCGTCTTCAAGAGCATTGATTCTTTCCATGGAAGCCACCAGACTTTCTTGGTATGTGGCATTGGCCTGCTCCAACTGCTGTATGGAGGTGGTGGAAGATTGGAGCTCAGAAATTTGCTCCTTTAACTTGACAGTCGCCATTTTCTCGTCTTCGAGTGCCTGCACTGTGATTTCATACTTCTCCGTCAAAGCTGCCAAATCAGACTCTGCCGTGCTTCGCTTGAGACCTAGCTGAGTTTCGGATTGGCCATTCTTGTCTGCAGCATGTTCCTTTGCCTTTTCTAGTGCAATGGTTAGCTCTTGCAGCGCAAATTTGAGATCTTCATTTTCCGTCTGCTGCTCGCTAAGCTGGCTGTTCAATTGTAGTAAAATGCCACGCTCTTGAGAACCATTTTCCCCGTTGCGGGACCTCAAAGTGTCAAGTTCATGGTGTAGAGCTTGTTTTTCTAGTGTTAAATTTTCAATCTGGTGGATGGCGTCGTCTAGCTTGGCCTGGATCAACGTAGACTCTCGGCCGCGATCGCTTATCTCTTCCTGTGTGGCGCTATGGGCATGAGCGAGCTGTCGTTGAGTAGCACGGTGCTGCTCTTTTTCCCTTTCCAGTTGTTCACTTATCATACGATGTTTCTCCTGTAAGTCCGTCCATTGTTTCGTAAGGCGATAGAACTCAATGGAGTCTGAAGACACTCTCTGATGATGATGCAATGGTTGAGTCGATAAATCCTGTAGGGTTGAATTCAGGACCTTGTTGACGGCTTCCAATTCGTCTATGGTTGCTCCCAAATGGCCTAACTCCTCGTGGCAGGTCTTCAACTGAGCTGCATGTAATTTCTTTGCATGATCCAGTTCGTAGTGTAGTTTCTCGTTGGAGCGCTTTTCCAAAGTGAAAAGTTTCTCCAGTCGGACCACTTGGTCCTGATTGTCTTTGAGCGAGGCATTTTCGCGGAGCGCCTTGTTTAGAGCCGCTTGTAATTCTTCAACATTCACTCGCGTAGCCTTGTCTTGTTCAAATTCAGTAGGTCGGTTCCCCAGTTTATTTTGAAGCGCAGACTTCCTCCCTATTGGGGAGAGGATGGTTTTTCCTTCATTAGACGGGGATAATTTTCTTCGTTCCAGTAATTGAACTTTCTGAGCCAAAACAAATAATCCTGTATTGGGCCGACATTGAAAGTAACTCGTCCTGATTTCAAAAATAATTGGTCAAGGATCATGTAACGCGTTGACAAATAATAACACTTACCCGTTTACAGTGCCCGAGTTCTTGCCTGTGCCTAACTCATCCAATTCGATACCTGCCCAATGACCTTTCTTAAACGATGTCTCTCCCAAGTACCGCAACGTTCCTGTTAAGCCGTTCTCTAGTATGACCCGGTCGCCTACTTGTGGTGTAGCCTGGACTTTGGTGGTTGATATGGACGGTTTAGTAGTTGTACGACGTGGGAGAGTGGTGGTGGACTTTGAAGTCTGGAGTTTCAAGGCTGCCTGCTGGGTGGTGGAGCCAGTGGTACGTGTTGAATAGCTCGCCTTTGGCTGAGCCAGCCGGCTTTTGCTGTTACTGGGAGTTGGCAATGTTGGAATGTTGGAAGAGATGGAAGTCATTCCATGCCACACTGTTTGTTTGTGCAGTAAGAAAAAAAAGTTTTCCACACAGAACACTACGGGAGTCAAGCAGACAGAAACTTATTTTAGGTCATTACGTACGATCACCTTTTTGTCTCCTTGCCACACAAGCAGACGGTTCTTTTTACCAATGGTTTGTCAAATTTTTTCTTTATGTTTTATATAAAACGATCAAAGTGAGAGGAAATGGTGATGGTAGCTAGCTACATGGGAAAAATAGGGGGTAACCCAAACAGCGAGCATCAAAACGAGAAAAAAAGAGAAAATTTACAAAGAGGTGACTATAGGCTGGTGATTGATGAACGACGGTTTAACGGATTTCTGGGCCATTTGATTGGTATCTTCGTCGTCGTGCCAGCCGACTAGATCGACGTATTCATCAGCAAACAAGTCTTCGTTCTTGTTCCAGATATTGACCTTATCATCGGATGGACGGCTAGGTGGACTGGATTGGTGGACGGAGCTTTCATCGGAATCGCTGCCACTGGCAGAGATATCCTGCGATGAGCGACGAGAGTCGGGTATGTCGTCGGAAGGAGAAGACGAGCGAATGGGTAAAACAGACTGAATGTTCGTTCTACGCACATCATGATCGTAGTCGGAGTCATCCTCATCAAGAGCTGACTCGTCTTCGGTCACAGTTGAGCGATGGTTCTTCTTGAGAGCATGAATGGCCTGTGAGCGCAAAGATTGGTCCATTCCAGATGGACTATGAGGTGGTACGATATCGTAAAGCTGTTTGCGACCCGTAAGCAGGGTTTCCAACATCCTGATACGAAAGTGAGCCTTTTCCAGTTCCTGACTGGCTGCCTGCAGAGACGACTCTTTTTGAGAAACAATGTTTCTCATTGCAACCGTAGTGTATCGGTTGAAAGACAGTTCCTTTCCAAGATGGGTATTTTGCTGAGATAAAAACTTGTTATCTAGTTCTAGGCGATTGAGTTTATGCCGCAGATACGCAATTTCATCGTAGTCATCGTCATCTTCTGATAAATAATCGTAAAAGCCGTCATCGCTACTGTCGTCATGGTAAGTAGGGCGAGTGTCTGAAGGGAAAAAAGTCAGGTTAGCCATTTGAAACCATTATTTTTTTTTGTTGGGGGGATAATACCCTGCCAAGATTTCCTTACCTTGGCGATGATGCAAAGACGAAGGGTTCTCGGTAGCACCAGTGTATGACATTGCAAAAAGAATAAAAAAGGAGGTAGCAATGAAATGGGTGGATATGTAGGGAACTATATATATGCTGTGCTGAGAAGCGCTTTCTTATATGAACAAAGGTGAGCAGAATCAATCCACAATTAAGAAGGGAATAATAAAAGAAGAACAACGGACTTTGACCTTAGCAAAGAGTTGAGGGGGAAATGTAGTTTTGAATGAGAAGCAGACCTGCTGCGACGAGAGCGATGAGAAAGACCAAGAGAGAAAGAGCGAAGGCCAAAGAAAAACGTTTTGAGTTGAATCGGTGCTTGAATAGCAAAAGCTAGGCCATGCTGGGGCCCATTTCGTGGGTCACTCATTCAGTGTCAACTCAGACGCGGCGGCTCTTCTTTTGCTTGGTTGGCTTAGCTTCAAGTTCTGAGACCTTTCGGTTATAATCCCCCAAACGGAAAGTCCCCACTTCATTAAACAACAGTCATTTATATAGATTATGTCATGGATCAAGAAGCCATTCAAAATGCAAGCATGTCAAGTTGAGCTTCGTAGGGGAATAGCGGAATGCGCCTTGTAGAAAAAATGAGTTCATTAAAAAAAACCGGCGCACGTCGTTGGTATTTGGTTGGCAAAGTAAGGGGCGGGGAATCCAGTTATATTTTTTTTTTTCGGTTATGTTTTCACATTATGAAGTAGCCGCCGACCTGGGTCGAAAAGACGCTCGCTGGTTAGCAAACTGATGTGTGGTCTTATCAAGGTGATTGAGGATTTGGTCTAATTCATGATAGCAGAGCATCATCACAGCGTCTTGATTATGCAAGCGAGTTTTTTCTCGTAACCGTTCAAACCGGGTGATTAAGTCCGATGTATACCGATCACGCTCAGCCTTGGTCTTTCGGCGATGTCGGTCCCTTCGACGTTCGCCATAAGTTAATATGGAATGCACCCACCGACGCATCAAAGCCATAAACATTTGTTCTGGATATTTGCAATTCTAAATACAGGGAAGCGAGCGTCCAAAAGCGGATGTTAGCCGGTGACGATCACATACCTCATGAAAAAAAGAGTTACCTTAGATGGCTGACAGTCAACAAGCTTCTCTGCAGCATTGGTAGCAAGGCTATTGCTTGGTTTGGTCCGATGTTTGGGTGTATTGGCCCTTTGGTTATCAAGTCGACCACGGGCCAACCTGTCTACAGTAGCTTGCATGGTAGCAGTATCCATTTGATGTCGCTGTCGCTCGTTTAGTTCAAAACATTGATTATGTAGGCGAGGAACGGAGGTTGTGATTCGATCAAGGGCAGAAATGAGACCGTCCAAATCGTACGTTCGTTTGGAATCATCCGTATCAAAAGGATCTTTCGCTTTGATCGATGCGTTATTATAGTAGGGTGGTAATAAGCCAGCGACTTCGGTTCGTGGACCACAAGCGTCGTTGTAGTGAGGGAGTTGAGAGTCACATAAAATGGTATCAATTAAATGTTCAACGACCGCCATGGAAGAATCGATTTGTTCCCAAGTGTCATTGTCATCAGGAGTTTGGGTAGCGTTGGCTCGCATGGTTTGTAAATCTTCAACAATGCGTTGAACGATGAGCATAGCCTCATCGGTATCTTGGTTGGTAAATTGGGTGGTATCCAATGTGGAGGGACGTTGCCTTGCCGTCTGAATCATTTTGTATACATTGTTTGCGACTAAGACGATGTGCTCAACAAGCTTCTGGGCATCTTTGGATTGTAGCACATTCTGCAGCTGCAGCTTAATAGATTCCAATATTTCAGAATGTAAACTGGAACTGGCGGTTCCATGAGCTGAAATTAAATCACTCAGCATTTTATGACACGTTGAAAGATCATGGTCGTTCGTGAGTGAAGAATATTGCACAGTAAACGCATCCAGTAAGTAAAGGCAACTGTAGTCTAATGCCATGCAAGTGTTGAGAATTTCTTTCGTTATATGGCCATGTGGTTGTTGCTGTATCGAGAGCATAAATGTTTTAGGCATGGATGATCGCAAACGGGTGGCATGTGAGCAAAATAATAAAAAAAAAAATTCTTACCAACTGGGGTTCCGTGCTCAGTTGGCTGATAGGCATGACATCCAGAATATCACTATAATCAAAAGGTTCTAGTTGAAACTCTTGGAAGATCAAGTCATGGCCATCCTGAATTATGTCATGGTGAGGAACATTTGACTACCAAATGCTGGTCAGCTGAGATTTGCCTGCGTATCGCCCAATATCGGAAGTTAAGATCTTACCAAATCATCCTCTATACTAGTACGACGAATGGTTCGAGGTTTTTGTCGTTCTGCTGACTGCATGAATGAAAAAGAATGAAAAGGCGGCCACCCAAACAAAAGGAAGAGAAGAGAAAGAAGCTATGGGAACCGAAAAGCAATGGTTGCAATAGGCTGGCAAGCACGTGGCTTGCTTTCCAAGCGATTGCTATATTGCTTTACAAGGGGTTATCGTTCACTACGGACGGTGGCTTTGGAGTAACTAAGCGTTCATAGATACGCCGTGCTTTCAGTTTGGATGCATCCCACTTTTTTTTTTTTGTTTTTCGCCCGCAGCAATTCAGTAACGTTGGGCAGTAAAAGGTGAATTTCAATGGTTCCTCTGAATGTAAGGTGGCAGCAACCTATGCCAGTATGACTCAAATCCGTCAAATACCAGTAACCAAAATGGGTGGCAATCAACAATTCACAGGGAGATCCTTCTAACAAGGTAATCGGGGAGGAGATCTCGCTTAGGGTGTGGTACGGGGAAGGTGGCGCCGACGTTTTTTCCGGGTCATACATCAGGATGATAGCGAACGACCCGTCAAACCGATTGCATCAGCATCGATTTCGTCAGTAAAGCAGCTATCATTCACCGTTGACTGCGTCTCCCAAAGTATGCCTTGTCTTTATGTTAGCGTGAATAATGAGTTGATCATGGAACCAATCGTGACGTTGGTGCAGCCTTTTGTTTTTACGAATCCCATTAATTTTGAGGTTTGTTTTTTATTCATTTTTCGAGCTATCCCATTTTGAGTTCCTACCAGTTACAAGCAAAAAGACCAAGCCGATCGAATATGCTACTACAGCTGGGTTGGTTGCGCTATTCATGATCGTTCAAACGCTTGACTGCGCTGCACTGTCAAGAGGTGAAAGCGACAGATGTCAAGTTTTCCCAGAGTCTATGATTTTCAATGAGAGAGTCTCCTGACACAGCAGTGGGCGTTGGCGTGGGCACAGCTTATCCCATCAATGCCTTCGGGCAACCAAAAATTTCTTTATTTCATAAAAATATCACGTCACATTTTCGATATAATAAACATCTTCGAGGTGGTACCCCTGTTTAGCTCTACACTCAACTGCAACTGAAATGGCTGGACACTACGTTATTGCTGGCAAGGCTATTCCTAACCACGTTGTACGTAGTTATTTCTAATATCTTTTTCCTTTTGAACTCTCGACGGTCTCTGTGTGTTGTACATGTAGCAGATTGGGCAATGCAACTGGTCCAAAGCGGAAACCATGCATGGGGTCGACGAAAATCTCGTAGCATCGCCCGTAACTGTTTACGACACAGTATATTGATTGCAGCAGCTAAATTGCGCACCTTCCCGACTCAACCATCTGGCTAACTTACTGGCCGTTGGCCTGTCGCGACACCTCACGAAATGTTGGTTCGACAGCTGATCTGCAACCTTTACATACACCCGTCCTTCCCTTGCATACTATCTCATATCCATCGATTCACAGCATACTAACTCTCCCCTACCCTTTTTTGCAGCTCGCCATGGGATTCATTGGCGCCTACGCTGCCCTCGGCGTCTGGTCCACCTCCGGATCTAGCAAGCCCAAGGCTGCTGAACCCCCAATCAAGGCTGCCTCCAGCGACGAAGAATCTTTCATCAAGGAATTCCTTGCCAAGGCTGACAGCGAAGAAAAGAAATAGATTCAATGTTGATGTTTTTTATCAAGTTATACAAATTGCGAACGCAACATAAAATATGTTAAAATTTCAAGAATAGAGCCATTGAGAGGTCGAATGATGCTGTATTTGGGTTTGATGGAGAAATGGAAAAAGTGCGCGGGGGCAATACAGTAAACACGCGCGCCATGCCCATGGGGAAACCGTGACCTCTTGCAACCTTGTGTCTCGGCTGTCACAGGGTTTGCAAATTGGAAAATTCCTCTCGTTTTGCGCCAGGCCTCTCTGTTCATTAGATCGGCCAAACGTCCGACTCTTCTTTTTTTTTTTTTTTCTTTTGGAAATCAGTTGTACCTGAGCTTCACCTCACCTTGCTCAACCCGGCTCCACTTGCACCAACTTGGATTGCGTAACGCTTCACGCTCTGGACTCGAATTTGCCTGTCAACCCATGGAAAGAAATCTTCAACTTAATTTGTATAGTGGATTGCTGATCTATCGTACAACAAGAAACACAGAATTCCTTTTATATAACGATACATTTTCAAACAAGAGACACTGGGGACCTCCTAAGGGACGCGTAATTGGCCAAGAAGATGAAAAAAAGTAAGTCGCCAACAGCGATCCTTATGGAATTCGGGCACCCATGAGAAAATTTTGTTGATCGTTGCGTGGGATATCTAGATGTGCTTTAAGAGCAGCGTTTGAGATCATTGGTCTGAATCCAAAGGATCTACGTATAGAAGAGGGTTTTAAAATCGAAGTGAAATACCTTTCTGGTACAAAGTAGGTTTTTGATCCCTACGCGAAATCCTTTGCTAAACATATTGACCAATGTCTTACTTTCCCTTAGACCCAAAAAAGTGAGCTACTATCTAGCTCAAGCTCTAGATCCGCACAGTCGCATTCCACCCAATGCTGAGGGGTTACATATACAATGGTGCAATTTGCAAGTGGCCGTAGATAAGGCTGCGTTTCGCAATATGCAAGAGGTCTTTACCCACGCATGTAGCTTTGTCGAGAGCAAGAAGAAAGCAAGACAGCAAGCGCGTAGAAAGACAGGCGAATCACCCCGTTCTAATTACGGATTTAATTCACCTTACTCTTCGAGCACAGCTCATTCTGAAGCGGCTGAAGCGACCGCTGTAGATGGCGTTGCTGGTGTGAAATCACAGCTCAAGGGCCTAAACATCACCCCTTTACAAGATTCGCTATCGCCCCGTCAATCCGGCTTCAGTCAAACTACTGACGACCGAGGACTGCCCACACAGCATGCGGGCGATCACAGGCTCAGCCGAGAATTGATGCCAGATCATCAAGACAAGAGTGGCAAGTCGCTCAGTGCCAACCCATTGTACAAAACCAGGTTATGCGAAAGGTTTGAAACGGAAGGATACTGTCCATATGAAGGGAAATGTACCTTTGCTCATGGCAACACTGAACTCCGTGAAAGAATAGCAGACGCCGTTGAGGATAAGCCTAGTGCCAAAACCGAGTCCACCGACGGCAATAACCTCTTCAAAACACGACTGTGTGAGCGATATATGAAGGGCATGTTTTGTCAATATGGTCCCAAATGCAATTTTGGTAAAGCTTCTGACTGATGCAATGCAATCTGATTATTTTTAGATATTTTTTTTATTAACACTTCTTTGGTCGTGACGACAGCACATGGGGTTACTGAATTAAAGCAACGCCCTGCTCCTATCAAGGAGAAACCCAGAGTACATGAAGTCGATGACCAAGCCTCAAGGTTCAGGATGCCTAGAACCCGAGACTCACCTCATCCAGAGCATACCCATGCTAGTGTAGATGTTCCTAGCTCTCCAGTGACCCCCTCGCAACCCCGAGTAGACTCACCCGGGCGTATAATTGAAAAGCCTATGACCCCTGAGAGCCCTACTGCAAGGTAAGTTGCATCCTCTCCAAAAGATGCCATGTCTACAGGGTTCTAAATCGTCGGGATACTTGCAGCCTACCTGGCAAACCGCAGACGATTGAATTCGATACTGCTACCCAGCAAGATGGTGGAAGTGGCTTGGTTAAGCCCAAGCTTGTGCAATATGAACACAAGCTTCCGCCATTAGCCAAACCCCCCACCCCTGGCTATAATTCTCGAAAGCAAGTCGATGATAAGGTGCCGCTGAAATCAGCATTAAATGGGATGGCCGATGTAAGTACAAGTGGATTGAACTTGGGCACAAAGTCTGATTCCTAACCATACCATAGGCCTATGAAAAAACAAAAATCAAAGTCGTTGAACTTTCCAAGGACGAGCGAGACATGTTGCCAATGTAAATTGAATATGTGACTGACTTGGAAAATTGTACACCACCTTGTACTTAACTCTTTTCATTCCTTCTCCTAGTGCCTTACCCAAGCCCAAGAGCGTATCACCCATCATCGTCCAGCAGGAGGAGAATGTTATTCGAGACCTTAAAAAGTATTTTGAATCATCTTTGGGTGAACAAATGAATAGCGCAGCCGATATCAAAGAAGTAACAAGAATTGAGATGCGCTACAATTTCTCAAAGGCATCTCTATTTTACGCGTTGTTTGCGAGTTTATTGGACGACAAGTGTAAAGATGGCAATTCAGCTGTGTCGATTTTGAAGACTCGAGGAACGCTTTTCAATAATGTAAGAGAATGATCCCCAGTCAAGCAGTGTGGTTAATGCCAATGTGGTACGGTTTGGCTGACTTTTTCCTTTCTTAGTTCATTCGAAATGCCGCAGACCAACAAAAATTGCTAAAGGCGTGGGCAGACTACGTCTCTCAACGCAATTCTCAGCTACTACCAAAGACATCCCTTGTTTTGTCGTACTGGTATAGCTGTGATTTGATAGAAGAGGAAACATGCATCCAATGGTACGAGCAGTTAGAGGAAAATAGCAAGATCAAGATCAAGAGTGCCAAATTCATCGACTGGTTGCAGACTGCTGAAGAAGAGGATTGAGAAATATAGAAAAACGTAGTGTTGGCTTAGCACTAAACATACCCTGTAATATTCTTCATTAAAATCCCTGTTCTATACTATACTATACTTTACGGCTGTTGGTCGGCTAGGTCTACTTTATTTCGGCATAGAAAAAGCTGTAGACAATATCGTAATGTGTACATTGGGGACTACCAAATTAAGTGAAATGGACGGAAAGGGTATATCTAATGCTGAGTACTGCTAAGACAAGGGAAGGTATGTAAAGGTAATATGAAGTTGGGTTTACAAAATGATGCACCCTTCGCTTCTTCGGCTCTCAGCTGCGCCTTTTGTTTTCACTGCGGTGGTGGAGGTGAGGATTTATTTTGGTAACACTGGGCAAATATTCCCTCATTTTACTGCGAACGGAAATCAACTTACCAGACATGGCGACTCTGGCTGCCTGCTCAAAGCATTCGTTCACACCTCGGTTGTGCTTTGCGGAGCACTCCAAATAGCGCACAGCGTTGATACTTCGTGCTGTAGCAAGACCCTATTCGAAAAATGAAACATCAGCCATGGTTGTAACATGTGCTTGATAGCCAGCGAAACCTACCTCTTCGTATAAGACAGGGTGGATATTCTGCTGTTGCAAACTGGCTATGGTGGCCTCGTCGTCACGAAGGTCGCATTTCAATGCCACCAAGATGATTTTCACTTCCGGACAGTGGTCCCCTAGTTCTTCTAACCACCGATACATGATGTTCTCCAAGCTGTCACGATTATCGATTGCGAAGCATAGCATCACTACGTCTGTGTCGGCGTAGGATAATGTGCGGAGTCGGTCAAACTCCTCTTGTCCTGATAAAAAAAAAAGGATGAGGTATGTGAGTGAGGGGTTGTATAATTCTATCTTAGTCTGGATGATTGGGAGACATGGATCTGTTACCTGCAGTATCCCATAAGGATAGTTGAACTTCCTGGCCGTCAATGCTCAATTCTTGAACATAGTTTTCAAACACAGTTGGTTCATATAACTGCGATAGAAAAGACAAAAATCGGATGGGATAAGAAGTTGCCGTTAGTAACACGACGGCGGCAGCGAAAACAAAAGAAGATTCCAAATAGGTGTCATTCGTTACCTGAGGAAAATACCCTCTAGTAAAAACGTTTAAAAGCGAAGTCTTTCCACAGGCGCCGTCGCCTAAGACAACCAGTTTCCTGTGAATAGGTTTCTTATTTTCTCGGCACAGGAACATGGTGGTGAATGACAAATGTTGGAAGAAGAAGAAAAGAGTGTTTTGGTTCGGGTTGTTTGCTCCTGGCAAACCGAGTGGTACAAAATGCCCAAAACGACATGGACTGCTTTGGCCAATTTCCAATGGGCCAGGCGAACCTACCAACTTTGGCTTGGACTTGAAAACGAGACGTTCACGTAGTGACTGGATGATAGAAGCTCAGTGGTTCGTGGAGTGAACCTCATAGATGACTGACGGATCCTATTGAAAAATATACTGAAAATCATCGAAAAGCGTACATGATGTGCAGTCACTTAAAGAATGATTTAGGCGATTCTGCGCTACCCGCGAGCGAAAAATAACAACAAAAATCTCAGCTTGGAGTTTTTTCCAGACGAGCTCTTCTTTCCCTTTTTTTCCTATAAAAAATATACAGTAATGGCCGCTGAGGAACAGCAAAGTCGATCGATCTATGTCGGTAATCTAGACTCTAGGTCAGTTTTCACTTTATTGGAGCGTGCTGATTTGACTCTACGTTATAAACACTGCTCTTCCATTTCTATTTTGTGTCAACTTTATTCGATTCCCACCACACGCCATGATCCCCAACTTTCCGCACCTTCAGAGTAAGCGATCAGCAGGTACAAGATGTCTTTGCCAGTGTCGGCCCGGTGGAATCAATAAAAATAATGTCGGTACGTTGTTTAGTGGACAAGTCTTTGTCTCATTTTCTATTTTCGAATTGCCAAGGACATTTAGTCTCTCAAGAAATACACCAACCTTTGCGTCACTTTGCCTATACTTGCGTGTTGCTATGATTTTCTTACGTTAATCCCCCACCCATTTTTTTCTCTCTTTCTTTTCGATCTTATGCTGTTCTGTCTATCGCATCTCTGGAACAGCCTCGCAAACATACAAACTATGTATGTATCCTATTTTGTGTTTCGTGTTTGGTTTGTCTTGTTACTGAAATTTGATATCTTAGCAATACGGTCAGCAAGCGGGTTTCAACTATGGGTTTATTGAATATGCCGATTCTGCCTCAGCTGAAAAAGCCATAAATGAATTCAACGGCAAGAAAGTGTTTAATCATGTTTGTCATTCGTTTCTCTTTCCTAAGCCCTGCGACCGAGAACAGCTTCTTACCAAGCTTTTTTTTTTGTGCCGTTTGTAGGAGCTTAAGGTCAATTGGGCTCAAGGATCAACTCCAGGAGGAGCAAAAGAAGACACATCAAATCACTTTCATATATTCGTTGGTGATCTCGCTCCTGAAATCAATGACGAAGCTTTGACTGCAGCATTTGGCAACTTTGGACCATTGACGTAAGTGATGGTCAATGTGAAATCTATCATATTCCGTGTTTCTTAGGCGTCTTTTCCCTATTAGCGATGCCCATGTTATGTGGGATCAATTATCGGGCAAATCTCGAGGATTTGGCTTTGTAGTCTACAAAGAAAAGGCAGACGCCGAAAAAGCACTTGCTGGCATGAACGGCCAATGGTTGGGATCTCGTGCTATTCGTTGCAACTGGGCAAATCAGAAAGGTACGTGTCAACGGTGATGCAGCGTAATGCATGGCCATCCGGATGACATGTCTTTACATTTAAACTCATTCTCTCGCAGGCCAAACTGCTACACCTGCCCCAATACCTGGTCAGGTCTTACCGATCGAGACCGTGATGAGTCAGGCTCCAGCATATGTCACAACCGTCTATGTTGGCAATCTTCCCCCAAATTTGACCCAGGAAGAAATTGCACCTATCTTTGGTCAGTTTGGTATTGTTCATGAGATCAAAATGCAGGCAGACCGCGGTTTCGCTTTCGTCAAGTAAGTTCTATTTTGGCCGCACTGTGCGTGCATTTGCGGAAATACAAACTCATCGAGTTCTCTCTTACAGACTTGACAGTCACGAAGGTGCTGCTAATGCTATTGTTCAGCTGCAAGGTGCCAACATGGGAGGTCGCCCTGTGAAGGTAAAATGTCGACAGCTGCTCATGACCCATGCCCACAGTCAACCAACTAACATTGGGGAAATTTGTCTTTTTCTTACTCAGCTTTCGTGGGGCAAGAATCGCTCTCAAGATAATAACAATTGGCAGCAGTACCCTATGGCAGGTTACCAGCAAAACCAGCAGCATAACATGCGTCGCCACCATCAACCATACCGAGGGGGTCCATATAACATGAACTCATTCCCCAAGGTTGGCGGCGGTCGTGGTGCTGGTGGCATGGATCCTCAAATGTTTGGCAACTGGCCCGACCAACGTCAGTGATCGAGTAAAGTTTACATTATATTGAATTATTGTATATTCGTCAAAATAAAATTTTAAAAGTAAGCCTTTTTACTGATTCTATCCACACAAAGGCTTTGAACGATGATGTGATTTTGCGACCTTTTGGTGCCGGTTTGTCCAGTAGGAAAGAAACGAAGGGTTCCGTCACTTGAATGCAGCTCATATGCAGTATAATATCTTTCATTCATAGTAAGCCCACCGCACCCTGTTGGGATCTTGTGCCTTGCTGTGAACCCACGTGCCTTAACCGCGTCTTCGTTATCTGCAACCTATTGCCATCCATGCCACTCACTCACTGTTGATAAACATTGTAGAGCAGTTAATTCTGTTGTTTGTTTCAATTACGTAGGAGCCTTTTATAGAGCAGCAGTGTCATGGCAGGTTAAAACTTGAGTGCCCCCATTTACCCAAAAAGTCCCAATTTTTTCCGGTCCTTATAACTACTTTGCACGGTTCCTGTTGCTGGGAATCCATTGATCTCCATTTATCAATGAATTCAATTTACCAAGTGGATGACTTGGTAAAGGAATACCTCCTGGTATGCATGTCACCTCATTCCAACCCTTGTGCTGGACGCTCTAATGTATCCCTTCGTGAACTTATTCTTTCCATGCTTTAGTTTAGGGGATTCAACAGCACATTTCGTGCATTGGAGTTAGAGAGTCGAGCAGATAGAGACAAGGGATTTCAGGTAAGACCGCTGCTGACCAGTCTGATCCATGTGTGCGTTCTATTCACTCCCGATGACAGGTCGATAAGATCATCGAAGAGCTTTTTGGCTATGTACAAACCAGTGATATCACCAATTTGCTGGAATCCTGGCGGTACTTGGATACCCGATACTTTTCAAGACTCGACAGTCGATTCCAGCGAACAGTCAAAAAGTTCGAGCTATGTTTATTACGATATTATTTAGTCCATGGCAAGTTTCGGAGCACAGACGATGATGCTTGGTTGTACAGGAGCTGATCCTTACTCTACCTTTAGCTATGCAGGTCAAGAGACGAGATAGGGTCATCGAGTTCTTCGATGTCTATGGCGCTGAATTGCATGAAAACTCGGAATGGTTGAAATGGTTCGGTAAGCTGACTTTTAACTACGTCAATCCATGTCGTCGGGAGTGCCATGGTATGCTTAATTTGTCCCGTCAATAGCCTTGCCGTATTCCAAAAACCCAACCACCGACCCTGCTTTTGAAACCTTCTTCTCAAAACAATGGCTAGATAATTATATTGTGTCACTTCACAACTTCCTGAACACCATCTTTCAGAATATGCGTGAGTATACTTGTCCCATGGTGTTTCTTTTACAACCTGTTGGTAATGACATGCTATATTTGTTTAGCCCTCCCAAGTCTGTTGACTCTCAACTTAGATAAGATTCAGAAAAAGGCACAACAGACCGAGATAGACGCATTGAAAGCTTCAGTAGAAACTCTAAAGGCTAATATGGAAACATTGGAAGGAGAGAATCTATCGCTGAAGCAGAAGGTACAAAACATGGCAATAACCTATCAAGTTTGTTGATCATCCACGGGATAATTCATGCCATTTCTATAGTTAACAGAGACCAAGAAAGAAATGACAGACGGCATGACAAGGATGCGAAGGCGTGCAGTATCAATGGTGGATTCAAAGACTCGGACGTCGGTAGCTAGCCCTGATTCCTCCAGCAAAACAGAGACCCGCAGCCGAAGGAAAACAACGCAATCACTGTCACTGTCGATACCCGAAGACGATGGTATTAGCGGACCATCTACATCAGAATCGCTATCGGACAGCAATGAAGCATTTCTGATTACCACTCAGGTTAGTAACTACGCGGGCTGTATAAAAAGTGCATAAAAAAAGACAAGCATGTTGCCTTTATTTGATGATGATGTATTGACCTTTACTATCCCTTCTAGGAAGAGTTTTTTGAGCATACATCTGGCATCACACATGCAAAGTTTTCCAGCAATGGCTCAACCATTGCAAGTTGTGATATGGACAACATTATACGGTACGTGCTGAAGACAGAAATGATATAAATTGAACATCAGTTCTCACATCATACATGATAATTTCAGAACGTGGTCTTATCAGGATCAACTCTCTAACCCATCTAAAATCAAAAACGCTGCTAATGTGCTGTCTCTTGAATGGGAGGCGCGATCTGATAAATTGGTAAGGAAAACGGAGATGCTAAAGTTGGGTCCATGAAAGGAAATTCCCTAACATTTCGATTCAGTTATTGATAGGAACCGATTCTGGGCTCATTCGAGTCTATAATACAGAATCACAATCCATCGTGCAGACGTTCCGAACCGATGAGAAGCTACCAAAGTACGATGTTCGTTGGTCATACAAGAATACATCGTATGAGAATTAACCTTGTTTATTCCATCAATAGAGTGACTCAGATATCGTGCAGTCCAGCAGAATCCGTGTTTGTGAGTGCTGCATCTAACGCTACCTATGGAACGCAGGGTGCATCGACCGGTAGCTTGATATCTTGGAACCTGAAGACAATGCAGAAGCAGCAAACATTTGAATTGGAAGGCTCAGAAGCCTCATCCATTATCAACACTGTTCAATATAATCACAATGGTCAATTACTTGTTTCTGGAAACGATCAAGGCTTTATTAGGATATTTGGTAGGCTAATAGCATGTAGTGGGACAAAGCAAAAAGATCCTCTATTTACCTCTTCTTGTTCGTGGTATAGATGCGAGAACGATAAAGCCCATCATGGAGTGGAAGTCAGAAGCCCAAGTTGCCACGTGCTTTGCACAGTTCAGTTTTGACGAGACATCGATCATGGATGTATCCGCCAACGGCATGGTAAGTTGAAATGGCTCTTCTGTGTAGTCAATTATATACCTGGAACTCAACCCCAAGTTCCCTTTTTCTTCTGCAGCTTACGCAATGGTCTGTCCATAAGCCTGGCGTATCGCTCTCATCTGTCAAATTGACAGGATTCCCACCACCGTCTCCTTTCAGTATGCCGACACCGCAATCACCCATTGATATCCCAGGCAACCTATCACCCTCCACCATCGATATACCCAAACCACGAGTTTCGTCCTCCTCGGCATCTCGCAGATCCGTTTCATCCATGCGATCGGGCCGCTTACCGTCTGTGGACGATACATACACCCAAACCTTGTTGTCCGTATCCCCTCGCCCTCAAATGGTAGCGTTCAGTCATGACACCGAGCACGTCCTTTGCGCCGCCACAGCCACGAAACGAGCAGACAGCCCAGTGGTGGGCATGGTGTACCAAGTGGCCCAGGGAGAACCGGTTCAACAAATTGCAGCGACGCAAAACGAGAAACTCACCGTCGTTGACTGGACGAGTGCCGCCAATGCCTGCCTGACAGGAACAGCCGATGGTAGTATCCGAGTCACAAAGTTGATTCGAGTGTAGACGTTTGTCTAGTGGCATACGCATAAGATATGTTCTATAATAGCCATTCTAGCCGACTTTTGCTATATTTATTTGTTTGTTCTTCTTTTGATCTGGAAGGATTTTTTTTTTT